GCCTTTTTTGGCCTTTTTTTTGTAGTTTAACCTAAAAGTGAATTTGATGACCCTAATTTTTTTCAGGGAGAGCTTTAAGCACACCTCTAGTGCTAACATAGAGATATTTTGAAAAACTGTTTTGAGATGTATTTTTTGCAAATTACAAAAGTCACATTCACCAAAACTGCCAAAATATCATCCAGAGACTTTTTATGGTTTTTATTTTGTCTTCCAGTTAATTAATATATTAATTTTTTTTACCCCAATAAAGAAGGGATAGTGGAATTTGTTTTTGCTCAATTAAATGTGTGGGTAATACAAGCATCTGTGCAGAATTCACATGCAAGTGAGATCTTGACTTTCATGGTGGAACTTTGCACATCTGCGGCTCATTCTGCAGACAGGATGCAAATGCAAAGCTAGCCAAGAAATACAAGGAGTTTTCATATTTAAAACCTGGTTGAGATTGCACTATTAAGATCAACTCTTTTACTTTTCTTATACAATGTTTGATTATTTTTTTTGAAGTGGCTCTGTTCAATAACATCACAGTAATTTAAAGCCTTTTTTGGCCTTTTTTTTTTGTAGTTTAACCTAAAAGTGAATTTGATGACCCTAATTTTTTTCAGGGAGAGCTTTAAGCACACCTCTAGTGCTAACATAGAGATATTTTGAAAATCTGTTTTGAGATGTATTTTTTGCAAATTACAAAAGTCACATTCACCAAAACTGCCAAAATATCATCCAGAGACTTTTTATGGTTTTTATTTTGTCTTCCAGTTAATTAATATATTAATTTTTTTTACCCCAATAAAGAAGGGATAGTGGAATTTGTTTTTGCTCAATTAAATGTGTGGGTAATACAAGCATCTGTGCAGGATTCACATGCAAGTGAGATCTTGACTTTCACGGTGGAACTTTTGGAACTGCGGCTCATTCTGCAGACAGGATGCAAATGCAAAGCCACTCAAGAAGTACAAGGAGTTTTCATATTTAAAACCTGGTTGAGATTGCACTGTTAAGAACAAACATAATTGATTTACCAAGAATGATAATAAAAACTTTAAGTTTACTTACTTTTACTGGAAATGGCCAGTTCATGATTGGAACTATTTTCTCCTATTGTTTTGACATGGTGGCCAGAACTCATTTGCTTTGCGAAAGTACTGCAATGTTGACAGCAAAGATGGCTGCTTACTTTGGTGTAAGAACCTGCAGATGCTTTCTTTGTTTTTGCCTCATTATTCCTTTACCCTGTAACTTCCGTGAGTGACCAAGACAGAATTTCTCCTTACAATACCAATACAATACCAACCAGATGAGTGATGAGAAAAAAGAGAAATATCAATTTGGGGATAATTAAGTGATCCAATACTAAATTCTCTGAAGTAACTTCATAAGAATTGTATGGTTGACAGTAAGGAGAATGGCAAATTTGATCTGGAAGTCAAAGGGTTAGGCTCAATTGTATTTGTTCCATGTCATGTGTGAAAGTGATGTGTTCTTACGCCAAAGGATGAGCCAAAGAAAACACACTCAGGATCACTAGTAAGCGTTTGCAGTCATTTGAGTCCCTTTAGCTGTTGCACAACAATGATGTTCAATTTTAGTACACCTATTGTTTATCATTTAACATGAAAGTACATTTTTTATTTTTACTAACATGATATCTTCTCCTACAGGTTGATCCAAAATCATGTAAAGTATTAAAAAGCTGGTTGAGGAGTAACACAATAAAAACTGTCTTACAGGAGCTAAGGAGGTAGTTTTTCTCTCTATGTTAAATTCAAGTGTAGCTTCCCATAGCAGTATCTTATTCAATTTATTATCTAGGGGATGACAATTAACAATTCTGTCAGTAGGAGAATGTTATACTGATCCAACACCAAATTCTCTGGGCCATTCCACTATGAAAAAAATGTAAAAAGCCACACTGGAGAATTATTGCTCAGATTGTGAGAGCTGGGGAACAAAACTACAAATGTGTTACATTGTAGATATTCTTAGCAAAAACCCTGTAGACATTTATAGAGCTGATATGGGGAGAAGTTTCTTAAAATTTATGAGCTTGTCAAATTTGTCTTTTTTGTCCATTACAGTAGGCTGGATAAACAGCTGCTGTTTGTGACACCCACTCCTCTTAAGGGAGAATAAAAATTGGACACGAGAGAGTGGTAAAAAGTGACTTTCCTACCTAACCCTTAAAGTGTTTGTAAATGCACTTTATAAAACCTTTGACCCCTACAGTAGGAGTGAATAGCATCTAATTTCTCCTGAATCAAACACTAAGGTCACTAGAGTGAAGGAAATGATCACCAACTCAAGAAGCTATAGATTGGTAAACAAATTCTCCTTGTCAGTGCCATGGGAAATCTGCAGAGAACAGTGTGGAGAATACAGATACTGATGTGAGGGTGTAAATGGTTAAAAGGGACTCTTTACTCATTTGTTAATTAATTGTTCATTCACTTGTAGAATGATGACCCTAAAAGAGAACATGAAGCTTCCTCAGCCACCAGAGGGAAGCATGTATGATGGACACTAAATGCAACTTTGCCTTTCTAGAGGTTCTTCTACAAATTACACTTAGCAGCAGTCCTCTTTTGATGAAGAAAAAGCGGATCTCTGTCAGTATCTGAGCATTTGTGTACCTACCCTTTGACTCATAACAAGTCAGGGTTAATGTTGGGTCAAGGGAGGGGTGGGTGCACAGTTGTTCAGATACTGACATTGATCCAAAAAAGTCATGTAAAGAAAACAAAGCAATCCACCTGTATCTTGAACAGTGTTCCTACAGTGCATGTTTCTAGTGAGACTTTTGCACTTGTTATAAACATCAAACAAATGCATCAGCTAATTTAGGTGCAAATGTGTAATGCTCCAAGGAAATTCTTTATCCCACTTTCAGTTGAGTTAGACATTGTTGGAATATCTTCTCTTTTTTGGCCTATGGACAATGGTTTGTTAGAAGCTTCAAAAAAATTTAGATGTTAGTGTAGAGCTGCTTGGCTTGAAGATACATGTTATCAAAATGTAAAATGATATCAACTTTATTCAATTCTAAGCAACATGTAGCTTCTGGTGTGCTTTTTAGTACTTTTACTGACCTCAAGTCTTGTAATGACTCGCATGTAAGTGTTTGATTGTTGTAAGTAAGTGATGAATTTCTTTTCCAATTTGGTATTTCTAGTGCAGAAAAAAATAAAGAAAGTTTATAACAAAATTAACCCTCTTTTCCTTATAGTATGAACCTATGGTATGTATAGTATGATACGTTGAATGTTAATTCTTCGTCTGTTCACGGTGAGCTGTCAAAGGATTACTCAGGCTCAGCTCCAGCTGTTGGTGTATTGATACCTTCGTTTTCCTCTCCTCGCCAGGGAGGACCGCGTGCACACTGAAGAACTGACACCTGGAGACTGAACCGAATGGTTACTATACAGAGCCAGATAGGGCCCGGTTGTTCGAACGACGGATAACGCTATCCACCGGATAAATCATCATTCAGCGGATTAGTGTAACAAAACATATTGCGCTATCCACCGAAAAGCGATATATTCAGTGCGTAGAGTTGTCTATCCTTCGAACTTCACAACCCTCGTTGATTTGAACAGAGTTAAGCCTTCGTTTCACAGTGGGAGTTTTTTTTAACCTTTATCATTTTATGAAACATTTGACGTTTGGATGTGAAGAACTGGATTATAATTATATGTGACTGGACAGTCAACAGAGAGAGCCTAGGTACGAGGTAACGTATAGACCGCTGTGTTGTGAAATAAGCGACTAAACCTTTTTTTTTTTTTTCAATTAATTTTTTTAATTGATTATTTTTTCAAAGCATATTAGAAGTACGTGTGCGGCGTGCCTTTCAAAATGTTCGTGAATAGTCAGAATATATCATTCTTTGGCGTATGATTTACATAAAGCTAGCTTGCTTTGAGGAAGGAGAATGTGATTAGCCTAATTGTTTTAGTAAGAATGGAAACGGATATTCGCCCGAAGATGAACAAGAAATTCTCCTCTTCCGATCAAATTTACTCCTAAAAACTTCGGACCTAGGAAAAGATTTGCTCCTGGAGATAAATTTCATTTGGAAAGTTGTAAGTTAGTGCAGGAACAACTGGGAGTTAACGCACTTAACGACAAGTTTGTTTCCTCAGTCTTTGGCCATAATCATATTTAATTAAACGAAATTGATTTTAGACATTCACGAGGTTAAATTTGAGCACCAGCAATGGTTCGAGACAAAATCGTTGGCGTTTATTGCTCCGTTAGGATAAGAGGTTTCCTTGGCGCCCTACGGCTCACCAATAGCAACTATCCTCAATTATAAAAAAAGAAGAGAAAAAAAAAAATAAAAGAATAAAACAAACAACATTCTAGTGCTACACTAGATTTCACGACAGAGCACGACGAATTGAAAAACAATGGTAAGAACAAAATAAAAATAAATTAAAAGAAAATTATCAAAGAGAGAAAACGAAAAAAAAATTATGTCAGCCGCTTCAATCACTTAAATTTGTTAGGTCACACAAACCACTGTTGTAGCTTCTTTTTTTCTGAGAAAAACGTAAACTGAGTTTGCAGACAATGGTTCTCTCTTCGTTTGGTTTAAGATACTAATAACTGCTAGAGTTTGGTAGCTTATTGCGATAATTGACGTAACGGGTTTCGCTTTGTTTCACTCCCCCTTTTTGTAGCCACTTTTCATCAAGTTGTCATCGCCCTTTTGTTAGTTCTAGCTAATTATTTTTCCAGCCAATCACAGGCCTTCATGCATCATTTATTTTGTTTATGAGAATCAATAGCTGCTTCCATGGAAATTAGAAGTCAGCCGCAGATGGTGGCTTGAAATGACTAAACACACTGAAAACAAAAAATCAAGGATTAAGATAAGACGACTTGCGTTCAAATTGGGGACATATTGAATCAAAGTAGGAGTTCTGTTAGCCATCGGTAACCAAGAATGATCTAAGGAAACGCGTAAAAGAAAATTACCCGAGCAAGTTACAACTGAAATGGCGGATCAACCTACATCGAATACTAGTAATCCACTGCCTCACAGTCGAGGAGGAAGACATCGTTCACGTAAGCAACAGAAGCCCTCAACGGCTGAAAGAGAGCAGAAGAAAGCATCTCGATTGCAGGCTTTGGGTCCAGCGGAATCGATAAAGGAAAAGCAGGTTAGTTATACCTTCAATCTGCGCGTGTAAATGTTTATTACATCCTGAGGTTAGACTAGTGTCACGCCATAAATTCGATCATGACTTCTTAGTGCCGAAGGAATGCGAATGCGTTTTCTTCTCTAATATAATTAAAAGGTTGCCTTAAAAATCTAAAGTATGGACGATCGGTTTGCATTAGAGAGTGTCCACAATGGTTTTTATGAGAACTCTGGAACATCTGAGCGCGAGAAAAAAAAATATATAGAACTAACAGTAATAAAACTTTTGCAGAAAACTTTTGGTTGTCTACGCAGTTAACGTATATCGTTGATATTTTGTGAATTGTGCCACAGGAATTGAAAATTTCCACAGCTGTAGATTTACGATGAACGATAAAATAGGACACGGTTCATTTTAGCGTCCTCGTAGACGTACACTGAGGAAGTTATGAAGGGGAGAGATTGGTACATTATGGCAAATGCAAAAAGGTGCAGATCTGACCTTAGACCAGAGTTACATTCGGCTGTTTTTAAAACTTCTAAGAGCTTATGTTCTATTTTCTCAGAACTCGAGAATTCGATCGGTTATACTGTTAATTTTTTGACTTTTGATTTCGAGTTTCGTTTGACTTTGGTTGCAATGGCCCGAAAGTTGTGTTATCATGACGTCACATGTTAGAGATTGTTGGTACAGCTGATGAAGTTGTATTTTTTCCAATGGAACCGTTCGATTGTTCAATTGGACGCTGAAAATATAAAACGATCAATAATAAAGTGAAATTATCGGACCACGATGAGGATAGTTAATGTTGCCACACTGAACACTCACAAAAGTGGAGACTTTTTGCACCTAAACCGTACAATCCTCTTGAATATTTGTATGACAGAGAAAAAAGCTGAATCCACTTGAATTAAGCTTAGTATAAATTCTGGAGGAAGGAGGAGAATTGGATTTTCAAAAATTTGTCATTAAGAGTAAGTGACAATATCTTTAACATTTAAAGTGCCGTGATAATAGCATGATTCCAATTGGTCACTTGTGACTGAATAACCCAGTGATGTGACAGACCACTAGCTATACAAACTGAACTAAATAAAAATAACAATTCTTTGACAGTTGGAGGTTTCATCTATATTCACACATCATCATAAAGCTAGCATTGCATATATCTCTGTTAAAAAAAAAATGTGCAGATTAATGCAAACCAAGAATATTAAAATGAACAGGAGTGAGGCTAAGGTTGACCTTGTTATGAAACAAACCTTGCTGCTTTTCAAAGGCAAATTACTTTGTTATCATGCTAACTAGATACTGGTCTCTATCACAACAAGGTCACCTTCAGCCTCACTCCAAATCAAAGGCAACTATTAGTACACAACTGTAAAACGGCCTATTGTCATCCCTCCCCCTCCTCAAAACTATCAGTACCATTTGTTTACATCTTGCACAGAACTTGCTTATCCATTGATAATGCATGGTTAAGATGGCAATGAAAATAATTATACCATTGAAGGTAGTGCCAAAAAGAACGAAGTTTTCAGGATTTCTTTGCTCATATATCTTGTTAGACATTTTATTTTATAGTATTACTGAGTATATACAGACAACAATTAAAAGTACTAAGCAATGCTTAATACACCAAAAGGTCTGATGAGCTATTTATTATATGACTGCTTTATTATCTGCTCATCTTACACAAGTCAGGAAAAGCAAAGCAGAAAGAGAAGTGTAGTGCATGCAGCCGACCAGTAAAACATGTTTTTTTTTTTTTGCAGTACAAAATAACCTACTGTACAATATTGCTGGATATTTGCACTTTATTGCTTATAATTTGTACTCTACTTTGTGCAGTTGGATTATGGTGATAATTTATAATCTTCAGAATAACCTGACATTACCCAAATATTAATAAAAAAATCAAGAAAGTGTATTGTGGCTTGAACAAATTGAATGTGACTAACCCAGGATTACAGAGGGTATATGATGAGCAGAGAATTCTCAATGTAGTTTTCTTGTGCTTTTCAAATAGCAAAAGGCCAGAGAGGAGCGAGAAGCAAAGCGGTCCATGATTGATTTTAGACATGAATATGTGATGAGCACAGTTGCCAGTACCCTTGGGCTAACAAATGAGGAGGTCACAGAATCTTTACTGGAAGGGAATCAGGTATGTGTTTAGCATTACTCAAGTATAAAATTTGATATGAATGATTATAAAAAGTATTTTATTTTAATTTTTAATGATGTTGTGAATGGTATCTAATTACTGTTGGTGTCATCAATAGTAATTAGATGGTTATTTGAATGATGCCTATTAATAGTGGTACCATCATAATAACACAAATTTGGTAAACATTTGTAATCATTATGGCATTTTAAGAAAAGTATGCAAGTAATGAAATCAAAACCTTGAATTTTCCTACCAAATATTATTATCAGAATTTAAAATTTTGTACTTCAAACCTTCACATCACTTTCATTCTTATACTACATCTCTACAAATATTGAATGTTAAACATCATGATCAGTTTACCAATGGACAGACACACTGTAGGTAACCTCAGCTCCGAAAGGGCTAATGCTTAAAATGTCAGCTTTGAAACTCTTTATGGTGGCCAATTTACATTATCAACTCAGTTGACGATACCAAATTACCTTGTTATACACTCTTACCAACACAGCACCTTAATTTCTTTAGAAACTTACCCCTTTAATCATTAACCTCAGTTAAGTATTGCTAAGTTAGATTGTGACATTACGATGAAAATGTTCTCATATTGATCATCTCTGCAAACATCATCTGCTGACAGATTGAAACCATGGAGGATTTTTTCAAAGCAGATGGTCTTTCAAAGATCATATTTTATTTTCAAGAAGTGGAAACTTTACCAGATGCAGGTGGGTTGTGAGCATGAGATTGTAGTATAGAGCTTTAGGGAAAGCTTTCTCTAAAAATGTTATAATTTATGAAAATTAATTTTGGTAATTCTTGGTTTTTCTACTCTACCAATACGTCTCTTTTTCTCTACTTTAATTTGGAAATTGGTCAATCAATGCTATCTTTTATTTTTTTTCTAGTTTTATTGAAACTCACTCCTTTAGTTGCTCTCCAAACTTTTATTTGGCTTTGGAAATCAATATCACTTACAGAATTTCCATGTAATTTGTAGCATTTTTTTACACTGGTGTGGATTTATGTTTTGATGTACTACATAATATGTATGACTCATTGTCATTCTTGTTATCATTATGTTCACATCTGCATCATAATAAACTCCTCAGTAGAGTGATGTTCTTTATCATCATCATCATCATCATTATGGTTTCCTCAAGTCAAAGTTTACTACAGTGTAATAAACTTCAAGTAAACCATACAGCTGGCTCTCATTGGTCAATGATTGGAAAAGAATGCACTTTATCAAACAAATTTGGTTTGTAGTAGATATTAAGTCATAACATAACAAAATAAACTAACTTCTTTTATACAATTTTAATTACAGTTGAACATGTCAGACTTGGGCCTGGTGGAGCACAAGCAACCAACATTAAGACAAAACCCAAAGTGTTTATCACAGATACAAAGGATATGCAGCTCACCGGAGCATGTGTGTTCTTCATCAAAATTAACCCCACAAAAGCTCTAACAATGGCGAACATCAGTCAGGTAATGTTACTGAAATTGTATAATTCCCACCCCTTATTTATAATTTATTTTTTTGGTGAGAAAGATGTCCATACAGAGGGAACAGGAGTGCATTTCCTTTTACAATTGTGCCAAGGCCTAAATAAGCATAAAAAACATTTCAGGTAGATTTTAAGTATTCCGTATTGGGTAGCTATAGAGGATCCTGTTGTTGCAAGAGTTCAGGTGTCAGACAAATGGTAAAAAGCCCACATGTCTGACAGGAGGAGGATGAAGACCCACACACTATCCCCCTTGGATATGCCACTACGGATGGTTTTAAGTTACATCTGATTCAATAAAGGAAAAAACTTATTTTCATTTTTGCATCCATGAACCTGCCCCTTCCTCCCTTGCAAGCCAAAAAATGTATCGAGTATGAACAGACAGTGCTTATAAGAAATAATTGAATTAGTGAAGAGTGTGAGTGGTGGGGTTTTTTTGTTCAGTTTTCTAATCTGTGTGTTTTAACTCAGGAAACAACTTTTGGTTTGTTGGATACTCGTGGTGTTGGTGTTCTTCAATCAGTTGAGAGATTACTTGCAGATATCTACATTCCTGCCCTGTCTAAAAGTTCCAACTGGGGTGATTTATCAGACAAACATGGTGCAAGTGTACGACAAGGATTCATGAACCAACTTGACAATTTTGTGGGTAAGTTGATGAAAAAATGACTCAGGTTGATTAATGACATGTGTGAATGTCATCAGCTGGAATGTGCCATCAATTAACCTTGAACCCAAACTTAACTTCATGACTTGAACCCTTTCACTCCTAACGGATCTCAATAGCAATACTCCCCACAGTTTGCAAAACATTTCTTATTGTTATATTTTCAAGAGTTTGGTATTTAATCCAATGATAGGCTCTAGTTGATTTTTTTTCACTCTTGTCACTTTTTAGCTTGATGGTGTATCAGTATGACGGGAAGATATCTCGTTTTGATCTCTCTAAGAAGTGACAGGGTTAAAGCAGTACTGTACAGTACATGAAATATCTGTAAAATTTATTGTTTCAGTTTTTATTATCATATCTGTAAAAACTTTCGTGTTTACTGGGTGAATCATAGCCATTGTAGCTTTGAGTGGGAAGAATTAACGAGTAGGCTGTCATATCCCTCCAAAAGCAAAGGATGAAAAGTGAATATTCTCTTCATTTTATGTGAATCAAGTACACGGTGGTTTTGCTGCAGTTTTTGACGTCATTTCTTTGATCTGTGATAGCAATAGACGATGGTCAATTTGCTAAGCATTATTTTAACAGTGAAAATGACATCTGTTCCACTGTTTAAGGCTTTAAGATGTCAAATCAATTAGTGTAAACTAAGAAGAGCATGTATCGAAAGCTGGTTGATTTTAAACTCTCACAAGCTAATATTTGTAGCAACGTGCATTTGATATTCCATAGTTTGTAGTTCATCTTGATCTCTTGTACACTTCACTATTCAGGTATTCTGGCTAGTGCACAGGCCAGTCTAGATGATGCAGTGAGCCTTAAGGAATGTGACAGCATTGATCTTACGAGGATAAGTTCTCCTAATGATTTCATAGCAGCTGCTAGCTCCAGCGAGACGCTTGAGCAGATTGAAGAGATTGTTACGGCTTGGATTAAACAGATCGAACAGGTTCGTGCGTATTCCCGGAAAGTATTTTCTAGAAAAAGATGTAAACTTTCTTTCTGAGGTTTTGAGGAGCCGGTCCTTTCAAAAAAGACTGGTGAAGATTTCCGAAGATATGTCCGTAAGGGTTCTGACAGCCTCCTGTCTAATGCTTTCCCTTCCAACTTTCGAAGTTTCAGAGAGAGTGTAATAATCTGCGAAGTAAACCTATATCTCTTCTCAGATCGGCTTAAGCCTATTTCACTCAAAGAATGTTTTTAAAATGTTTCACTTAAGGCGGAAAAAGCGCCTGTTTTCTCATTACGTGTAAGAATAGAAGGGCTGGCATGAGCTCTTGTGAAATCGAAATCTTTTAATCCGTAGACGCGAAAATTGTTATGTAAAGCTGGTGCGTATTCTTTAGATATAAATTTTTTGTGGGTGAAAGGTTTCTGGGCCTCTTTTTAGGTTGAAGGCTTCTGTGCTAAAATCAGCAAGCTTAAGTCTTCGATTTTAGTTCGAATGGGGGCAATCCACATGCGTCAATGTGGCCTGAAAGAACGCCCAGGGTTTTACATCCTAAGCCTGAGCACTTGAACGAATTGCTCTATGAATTGATAGGATGTCACAGTGCCATTTTCAAGATCAAATCAATTGTGCACCGATCAAGGAAGTAAGATCCAAGTTTCTCGCCCCAATCGTGCACTACACGCTTCTGTATGAGGAAAACTTCTATCACCTGGCGGCACAACCCTAAAGCTCGATGGGGTTATGCTTATATGTTAAACTCGAGGCTTTTTTTCCCTTTCCAGGTTTTGGCAGAGAGTGAACAAATGAGGAAAGAGGCTGATGATGTCGGCCCCAAAGCAGAACTAGATCACTGGAAAAAAAGAATGGCTAAGTTTAACTCGCTGCTGGATCAGATCAAGGGAACAGAATGTAAAGCAGTGGTTGGGGTTCTCCACGCAGCCAAATCTAAACTACTAAAGGTTTACGAGATATTTTAGAAAGTTTTACTTCATTTTGCTCATTTGTTTTACGTGATCCGTGACCTGCTCTAATGCCTTTCCTTCCAAAGTGTTAAGCTATCTACTTTGAATTGTACGGCCTCTACAAACTTTACATCATTGAAGTATAAATTCTGATCGTAACATCCTATCAAATTGAATTTTTTTCGTAAAACTGTCGCATTTTTCACAGACTTGGCGAGACATTGACAGCAGAATAACAGATTATGCCAATGAAGCAAAAGACAACGTGAAGTTCCTCTACACATTGGAGAAATTCTGTGACCCGCTTTACAACAGTGATCCGGTAAGTAACTGCGATTGTCACATGCAGCAACTGAAGCGTAGTTCGAATGTCGAACTTTTCATGTACTCAGATGTACCGAACTCAATTCCTTTAATTATATGTGAGAACACGAAAAGTACGATTTTTGAATCACTTCAGTTCGATATATGTAAAGAATCCAGCTGAGAATTAAGCTCAAGTGGTTGGCATGGGAGGTGCGACTGTGAATGGACTCCGATTTTTATGTTACACTATTCATGCGTTGCTTATAACGAAGGAGCCGCTTTAAAATCTTTTTGCGTCTTTTTGCGTCTTTTAGCTAAAACACATGCTCAACTAATCATTTAACTTCTACATCTGAATCAACCGCCTGATTTTATAATTTAGGTCGACCAAATAGGTACGTCCATGAAAATTTTACTTTTGAGCCGAGAATGAAAATGTTTCTTTCCCTCTTTCATGTATTTGTGTGTTTGTTAGGTCGGTATGATGGACGGGATTCCAGGTCTTATAAACGCCATTCGCATGATTAACAGCTACTCAAGATATTACAACACGTCCGAAAGGATGACGGCTTTATTTGTTAAAGTAAGTGTTAAAGGAAGGGTGAGGTGACTCACCCACTACGCTGTTGTTTGAAAATTGACGATCTGGTCGCCAAGTTGCTCGGTGCAAAGGGTTCCCTTAACCCTTAAACCCTAAGAGTGACTAGCATCAAATTTCTCCTTACAATATCACCCCTGAATCACACGTTAAGGTCATGAGAATGAAGGAAATGATTACTAACGAGAGAAGCTTTTGATTGGTAAACAAATTCTCCTTGTCATCACCTTAGGAAATGTATGAAGAGCAGTCTGGAGAATATGCATGTTCATTTTAGGATGTAAAGGGTTAAGTTATGCCAGCATTTGAAAGACGTGCAATCATCGTTAACACATATTATCAACTAAGGGCACATATTATCAACACCATCTTCACTTCGGATAGTGTTTTTGCTCACAAGCGATAAGGGTGGCTGGTAAAAAAAGAACACGAAATTGCAATTGCCCAGTACAGTGCCCTCTTTTAATCAGACCTTGAACGGTTGATCCATGATACAGAACCTCATATTTGGGAAGTTAATGACCAGTCAGGTACAAGAAAGGCCTATTTTATTTTACGGTAGCCGTGTTTTACAACAAAATTTTCGTGTTTGCTCACTTTTTTAGTACTTGTCGATTGAGTTTTCACAGCCCCCAAACAAAACCGACTTTAAGTACTAGGAGCTAATGGGTGAGACGGCCTGAAAGGTCGCGAAAATGCTAATATCCAGGTCACGATTGGGTTTAGCTTGAAACTTGATTGGTCGAGCAGGTGGCGCGAGTTTTGTACACCAATCAAAGAGCGCTTGGCTGATCCCGGCACTTAATCGAGAATTACTCTGTTTCATTCCTTCAGGTCACAAATCAAATGATCACGGCGTGTAAAAACTACATCACAGAGCATGGGTACAAGACAGTGTGGGAATACCAACAGGAGGAACTTGTCGAAAAACTGAAAAACTGCATTCGATTAAACGAAGAATACCAAAGATGCTTTCAGAAGACTAAACAGCGACTCGAGCAAAACTCGGAGGAAAGACAATTCGAGTTCAGCGAAATGTACATTTTTGGCAAAAGTAACACCTTCTCACGCCGATTGCACAAGATCATTGATATGTTGGATACGATGAAAGCGTTCTCATGTCTCGGAGAGTCAAGGATAGAAGGCATGGAACAGCTTTGGAACAAATTTGTTTTAATTGTCACTACCATGAAAAAGAAACCATACGACCTGCTGGACTATCGAAAGATGGACTTTGATGCGGATTTTGAGGAGTTTAAAAGGCAAATTAACGATCTACAGGTAAAGTGATGTTGCTTAAAGAGTATCTACCTTATGTAGGTTGTAGCTGACAATCAGGAAATAATTTTAATTCTCTTTACAGCTCAAGCACAAAGCTTTCGGTAATAATGAGTTTTAAACAATGAGTTTTTACGACCTGGGTCCACTGCGCTTTCACTCGCAACTTCATACAGAAGTTTTATGAGACATTCCAAGTGTTTATCAAAAAACGCTAGATCCAATATGGGTATCGGGTATATTTTATTCCGCATGCCAAAAGGATCGCGTGTTTTCCTGTTTATGATCTCTCCACCTTACTCGACGTCAACCCCCATCTTTTCGACCAAAATGAGAGTATACAAATGTGTTTATATGCCAAGTAGATTGCATGCAGGCGTGGAGAGTGCTGGTCATCAAAGAACATTGCAGTACTAGCGGTGTACACAGAATATACAGGGAAACACGAGCGCGTCATATATCACCCTTGTCAGCTGGGAGTTTTTTTTTTGGGGGGGGGGCTACATTTAGATTTGTCACATCGAGGCAGATGTTTTCTGAAGTCTTCAATGTACCACGTCGGTATTCATGCTGTTTCAACAACGATAACAACATTTTCTTTACCACGATATGACTTTACTTTTTTTAAAGAATTCCATAGCAATTAGAGTCGTACGATTTTAATGGAAATGGTTGAAACCTCTGAACAGGTTCAACTGCAGATTTTCATGGACAACTGCTTTGATCGGATTCCTTCGACCCAACGTGCCTTGAGGTTAATAAGGAAATTCGAGAGGTAAGTGATGAGCACCCTTACCTCTCAAGCATTATTACATCACCTCTGGTACCTTACACTTTTGAAAGCTAATCGCCACACGAGAGAAATAGAAAGGTTTTTGCCAGCTCGAAAGTCGTGATAGACTTCTTAGAAATGCCACGCCTAGAGCATTATTTTCGAGTCAAGGTTTCCAAGACGGAAAAATGGAAACTTAAGAAAGCATGGATAGGATAATTCATTCCGCCCTAAGAACAAATCAGAATGCTATAGTCGTTACCGAGCCTTCTTGGAAAAACATTAGAAAGTTTCTATTAAGGTAACTTGCGGTTGTATTTCCAGATATTAACACGCCAGCAACAAATGTTTTCAAACCCTCTGTCTAGATTCGTCGACCCAGCTCAACATTAAACATTTAAGCTTTTCTATCGACTTTTCTGATCTCACGGTATGCAGTCTGTTTAGGATATAAAAGGTGGTGCATGGCCTCGCTCACGAAAGAGTTTTTAGTAGTCTAGTTGGCAGAGCTTCTGGACCCGAAATCAGAGGGTGTGAGGTTAGAGTTCTCACGAGGACCTCTGATTTTTACCAGTCTCTCGCCTGCGCAGAAGTGTTAACATTTCTCTAATCAGCTACCATAGGGTTCTTTGTAGCTCACTGTTAAAGCATCGGAGCACGGAATCAGGAGGTCTGAGTTCAATTTATCATAGGAACCAAGATTTGTTTTTCTTTATCTATGTTTCTATGCTTGTGACAATATAAATAACATCCTCTCATATTTGTTTGTTTGTTTGTTTTTTCTCGTAGACTTTCCCTAGACAGCTTGAAGGACACGATTCAGGAGAAATACGAGCGAATCCTGATGTACTATGGCCGCGACATTGACACCATACAAAAGATTTACCAGAGACACCGTAATGATCCACCGGTGGCCTGGGATTTACCACCAATAGCGGGCAAGATAGCCTGGGCCCGACAGATGTACAGAAGGATTCAAGAACCGATGGAAATGTTTCAAAAGTATCCCACAATCCTGCAGACGCCTGAGGCCAAGAAGACCATTAAGAACTATAACAAACTTGCTAAAGTGTTGTTAGAATTTGAAGTGTTATACCATCAGGCATGGATGAAGCAGGTATGAGGGATAGACATCAAGCCCGTGTAGTATTTTGGTTTTGTATGCTTGATAGTTGATTCTTGCCAGACAGGCTTCGATGAAAATTTGTTGCAGTAGAATTTTACCTTAATCTCGTACAGTTTCCTTGACAAGCCATGTACAAATTGTTGGTTTGCTCCTTTAAAAAATATAATTTAAATGGCGTCTCGTGCAATGAGTTTTTTTTTTTATCAGGTTGCAGTCCATAGCTTTTGAAATTATTATTATTATTGCCGTACCCTTAACAGGTCGAAGTGGCAAAGTCTGGTTTACAGGCCTCCCTCCTCGTGCGCCATCCGGAAACAAAAGAACTCTTTGTGAACTTTGACCCTCAGATTCTAACCCTCATCCGTGAATCTGAGTGTATGGTGCGCTTAGGCTTGGACATTCCATTTGGTGCGCAGACCCTGCTCCAAAAGAGTCAAACGATTAAGAAGAACTACAATAGATTACAGGTAAATACCGATGCCCCTCGCAGGACAATTAATGAAGAGTATAAATGTAATAGTGAAACCACATTAACGCGACCGCCGTCATGGCTTGAAAATCGGGTACATTAGACGGGGTCGGCTGTCAAGTTTTCAGTTAGTTTTGGGATTCCGAATCACAAAGTTGGGTTTCGAGGTTTGGCCGGGTCATTTTTGTTGTGTTCATTCTCCCAACGCCTTTCACTGCCCATGAGTAGAATTGGTATCGGTAAGCTGTCGGAGAAATCTAACTAAACCCTGATTTGTAAGAATTAGATGCAATGGCAAGCTTGTGAGGTCTTTGCTTTGACTTGTGATTGTTCACCTTTTCTAACAAAGAGGGCAAAATTTCTAAATGCAGATTGGCTAAGACAGATGGCATTTTTTATTAATTTTAGTTATTGCCCAAGGCAAAGTTGATTGAAATTGATTGGTTCTTAGATTGATTAGGTCCTTTATTACCTTCTTAATAAAAGAACATTTTGGCCTTCTTATTATAAACAAGTAATTGCGTGTATCCTCGTAAAATGATGGTTTTATATTCCTTGCGTTTTCAGAAATTTCCCAGTTGCGCGTGTTATTAATCCTTAATTTTACTCAGCCCCATGGGATTTCCTAAACTTACTTGTCCCATTTTCAAATGGTTTAAGGTTGAGGTGACGGAATCGACAAGTGTCTTATAGCTTGCGCTTGGGCAAAAAGTGTCGTTGATTTCCAATAGGAACCAAGTGAAACTTAAAGCTTTTCTTACACTCTTTATAGCTGTTGTTATCAGAGAGTGTTCGGGTTCTGGCAAGGATACCTCCGGCATTTAAACCGCTTATGTCGCCGCATCTGGCCAAAGTAGATGCAGCAATCGAGCCCGGGCTGACCATGCTCAACTGGACATCTCTCAGTCTGGATGTCTACATGGATAGTGTCTATGATGCTTTCAAGGAACTAGAGCTGCTGATTGATCGAGCCAATGATTTGGTGAAGTTTCGAATAGAAGCTGTTTTGCAAGAGATGAGCAATACGCTGCTTTGTGAGTTACCGAGCGATGCGCCTTGGACTGTGGAAAGGTTTCTTAAAAATACCGAGGTAAGCAAGTGTGAAAAGTGTGAGGTTAAAAGAGTGCGCTAATTTTTATCTCCCTTGGCTATTGAGGTGGAAAAATTCTTTGAAAGAATTTTGGTCTCAAAGATGTAAAAAGGTACATGGGTCTGTAAGCAGGGGGTTGGAGGGATCTGCCACAGTTTATCTACATTTAGATTAATAACATTTGGCATCATACACTTGTATCTTAATTTACAGGATCTTTGCAAGCGAGGTTCTGAATTACTGGAATCAAAAAGTGCACGAGTGGAAGAAGCTGCCAATGAATTGATCACAATGCTGCTAGAGCTTGAAGAGGAAGACCAAGATGACCTTGACAGCGACGAGGACCAAGAATACGAAGACTTTACAAAAGACCAGGACGATGGAGAACACGACAAAGTTGTTCCCAGAGGAGAGAGTGCACGCAGTCGTCCCCGGACGGGTGGTAGTCGACCAGACAGTCGCTCTGCTGGCAGTCGATTGGGAAGTGCAGTTATTAGCCCAGCGGCTGCAGCGGCGAAGCGTAAGCGCGAGATACGGGATCAGCTAAATATGGAAGCTCAGGAATTGTTGATGCATTTTATTCACAAGAACATTGACGCCATTGTGCGCGTTACAAGAACAACCTTGGATGGTATGCGCAAACGCGTACAAGCTGCTCTATCGCATCATTATCTTGAGAACAGTGGCTCGTTAGGACAAGGGAAGGATTCTGGACCTGATCTATCGCCGCTCTTCTCGGCGAATGTGACTTTACAGATCCCGAACATAACCATGCAGCCGGCTTTGGACGAGATCCAACAAGGGTTAAACAAAGCTGCCCAGTATGTTGTATCTGTGTCCAAAGGTATCTCGCAGTGGTGCAAGACTTGCAAAGCACTTATTAAAGTGGAAAAGAAAGACAAAGACGATTCTGATAACGAGGCTCGAAGTCGCTCGGCGAGCAATGCAGGCAGCGATGACGAAAGCCGATCCGACGTCGCGCCTTCCCGACGAGTCACGAGAATGCCCGCCGATAGTGATGCTGGTACCGTTGTTAGCATGGCAATATTTCCGCAGAAGGCTAATTACTTCAAAAATGTCGCTGAAAACAAAGAAATCGCTAAACTTGTGTCTTTCCTGTCAACGGCGATTAACTCTCAGAAAAAGGATGTAACCACAGCCTTGGACTTTTTCAGCAAATATGAGTCTATCTGGAGGGAAGATCGAGAGGAAGACATTGCTAAGTTTTTGGAGACTGACCCCAAGTTGTCAGAGTTTGAGGCTCAGATCTTGAGGTACAAAGCCTTGGAGGACACAATCATGAGAGAGCCTGAATCTTATAAGGCTGGAGCCGTATCGTTGTTCACAGGTATTTTGTTACCAAGATAGAATTTTCAACGTATGGTTGATAATGTGGTTAAATCAGCTGAGTTGAAATGTGAATTTGCCGCCTTAAAGAGTTTCTAAAGCTGTCGTTTGGAGAGTTTGTCTTGGTCATTCGGTCAGCTTTTGAGACCCTTTACGGAGGCCAATTTCGTCATCAACTCATTTGGTAAAACCAAATTATCTTGTAATACCTTCCACCGACGCAGCATCACAGTTCTCTAAAAACTTTCCCCAATGGTTGAGTTTGTTGGCTCATCGAGGGTTAACTGTCTTGAAATTCTGGAAAGCATTTATTCAACCATTTGTGGAGTTCGTTTCACATATTGACCGTCAAGTGAGAGATTTCAAACTGACAATATACATAAGGGTCGTTTTTGTTTAGCTTTGTCTTTCTCTTGTGCAGAACAACTCAAAACAGCGCTTTGTGCGGAAACCAGGGCTTGGTGCGTGGCCTTTGGCCGAAACTGTAACGTCAGGTACCGGACAGAAATGGAGGAAATGTTCACCTTTATTGAGGATATCACGAAACGTCTCAGTCGACCAATCAAAGACCTCGACGACATTCGGCATGCCATGGCCGCACTGAAGGAGATCCGAGATAGGGAGATTATGATTGACATGTCCATTGGACCCATCGAGGTTAGTGCAATTGGTTCCTAAATCCGTGATGTATCACAAAAAACTTCAACGACTTAGTCGAGCCACAGAGAAACTTTCGAATGAGATTCGTTAGTGATCCTAGACTGCTTTAGTTTTGCTTTGCCTCGCTCTGTTATAGGTCAAGAAAACTTGGTAGGTCATCCGGCCTGTCAACCAATCAGACGCAAAACAAGCACAAAACGCGACTTTCTCACTCACTTTATCCCGAATTTATAGCAGCTCACTTGTATTTTACGTTGAGTTCTCATTCGCTTCTTGTAGTACGTGCCTTTTTGTTTCTGCTTTGCGACAATGATTTCAAACAGTGCGCATGAAAGGTCCAGACCGCTAGAAAACGTATGGAAACAAGACACATCTGATTGGTGAACCAAAATGTTTAAAAAGTTCATTTTCGACGCCAATCGTAAAACGCAAGTTAGCACCACGAAAGGTCTAATTACTGAAAATAGTTCTATCAGGTTGGATGGGCACAAGAAAATATAGAACTTTATAAGGTGCGGGTAAACGACTTCTCGAATTCATTTTTCTTTGAACTCATTTTGTTTTCAGGAATCGTATGCGATGTTGAATCGTTACGAGTTATTGGTCGCCAAAGAGGAGTCAGAAAGGGTTGACACGCTTCGCTACTCGTGGCAGAAACTTCAGTCTCTAGCGGTAAATATATATTTTAGAATTTTTTGTCTTGGTAATGCATTACACGTGATATTTTAAAATCTAGAGTGTCTTTTTTTCTTTTTTTTCTCCAATTTGTACAACAGCTCCAGTATCAGTTATAATTAAAACTTTTTGGTTTAACATGGAAGTTGGGAGGAAAAATTGAGCGGGCTAGATGAGACTTAAGTGTCTTAAGGGGTAATTATAATGATTAATCGCCCGAAACATTTATTGAAGCACGACCAACTTAAGAAATGGATTGAGCACGAAGGTTTGTCAACAAAGCTTCTCAGAAATGCGATGTCTTCTTGTGCTTCCGTTCCATGACACCTGCTTCCAGAGTAGCTCAAATGTCATTGTTGTGTTTGGGTTGCAATAACGATGCAGATATCCTAAGTGAATTTGGGAACTCGAGCTTATACAGCATGTTTTCTCTGCTAAAGTCGTCAAACAAAAATTCAATTTAACCTCAACGTTTGCTGTTATTCTGTGCAGACGGAGTCTCAAGGACAGCTCATTCAAATTCAGCCTAACTTCAAGGGAGACCTTATCGACAAAGTGCAGGTTTTCATCGTGGATGTCTCTTCATTTTCATCAGATTACCATTCGGTAAGAGGTCGACTTCATTCGCCCTGTCATTTGCATGTGCATGTATTCGCCCTGTCATTTGCATGTGCATTTGCGTCGCATATGACTTGTTATTATTATTCTTTTGCCAGAGTCGGCGTAGATGATTACCTGAAGGCGCTCGTCATAAAGTTTGAAATGCCTGGGTCCAAGTCATATACACTGCCTTACAATTATAATTTTTTCTTGGTTTTCCTAAGTTCATTTCCGCTGCTGCGATTCTTAACATTGATAGCCAAATGGTTGCCCTTCACCGTTTTAACCAATAATATTGATTCCATTTGTTAACTTTTTCACAGTGTCTCCAAGTACCTCGAAGGTGTGTGATAGGTTGACCCTTCAATCGCGGTTTTTTTTTTACCCTTTTAATTTATGTACTAATTAATATATTTATTTACAACTCCTTTTTTTTTCAGACTGGCCCAATGGTTCCAAATGTCCCTCCACGTGAAGCTAGTGACCGACTGATCATCTTTCAGGTTAGTTCGTATGAAGACTGAAACCGCAGCCAGAATTCCTAGCAGCCTTTTTCGAACTTTATTTTATTGAGTGATCGTATTCGTTATTACAACGTACCTGCCAGGGCCTCGTTGTATAAAAGGCGGATGATGCTATTCAGCGGATAAATGGTTATCCAGCGGATAAGTTTTAAGATAAGCCTAAGATAATTATCCTTCCCTAGTTCAACTACTTGCTAGAAATTTCCCTGAAATTAATTGATGCAGAGGAGAGTAGCTGAGTGATAAGGATATCGTGTTTTACAAATATTGCACGTAAAGAAGGATGAAAAACATAACCCCTTGAGTAGCTGAGTTTTCTCCTTTTCTTCAGGCAGACTGGTCTAAATCTTTCCAAAGTTCCACAGTCTATACAAAGACTGTCCTACTGGAAGGAAAGTAGTCTTTTTGAAATATTTGTTTTTTTTGTCGTCTTCATGCAGAATCGATTTGATGCTCTTTGGCGTAAATACATCACATATTCCGGAGGAGAAGAGCTATTTGGGCTCTCTGTGACAGAATACCCAGACCTGATGCAGATCCGCCGAGAACTGAATCTTTTGCAAAAGCTCTACGGCCTGTATAATGACGTCATTGACACTGTGAATGGATATTATGATATCCTGTGGGTTGACGTCAATATAGAAAAGATCAACATAGAACTACAAGACTTTCAGACACGGTAATGCTTCAGTTAAATAGCTCACTGGAAAGTTTTGCTAACATAATTTTTAGATTACCAGGGAGGGTAGGCTGGTGATTTCAACAAGAGGGAGCGGGCGCTACACAGCGTATAACTGGCATTTAAAGGGATGTCTGGTTGTTTTATCATCACGAGTTACAACTTTTACTTGTCCTAGAGGATCTCAGGCACTAGGACTATTTGCAGGAAATAACTTATTAGCAGTGGGGATTTCAAGTGAGCCTGGATGTTTTTTTTCTTGCTATAAATAAACTACAATAGCAAATCACACCAGAGGGTTTTTTCGAAAACAAGCTGGCCTAGACGAAGGGCCTCAGTGGTGCGCTGAACTCTGAATCGGAAGAACTGAGTTCGAGCCCCGACAGGGGGTTATTATGTCGTGTTCTTAGACAGGACACTTAACTCTCACCCTCACAGTGCCTCTCTCTTAATCAGCGTACTGTCACGGAAAACTGACGAAATGCTGAGGGGTTATCTGCAATGCGGTCGCACCTCATCAAGATGGAAACACCTAGAAGCGCTTGATTGTAACGAAACCGGGATGAGCTGCCATGACATGGCCTGCTTTGCTTGTGCGCAGATTTTACCTTTACCGTGATCTTGAATTCCTGGAAAGCGTTAGTATTCAATGTAAACTCTGAATTTTCCTTTCCACTAGATGCCGTAAGCTCCCTCGGGCCCTGAAAGACTGGCAGGCCTTCCAGGATTTGAAGCAAACGATCGATGACTTCAATGAAAGCTGTCCGCTGCTGGAACTGATGGCGAACAAAGCCATGAAACAGAGGCATTGGGACAGGATAGCTGGACTGACAGGACACACATTTGACATGGAGTCAGAAACATTCTCACTGAGAAACATCATGGAGGCACCTCTGCTGAAGCACAAAGAGGATATTGAGGTGTGCACCCAATGGATTGTGTCATTTTCATTATTGTTTTCTTGATGTCCCCAGAGAGGTTTTTATGGCACAGGCTAAAGATGGCTAAGCAGTCTGAAGCAATGGAAATTTTGTTCCATGAAGTGTCTTGCTATTTAACCTCTGCCGGTCAGATTTTGAACAAGGAGTGGACGTTTAAAATCTTCCAGTGTGAATGGCTCAACAAGAAAACTGTTCAGGGTTGAAAGGGAAATTCACCGCAGCAAGTTTTCTCTTACAAGCAGTTTTAAAAATTCTCTTTTTCTATAAAGTGAACAGTTTTTCCTTGTCAAGGTCTTCTGTGTCTTAACTTAATCGTTTAAAATCGGTCTTCACTCTCTGCAGGATGTTTGCATCGCTGCAGTCAAAGAGAAAGACATAGAAGCCAAGCTTAAGTCAGTTGTTGCTGATTGGAGTACAAGGGAGCTGACTTTCGCAAATTTCAAGAATCGTGGCGAACTGTTGTTGCGGGGCGACAACACATCGGAGATTGTGGCGTTGATGGAGGACAGTCTTATGGTGTTAGGCTCTTTGATGAGTAACAGGTAAGAAAAATTTTTACAGCTTAATGGATGACGTGGGAGACTTGGTGGCCTTGATATTAGCCCGCTGTGTTTAGGATCGAAAAACATGTCAATGTGTCCAGGCTTGGCACTTTGTTCTCTCAGCGCCTCTCTCCATTCAGGAGTGTATATGAATACCGGCTTATTTGTTTGGGAAACCAGACGAAATGCTTAGGGGTAGCCTGTAATAGACGGTTTCGCTAATCAGGAAGCGTAGCAATTACTCCCGGTCGCTTTGAAACCGGAATAAGCTCTGGAAGCTGTTGGGTCGGTTAAATTAAAGCGATAACTTGCGAAATGTGACGGCAAGTTTGGGCCAACAGCTATTACAATTAAAAATGTGTCAGATATGTGCATTAAATGACTCGTATAATTCTAAACACTTAGGTACAACGCTCCCTTCAAAAAGAATATCCAGAGCTGGGTACAGAAGCTTTCCAACACAACGGACATCATAGAGAACTGGCTAACGGTTCAAAACTTGTGGATTTATCTCGAGGCTGTTTTTGTTGGTGGAGATATTGCAAAACAGCTACCGAAGGTTTGTCTCCGTCTAGACAAGATGCTTTTCCAAGCTGCTCTCAATATTAGTCTATATAAACATATTTTTTTGGGTTTATTTTTTCTTTTAGGAAGCCAAGAGGTTTCAGAACATCGACAAACAGTGGGTGAAGATTATGACTCGCGCACATGAGAATGCCAATGTAGTGCAATGTTGTGTGGGGGACGAGACCCTGGGGCAGCTGTTGCCACATCTGCTGGAACAACTAGAACTTTGTCAGAAGTCGCTTAGTGGGTAGGTTGCGATTCTCTACCTTATTGTCTTTCTTCTCAGTTGCAATGACGTTGTCTTCGCGTTATTGCGGAAAAACACAACTACATGATCGATATATGAATTTTATGTTTCCTTATAAACAATTTTTTGTGTTACTTTTTAGGTACTTGGAGAAGAAGCGTCTGGTCTTTCCAAGGTTTTTCTTCGTTTCTGATCCGGTCCTGTTGGAAATCCTTGGCCAAGCAAGTGATTCTCATACTATTCAGGTAAACATAATTTCTGAACAATAGAATATGTGGCTTCAACTGTAGTGCTAGTCTATGTTTGCTACATTTGGTACGCTTTTCACCGCTGAGGCCACTTTTACGATATCCAAAGCCCTTGTTTAAAAAGAGGGTTTCATGAGAAAATTTAGAATTTGATCTCATTTTGAAATTAGGGACTTTTGGAATTTTGAAATTGCCTGTAAGTATTGATTTAGAGATACTATATCTACAACATAAGCCAATTTACTTTTTGACGATTCCAAACAGTTTTGTGTATAGAAGTCGTTAAGTATTGTTACTGTGTTTCCGTTTCTAGGCTCACTTATTAAACGTGTTCGATAACACCAAGAATGTTAAGTTCCATGAGAAGGATTATGATCGTATTCTGGCTGTTATCTCCTCCGAGGGAGAAACAATCGAGGTAAGAAATACATAATCAAAACTTTCGAGTAATGTTATCACAGTATAATTTTTACTGATCATGCAATCTTCGAGAAACTGCCTCCAGTTTAGTAGGTAAAAGCAGTTGTTAGAGATCGTTTCGATTGAGTGTCGTAATTTTTAAATCCATTTAAATCCCAGAGAACAAACGACAAGCAATGTAAAGAAAAATATGCAAATATTTTCGACGCTCAATTAGAAATTGGTAAAAATTCAGTGACAATAAAAGCTTTTTCGACTCCTAATTGAAATTTCTTTGTTGATGTTGTAGCTTGAGAAACCTGTTATGGCTCAAGGTAATGTTGAAGTTTGGCTGGGCACCCTGCTAGAAATGTCGCGCAAGTCAGTTCATCACGTGATCCGGACTGCGCACACCGCTGTACAAGATCAAGGTTTCAATCTTCTGGAGTTTCTCAATACGTTCCCAGCTCAGGTGCATTTGCTTTCCTCTTACTATTCTATATAATGAACTTGACCGATGATGGGAGTATGCCTATTGAATTATGATTATCCGGACAATATAGAGGAAAGAACAACTTGGGGTAAAGGATCGAAAATCTAGCGCAACACAAAACTGAGGAGGAAAACGAGGAAAAACGACTTACTAAATGGTGTTCGTATTTCTGGTGGCTGAAATTTCACTTGAGTAATGAGGAGTTTAAGCTTAGAGTTTCATTTCCAGATATGAAGTGGCATACCCGATAAGAACTTTGAAAACCATGCATACACTGTACTTTCCGATCTTATTGCGGGCTATTTAGGAGGATATTTCTCGACTATAACCCGTTCATTGCTGTAGGGAAAATGATGTCTCCTTTCCTCTCTTTTCTATTCAATTCAATCGCCAGAATTGTATTTTTGACCATAAAAAATAACAAAAAAAAATGCCTATTGCTTTTTTGATCTGTCATCCACACTTCTTTCATCAGTCTGTTCATCTGTCAGTCCACCCGTCCTGTCCACATGTCAAGACATTATGATTTATTTTTCTTACCAGTACAATCGACTGAGCTATGTGGCCTTTTTTCCATAGGTCGGCTTGCTAGGAATTCAAATGATATGGACCCGAGACTCAACCGAGGCTTTGACAAACGCTAAGTACGACAAGAAGGTGATGCAGCAAACCAACACTGCATTCTTAGAACTGTTGAACGTGCTCATCGAGCAGACCACCAAAGAACTCACCAAAGTAGTCAGGACAAAGTTCGAGACATTGATTACCATTCATGTTCATCAGAGGGACATCTTCGATGATTTGGTGAGTGAATTGAAGACCTCAAGAATGAGTGGATTTATGAGACTTTTTTGATGCATTAAAATGTCCCCAATGAAAGATAAAAAAAATGATACTGTAACCGAGCGCTCTTTTCTTACAGTAGTTTTTTCCCGCTACTGAAGATAGGCGAGAATTAGCAGTTATTGAGTGAGTTTGAGCATGGTATCATGAATTATCAATGCCGAGGTCTCAGTTGTCTGCCGAAGCCGAAGGCTGAGGCAGATAACACAAACACGAAGTTTGATAATTTATGATATCATGCCATCAAGAATTGATATCATGATATCATGCCATCAAGAATTGATATCATGATATCATGATATCAAGAATTGTCTTATTATACGTTTTTTAAACAATCTGCAAAAGACGACACTTCTCTCTGAGTTGGTAAAAGTTTGAGAATACTACACGGACAAGGGGCTTGGAAACTAGGCAGAATTTGACCTCGACATGATAACCCAATCCTTGCCACGGAGATTGGATTATCATGCCAACTTCACTCGCTATTGCTCTCAACCAATCAGAGTTTTCATAGTAAGTCTAATGTAAAATAGTCTGACTTATTCGTAAAAATGGCTATCAAACAGACAAATACTTCTATGTTTGAAGTGCTTTCCCCATAGATCTTTGCTGCTCTAAGCAAATTCCACTTATCGACAACCGAAAAACCTTCAAAGAGAACTCAGATTGAGACGTCGCAAGTGGAGAGAGGGGCTTGGGGGAAGGCCACCGCATTCAACACTATTGTTTCTTGTTCTTTTTTACAGTGTCGTATGCACATTAAGTCTCCAACAGACTTTGAATGGCTGAAACAAATTCGCTTTTACTTCAACGAAGATACGGATAAATGTTTAGTCTCCATCACTGATGTAGACTTCATGTACCAGAACGAATTTCTCGGCTGCACAGAAAGACTTGTCATTACACCACTGACTGATCGCTGTTATATTACCTTGGCTCAAGCTCTTGCTATGTCAATGGGTGGTGCGCCGGCTGGACCGGCTGGAACTGGAAAAACAGGTTTGATATTACCATATTGAAAATAAATTGGTGTCCTTGACTTGACTTACATGAGTGTGTTTACACACCTTGCCTCCCGGCAAGTGAGGCCGAGCAAGTCAAAGAAACAAGTAATCCAAATGAAAAAAAAAAATTTTTAATCCTAAATTGAAAAAGGCAAACCAGTTGAGTATTTACAAGTGAGTCTTTGGACTCAGGTCGCACGTCCAACACTAAAACTACTCAGCTACCCTGCATCTGTAATATGATGTAAATTTTAGATTTGGTCTGCTGTGTTCATGGACAGAAGTCGATGCGGTGATTAACAGTCCTAGAGTAATATTAACTTGCAATTTACAACGTCTAATGTTTACCTAATTTACCTCTCGCGTAGAAACCACCAAAGACATGGGAAAAGCTCTCGGAAAGTACGTGGTTGTATTCAATTGCTCGGATCAGATGGATTACAGAGGTCTGGGGAGAATTTTTAAAGGTAAGGATACATTAGATATGAAACGTTTTTAGTGTTTCTGTTAAGTGAATCATGGCTGGGACAATCAAGAATTTTCGTTGATGATCAAAGGTTTGTCATTACCTACTATACCTTTTCATGCAACTCAGACGAAAAAGAGTAGTCTTTTCTCTATATTTAATGTTAACAGTCAAAAACAAGCATATTGTTTAATTATGATAAGTGTAATCCCTTAACTAACACGGAAAAATCCTCACGTAATGCTGGATGAGTCGGGTTATGAGAACAGAAACCATTCCGGGTTCAGGCTGCTTTCTCGATGTAACACCAAGTTCTCCTAACTTATCTTCAAAGAATGTATAACACTGCGAGGAGATAATTTCTCATCAGATCTAGGGATGCAAGTTGTTAAAAAACAGCTAAATTTCTGTGGTTTGTTTCAGGACTGGCCCAGTCAGGCAGCTGGGGCTGTTTCGATGAGTTCAACCGTATTGACCTCCCAGTGTTATCAGTGGCTGCACAACAGATCTACATCGTACTTATGTGCAAGAAAGAGAGAAAGAAGCAGTTCATATTCTCTGATGGCGATGTGGTCGATATGAACCCAGAATTCGGTAATTTGACTCGATGATTTTCGCTCCATTCTTACAGATGGGTGCACATCTCCACTTTTAGAGGTATTATGAAAAATCGTGTGATGTGTTTGATCGACTAACGTATTTGTCATTAATTTTCAGGAATTTTCTTGACTATGAACCCTGGTTACGCTGGGAGGCAGGAACTCCCTGAGAACCTGAAAATCCAATTCCGCACAGTGGCTATGATGGTGCCGGACCGACAGATCATCATTCGTGTAAAGCTCGCCAGCTGTGGTTTTATCGACAATGTAACTCTGGCCAGGAAATTTTTCACTTTGTACAAACTGTGCGAAGAGCAACTCTCTAAACAGGTTAGTAACTTGAAAAAAAAACTTTTAAATTGAATATTTCCAACGATTTTTGTTGTATTTTGTTTGTTGTATATGACGTAAAACTAAAACAACTTTCATCCTCACCACATTTATAGTAGCAAGTTTTCCTTATTATCATCATCATCATTATCATTTTTACAAAAAGCACGATAATCTTACAGCAGTAATTTTTAGGGTCTTGTCTATGATCATTTCAAACTGAAGTGGCTATAAAATACATGGAATTTACAAGACCTTTCCCCATAGGTGATGTTTCTGAACACTGTATATAGAAATGGAATTATATGACATCTTTTTACTTGGCTTGTGCCCTTGTCAGAAAAAGTGCCCCTGTCTGGAAAAGTGCCCTTGTCAAGAAAAGTACTCTTGTCAGGAAAAGCACCCTTATCAGAATAGTGCCCTTGGCAGGAAAGAAAACCCACTGGTGTGAATGCGGCCTAAATGTCTATGATGGTGTCTTTCACTCAGTGCAATACCGTATTTTGTTCCAGGTTCATTATGACTTTGGCTTGAGGAACATTTTGTCTGTTTTGAGAACCCTTGGCGCAGCTAAGCGGTTGAGTGTTGGAGACAGCGAGAACACAATTGTGATGAGAGTACTGAGGGATATGAACCTTTCGAAACTAGTAAGTTTTTAATGGCTGTAGTCGGGTCGTTAAATGTGACGTAAGCCTTTCCTACAATCTCTGAAAAAACGTTGGAATACGGTTCTCAAGTTGGAGCCATCACTCTCCTTCCTCTTTACAATGGTGATTTGTAATGTCAAAATGAATTCTTTTGTATTTTAGCTTTTGTTTTTCCAATATTCTAGTGAGGAGAAAGCGGATTCTTTCATGATTAGTTCTCAGTACCTTAGTTGATAGTACATCCCAACACGAGATCTTGTCACAAATATGTATTCAAAAATATTTATTCCTTCTTTGTAGTTTCTGATTTTTTTGTATTTTTGCTTGTTTGTTTCATGAAGAAATTGTCCTCCTTGAAAGAGATTTTTGACACCCGTCGTATAAGTAAGATAAAAAATTTAACTTTTTTTGCGCCGAACGAAATTACTTTTACAACGAAAAGGACCATAAAATGTTGGCTCCGAATGGAAGATAAACCAAAAAGGAAAAGAATGGGAAAGATTCAAAATAAATAAAAGTAAGGTACACTGAATAAAGCTTTAATTTGTAAAATTCCTTAACCGGCGTATCTTAGTGCAATTGAAACTGTTTTTTTCTTCAACTTAATGTGATCTCTTTTCTTTCCAGATCGACGAAGACGAGCCTCTCTTCCTTAGTCTTATCAACGATCTCTTCCCTGGCATTGTGTTAGACAAAGCTGGTTACCCAGAGTTAGAACAAGCCATTGCAAATCAAGTGGAAGAGGCTGGACTCATCAACCATCCATCTTGGAGACTCAAACTTATCCAGGTAGGAATTTTTCTTAAACGCGTGAGGTAGTGTCGATTGGCACGCCTTTAACATGTATAGACGTGAGAAAATTGACAAACTCGCCCTTTCCAAACAGCTTGCATCACTAAAAAAGCTTTCCTGGTAGAAATTTGGAAGAGGTAAAGAAAAGCAAAGCACAGCAAGCTGAACGCGGAAAGGACACTTTAATTGCTTTTATTTTTAATCCTTTAATTTGGGAATTTTGCGATGAACCAGTTTTTTTACCAGTTTTTTTTTTACCAGTGGACCGTTTTCAGGCACAGCGAACGTGGAAAACAACTGTCTTGAACAGATGAATGAGAAAATTGACATGTTGTTGATATCTCTTGCAGTTATTTGAGACCCAGCGGGTGCGCCACGGAATGATGGTTCTGGGACCAAGTGGAGCTGGGAAAACTGCGTGTATCCACGTGTTGATGAAAGCGATGACTGACACTGGCACGCCCCACAGGGAAATGAGAATGAACCCCAAGGCTATTACAGCTCCTCAGATGTTTGGGCGGCTAGATGTTGCCACAAATGACTGGACAGATGGAATATTCTCTACCTTATGGAGAAAGACTCTTCGTGCTAAGAAAGGTGTCTGTGAGCTGTCAAAAGAATTAACCAGTTATCCCTAGTTTTTAGCTGTGAAGTTCTTAGTTGAAAATTGGGACACTCATTCCCAATAGGGTCACAGTAAGATTTCCCTTTCTATAAGATTAATCATGCTCCAAAAAGTTAATGTCAATGTGCTCATGCCGATAGTTCATAGCCGAAATTCATTTGATGCTTTGAAAATGGTGAGTGGATCTTAGCCATGAATTCCTAAAGTGATACATTGCCTAGAGAAGCCTAAAAACTGAACAAGTCAAATTTTTCGTAACATGTTTTTATTGCAATTCACACTTTTAAACTGCGAAGATCATTCCGTCCCTTAATTTTTGTCACTTTTTTTGTTAGACTAGAAAGCAGAAAGTTGCGTTTGAGCTTGTCAACCTCAATGTCCAGCTCATCATAAAGAATTCCATTAGGAAATCCTTTTGCCACGTGTTAACCCAAACCTTTTGTTATGTTCACGCCAGGCGAGCGAATCTGGATCGTGTTAGACGGACCAGTAGATGCCATCTGGATTGAAAACCTAAACAGTGTACTGGACGATAACAAGACCTTGACTCTGGCAAATGGCGATCGCATTCCCATGTCACCTCAGTGCAAGATTATTTTTGAGCCTCACAATATCGACAACGCATCACCAGCTACTGTGTCACGTAACGGTATGGTGTACATGAGCTCATCTGGGTTGGACTGGAGACCTTTGCTTCAGGTGAGGATTATGTGACCAAACATTTGCCAGTAGGTCGACATTTGATAGGATTGCGTGACGGGTCACTTGCCTATAATAGGTCACATAACGAAGTGGTAGAAGTTAAGGGGTTTCAGTCGTGCCAGTTGTGACTTTTAAGTATCATTTTAGATTTTTAATTTTCATTTTTTTATGTTCTTGTTTGGTTTCTATTGCAAAGGCATGGCTTAACAAACGACCAGAACAAGAGGCGGAGGTCTTAAAGGGGTTGTTTGACAAATCATTTGACGAGATCTTGCGCCATGTGCAAGAAAATTGCGTCTTCAAGATGGATATTTTGGAGCACAATTACATTGTACAGGTGAGTGAACTCTTTACAAACACCAAATCTTGTTCAAGAACAGTTCGTACTTAACGTAAACTACAAGCTGAAATTTAGCAAAGCGCCGTAGCCCATGATAAAGTGAGTGGATGCGATTGAAAAACTTTCTGTTGAACATTGCACTTCTTTCCTTCTCTTCATGTACATGTGCTTACGATGGCATTCATATACAATTTCATTTTAGGCACTTCGAACCAAGCATAAGAAAAACAATCGCTCTGACTAAGGGCTAACGCTCGAAACGTCAGCCTTAAAATCTTTACGGTGGCCAATTTAAGTTTTCAATTCAGTTGTTAACACTAAATTACCTGCTATACGCTCGCACCGACGCAGCACCACAGTTTCTTTAGAAACTTACCCCCTTTATTCATAAGAAAAACACCTAATTCTGTCCCACGTACCTTGCGACATTCAGATGAAAATTGCTTCCTACACTTTCGATTCCCTTATCATTATTTGTTGCTTTTGATTGAATACTAGGCCATTACCCTACTCGAGGGGCTTATTCCCCGGAAAGAGGATGGTTCGAATGTGTCCGCATCTCATCTGGAGCGGCTGTACATCTTCTGTGTCATGTGGAGTGTGGGAGCTCTGTTGGAGCTTGACGATCGCGCGAAGATGGAGGAATTCGCCCGAACAAACTTTGAACTTGACTTACCTCCTATTGCCGAAGGATCACAGGACACCATTTTTGAGTTTCTTGTGAGCGAAGGAGGTAACTGATTCATACCAAATTCGGATTTTACATCAAGAAGAAGCTGGAGAGGTTTTTCAGTACCATATTACTTAAACACTTGTTTTCCAATCGAGACAAACGAGCCAACAGAACAAAACAAACAAACAAACAAGCAAAAAAACAAGAAACAAACAAAACCAAAATGATGACCTACGTCTTTCCAGGTACTACAGACGATCTGAATGCGTTGTTGTGGTTAGGTACTGTTTATCACTGAAATGAGTCAATGTGTCTCTTTCCACCATGGGATTCATTTCAATCGAATACCACATAAAATGCAAAACACTCGCGGTGGAGTTGAGGTTTTATCAATTGGTCATACCTACTCGTTCGAAACTTTTCTAAAAATTTTCCCTAGGTGAGTGGGAACACTGGAATACACGAGTGGAGGAGTACATTTATCCAAAGGATCATAGCCCTGATTTCCTGTCTATTCTTGTTCCAAACGTGGATAATGTGCGTACTGATTACCTCATTCAGGTGGTGTCCAACCAGGGAAAGGTTTGTACTTTTCTTATCTGTTTCTGTTTGTCCGTTTTTCCTTTTGTTTTATACTGTTTTGTTTTGGTTTTTGATATGTTCTTCCTTTTGCACATGTTAACATTTACATTGAAGATAAGTTCCCGGCAGTATATTTTGCTCAATTTTTTGGCACGTAGTTGGTGATAAGTGTTGTGAATCGATTTTCACTTAGCTTGGCGATGAAGTTTCGAAGTTAAATTATTAGCTTCTCTTTGCATCTTCTAGGCGGCTCTGTTAATTGGAGAGCAAGGTACAGCTAAGACAGTCATGATCAAAGGCAACATGGGTAAATATGATCCTGAGAGACATTTAAGCAAGAGCTTTAACTTCTCTTCGGCCTCCACTCCCTTGATGTTCCAAAGAACAATCGAGAGCTACGTGGACAAGCGAATGGGAAACACATATGGACCACCAGCTGGCAAGAAGATGACTGTGTTCATTGACGATGTTAACATGCCGATTATCAACGAATGGGGTGATCAGGTTTGTATATATTTCCAAACGTATTTCCTCTATGATTGTTATCTCGTTGAGCGATCATAAATTACGAATCCCCTCAATGCAGAAAAACGAATATGACATGAAGCTCTCAGTTTTTGCTTGGCGCTGATGAAGTTTTTACTTTCGTTTGTTATATGTGTCGTTCTTTCGACGTTCCAAGGTGGATGAGTAGAATTGTTGGCAAAGCGGGCCCTACCTTGTCAACGAGTTCTCTGTAGCTCAGCTGTTTATCTTAGAAGAAATCTATGATCGCGAGTGTTTTATTGGTGCCTCTTCAGAGGCGGATCTAGGGGAGGGGCCCGGGAGGCCCGCCCCCCTCCCTCCCCCCGTTATTTTGGGTATAAAAAGAAAGAATCACAGATGGTAGAAAAGCCGGCAGGGCAAGCGACAAAAAACAGGGTTCCCCCCCTAGCTCAAGGTCCGGATCCACCACTGCTCTTGCTTCTTCTGTGGCATTAGAACCAAGCATTTGGTGTTCAGATAGGCAACCTAACGTTACATTTATTTTTCCCGATTCCATATTTCCTTTGCTACTCACAGCCGTTGTTGCAATTCCTCAGGTAACAAATGAAATAGTTCGTCAAGTGATGGAGACCAAAGGTTTCTATAACCTGGAGAAGCCCGGTGACTTCACAAACTTGGCGGACATTCAGTTCCTGGCTGCCATGATTCATCCAGGAGGAGGGCGAAATGACATCCCACAAAGACTCAAGAGGCAGTTCAGTGTGTTCAATTGTACTCTGCCGAGTAACAGCTCAATCGATAAGATATTTGGTATGGAATTCAACTTGTTTTTCGTCTAGTTTTATTTGGTTTGCTTCTGTTGCTTACAGTGATCGATTGAGGCCACATTTTTACTTCTCTATTTCACCGTCGTAACTAGGTATCGAGTCAGAAACTCTGATCTACGCTAAAGGATAAAAATCTTTGTCAAATTTCCAAGAAATTATTTGAAACCACGCAAAAAATCAATTTAAAAATTGCGTTACCTGTAACGGAGAGCGCTCCCAAATCTCTCATTTTGTGAAATCATCCGCACGAACCTGACTTTCTTCGAATTTTGTTCCTATTGAATGTTTCCTTTTTATCAAGGTGTAATTGGATCCGGACATTTTTGTTCCGAGCGTGGTTTTCCAAGTATCGTGCAAGAATTAGCGAGGAACCTCGTGCCTTGCACTCGTAGGCTATGGCAACTTACCAAGGTATTGACGTTGCTTCTTTTATTATTTTATTCCGTGGTGGGTTCTCTCCAGTCTTCAAGCTCTATCTGGTTTAATTTTAATTATCTTGTCTTACTTAACACGGATATAACTCCGTTTTTAACAGTCATGCAATAAGCCCCTTCATACCACAGCAGGTGTCCTCGTCCCCTTTTAAGTAACCTTGTCTTTTATTTCAACGTTAGATTAAAATGCTTCCTACGCCAGCCAAGTTTCATTACATCTTTAACTTGCGAGACTTGTCCAGGATTTGGCAAGGCATCCTTTACTGCGTCTCCGAAGTAGTATCGACCCAGGAGGCCTTAATGGCCTTATGGAAGCACGAATGCATCCGAGTAATTTCCGACCGTTTCACAAATCAGCCTGACAAAGACTGGTTTGAGAAGACGATGAAACGAGTCATCGGCGAAGAATTGGGAGAAGACATGCAAGCCATGACTGAAAACATGCCGTATCTTGTGGACTTTTTAAGGTTTATTCCTCAGTTGTGTTTTATGGATTAGCACTTCCCTTGTCGAATTGCCACTTCATTTTCTTTTCTACTAAAAATTTTCATTTGGAAACTTAATGACAAGATTTCTCTAGTGAAGTCGTTAAGTTGTGGAGGGGGGTGGGGAGGGGAGGGGAGGGGAGGGGAGAATAGTACCTCACTGTAAGAACATAAAGTGTAAAGACAGAAGACAGCGAAGAAACTATTTCAATAGAGCCTCAACAACACCCTTCCCGTGTAGTTTGCTTTATTTCATGGATTGATTGCATTAGACACTATATCGTAGTCACAAGTTGTTTCCACTGTTTTGTTATTTAAAAAATCATTTTTAAATTTTACTCATTAATTGAAATTACATAGGGATGCACCAGAAGCCACAGGAGACGAACCTGAGGACGCCGATTTTGAAACTCCAAAGGTCTATGAACTGGTAAACACATAATTCCTTTAAGCTGTATTTCCGTTGCTGTTGCAAACCTTTTTTTGGGTAGGGTTTATTGTAAATGATACTGGCAGAGGATATTCCAAACTTTTGTTTCCATTGAATTGTGGTGTGTGTTATTTTTGTTTTGAATTTTTCTCATTGCTTTTATCTATTTTTGTGAAGATCCCATCGTTTGAAGGTCTTGAAGAAAGACTACAGTTTTACCTGGAGCAGTACAATGAGAGCATTAGAGGAGCAGGAATGGACTTGGTGTTCTTCAGAGACGCCATGATTCATCTCATGCGGGTTTGTAACGATCCTTGATTTTAAAGGCTCTTGGAAGAACACCAAGTTAATCAATTTATAGGAGTTTGTCCATCAGTTTATCTTTACCATCTCGAAAACATAGCTCACAGTTTTTAAAGTTTTCAGAGTTGCAATTCGTGTTAATCCTAACCATCCTAGTCCTACCTTAATCCTCTAAATCCTTACATCAGTATGCATATGTGCATAGAAGAACATCCAAAACTCCTTTGATACTTTTTTTTATTCCCTATAAGGTGTCCCGTATTATTCGTACCCCGCGAGGAAACGCCCTTCTTGTGGGTGTTGGAGGTTCAGGGAAACAAAGCTTGACTCGTTTGGCGTCATTCATCGCCGGTTACAAGACATTCCAGATTACTCTAACCAGGTAATGTTGAATTTTTTGAATTGTATCTTTAAGTAAGCCATAAAGTCATGTCTCTCTTTGCGTTATGCAATTTTACTCGGTAAGTTGATGATTGAGTTGGTAAACCTGATAATTACGCATTCCGTGTTTCCGTCATGCATTCATTAATACATCATCAGTATTCTATTCTCCCTAAGCAGGCAATATGCAATGAGTGTATCCGTGGTATGTTTAGTTTACCAGTTATTGTTTTGTGTAAGTCAGTCCAACTTAAATGTCAGTCGGTCGGTGTCCACATAGGATGACATTGAAATAAACAAAACGTCACTGACTGGTCCATCAATGCAGTTATTTCCAAACACATGCACTGGACTCTGGGAAAGAAGTCGGATTCAAATCCTGGCCGGCTCATTGTGTTCTCGAGGAAAACACTTTACTTTCACAGTGCCACTCTCCACCCAGGAGTATAAATGGGTACAGGTGCTATAGAAGATTGATAAAATGCTGGGAGGTTTACCTTGCGTTTCACTAGCATCCCATCCAGGGGGAAGTAGTAACACTCCCAGTTGCTTTATGCTACATGGAAACCGGGATAAGCTCGGGAGGTTGGGCTGCTTGGCTCGAGTACAGACTTTACCCTGATCTTTTCCCAATATTTTTCAGGTCTTACAGTTCCACCAATCTAATGGAGGACTTAAAGTATCTGTACAGAGTGGCAGGAATGCAGGGCCAAGGGATAACCTTCATCTTCACTGACCAGGAAATCAAGGAAGAGGGCTTCCTCGAGTACCTCAATAACTTATTGTCCTCAGGAGAAATCTCAAATCTGTTCGCTCGTGATGAGATTGACGAAATCTGCAGCGAGCTGATTCCTGTGATGAAGAAAGAGTTTCCAAGACGACCACCCACCGGAGAAAATCTGTACGACTATTTTTTGACGCGTGCGAAGCATAATCTACATGTGGTACTGTGCTTTTCACCGGTAAGCGTTTTTTGCGTTCCGTCTGGTCTTTGGGCGTTTTTCTATTGGACTTCGTTAAAAAATCAGAATAGCCAATCAGAACAAAGGAAAATACAACAGGAAACTAATCAAAGCGTGACATAAATATGTGTGATTGGCCGAACGCTGGAGAAAGCGCAAGTGACTAGATGGCAAATGGTTTCGTATGGCACTAACTTTATTAGCGGAGGGAGTAAGATGGGTTTTCCAAGCATAACCCACTTTAATTCTCTAATGCTTGCGAGGCTCGAATGAAAATAACAAAACTAAAAAGACACTGACGGAAAAACCATTAATCTTAATTTGGTTGTGGTGTTATTTTATTCTTCATAGGTCGGGGAGAAATTCCGAAACAGATCCCTGAAATTTCCAGGTCTTATCAGTGGCTGCACAATGGACTGGTTTAGCCGCTGGCCTAAAGATGCGTTGATTGCTGTGGCACACCATTTCCTATCAAACTTTGAAATTGTGTGTGCGGAGGAGGTCAAAAAGCAAGTGGTGCAGGCCATGGGAATATTCCATGACGGTGTCGCCATAAGCTGCACAGATTACTTCCAAAGGTTAGAGTGCTAAATCTGATCAACAGTATATATGTGAACATGACGACGAGGTAGAAAATAATGTAAGCAAAACGTGGCACTTCCGCAGCTAGGGAGTTAAGTGGTGCGAATTGTATTTACCTTTATACGCCTTAAGCTTCGGCTAGCGGCGTTTTCTATGATAATATGGAGTTACATCACGGCTCTTTAATCTTGACAGATTTATACTCCTATCACGCCAAAGCACAAACATGTTTAAAAGCTACTTTGTTAAACACGGTTGAAATATATTTCTTTATAAAAGCTGCTTAAAGCGATGATTTTCGACTTCAAATTTATCACCTTGAGAATAAAATTTAGTGACAACTTGAAACCTATGGAAAAGTCAGTTTTGCTATCTCTCTTTCTGATTTTCAATCAGTAAAACCCGGTTTTACTAAACATGTTTTGTTGGTGTAAATGAGGTATTTTATTTGTCTGTAATTCTCAAATAGTTGTTTGGAATCTGTATCGATCTTTTGCATGCAGAATCTTCCAGTTTCTTTCATGGTTTGCTCTTACCATTTCCTGCTAAACTGTGAATTTCGTGGTGCCTCTTATAGTACGCATAAAACGACTTAAATTACTCTACTATAACTTCTTTGATATTGATAACTAAACCTTTGTTGTTTTCTTGTTTTTTTTGTTTTGGTTTTGTTTTTTGTTTTTTTTTCACAAATACTTACGTTTGTTTCTTTTTTGTAGATACCGTCGAGCGACACACGTCACTCCAAAATCGTATCTCTCTTTCATAAACGGGTACAAGACGATATACAGCGAGAAACGAGAGGAGATAGGCGAGTTGGCAAGAAGGATGAATACAGGCTTAGCTAAACTCATGGAAGCTAGTGAATCAGTAGCGCAGCTGTCCAAAGAGTTGGCTGTGAAAGAAAAAGAACTCGCTGTGGCGTCCGAGAAGGCCGACTTGGTAAGGTCGTTTGTTTTGAGAGTATTTGCTCTTGTCATGAAGAGATTCAGCTGATGTAGTAGGCTTAGTCCGCTGATGTCCATGAGTTCGGATTCTGATACAAAACTTTCAAGTTTCCACTGATGTCCCTGGGAGTTTAGGAGCGGATATGCTTGATTCATTTAAATGACGAAGCCCTTGGATTTTCAGTACACGTCAATTTATGTAGTTTATATGATTCTTTTATCGTGCAGGAGTTTTGAGAGCTTGCGTTATTGTGCAGATGACGATGTGTCACTTTGTTTGGACAGACGAGCTGAGATGATTTAAGCGCAAGAATACAATTACTCACGACTTCATCTCTCTATGCCTGCTAGGTGTTGAAAGAGGTTACAGTCAAAGCACAAGCAGCTGAAAAAGTTAAAGCTCAAGTCCAGAAAGTCAAAGACAAAGCACAAGCTATTGTCGACGACATCGCTGTAAGATGAGAGGTTTTTAAAAATCTTGAATGAAAGGAATGATAATCTTTGTTACTTTGACCATTATCTATCGCTCTTTCCAAATGTTTAAAAGCTTCTTATTTGGAATTTAAAATTGACCATCTTTCCTAACCAATATTTATCTCCTGACAGAATGCGTTGGACTCTGCTTACCTAAGCAAGATACAGGACTGTCTTTCACACATAATGATAATAAATAAGCGTAGCACTGTAGGTTAACTGGCTGGTGCTCAAGTTCCGTGGGCTCATACTTTTTTTTTCCCACAAACAAAATTTTTAGGACTTTTCCTTGCTATCATGATTTATTATCTTGCATTACCTGAATGAAGTATTGCACTCTCGGAGCTGAAGATAATACTTACTTGTATAACTTTCTATCGTTTATATTTTCTCAGGCTGACAAAGCAGTTGCTGAAGAAAAACTGGAAGCTGCTAGACCAGCGCTGGAAGAGGCAGAGGCTGCCTTACAGGTGAGTGAGCTTGTTGATTTTTTTTTTTTTTTTTTATCAGTTCACGAGTGTGCTTAACTGCCTCCCTTACATTATTCACCAGACCATCAAAGCCAGCCATATCGCCACGGTCCGGAAGCTTCCTAAACCGCCCCATTTGATCATGCGCATTATGGACTGCGTTTTGATCTTGTTTCGAAAGAGGATTGATCCAGTGGCGTTTGATGCTGAGAGGAACTGTGTGAAGCCATCATGGGCCGAGTCATTGAAGGTAATGATGAAAGGCTTTTATGTGGATACGAATCAGGCTCTTTTGCCTTAAAGCTTAGGGAAAATGTGAGGGTCCTAAGACACTGGAAAATACTCGAGTTTTATTTGACCTGCAGAAGAGTTATAATTGCAACGAGTTGTGCGTTGGGTAAGTTGCAGACTTTAGTTTTGTTTTGGCGATTGGAATTACACCGCCACTTAGGTTTATTTGAAGGACATAATCTATTGTCAGGTGTGAAAAAGGTGATTTCTGTGAACTCTGAATCGATCACCTTTAATAAAGTAGTACTCTGCTTGTTAGTCACACTTTCGTGTACCAGGGGTGTCACATGAATTTCTTTTGTTTATTTTAAATCACTCTGTAACTTCGTGATCACGATAAAATTTAGCGTGTTTGTTTTTTAAAAAGGGAATCTTTCTTTCCTTTCTTAGAATACTGTCCTACGAGGACACGAATGCTCATAAAATGTTTCTTTCTTTCAGACAATGAGTCAGTCAAACTTCCTGCAGTCGCTACAAGCGTTTCCGAAAGACACAATCAACGACGAAATGGTCGAACTCTTAGCTCCTTATTTGGAAATGGAAGATTATAATATGGAAACCGCTAAACGGGTTCGTAACGGCTGAAAATTCTTCTGTAGCTTCTCGTGTAAAGAACGAAATTTAGTGTAGGTGTGGCTACACATAATAGTCGTGAAAGACCAGTTCCTGGGTCTTTGCCACTATACTGAAGTTCTAGGTAAATGAGATTCTAGAAAATGATTCAAAGGCTATTGAATTAAGCATTGTTGAAAATTCCGTAAACAGGTTTGCGGGGATGTAGCTGGTCTTTGCTCTTGGACGAATGCTATGTCAACTTTCTTTGGAATCAATAAAGAAGTTCTCCCACTTAAGGTAAATTTCTTACCTGTATCAATATTGTCATCGGTGAGAATCACTCAAGAAACAAGAGCTGATGTGGTGGAGATTCAGAACGGAATTTTCCTCAAAAGAAGCCTTAATCTATAACTGAACCACGATGAACAATAACATTACCTATAACATAAGCTTTGCTGTCTGCTAGAGGACCAATCCATTTTATTCGAAGGATCAAAATGGTCCTGTTTGAGTACTCGTTCGGCCACTCACAGTGATCTGTTTGGGAGCAAAACACTTCACTGAGGAGCTTGAATTGGTACCTGCCAGCTGTCAGAGAAACCTGACGAACAGTTTGGAGATGACCTGCAATTGACCAATGCCCAATCAAGAAGGAGTAGCACTCGTAGTCGCTTCCACTCCGCATACGGAGATTAGCTCCTGCAGCAACTGGATTTAGTCTTGTTTTTATACTTTACTTGTTATCTTTTAGTCACTAATTTTCCGCCAACCTTTGGCTTACAGGCAAACTTAACAATCCAAGAAGCCAAACTGAGCGTGGCCCAAAATGACCTGAATGTGGCGCAGGCGCAACTGGACGCCAAACAGGCTGAGCTGGATAAAGTACAGGCTTTATATGACAAGGCAGTGCAAGAAAAACAGGTAATATTTGCTCACGCTAAAAGGACTTTTCGGGTTTAAGTTAAGTTAGGCACTTCACTGTTACGTCCCATTTAGCTATAATTAATGGAATGTAAGAAAAGAAAGGGAACCAGGAAATGTAATTGATGTGTTTACTGAGTTGAGTGCTTCTCCACTGCGTCTGATTTTACTAAGATCAGTGATTTTTTTAAAACAGAAAAGTGTTTCTGAATTGTCAAGAAATTCACCCCAACACTGTAAAGTTGAACAAAAGGGAAGAGAAACTTTTAACACTCAAGCAGTTTGCCTTAAGATGAGAAAGTCCTTTTGACCAAGAGCAAAAACATTTTCAAAAGACTGCTGCAAATGACATCAGCTCGAGTAATGATCAAATTTCTTGAAAGATTTATCTTCACTTCTTGTTGTACTAATTCCAAGATTTTGATTTTGTATAGAAAGAAGCTTAGTTGTTTTAAAGTCTAAATTTGAGAGGAAACTGCTTTATCTCGTTTTGAACAGGATCTTCTGGATGACGCAGAGACTTGCCGACGGAAGATGTTGGCAGCCTCCACTCTGATTGGTGGATTAGGAGGAGAGAAGGAAAGATGGACTGAACAGAGCAAAGAGTTTGAGGCTCAGATTGGAAGGTAAAGGAAACCTGATATTCGATACGTTTGTTGATTTTTAATTGTTTCAAAAACATGTACCGACTTCCGTAGGAATTACTTACTGAAGTTCTTAATAATTATGTTAGTCAAGCGCAGGTGCGATAGTCCCAGATACGAGCGAGGAATACGTTTGGGGGTCTATTACACGAGAGTAGAAACTCTGTTCATGATGCTCTAAAAGTGGCAGTCATTTTTTTCGACGAGGGGACTTGCTAGGGAAAAAATTATCGAGGGAAAAGTTTGTCGAAGAAATGCCGTCTTGTGTCCAATTTAGTAAGCATATGTTATTTTTTCACAGACTGGTCGGCGATGTGTTGCTTTGTACCGGATTCCTTTCCTACTCTGGTCCCTTTAACCAAGAGTTCCGAGATATGTTGATGGGGAAATGGCAAAAGGACATGAAGTCACGCAAGATCCCCTTCACCGCCAATCTGAATGTCACGGCCATGCTGGTTGATGCAGCGACGGTAAGATATAAACAGTTAGAAACGGAACAATGCTAAAATCACACCACACCACAGCACAAAACAATGCAACGCAGCGAAACAGGAGAAAAGACAGTAGATAACAGAACGTTTAACCGCCGTGAAGTTTACAGCCAAGAAGCATAACTGATTAAGAACAAAGTGATATAAGCGAGAGACCAAAGCCTTGTTGCTGAAATATTAGGGATTGTGACTAACCAATGAAATCAGGGCAAAACACATACGTAGCAGTTAACAAACCTGCCGTATATATAGCAACACGTGATCAATTTACCTCAACGCCTGACAAAAATTTAGCAGCACAACGATCGCAACGTCGCGAAAAGTAAACCTTCGCAACTCAATAACGTAATGCAACTATCAAAGAACCATCTTTCATTCTATTGAATGTCCTCTGCTCTTAGGCCGGTACCATCAAGCCAGGACTGAAACATGCTACGGTTTTATTTTCATCCAGCAAACCTATCGATAAGGTCTAACGTATTTTCCTCTTTTAGGTGGGAGAATGGAACCTTCAAGGTTTACCAAACGATGAACTCTCAGTGCAAAATGGTATCATCGTTACCAAGGCAACCCGCTTCCCTCTGCTGATAGATCCACAAGGCCAAGGGAAAGCTTGGATTAAAAACAGGGAAAAGGATAGTCAGTTACAGGTGAGCGGACTTGATGTGTTTTTTACTTCAGGGTTTTAACGGGTCGTGGAAAAGGTACAAAAACATTGAAATTCAATTTGCATTGTGGAAAGTAAAGATAAATAGCTGAAAATGATTTTTCTAAGAACTCGAAAGCAAAAATACTGTAGTGCAATGTTTTTAAGCAGAATTATCGATCAATCTTTGAATTTGGAAAAAAATTTAAATATTTCTGGTAAAGATTTTGGAGTCATGGAATTTTATAGCCTTGAAGGAGTGCGATTGTAGTTTGACAACTGTTCTCACTCAAAAGTAACCCGCTGTTACAGCCTAGTGATTTTTCTCTTGACAGTTGACCTCCCTCAACCACAAGTATTTCCGAAATCATCTCGAAGACAGCTTATCGTTGGGAAGACCAATGCTCATCGAGGACGTGGGTGAAGAACTGGACCCAGCTTTGGATAACGTGTTGGAGAAAAATTTCATCAAAACTGGAAGCACGCTAAAAGTGAAAGTTGGAGACAAAGAGATTGATGTCATGAAAGGCTTTATGTTATACATCACGACGAAACTCTCTAACCCTGCATACACACCTGAGGTGAGTGACTGCTGTCAGTTACAAAATGCACCCGGAAATTAACTCACTAAAATTTGGGTACTTGATCTCACATAAGAGATATCCTTTTCAGAATACGTTTGAAAAGAATTTAATATGAATTTTAGTACATAAAAAACTTTCAACACTACGGGGAGTAAAGCTCAACAGCTTGTGGAGTGGTGTTAAAACTAACACTAAATACAAAGTAATTCTTAAAAACCTAAATATGCGTAAAGGCCTAAACATTTTCCAACTTAAGATCCTAACTGATTAATGTAATACATATATGCAACATCATAAGAGTGAAGGGTCAGTCAGTCACTCGTTATTTTAAGACTTTGTATAGGAACGTTCCTAGGAATACCGTTCAGCTAAAATGAATACCTCAGCCGTTCCTCTATTTTTATATTGTCAACAATTCGAGAATAAAGAATGATATTTTCCACGTACATACGTTGATATTCCTTATTTGTATGCTTTGTTAACAGATAAGTGCTCGGACGTCCATTATTGACTTTACTGTAACTATGAAGGGCTTGGAAGATCAATTGCTTGGTCGCGTCATCCTTACTGAGAAAGCGGTAAGTTGCCTTTCCTTAGAACTCGAGTTTAGCCTTTTTGTCCATTCTGCATTGTAGACTCCGTTACTTCGGAAAAAAAACGTAAGTTGTCCCCTTCCCCTTCTAAAAGGAAGCCTAAAAAAAGAAATTTCTTCCAGGTAATTGTCACCCAACTCATAATGTTTAAAGTTGAATATTGGGAATGTAATGTAAGTGTTATCACGGATCTCTAGGAATTGGAAGCTGAGCGAACGAAACTCATGGAGGACGTGGCTTCTAACAAGAGGAAGATGAAAGAATTGGAAGATAATTTGCTCTACAGACTTACAAGCACTCAGGTGTGAATTATTATTTATTGTTTTACCTTAGTCATTCGTTTTTGTTGGATGATAAACGTGGATGTTTCCCCATAATGTGGGAGAAAGCGATTCAAACAAAATACGTTACGCTGACTCTCTTTGTAGCTATTAAGCGTCAGGGCTAAGTTTGGGCTCAGTTCTTGGGTTCAGTTGTATCACTAACACCAACACATGTTTACGACGTTGAATCTCGCTGTGGCAATCACTCATCCAGGGAACACTTAAAAGCACAGGTTTTGGTTCAGTTTTATCACCAAAGTACATTTGACGATTCGTGTCGTGTTGTTTACATCACTTGATCTGATTTCATGTTAGGGTTCCCTTGTGGATGACGAATCCTTGATTGAGGTCCTCAGCACAACAAAGGCCACAGCAGAAGAAGTCAGTCAAAAGCTTGTTGTTGCCGCTGACACAGAGATCAAGATCAACGGCGCACGAGAAGAGTTTAGGCCTGGTGAGTAGCAGGAACCAATGTCCATGCAGTTGGAGAATTTAGAAATTACAGCGAGAGAGAATTTAATGATTTCTCCTTTTGTTCTCTTTTTTTTTTAATTCTTTAGATTTTTGAAGGAATAAACCTTTCAGCGACATTTCCTTGAAAATTTTCCTCTCAATTTGCAAGCTGAATGAAGACTGTCGTTTTGTAGTGAATGGTCTTCTACACCTTTTAGCGGCCAAAATTTTTATGCGTTACTTAATTCTATCTTATCGAGTAATTTGCAAGTTTTGAGTAGGTATGGATGAAGTAACATACTTGATTTCGTTTCTCATGTTTCAGTGGCCACCCGTGGCAGTATCTTATACTTCTTGATTGTCGAAATGAGTATGGTGAATTGTATGTACCAGACTTCACTCAAGCAATTTCTGGGACTGTTCGACAACGCCATGGCGAGGTGAGAGTCTGATTTAATGAAATGCGCAGTAGGCCGCTTATCTAAAACTTTCGAGTGTCTTGAGAGACTCATGATCAGTTGTGGTTGAGGTACAAATGGCTGCTCACAACGGGGTTATTTTTTTCAGGTCTCAACCATCCCCCATTACCTCAAAGAGGATACACAACATTATAGATTACTTGACCTACGAAGTGTGGAGGTACTCGTGCCGTGGTCTGTATGAGAATCACAAGTTTCTGTTTACGCTTCTCCTCGCTCTCAAGATTGATCTACAGAATAAGAAGGTCAGTAGTATTTAAATTGAAAAAGTGCTTCTTTTTCTCTTTTTGTCGCATCCGACCCAATAACATACTGATTTCGATTTCAGCTTTGGAGGGCTTTTCGGTGTATAATAGTCTTGCGTAAACAAGAAAAGGGTGGAAGGATTTAAGATAGTATGGTATAATATTCAAGGCTAGGTTCCTATGTGATAAGCGTCCTGCGAACTGGTAGGACTTACAATGCTTAAAGTGTCCTTTCATGAGAGTCAGACGGATGGTATATTTTATGCTCGACCGTCGAGAAATTAACAATTATTTCATGAGCGCGCGTTATATATCACATTGTAATAATTCACGGACGTTTGGATATTTGGAGCCTTTTGTTGGCGCAATACATTTCCATATAAGGTAAATCGAAATATGATAACCAGAGACGAGTGAACTAATCAGAGCATTAGAAATCCAATTCGGAAATTTTGTAAAGGAAGATATTCATACACATTCGTCACGAGCTTTAGAATAGGAAAATTTACGTATCTGATAACGATGTGGAAACTTCCACGAGGGACTGAGTAGGTATGAAAATCTGAGGGAATGTCTCTTAAAGCTTTAGCTTCCCCTTAAATTAAGCAAGGTTGCTGGAAAAGGCCAGACGAATGTTTTGTCGTAACTGGTGATTGCATTTCGCAGGTGAAACACAGCGAATTCATGACACTTATCAAAGGTGGAGCTTCTCTGGACCTGAAAGCTGTCCAGCCAAAGCCTTGTAGATGGATTACAGATATGACCTGGTTGAACTTGGTGGAACTCAGTAAACTGCCGCAATTCTCAGACATATTAAATCAGGTACGAATCCATTTGTAGGTTCTTCACTCAGGGTCATCGCGAGACATTTAGCTTAAGTTTTCAAGTTGGTTATTTGCAATCCACGTGTTTATTAGTGGAACAAATTTTGGGCACGAATGCGTATTAAGTTTTCAGTCAGAGAAAAAATCAAAGCAGGTCTTGGCAATTTTTTGCTTCTTGTATTGATGATAACAGTGTAGCCATGTCACGTCAAACGATCCAAAATGGCGCCCACCTCGAAATTCAAGCATAACAATCGACTGAAATTGTGTCCAGTTTTTACAAATTTCGGTTCTTGCTTCCCAAATCTATTTTTTTTAGTTAAACGGCGTTTAGTTAAACGCCAACATGTTCGACCCGCTGCGTCAGAATGAGGAAACTAAGAGCGTTTCTATTTTACTGACGTCCACAATTTCATTAGTGCAAATTTGTTAACTCTCAGATCGCTCGTAACGAAAAACAGTGGAAAAACTGGTTTGACAAGGATGCGCCTGAAGAGGCCGACATTCCCGATGGATATGCCAACTCGTTGGACACGTTTAGGAAACTCCTGCTTATCAGGTTTGGTATTATCCTACGAATTAAGCATTCTTTGAGAAGATTAACTTCATCATCGAAAACACGGCTCTTTAAAAAACAAAAAAATCCTAAATAAAAAAAAAAACAGACAAAAGGGAAAAATATTTTAAATATATATCACATTTGTCCTGTGGATGGTAATTAAGGAATGGATACAAATTGGGAGAATGCAATTAAGGTATTTCCAGAAATTTCAGCTCTGGGCGACGGAAACTTTGGGCGTCGAACGAAACCGCCCCTCAGTTACCAATTAAGTGCTACTCATAACAAAGCTACCAAAGCACTTGCTTGGAGCTAAGTTTTATTGGTCTTCTTGATCATCGCTTGGTTATTTGTTTGCAGTGTATGCGAAATATTTTGTATTTACACAAGCTGATACTAACGGATTATGGTTTTCATGACTTTAATTCAAATAATTAGGTCTTGGTGTCCCGACCGAACCATGGCGCAGGCGCGTAAGTACATCGCCGAGTCGATGGGATCCAACTACGCTGAGAACGTTATTCTCGATTTGGAGAAGACTTGGGAAGAGAGTGACAACAAAACACCGCTGATCAACTTCCTTTCCATGGGCTCAGATCCGACAAGTCTCATTGAGAACTTGGCCAAAAGACACAAGTTCGGTAAGAAATGAATGAGACAAGGAGAATTTTATTAGCAAAGAGTTTGATGATATCGAAGATTTACTTGTTACTTGCATCAAACCAAGCGAAGATTTAGGAACGAGATCGACTTCCCCACTTCCACTCTCCACTTCCCACTTGCGTTTTTGGGAATCCAGGGAGGATCTGGAAGTAACCAATAGCCCTTTTACGCGAGTTATTCTAAGATTGACATTTGATGCGATGTCGGGATTTTTTCAACAGAACATCAGTTTACAATGCGCGAAGTTAATGTACCATCCTTCCAGGGAAGACCAGTCACTATCACCTAGAGTCTTAAAATAACTTGGGCCGGACTGCCTTTTTAATAGGGAGAAAGACTGGTCCTCTCTTGACTGGATAACTTTTAGAGTAAGAACTATGAATTTGGTTGTAATGTCCTAAAACCAATCTATTTTCATTTTCAAATACAGATTGCCGTGCTATATCTATGGGACAAGGACAAGAAATTCATGCCAGAAAACTAGTCGGACAGTTTATGCAAACAGTATGTATTCAGCTTGCTAGAGACACTATCAAGGCATTAACAAGGGGTTACCCACAGGCTAGTTTTTTCGGATAGTTTTCGTCATTCTAGTACATGGAGAACTTGTGTTGGTATTGAGAATCGTCGGTTATACGATGGAAAGTAGAGTTTTTGACTCGTCACTTCACGTGGTATGCATCGTTGCTTACATTGATTAAGGATTACAATGATTTACCTCTCATGGTAACTTTCTACTAGAACTAATGGTATTATGATGAGGAAGAGGTCTACCGGGGCATGGATTACGAGAAATGAGTACAGACATTGGAGGACAACATGTTCATTGAAATGCATTGTTTGTTCTTTTAGGGTGGATGGGCTCTTCTTCAGAACTGCCACCTTGGTTTAGAGTTCATGGATGAGCTAATGGATACAGTTGTAGATACTGAGCAGGTTCACGACGCTTTCAGATTGTGGATGACCACAGAAGAACATATTCACTTTCCCATTGGCCTCTTGCAGGTTTGTGATCGAAACTACGTTTTCGTTTTTTCACTCATCTTTTCTTCTTTTTAAAGGCGGTAACCCCTTCGTTTTTACCAGAAAAAAAGACTCTTTTCAAGCAGAGGACGATTTAGAAGAAAATTATGCACATGCTTCAAAATATAGATTGTTACGGCCATTCGAAATAAATAAATTCAAACTATTATATCAAAGGAAAGTTATTTCGATTCCTAGTCTGTAATAAAAATTATATGCTAAGCAACTCACGGTCATGTTCTCTATTCTTACATTTAACCGACAGATGTCAATAAAATTCACCAATGAGCCTCCCCAGGGACTTCGAGCTGGACTCAAACGAACCTACAATGGTGAGTTGATTAACCCTTTACACCCTAATATCAGTATACATATTTTCCATACTAATCTCTTTCCTTTTTTTAAGGTGCTGACATAGAGAATTTGTTCAACAGTCAAGACCTTTTTTAGTTGGTGCTCATTTCCTTAATTCCCATGATCCTAATGTGTGATTCAGGGGTGATAATGAAAGGAGAAATTTGATGCTAGTCACTCATAGGGGTCAAAGGGTTAAGAACACTCGTTTTCTTACCTTATTTTATTTACCTACCGTTATGAATGTTTCCTTAGTTCCGGCAATTCATTGTATTTTCAGGTATCAGTCAAGACCAACTTGATGTCAGCAACCTTCCTCAGTGGAAACCGATGTTGTACGCAGTGGCTTTTCTGCATTCAACTGTTCAGGTTAGAATCTAAGTTTTGTCATTTATTACGTTTGAAGTTGTTGGCTGACTTCAGTTCCAGTATTGATGTAGTTGGCATTGCAATCAGGTGATCATCTGTTCTCTTGCATGCTGGCGGATTTTTTTGTTCATACTAAAGTTTCCCTTTTTATATTTGCTCGAGAAATGATCATTCGAACTCGAGAGTTCTTCCTTTTGAGTGCAATGAACTGGAGCGTCAGCCGGGAAGGCGTCACCATGTGAGCTTAACAATGTAGGATACAGTGACGCTTTCTGATTCATATAAAAAATTAGGTTCTCTTAGGTGAGCATTATTGATCCTTTTTTGAACCAGAGAACCACCTTATTTAAAATGTAGCTTATTGTTGAAACTCAAAAAGGATTGCCCAAAAGTTGACGAATTCAAAATACGTCGACCCCAAAGCAGTTTTAATTTGTTTCTCTTTGCTTCAAAGTACAGGACTGTTTTCAAAAACGTTTCCCCGCCTTTTTTTCTTCAGGAGCGACGAAAGTATGGGCCATTGGGATGGAATATACCTTACGAGTTTAACCAAGCCGACTTCACAGCCAGTGTGCAGTTTGTTCAAAATCACCTGGACGACATGGACATCAAAAAAGGCGTGTCCTGGAACACAGTGCGGTACATGCTGGGAGAAGTGCAGTACGGAGGAAGAGTTACAGATGACTTCGACAAACGACTGCTAAACACCTTTGCCAAGGTAATTCACATTTTTAATTCACTTTGAGATTGAGTCTAAACGGGATTTGAATCTCGGTGTATGACTCTTGCTGAGAAGCAACTGCTAAGCTGTATAGCAAGGTAATTTTATATCATCAACTGAGTTGGTAACGTGAATTGGCCTACGTTAAGAGTTTCAAACCTGACGATGACGCAAACGGAAACGGAAATGGTGGCCAATTTACGTTATCAACTGAGTTGATAATACTAAATTATCCTGTTATGCTCTCCCACCGACTCAGCACCACAGTTTCGTTAGAACGAAAAAGTTCAAAGTTAAAATGTTAATGATGTTAAAAATAACAGTAAGAATAATAATGATGGTGAGATGATGTTAAAAATAACGAGATTGAACATGGCAACGATGATGATATTAATGGTATTAGTTACACGGAAAATGATAATTGTAATGATAATACTGATTCGAGACAATCACAAATTTAAAGGTCATGAGGCCTAAAAAACCCAATCGTAATTAGTTTTCTTCTCTTCTTAACTGCATTCAACAGGAAAGAAAACGAGTATCTACCTATTCACATACAAATATTTCCTTATTACTAAATACACAAACGGCTGAAAGGCGGGCAGAAAAAGTTTAATTCTTGCTTTTTGGCGTCCGAGTAACCTAGCTTTAAATCGCTATTCCCATGCTAATTCCTCTTCAGGTTTGGTTTAGCGAGTCGATGTTTCAGCAAAGCTTCAACTTCTATAAAGGTTACACCATACCAAAGTGCACGTCAGTACCGCAGTACATGGACTACATTGACACTCTTCCCCTTGTGGACTCCCCTGAGGTGTTTGGTCTTCATCCTAACGCAGACATCACGTGAGTCATATCTATAACAACTAATACTTTTCCACTATCACTGATACAGTCTATTTCCTGTACATTTAAGAACGTTATTTTTCGAGATCGCAAGTGGTATATAGGAATAAATTGCTGACAACTATGTTTTTGTCATGAAGTGTTTGTTGAAGCCGGACACCCTCAGAAATCGACCTCTTTATGTTATGTTCTAGTTACCAGAGTAACCTGGCCAAATCTTGCCTGGACACTATTCTCAGCATTCAACCAAAAGACAGCTCTGGTGGCGGTGGAGAGACCCGCGAGGCTGTTGTCCAACGGTTGGCTGATGACATGCTTGATAAGCTACCTGAAAACTACATTGCACATGAGGTGAGCTGAATGACTGCCTTTCTATAAATATTGATCGAATGCGCTTTTTGTTTGCTACATGTTTGCGGGATTTTACTAACAGAAAGATGCCGAAGTGGTGAGACAAAATCCAACTCCTTGCTACCCCTTTTTTGTCAAGCAAATATGTTAACAGGAATTGAATGCATTTTCCAATTACCATCTTTCTTGCTTAATAACTCAATTTGCAGTTTACGACTTGCAAAAGGCTTGTTCATGTTTAACTCGCTTTTTGACTTCATCGATCCTGATGTCATTCAAAGGTCTCCTTTTGCTATTTTCAGTTTGTGCACGTACGTCCCGGAAAACATGTTTCTATCAATGAAAATCTTGACTATAGATTGTAGTACAGAGTATTTAATCTTTCCAATAACTTTCACAACTTGAACTCGACACAAGAATTGCCAACTGCGATGTTTGTTAGGTTTCAGAAATATGAATATATTCTCATTTTAGTAGTATATGAAAATTGATTATCAGAATTTACATAGGAGGTTTCTACACTTGTCTTTGAAAAGTAGTTACAGGTATCGTTCTATTCTAGGTCAAGTCTAGACTACAGAAAATGGGAGCTCTTTCTCCGATGAATATTTTCTTGAGGCAAGAAATTGACCGAATGCAAAGGGTGATAACCGCTGTACGGCAGACACTGACGGATCTCAAACTTGCCATCGATGGCACTATTATTATGAGCGAGGTAGGTTTTATACATTCTTACTCGGGTGATTAGTTTGAAATACTGGATCCCTTATTTCAGTCTATTAACAATAACAATAACAATACAAACGGGAGATGAACATGCAGGTCTGCGATAGTATTTTGTAAATCCTGAAGAGTGATGGAAGTGATTCACCGATACATAAACGCATCCACTGCCTGAACAATGAAAGAGAAATTCAAATGCTTTGCATCATGAAGAATTTCCCGTTCATTCTACGTTTAGAAACTGTGTTCATGTGCTGTTGGTTAACGAATTATGTTCAAGTCTCCAACCTCTTTAGGGTGGCGTTTTTCGCATATCAATGAAAACATTATTGTCAGCAGATGAGATTGCAGAATTCTTCGATTTTTTTCCTAATGGTACTTAGAAATTGTTTTCTTCTAAAGGAAAAATACAAACGCAACAACTGTTTCCTTTCGTTGTCACTACTTGCCTTGTTTGTTTAGATTCCAACCCCGAGTGTGTGTGAGTTATTCACAAACCATATCAATTTCATTTTGTGTATTCGTTCCTCCCTTTTAGACTCTTAGAGATTCACTTGACTGTATGTACGATGCCCGAATTCCTACTCACTGGAAAAAGGTATGAAAAACGAGGGAAACATTTTTAATGTACGTAGTGGGCGAATAAGTTTTGAATACTATTATTCCAGCAATTTTTGTGCGAATCCAGCCCGAGTCGTGTTCAAAAGCCCGGGCACCAAGCACACAACTCTAAAAAATTTGTTGCCTGTTTCACCTTTTTGTAACTCCAGATATCATGGGAATCGTCCACGCTCGGATTTTGGTACACAGATCTGTTGGAAAGAAATCACCAGTTTAGAGGGTGGTGTTTTGAAGGAAGACCCAATGTATTTTGGATGACAGGATTCTTTAACCCGCAAGGATTCCTTACCGCCATGAGACAGGTAAAAATTTTAGGACGCCATTACCAGTCCAGCGTAGATTTCATTCAGACGTAACAACCTCACATTCTCTACTCGTCCCTTCCCTTTTGGGTAAAAGGAAAGGGCTGTCCATGAGCCCAACAGGCTCATTCTTTCAAAGAACAAGTAAACAAATGAGCTAAAGCAAATTTAACAAAAACAACAAACATATTGAAAGAAAAAAAGAGAAAAACAAACAAAAACACTTATTTATGGAAACTAAAGCAGTGGAGAACATCAAACGATAGCTTTTCCACTGGTGTGAAGATCCCTGTATCTTTTTTTTATTATTAATTTGTTGTCCTTTGTCTTTATTTATTTATTTATTTAATTCGTTGTCTTCAGCTATGGATGTTATGTTGTGCCCGCAATCCTAGCGCACCAAAACACGAACGGCCTATCGTAGCTTATCCGTCAAATTCACGATCAAGACCCCATACAAATTTCGATTTTCTTAGCTGAGCTTGCAAAAGGAAAATTCAAACACAACATCTGAATCAATCTATGAACATTTCTCAGATACCAATGTGGTCATTTTGCAGGAAGTGACACGAGCGCACAAGGGATGGGCCTTGGACTGTGTGGTTCTCCACAATGACGTCACACGGTTCTTTAAAGATGACATCGCTCAGCCGCCAGCAGAAGGGGTGTATGTTCACGGGCTTTACCTTGATGGTGCTGGGTGGGACCGGAGAGGCTGCAAACTGGTAGAACCCACTCAGAAGGTCCTATTTACGTCTATGCCAGTCATTCACATCTATGCCATCAATACAACAGCCGGACGCGATGCCCGGATGTACCAGTGTCCGATATACAAGAAACCCAAGAGAACGGATTTGACATATATTGCAAGCGTGGACTTAAAGACCAATCAGAATCCAGATCACTGGATTTTACGCGGTGTGGCTTTATTGTGCGACATCAAGTAAAAGTTGGTTTATCTTTGAACCCGTTTCAACAATTCCATGTGGTCGACAATGACTCATGTGCGAAAAGTACGATAAATATAGATACTTTCTTCCGATATAATTGACTGTGTGACGTTACACTGTGTGAAGTGTTACTCAACGCGACAATTCCTTTCAGAGCACTTCTGTATTATATTCAAAGAGTTTCAGAGAGTATATTGTTCTTCAAATTTTATTTATTATCTTATGCACAAAGATTCAATGTTACAACATGTTTTAATCTACAGCAAATTTCTAGAATCACATCCTTCTGTTCACCTACGGTTGAACTAATTATTCCTCGTCTACCAAATGGCAAATACTATTTTGTATCGAATGTCGCGATCGATAGCTTAGCCTTCAAAAATATGAGTAATTTCTTTGAGAAGGGAGAATCTTGTGGCATTAACGTGATTTCTTCAGTTACGTTTCACACCTTGTTTGACAAAAATATTCGCCCTCCACTGGTGTTTGTGAACCCCAGTGAAATAACTTGTCAACGTTTCATTCCGACGAAACACTAATCTCTGTGACAACGAAAACTGCGTAAATAAGGTGATGTATATCGTTTAAAATTAAGATCACTTGGAAATTAAACGCTAACACTCCTACAGAACGAGTGTCAGAGCAGTTCATGTTTTTGAAATAGGTTGACACCGACCCAGTACCTCCTCTACTCTTGGACAGCTGGTGGAGTCAGAGTTGACAACGGTTTACACAAATCTTTAGGGAACTCGAGTATTTCTTCTCCCTCCCTAGAGTAACAATAAAATGCATAAACATGGATGCAACCTGGATTGTTCGCTGTGAATCTAAGAGGAACGCCTGACCAGATTTCTCCTCGACAACAACTGTTGGGATCAATCATTTTCAAAATGCCTTGTAAAGTAATTCTAGATATCTTTCGAGTAGGTGGGAAGCGAGGTTATTTCAAAAAGAAAGTTTTTCCCACAAAGAGCTCTCTCATTACCCCAGTTCTTACGCCAGGTAATTGAGAAAAAAATTTTAAAAATGGTAAATCAGAATAAATCTGTGATAATGTCAACAACGGAAGACGTGTTTGAATACATCTTAGAAGTATGCAGAAAGAAAAAAAAGAAGTTGGTGATGATGAAAATGGTGGATTACCAGCACGCACATTATGATGGTTCACTAGAATCCTTTCATCAACTAAGCTACTATCTGAAATACTGAGACGTGCAAAAATTGAGAAATACCTGACCACAAGCCTGAGAACCAGCTCAACCTTCCTTGAAGGATCCACTTCCATCGGTTCAGCCGAGATGAACCGTTGTGTGCTGTGACCTTGTAATGTTGTAGCACCTGCTCTCCATGCTGGATCCCGTTCAACGACATTGACACGACTGGATTGAGCTAAGAAATCAGTTTAAACGGCAGTCATTAAGTTGTTCCCTGGCACATCCCTTAGGTAATATATACACCTTATACGATGGTTTAACATTTATCAGGTTATGATCCATCAAATGTTTTTGTTAGCGTGTAATTGGTCTTAATGCATCACGTGACCGTGTGTTTCCCTGCTAAAACTGGGGGATGTCCGAGAATATCCCTTGAGAGAAATTTCTCAATTTTAAACCTTAATTGAAGACGAGAGAGCGTTTTAAGGTTGTTGTAGAGGAACGGAAATATTTGTTTTTTCAAAAAGTCGTACCAGAGAACACTTAAAAAAAAACATCCCACGCAAAAAAAAAGTAAGCTGTTCGTAAACTTTTGTCAAAAGCGTTGCAAAGTGTTTGAAGTATAATAAACACAATAGCCTCATTTTGCGCGAAAATATACTCATCTACTTATCCCAAGACATTATTTGTTCCTAAAAGCTCACAGTTTTCCTCGAGCTTCGCTCTCGAAAAACTGTTCGCATCTTGGAACAGATAATGTCCGCGAATATCCGTGCATATTTTCGCGCCAAGTGGAGGATATTGTTTATGTACGCACGGATATTTTGCGAGCTGCGCGGTATTTTGCGATGAGCAAAATGTCCACTCGTATTTTATGTTAAATCATCAAATAAGGGATTTATTATTCCACTAACATTTCATTTTCTAGTCTTTTGGCTTATGGTTTAGAAACTTCGTACGGTCTAATCTGAGCATCGTACCGAGCGCATAAGGCGTGCGTAAACACACACACACACAAAAAACAATTAAATGTTCTTGAAAACCGAAAAAAAAATTGTGGGCTTCGAACTTTATTGCTGCAAAAGAACATTTCTAAAAAATGGACGGTTCTGCCCGTAGAAAAATTACACTCCGCCTCTCCCAAACGAATTGTAGATCGATCAAGCAGCATCACAATTTCCTAGCCGAAAACTTTTTAGACATAGGATGTAGCTTTTGAATCGAGACACAATAGCCGACATCTTGCGGAGTGAAATATTAAAAACCCGAGGCGAAGTTACAGCATAAAAAGCATTTTAAATTATGATATTTATTAATTCCCCCCAAAAAAAGATAAAGGAAAATCTATTTGAGTTTGTGCCTGGTTTCATATTTACTTTGGGCGACAAAACGAGGGGTAGTTTCCCTTATTTGATAATCCACAATGTATGATATAAGTACCTTTTGTTTTTTCATGAAAAAGAAGGTGACAGAATAAACTAGAGGGCCAAAAGAAAAGCTTTTAAATAGCTGGAGTCAAAATTTCCAAGTTTTTTTTCTATCATCTTCGCACCATAATAAAATGGCGTTGTTCCTTCGACGTAAAACATACCTGCATTATCCATCACTTTTTTGACGACAAAATAGAGGGTATACATATTAAATATATGTTTTCAAATCGCAACGTTTTTGAAAACAGGGATATATATATATATACATATTTATACATATATGGTTTCAATCAAATAGTGTGTTATTCCAAAACAAAATAATTCTTCTGAGCCTTCTAGTCACCGTTGTACAACTGTGCAAGTACCTGGTTGCGATTATTGGTTATTCCTCACTATTCTCTTAATTTTAAGTACACAGAAATGGTCTGATTAGCTCTTACAACTTTTGCAAGTCAATTTTCAGGCCGCGAAAAGTTTTGTTAAATCTAACTTACCGTAACGAATTGATTGCCGGGGTAGTGGGGCTTGGGGAGCATCTGGTGATTCAGAAAAAAAAAGGAGAAATCGCATCTTAGATGCAAAACTCATGAAAAAAAATGTTCCCAAAGTTTTCTAAAAATAAACTCACTTTACAATAGAGGGGTTGAGGTGAGAGTATCTTTATTTACAGAGGTATGGTGTTTATAACAACACTCTTCAAGTTAAAAAGCAGAAACAAGACAGTTTGTTATATTAAGTCCCTTGATGTTTTAGGTTTGTTAAAAAGAAGCCTTCACTGACTCGTGGACGTCGCCGAGACAGATACCACTTACCAGAGGGGAACTTGTTATTCAACTACATTTGTGAAATACTACTCACCAGAGGGAGCTTCAGAATTAAAATTTGAAGGCAGAAGATTTTGGAACCAACCTGAAGAAAGAGGCGAGTAACAGGGTACAAAAAAAAAATAATGAGGCGATCAGCAACCGTCTGTTTGAAAGGCGACTACCACAATTCAAGAATTAAAAATTATTCGCTCCTTGTTGTAAACCAAAACTGAAAGCAAGAAAACAAATGCTGAAAAAAATTCTCTGGACCCTAGTTTAGGTTAATCTTGTTTTCAGCAATCTGGCCTGGGCGATTTTCCTCTGTAGTCCAATTTTTTTATTCTGAACGTTTTTGAAATCATATCATTCACGAGCTCTTCATTTACCTTTGAGACAATTTAGGCTAATTCTGGCTCAATTCTGGTTCCAGAGGACACTTTTTTGTGTCTAAGCTTACTCGCTTCACAATGAAAGAAGAAAGTGTAACAACAACACAAAATCCTGTGAAAGGTCTTTGCCATGAGGAACTTTTTTTAGGGGATGTTTAACCCTGACGGGCCTTTCAACTGGCGTAAGGTCTATTGGACATACAAACGGGTGAGAATTTAACATATACATGTACATTAAAAAGGGATCCGTAAAATTATCATAAGCTACATAAAATACAGGCGACCCAAGCTCATTTTAACAGGTTTCGAGTTCTTCATTCACTTATGGTAGCATGTTAAAACGATGCGTTTGGCGAAACGGGCCTATCACAAGCTTTCTTCGTGTTCTACCAACATTAGGCGTGGGTTCAACACGCTATAATCCCTGCAAAAAACATGCTCTATTGCTTGAATAAACCACAACGACAGGACGACGACCACACTCTTCAACTTTTCCAAAACTTGCTTCGGCGTAATATAGAAATTGCAGCGATGAGAGAAACTACTTACCAGAGACTTTACTAAGAATCGATCCACCTGTGAAACGTTGCGAAACGTTTTCAGTAATTTATAACAAGACAGAGGAACAAACCAAAGATAGAATATTTAGTAACATAAATATAAATGATGAAGACAACGATGACAATTGTGTTATTAACTACCGCGTTAATGAGAATTAAATGATATTTATCATGATTTTATTTAAAAACTTGAAGCAAACTTCTACGCTTTTTGTAAAGTATATTGATCCATTATCTTTTTGACTCGTTCAATCGCATAAAGGCATCAATAACATGCATGGAAAATTATCGGAATTGAGACAACAAAAAAACCAAACCGGCTTAATGAAAAGTGCTATATAGATCCAATCAAGTGAAGGGCAGCATCATCCCGAAGGTTAATAGAAAAATTGTAGAATTATTATTTATGATAATCATTTAGCAGTGGCCAATCCATGAGGTGGTTCTTCCTCCGGGACGAATTGGAATTTGGACTTTTGGTTTTTTGCGAGGGGGAGAAACCCGGAGGACCCGGAGAAAAACCATCGCAGCAAGGATGAGAATCAACAAAAAACTTAACCCACATGTGACGCCAGGCAGGCCCGGGAATCGAACCCAGGCTACAGTAGTGGTAGGCCAGTCGTTCTCCTATTTTCTGTAGCTTCTGCTTGACATGGATTTGGTCTTTAAAAGGTTTTAGTGTAAGTTTGTTCGTTTATGGTCTCATTGCTGTTCTGTGGAGTTGCATTCAACTCGCTCTTCACGTGATGTGGCTTATTGCGAAAAAGTGGATAACTGCATCATCCTCGTAAAATTATACTCTTTAGGGTTCAATAACTGCAAGTGGCCAAGATACACGGAGAACAATGACAGTCCCAAACTAGATCCTTAAGGAACAACGAAAGCAACTCCTACATTTTGCTATTATCTCCGCTACATGCTTTAATCATTGAACCATGTTTTGGCCTCATCATCATCATTATTTTTCACCAGGTTCGTTTGATTTAACAACAATAATAACGGTTATAATTATCAAATGGAGTGATGTTTAAGGTCAAATATCTAGCCACTGCAGCCAAGCTCTATTAAAACTTGATTCTGCAAGAAAAACAAATACTTACTCTGTTTAGCTGATAAATGACTTTCCGCCATGACCACTAAAAGTTAAAAATAAAAAAATTAAAGGTGAATATTTCCCAGACAATTTTAACAGATTATCATGGGATTGTTAAACTATCTCTAAGGCTACTTATTTTGTGTCCTGCTACAATGTTGCTAAAAGTAATGATGCACACCCCACTCTACTGTGGCTGCAACTTGCCGCAATTTATCCTTCTGCGCTTCGCTATCTTCCCCCATACATGCTTTAAACATTGATCCACGAGTTTGGCTCTAACATCTTCATCACTTTTGTTGACCAGTTTATTTGGTTTGACATTAATGAAGACGATAATTACAAACAGGAAATGATATGTAAGGTAAAATATGTAGCATGGAAGCCAAACTCTTTGAAACATAATAAAAAGGAATAAACAAGTCAATACCTTTACACGATGCAGAATCTATATTCGACTCTATACGATCCAGTTCTAAACCTGAAATTTAAAAAAAAAAATTGAAAAAGTCAATGATAAGTATTTCTTAATACTTTAAATAGAATCTTCTAGGAAATTTTAATTGGTCTCCGTAAGAATGGTCGTATGCTGTCATGTGCTAAACCAGTTATACCTTGTTATGGAGACTTTTCCTTCACTTATTTAAGGCTGAAACACTCCTTGATATTTGTAATCCTAACTTTTGAAATGATTTTGGTGCTCAGCATGTCAACGTCAACATGATCTAGAGTTTTTTTTTCTTTTATACCCATGATCAAACGAGGAAATTTCGATTTTAAATTTGCAAAATCCCTAAAGTAAATTTTTTCATGTCCAATAATGTAATGAGTCAAATAAAATCTTAGGCTAAAAAACAGCCATTTACTTTTCACTGGAAAGAAAAACATTATATTCACCAATAAAACATTGGAGATTATTGTTTTCTTTTCTTGTGATACTTAAGAACTTAAAACTGAGTTTTGTTGTACTGTATAAATTCTGTAACCCAGTAGGATTTTTTTCTTCTCCACCTGGCTATTATCTCAGCCACAAACAACAAGGAATGAGCCACATTTTTGGCTTTCTCTTTAACATATCCACTTACCACTTCCATCTGTGTAAAAATGACAACAACAGTAAACAAGAATTTCGAAGTCATATTTAGGGTAAAATATCTAACCACAGCAAGATAAAAATACCTACCTTGCCTTTCAATTTCTTGTTTTATCCCTAACATTGTGAAGCAAAATTAGTCAATGGTGAATAATTTCTTAAAACTCTTAGCGGACTTTGCTAAAGGGATTGTTGAGTACTTCATAGGTGTTCTCTGAACTGCCATTAAACAGTCTTAACTCATATTGCACTCTGAAATAAATATGGCCCAATTCTGTCATATAAAGTTCACAACACAATGATCTAAATTTAACCACAGCAAAGTGGCCCAAGAAAAATTAACAAAAATCATTGCTGAGCTGAGCTTTGGAATTTAGAGTAAAAAGTGAGGAGGAGGAGGAGGAGGAGGAGGAGGAGGAGGAGGAGGAGGAGGAGGAGGAGGAGGAGGAGGAGGAGGAGGAGGAGGAGGAGGAGAGGAGGAGTAGTAGTAAGTGGTAGTAAGTAAAGGAGTGTGGAAAAAGTTTAAAGTTTAGATAGGCAGGTGGGAGGGAGGTATGAGGAGCGATACATAATTAATTCTCCACTCTCAAGTTAAGTGGGGCATAGATATTTTCTGGAGTTATGAAATAAAAAATATTTCATTAATCTTACATACTTCTTTCCATTGCATTCTCTGTTTCATCGGGTGGATGGAAAGATAAACCTTGTGTGAATGCTATGACAACTTCAGGTGTAAACACACACTTAAGAACACCATTTTCAGGCTGCCCAGACACAATTCCTGCCTCTTTTGGTGCAGTTTTCACTCGATAGAAGGTGAACTTCTTGGCCTCATATGCTGATCTTTCTATTGACATCTCTTCTCCACGCCTGAGAGCCCATCCTCCTACATCATAACCATCAATTGATATGTCCACATGACAACCTGAAATGGACCAAAGAAACAAGAGTGTCAAACAATAGCCATAACACTTAAGGTTGGGGTTTAGTAATTAATTTTTATAATATGATTCAAGACATCACTGTTTACATACAGAGTTGTGAGACAACAAAATAGCATTTCTCAATTACTATTTTCACTCAAATGAAAATTGCATGCATATAATAAATGACAAATTGAACAAAAATTGTATTTTTAATTTAATTTTAGTAATTACTGAGAGTTCATTTAATAATTTTAACACACATATTAAATAACAAATAGAAAATGCATAAAAATGTTAAGGTTGGAGAGCATGAGTGAACTCTTGCTTCTATCCAGACTTTTCAAATGCATGCAGCTCTTGATACATATATAACTTAGCATATGTGAATTGTGTTGCAAGAAAGACTATATGGTCAATTTTCTACACTATAGTTTAGAAGAATTTGGAAACCTCCCCCTTCAGTCCTTTTTCCAGAACCCTTGGCTACAAGATCTTCCTTTGTTATTGTACATATTGTAATTGAACGTATTAACCCACTGAAACAGTTGCAGCTAAGCATATGACAGGAGTTTTGCTTCTCATATTTAACTGTGCTGATCATTTCATACATGCATGTCAGTGAGGCTCTGAAAAAAGGCTAACACTTAAAATATCAGCTTGAAAAACTCTCCATGATGGCCAAGTTACTTCATCAACCCAGTTGATAAAAACGAATTATCAATACTAGAGAGGTTTACCAAGTTAGGCCATCAGGATTGCTGATCCCATTAATTTTTGGGTCAGTATTTGAATTATGAACTACAGATACATTGTATATGCAGTTCACAAACAGAATATATTTGACATGTTTGTCTCTTACCATAGGTATGTGAGTTTTTTACATGTATTTTATACTGTGTGCCACTTTTCATTTCCACAAACTCTCCATCTGGAGTTTTGAAGTGTTTTCCTCCTATTATTTCCACAGAATAGCCCCCGTAAAGAAGAAAGTTCACATATCGCACCGATGGTGTTCCATGGGCTGGGTCATGTTGGACTCTACCAGATGAAGCAGCCTGATTGGGTCCTCGTGATTGTTGTCCCACAGCTGCAGGTGAGGGTGCAGGAGATGAAGTGTAGGAGCCTGGGATTTAAAAAGAAGAAGAGTAAGGTCCTGTTTAGCATACACATGTTCAACTTTAGATACCTTAATATCCAAAAGTTTTCAAATAAAATAATACACTCTATGTAACCTTTTTCAATCATAAAAAAATAGTTAAAAAAAACCTAATAAGATCTTGCTAATGACCGATATAAACCTTTCATAGTCAACAAAAAAATAACAAGGATTGCCACGAGAAAAACTGCTGGATTATAAAATATCTCCCTCCAGCATAACAATTCAGCTTTTTTAAACTTCTCAGCTAATCAGGCTGACCCTAACACCACCTCTAACCTCTTAAGTTAGCTGTTAATTGTAAATCTTGCTGTTTTCATCTAACTAAATTTCAAATTAAGTATTTGAGTTTTTTACTTTAAACATTCCTTATGATGGACAATTTCTTAAACACAGTTGTATATCAAAGAATCCATCACAGTGTAATTAGCAATCGCAGACAGCAACATTAGTGTATATATTAAGAGTAAAGAGTGGTTCAGTGGGTATCCTTAATTGTTATGAACTAAAAGCTGGCAGTTAACTTTTTGTTTGATTTACAAGTCTCACCATCATTTATAGCCATAGATAAATTATCACTGCTGGCCACAAGGCAATGCTTTGTAGGAGTAGCTTCTCCTGCACCCCTGGGTCTGGTTACTGTGGGGGTACTTCCCAGATTCCCATCAAACGGTAACACTGATTGATGAGGTAGCTGTGCTGATTTCAAGTGTACAGCATGAGCTGATTGATTCAAGCAAAAAAAAATGTTCAGTCTTCTACAGGGCTGATATTGAATAAAATCTAGCTTGCTCTGGGGAACTTAATGGAAATATTTTAAGTTTCCAAGTTAACAAGAAAGTGGAGATTTTCTTGTGCAGCAAAGACATCTACCTATCCTTAAGGACCTCACTGACATAAAAATGCTCTTCCAAAGAGATCTATGCAAACCACATATTTGGAAAAAGGTTAGTTATAAGGTATTCCTTTTACAATCAGTAATTCCTCTTAATCATAATACCTTTCTCTGCACCAGGGTTTATTGTGTCAGTAGGATCACTCTCTGTTGTGTCAGCATTGCCTTGATCCCCAATTCCATCAGTCACTATGTCATCTTGCCCACCTGCTTGGTGAACAGAGCAACGCTTACTTTAAACTGATCACTATTTTGTCTCAAACAAAATAGGAAACTAAATTAGCATTCTCAAATGCTCAGAGGGTATTCTATATTGTTCTCCCTTATCAAAACGCGACATATGCAGTTAGAATTACCATCAGCCTCAACACTGTCTGGTTTACTTGAGAAAACCTGAATTCTTTGCGCAAGATCCGCTCTGCCAATTGTATCAAACCCATCTTGCAGCAGGTTCAGGTTCTGTGGACTAATATGAACATCCTGTTCGAGTGCTTCAAATAACTTCAGTCCACTTTCCATATTTTCAGTCAGTCTCCTAGGAAGAATATCCCCTACAGCATAAATTAACCTCTCCAGATCTCTTTTAGTCAGTTCCATAGACAGATCTATAAGCAGTTTTCTGTAAGGACTTATGCGACTCTCCTCTCGAGCGGATGCCATGATCCCAAATGGCGGAAGTGCGGGTGGAAGCGAATTTTTAAATTTCGTTCCCAGGGTCCTCTCTTATTATTCAGCATGATCAGCATGATATGAGAGATAGTTTTTAATCGTCTTCAGCTGGGTTTCTTTCCGTCCCAAGGCTCTGAACTCTTTTTAATTCCGACTTTCGGTTATATTAAGGTGACTCAAATTTGTAAGATCTCTCCTCTTTTTTTCACAGAGTTTGCTATCTACTGGTTTAGAGGCGCCAATCAATTACCAAAGGCAAACCAGATCTACAAGGTTGAAACAATTAGCTCTGGAAATGACTGGGTATCACCTGCCCAGACCATAAACAGGTGATTGCAAGGTATACGTTCAATTATTTATTGATCGGCTATCGCCCCAATCACAAACAAAAACCGTGTTACCTTGATAACCTACACACCAGGTGAAAAGATAACAACTCCGGGGAGTCCGTGTGTATGACGAATTTGATTAGTCTCTTTTGCACAAATGAATAAAGAGGTAAGTTTCTAAAGAAACTGTGGTGCTGCGTCGGTGGGAGAGTATAGCAGGTAATTTAGTGTTAACAACTGGGTTGAAAACGTAAATTAGCCACCGTAAAGGGTAAAGAAGCTGACGTTTCGAGCGTTAGCCCTTCGTCAGATCTTTTGCACAAAGATCGTTGTGGCTCTTCTGTTTTACAAAGATTTGCAGTAATTTAGCATTCAAGTCTTATTTCGCAATTTTCGAGTGGTTATATCGATTTCTTGCGATTTTTATTCTCTGGAATGCTTCGCAAACAATAGTGGTTTCGGAAGATGAAAGTGCCTTATTCGTGGTTCGTTCTCCTATTTCTGGTAGGATTATTATCTGTTTCTGAATGATATTGAGGTATTTTTCATTTTAAGTGAAACATTTTTCATCTATTTCCTCACTTATGACTGGTAAGGTGAAAACTTTTCCGTTACTAAAATGCCGCTAAAAGATGACCATCATCAAACAACATCCTGAAAATTTCGATCGTGTCTCTATACATCTTTAAGAACTAAAAAAAACTAATTCAGATAAATTAGGAGAGCTCTATCGACAAGTTAATTTTGTAAGACACTGTTTCTCTCCATCGATCGGGTACTCAGGTTGCTGATTAGCTTAATTACTTTTTTCGACCAAATTCTACCATTACTTAAATAATGACTATTTTTAAGTGAGACCGTATTAAGGAAGTTTAAAAAAAAAGATCGGGATGTAATTCGCCAGGCTTTAAACAACCATGAACCTAATGTAGGCATAGCTAGGGTATTTGCCTTGAGACTTTGGATTGTTTGTATGAACTATGTTAAAATATGCATACGATCTGAGTGTGTACATATTTGTTAAAAAAAGCATCATTTATGTCTTTACAAATACGATGTAATATCAAGATCAAAGAGAAAAAATTTAAGACATACGATAATTTCAGAGCTACAACTAGTTTCAGGCCTCACGAAACGATTATTGAGGATTCTCTGTCTCTAAATACTTTGTTTAAAGTACATTATTCATCCTTCTCTGCAAAAGAAACATCTTGTAAAGTATCGTTACAAGAGATATACTTTAATTGCTTTTCAGGTTGTGAGATCAAACGGAGAACAAGGTAAGTCTGATAGTGAAAGGTATGTACCAGCGGCAGTTACCATCATTTCTAGGCTGAATCCCTTTTATCGTCAAGCTGTGACTGAAAATTGAACGGCTGCATCTGTCGTATTAAGTATTATATTCTGGGTTCAAAATAGAACACCTCCCAGGCTCCTACGGTCATTTTCATCGTTTGAACGACATATCAATCACTAATAGATGACAGCACAGGCGGCCAAGCTCAAGTCTCGAGAAAAAACCAACGATTAATTCATGAAAGCGTCACGCGTTGTGTGACTCGGTGTTAAGTTCGGCGTGGGGAACCGTTGAAAATTTGAACACGTTACAAGGAACAGTACGGGGGACCAAATGTAGTCGATTTACAACAATAAATATTTCGAAATATGAACACACGTAAAATCAATAAAACTTACCCACATTCTTTGTGTCCGTCGAAGTTTCCGACGATTTCTGCCGTTTTAAGCATGCTTTACCATCACTGTTATTCATGTTAAAAGACGAAGTTCCCTATACTATTCCTTGTGGCGTGTTCAAATTTTTAACGCGTGACGCTTTCATGAATTAACTGTTGGCTTTTTCTCGAGACGTGAGCTTGGGCCGCCTGTGATGACAGCGCTTTGCGTTAAAGTATCTCTCCGAATTATCACAAACCCAGACCTGAAACATATCGAGTTAAGATAACGTAAACAAATACCCATATAGGCATTATTCCAAATAACCCACGGAACGTCAACAAACCCTGAAAGAAACAACAAGACTACGGGAAAGGAGCCTTATAAGTCCCGACATAAAAGAAACCTTAGTTATGAAAGGGTGAAATTAGCTTTACAGTTTGACCCAAATAAATGTACGAGATTTGATCTCTTGGCTAGTTTCCCTTTTTTTGGGTTAAAATCTCACCTTTTGCTTTCCACCTTAAATTGATTTGATTTTATGATAAGCTTATCGGAAAGCGCCTTTTTCATTAAATTCAAAATTAACACAACGGCTACTGAATAAAAAAGGAATTATAACTGAGAGGCAATCACGACTAAGTAAAAAGATTGCCTGAAGCGCTTGAAAATGGAGACTGACCAATGATTAAGATGAGAGAGTGGCACGTGTTTCCTGGACAGGTCCCATAGAGTATATAGAGTGCAGAAAGATTTTGTTATGCATCTTTTGAGTATTGATGAGGATGTTGTCTACATGTACTTACATGCATATTCCAAAAAAAATATTTAGAATGTAAAGTTCCTCTCGGCATGGAAAACGGCAACATACAGGACGACCAAATAACAGCGTCCTCGCAATGGAACTCAGCCACTCACGGCACCACCCGGGCTAGGTTGAATCTTCTACCAAGCTCAGGAGCGGGAGGTTGGGTGGCTTTACAGCACACAGTTGATGAGTGGCTCCAAGTGGACCTACGCAGTCAATATACGAGTGTTACAGGCCTGGCTACACAGGGGAGGAATGATCACGGTCAATGGGTGACAAAATACTACGTGCAGTACAGTTATGATGGAGTTAAGTTTGATTCTTACAAGGAAAATGGCCAGTCATTGCGCAAGGTAACAGACAGTAAAAGGTTGATCAACCGAATTTGCAGCTGCAATACATGACTGATCCATATGCCTACATGAGGTTTCCAGTTATCTCACCACACCAAGTTTCTCATTTATCTAAGTCCTTTTTCATCATTCCTTTGATGCTGTTACAATTAGCCACTTCAATTTGGCCATGCTTAAATGCAATTGTGATTCATTACAATTTCTGAAACACTTCTGATCAACTACACTATATTTTCCTTGATTTATTCCATACTCTTTCTATATTTCAAATCCATTCTATATCCCTCTTCTAGATTTGGGTGACCTAAAAACAATATTACCTTTCATCTTTTTTTTTTATTACTTTTTCTGCAAGTTATCAATAACAACTCTACTCCTGGAAAAAAAACCTTACTATGACTCCGTATTTTTTGGTTTAACAACTTTCCTAATTTTCCCCAGCAAATAAAATTAAACAGCATAAAAACTGGTCATAACCCTTTTCCACCTAACATTAGCATTCTTGGTCTCTGTAGAAATCTCTTTCGTTCTTAAATTTCAAGTAACAATTTTTCTCTTCCTCTTCCCCCTTCGTATTCTTTTTGTACTCTTAGTTTGTTTTCGTGGAGTTTTAGTTATTTTTGAGCTTTCGTTCGCGTAAATTTGTTACTCCTTTGTTTGGAATTTTAGGAAGTTTCGGAGTTTTTATAGCAGCCAAATGTTGTGGTTCATTTAACAAGTTTAAAACATATTTTCTATGGAGTTTAGACTCAAGCCTCTTTTTTCGTAAATTGATTATTCTCTCCACACTGTTCTCTGCATATTTCCAAGGGTACTGACAAGAATTTGTTCGAAAATCAGGAGCTTCTTAAAATGGTGATCATTTCCTTTATCCTCATGACCGACACTTTTGATTCATAGGTGATGCTGTGGATATACATTAGATTCCATGTACTCTCAGGGGTTAAAGCGTTAATGAGTACAATTATTCCTCTCCTATGTCATTATACCAAACAAGGTCATGAGGACGCGAACAATATGCCACGATATAACACTGTAGCACAGGCAAAAATATGAAGCAACAAAATGGCAGCACTGAATGATGGAACGATCCAAACTTTGATATCGTTTTCTTTTTTAAAAAAACGAACTTTTAAGTGCGACAGATTTATTTTCTGGTAACAAAGAACACTTAAATGGTTTCGTTCGTGTTGTTTTCGTCTTCCGCGTACTCCTTCTGCGATCAATACCATGCACAGATAAGGCCGTGGGATGTATTTTGCAAGCTGAAATCGCAACATCAAAAAGTGAAATAATAGTGGGATAATAGCTCCCCTATTTGATGCTTTAATACTTATGTAATACGAGCGGACATTTTGTCCATTGCTTGCAGTAAAGTATCACGCAACTCGCAAATATCCGAGTGTATTGTATGTTAAACCATCGAATAAGGTGTATTTAATGTTTAACTTTTGCTTTCGGTCTAATTTCCGTTTTACTTCTGATTTCTAAAATTTTGTTCAAAGGAATAGTGACATCATGAAATCGGATAAAAGAGCGCTACTTTCGTCAAAACTTTTTTCCCAGCTCAGATTAATTCCTAACATTCAACCACTATTTTGTGCTTTAGGAGTTTTCCGGAAATCAGGACCGTGATACAGTTGTATATCATGAACTTAACCCGCCAATCACAGCACGGTATATCCGTTTCCGGCCTCTAACATGGCAAGGACTTGTGTCAATGAGGGTTGAACTTTATACCTGTCTGCAAGGTACTGCCTGAATTAATTGACATGAACCGAAGCTCTGAAACTTTTTAGCGTGATGCCAGTAAGCTTTATAATGAGTGGTTAATTTTGTTGGTGGTAAAACTCGTGCATTATGCAATCTTTTGCAATAAACAATCAACAATAATTTATTAATGTAGGAGTTAAAATAGGAGGATATTGAATAAATAGCACATATTTGTGTAAAAAGATAAATATATAGATGAATAAATGAGAGAGTCTCCACCAATTTCACCGTTACTGCGATAAACAATTATTTCAGTACTAAATGGCCAAAAATGACGTCATTTCTGACGATGTGCAGACATACTTAGGCTCTACTTTTGACTTAAAACAAAACTTACTTTCTACTTACTTTTAGTGTGCACTGCACCAGCCGTTGGTATGGAAACAGGTGACATTCTAGATTCTCAACTGTCTGCCTCATCGGGAGATCCTTCAAAGGCTCGTTTGAACGGAGTAGAGGCCTGGTGTCGACAATGGCCGGAAACTGCGAACGAGAATGTGTACATCCAGGTATTTAACAAATTTGAATCTGTCTGCCAAGTTAAAGATCAAAATTGACGAAATAATGATGAGGTGAGAAAGAAGTGAACTATTTAATGTCCAAATGAGCTTGCGAGTGACTGCTGGAGGCCGATTCTTTTTTTGTTCAGGTATTTTTTATTTCACCACGTAACTTTTCCTTATCGCTTTCCTTCCTCATAAGTATTGAGCTCCTGAAACTAATTTTTTTTTCGCGGCTGTCTTTCCATAACGACTTTGAGTTAAGTTGTCTATATTTGTTTGGGTTGAGTTAGGTATTCAACACGAAAGATGTGCAACGAGAATATCAACAAACGTGGCTAGGGTTGTTCTATAAAGACGATCGACTTTGTTTTGAGATTTCCTTATGAATGGGTTTCGTAAAATAGTCATGGTCATAACAGTCAATCAAACTCAAGTGATATTTCAATTTGAGCCTTTGCAAAACCAACCTAAAAGTTGTAAAGGTCCATAGATTCGAAGTAAGAGGGTGGCTTGGACCGAAGCAAAGGAAAATGAACGCAACCCCACATTACTTTTGACAATCCATTGCTCAATCTGATACTTCATGAGGATTTGATAATTGTAGGTAGATTTTGGCCGACCTTACCGTATTTGTGCAGTTGCCACTCAAGGAAATAATGCTGGAAACTATGATTACTTGAAAGAATACAAACTGAGATGGTCAGACGATGGTGTTAGCTGGAGGGAAAGTCCAGAGGTAAAAGAGAATTACAATGGAAACAAGAAATATCACAAAAAACTGCCAACTCGTCTGTATATATGATTATCATGGTATTCAACTAACTATACTACTTCAAGCGCTCTCTTTCCGACCAACCTCTATGCAAACATTAGAAGGAAGAAGAGTTTCTTATCAGATAAGTAAGTTTCATGCGGATAATGCATACAAACCAGGAATTGACTGATTTGGGGAAAGTTTCTCGTAAGTCCCGGTAATGTAACGAGTCTTAACCATACTTTTAAATCCCTAACTAAGAAAGAGTAGTGCCGGTCTTTTCTCAAAAATCCGTTACCTCTTTTCTTTGCCATGTTGATCTATGGATTGAATTGCAAACCAATTAAGTCTCTTTTTTGAATACAAACAAGTGGCAAACAAAAATAAATTAGGTGATAAGGACAAGTGAGAAACAAGACATTCGTAAGACAGCCCTTTGGTTGGACAGTTCTTATTGAAAACATTTTCTTTTCTTTGAGTCGCAGAGGTGACAACAGCCTTGAGACTAGCAACGTTTATTTCCAGTACTGCTTTTTATAAGTACTACTTTTGCATTAAATTTTCAGGTTCTAGAAGGAAATAGCAACGCACATGAAGTAAAGAAGAACATTATTCCGGTTATTTACGCTCGATATTTCCTCCTTATACCGTTAAAGTGGTATCATTGGACATGCACAAGAATGGAAGTTTACGGAGAACCTTGGCCAGAAGGTATATCTTTATATCTTATTTATAAATTTCAATGACGCTCCATAATACCACGTGCACGTGTATGTCTTTTTTTTTTCTTATTACAATTATCTTTCGTAGAGTTATATTTGTTCGACCATTCTCGTGACATGTGAACGTCTCCCTCGGCAGTGCCACTGAGGATTAACTGAGTTAGGAGACCCAATCCCTCCGATTGCCCTTGAATATAAAGAAGCCTTTGGCCATCTGGTCTCCTAAGAGTAATGTTACATGAACCGTGCACATTTGCTTGATGTTCTCATGGACCATAGAAAGACTTGTCTGAGCACTGCGATTGAACAAAACCTTGTGGGGAAGGATTGTATATTTTTACATCCTCCTGAAAAAATTCCAAAGTCAGGAATATTCCAAATGTAATCATGCAATGAACTCATCTTCTACTTTGGGCGCTATGATTGGTTGTTTCCTTTGCTATATATGTGCGTGAAAATGAATGGCTGCAGTAGTTCAAAACCTATGTGCTTTGTCTGGTTCAACATGAAAAACAGTCTTGGAAATGATGACAAGATTTCAAAAAATTTAACTCCAGTTACGAATTGTAAAAGAACGTAACAGGTGTTTGCGAGCAAGAAAAACAAAAGGCGTTTTTCCATTGACACAAGAACATTGTTACAGGAAAAAAATCACAGCTCGAACACTGTGAGGCAAAACAGTTTTGTGATTTTTCAAATTGTATCTTCCTGTTCAGTGCACTAAACTCGAGTAGACTATTTCACCTTGTCTGTTCGGTTTTAGATAACAAACTCTCAAGCGATTCGCGCGCCTGATTGATTTCTTGCCACGTTTGACGTCAATTGAGATCTACAACTGGAACAGACAGACGGAACATAGAATCCATCGGTTAATTCGAGAGGATTCCGGGATAAAGTTTTTCTACTTAATCCTCCTCTAACTTGAAAGACTCATTTTGATCGTGATGTAGTTGATTTTATACTCAGTAACACAACCTGTCTAGTGTGGACTCTACATATCAATGAAAGGTGAAAGCCTAAAATTAAAACTCTCTATTTTTCTTCTATTTTCCATCTAGTCTCGGGAGCGTTGTTTGAGCCACGGTTTGGTCCGGGTAAAGCACTGCCAGGTCATGTGATTTCATCACAGAGTGTCACTGATGTCATACAATGTATCAAGTTGTGCTTGGAAACCAATCAGTGCCAGTCGATTAATTTTAACAACCAGCAAAAGAAATGTGAAGTAAGCGGGTCCAAAAGTGAGATGGCCCGTATCCAAGAACGAAACGGCTTTCATTATTACGAGGTCGTGTCCTTCCAAGGCATATCTATTTAAGAACATGCCAAGGTTTCCACTTTACTTACACGTATACTACGATAGTAGCTATACTGTGAAACCTTAAGCTTAATGGAAGTAGAAACTCTCATAAGCGATTTAGTGGCACAAAACAGAAGCAGTCCATCACAACAGTAGGTACTCAGTCACCACGCCACCAGAAAGACTCACCACCAAGGTGTAATCAATCTCGCCTCCAAGGCGTGTTACCTCGACACCACGTAATAAATGCAATTTAAAAAACCCGGGTATTTCCTTGGCAATTCGAAATATGAAAGTTGACTCACACCCGGGAAGGGCACAATCAAAGCTATAACTCGAAGAAATAACGATAACCTGACCTCTGTCGTGTTTCTGTTCCAAGGGATATAAATACACTTCACTTTACACCTTATTAGACTACTTCATTGCTAAAAATGCTCAACCCATTATCTTTCGAAATCCAGAAAACCATGGCGCACTTTTTGTGAAAACGCGGAATATTAAAAAGCGATAAAATAGATCATAATTCATTAAAATCGGTTGCCAGTCATTACGAACCCACACTCGTTTCGTACTCAGTCTATTACTAAAGCCTAAATTTAAGAAATCGTAGAACTGAATGAGACTTCAACCTTTTGTTACTGTCGCAAAGAATGCCAAACATGCTTCTTCTTCAGTTAACAATCAAAGGAGAAAAGGGCTAAGGGATCTCATTCACAACGTGTACTAATCGACTTTTAGTGGCCTATTTGTGATTTTAGACGCTAAATGCCGATTTTTTATTTGGGACACTATTGGCTAATTTGTGACTTTGGACTCTTGTGGCCGATTTATGATTTTGGACCCTAGTGGCCCATTTGTGATTTTGAACACAAACGGCCGGTTTGTGATTTTGGACCCTTGACGCTGTTTTTTTATTTTGGACCCTGGTGGCAGAATTGTGATTTTGTGCCCTAGTGGCCGATTTTTCAATGTAGACCCTAGTGGCAGATTTGTGATTTTGGACCCAAGTGAACGATTTTTCAATTTGGACCCTAGTGGCCATGTGTGATTTCGGACACTAGTGGCCGATTTGTGATTTTGGACACTAATGGCCGATTTTTCAATTTGGACCCTCGTGGCCGATTTGTGATTTTGGACACCAGTAGCCGATTTTTGATTTTGGTCATAGTGGCCGATTTGGACCCTGAAAGTGGCTGATTTGTGATTTTGGCCACCAGGGGCCGGTTTGCAATTTGGGACACTTGGGGCCGATTTGTTAATTATTCTGGACCCTTGACGCCGTTTAGTGATTTTGGACACTGGTGGCTGATATTTCATTTATTGGACCTTAATGGCTGATTTGTAAGTTTTGACACAAGTGGCTGATTTGTGATTTTGGACTGTAGTTGCCGATTTGTGATTCAGGGCACAAGTGGCCCATTTGTGATTTTGGACTCTAGTGGACCCTAGAAGACCCTAAAAGTGGCTGGTTTGTGATTTTAGACCCTAAAATTTCCGATTTGGGATTTTTGACACTAGTGGCCGATTTGTGATTTTAGACCCTAAAATTGCCGATTTGTAATTTTGAACACTAGTGGCCGATTTGTGATTTGGACCCTTGTGGCCGATTTGCAAATTGGGACACTTAGGGCTGATTTGGGATTTTTGACACTAGTGGCCGATTTGTGATTTTGGACTCTAGCTGCCGATTTTTGATTCAGGACACAAGTGGCCCATTTGTGATTTTGGACTTTAGTGGCCTATTATTCAACTTAGACCCTTGTGGGCGATTTCTGATTGTGGTCACTATAGTGGCCGATTTGTTATTTTAGACCCTAGAAGACCCTAAAAGTGGCCGATTTGTGATTTTGGACTCTAGCCGGCGGGACATTAGTGGCCGATTTGTGATTTTAGACACTAGTGGCCGATTTGTGATTCGGACCCTTGTGGCCGATTTGCAAATTAGGACACTTGGGGCTGATTTGAGATTTTGGACATTAGTGGCTATGTGATTTTGAACCTTTGTGGCCGATTTGTTATTTTTGACTCCAGAAGCCGATTTGCAATTTTGGACTCTGAAAGCCGATTTATAATTCTGGATACTAGTGGCCGATTTGTGATTTTGGACACTAGTGGCCAAAAGAACAAAAATTATTACGTTAATTAAAAAAACTTTTTTGGTCCACACTATCACCCCTTTTCAAACCAGTTTCTCTTAATTTACAAACTAGGAACGAAAATGTTTCAACAACTAATACTAACCCATTAAAGTATATTTAATACATTCAAGACATAGTTAACCTACATATATAGACTAAGTTGTACAAAACGTTTTAGAGTTTATCTTTACCCCATTAAATTTAGCAACCCGACTTCATAACCTACCTCACCTTTCTTTAATTCCTTTAATTTAGTACACCATCTTTCATTTTTCTTTTTCGTTCTCCTTTGTTTTATTAATTGATTAATTAATTAATTAACTTTCTTCTCAGTATCCATGGGGTTGACATAGCTGTACTACAGGTTGTTGGTCCCTCATCGCCGGTGACGAATCGGGTTTTTTGACCGCGCGAGATCTGGACGGAAATGTGGCGCGAGCTTTGAAAATGTCGACTAGCAAAACAAATATGGCGGCTCGGTACGATCGCACGATCATAGATTTATATCAACATTATCGAACACATTCAACCTTGTATAGCAGTTTTAAACACTGGCACTTTTCTTTAGTTGAAAAGGAAATTACTCAGGTCACATACAAACAGTACACGAAGATCCTCTTGATCTGATTTTCATTACTTTGCAAATATTCAGAGAGTCAATAAATTTAAAAATGTTAAAAAGAGAACTTTTGGTACAACGTGTACATCATGTAAATCGATTTAAAACAAAATTATGCAAGATTACCTTCATTCCACCGATTTAGGAATGATGTTATAAAGCAACAAAGTGCTTCCCAACTGTTACAGTTCATAACAGAGTTACTGTACAATACATAACGAACAAAATTTCTCAGTTTCAATTTACTCTATGCTGTTCTCGAAAAACACAAACCTCACATCACTGATGATACATTGGAAGTTAAGCGCGCGGCGTGCATCTTCGCTGTGATCCATAGCTATAGGGCGCTTATATAGTATTCTAACTGGCTCGTTCATTATAAGGACTATTTTGCCAATGTGCCCATAATAGAGCTATTTTTACATCAGTTTTTCGAGTCATTTCTTCGATCACATTTCTAAGAAAATTACTAGATGAACATTCATGTAAAGCGAAAGGCACACTGATGAAATCCTTTCACGTTCCTCTGATTTGACTATTTTCAGATAACAAAATAAAATAACCACACCAGAGAGTCAGAGAGAAAAAATAGCAGAAACATGCCTCAAACTTTTCCACTGTTTGTTTGTTTGTTTTTGACCACGACTAGCTTAAGTAATGCAACTTATTTTCAACGGTCTTTAACCAGGTGGTCGTACAAAATCAGCGCGATGTGGTTTATTTTCACAACTATCCAGTTTAGACATAAGTTCGTCAAAGTGAATCCAGTAGTCACTCTGTAGGTTACTCTATCTAAAGCTATCTAACAGTCAATCATTGCATAGACACCGACCCAGTCTATGCTCTACTCTTGGACAGCTGGTGGAATCAGAGTTGACAACGGAGTGCACTTGCCTTCGGGGAACTTGAGACCTTCTTCTCCCTCTCTGAAAACAAAGAAATACCCAAAAAGGAAACAAATTGCTTTAGACAACACAACAAAACGACATCGGAAGCTCATCTTGTATCTGTGGACCCCTTCACGATACCCAACATAAAAATACTAGCCAAGCTGGTTCAATAAATTTTGGTGTTTAGCCTTAGTTGAGAGGCTTGTTGGCCCGCAGAGTAAGAGTGAGAAAAGGTTCTTTACAGTTAGCGATCCTTATGATTCAAAAGAAGCTTGTTGGAGAACAAGTTGCACAATGTGACACCCAAAACAAAAAAAATAAAAATAAGGTTGCTTTCCATCGATTGTTTTGGATGAAAAAGGCGTAAATTTGATCCCTAGCGAGGTGATTTTTGTCCATACGGTCGTTAACCATGCAAAGCGTCCGCGAAAAGTTAACCATGACTGATTATTAATTAGAGTAAAGCTTAAAAAACTATCTTCCGGACCGTAGCAGATCTAAATTAAAACTATTAATGCATCAAATACTTTGAAACAGTTCACTTGCCCTCAAAACGCATACTTAAGTGTTACCTTGCCACAAGCCTGAGAACCAACTCAATCTTCTTTGAAGGATCCACTCTGATTGGTTCAGCCTTGATAAACCGTTGTGTGCTTTGGCCTTGTAATGTTGTTCCACCTGATCTCCATTCTGGATCCGATTCAACGGCGTTGACAAGATTGGCCTTGTAACCTTCTTCTTCCTTGAAACCAAGATAACCTAAGAGGAAAAGAATATATACGACAGTCCTAAAGTTATTACCGGTTCCATTGTTAATGTTTTTTTTTTCGGAATTACAGTGGACAGCGAGGAGGTCCAATCCAAAAACACGAGCCCAAAGTGGTCAATTGGTATTTACCAAACGTTCTCTTCCGAATTCCAGGAACTAAAAAATAATTAGCCTACTGATGGGGTGTAACAAGAAATAATGTAGTAGAGAGAAGCTCTCCCACTCTCGCTTCCACCGAGCCTAATTCCTTTCTCAGTTAGATAATAAATAGCCTCCTTTTCCCGGCCAAGATGTGCAAGTTCAAAAAAAAATCGACGGGAAAAAGACTTTTTCTTCTACGAATTATTTCTTTCTTCCGCGACTTCTTTTTTTTTTTTCTCTCGCGACCCCTTTTTTCTAATTTTACTTCTCTTTTTATCCATACGCAATTCTTCTCTCCATCAGCGACTTTTTCAAAACCCGCGCTTTATTATCAATCTGTTAATTTTTATTGTATTTTGCAGTGGACTGCTGGGTGGCCATTTAAAAAAGAATACTCAATGGGTGTGCTTTTTTTGCAGCCATCTTGATCTTTGTTTTCTTTTCCACTGGACTGTCATTGTGTTTTTCCAGATTATCTTCCTGCATCGCATTTTCTGACCGCTTTTTTAGGTGAGCCCGCAGTCTTAAGGCACTCAAGAAGAAGTCGCGAATAGAAAAAAAAGGCGGCGGTCGAAAAGCAAGAAGTCGCGGAAGTCGATTCCCCTTCCGAGCCATCGTCGAATGGATTGAAGTTTTTATGCAAACAGCCCCTTACAACATTCATTTGAAGTCATCAAAATCGTTTTTTTCTGTTCAATTGTGGTTAGAGTAACGAGTTCTTAACAAATTTTCATGTTGGACGTTTCGGCAGATACATAATTGCGACATTTTCCAATTGTTTTGTTCTCATATTACGATGCTCTGCATTTCATGCGTCTTTCAAAAAAGCTTGAAAAAAGCGTTTGCAGGTTACGGTTTCGGGCTGTAAGAAGTCGTTTATAAATACAACTTACCCTCATAGACTCTAGTAGAGTGAATAACATCTTCAAAGATAGAGGAACTTTCATTTAGAGAGATAGATGCAGAGAAGGACATGGTTCTGTCAGGGTACCATTTCATTGTTTAAAAATCGTAAGAATATTGGTGTCTTAAAAAACCAAATGAATTTTTGGTCAGTTTAGACCTCCTTTAAGTTTTAATTTAGAAAAAATTATACTTTTCTCTCATTGTATGATCTTCATCTAACTCGATTCAAACTTGTAAACGCAATGCGTTTTTTGTCTGTTAATTAGGTTGCATTCTCCATAAGTTTACTGCAAGAAGCAATCTTAAGGCACTCAAGAAGAAGTCACGTGTGAAAAAAAAGTCGCAGTCAAATAGCATGAGGTCGCGGAAGATGATTCCCCTTACAGGCCACTGTTGAATGGATTGAGGTTTTTATGCAAACTGCTCCTTACAATATTCTTAGCATAGCACAAACCACATGAAGTCATCAACCTTGTTTTTTTTGTTCAATGGTAATTAGAATAAGAAATTCTCAACAAATTTTCATGTTGAACGTTATAAACGCAATACGCTTTTTGTCTTTTAATTAAGTTGCATTCTCCCCAAGTTTACTGCAACAAGCAGTCTTTGAATACTACTTACCATTTGACATCGCACGACGTGGAGGTGGACCTAAATGGATAGGAGCGAAGAAAGACATTACTCTCTCAGTGTACCATCCTCTTCTTTTAAAATTATGAAAATGTATATCGGTGCCTCAAAACTTAAGTTATGAATTGCTCATTTTTCGCAGGGTAAGACATGGTTCTGTCGGGGAACCATTTCATTGGTTAAAAATCATAAGAATATTCGTGTCTTAAAAGCAAGTGACCTTTTAAATGCTATGCGTTTTTTTTTTTTTTTTTTTTTTTTTTTTTTTGTCTTTTAACTAGGTTACACACTCCCAAAATTTTCTGCAGGTTTTGGTTTACGACAAGAACGAGGCAATTCAAACGCTATATGAGTGTACCAACATAAAATCAATAAGGAAGTGATCGCCGAATATCACTGGAAATAGAGAAGCCAGCAGAGTGAAAAATTACTAGGGTGTAATGATCAGGGGATTATCAGCCACGTTTGCGACATGTAATTCAAGTGCGTTGCAAAGAGTCGTTGCTTTCTGTGATGCATGGAAACTCTAGTGAAAAGTGATAATAAGATATTCATAGCAATTTAACTTGCTGGTACTCTCTTTAATTCCAAAGAGACTTTTGGCGCAAGTCCCCTCCCCCCACTTCTCCATGAGGAGGACTGCGTAAGTCCCTGTGCTGGTTTCAATTCAGAGAACACACATATTTAAACTCGACTTACCAGCACCCAATGACAGACACATCGGTCTGGTTACAATAGGCCACTTTACAGTTGTGTACTTGGTTGCCAAGCCTTTGATTTAGAAAGGGGCTGACGGTGACAATATTGTGATAGAGACCAGTATCGAGTTAGAATGATAACAAAGTAGTTTACATTTGAAAAGCAGCAATGTTTTTATCATAACAAGGTTATCCTTAGCCTCACTCCTTTCCAAAGGCTTGGCAACAAAGCAGGCAACTGTAAAATGGACTATTTTGGTTACACTTCAGACAAAATGATTCTTTCACCATTTTTGTCCATTTGAATTCAAACAAACAAACTCTGTTGGAAGGCATATGTTTCCACAGACAAAATAAAGCATATATCAATTAACTTTTTAACGTCCGGAAAAGAATTCTCTATTTCATCACATTTCTGCTTTACATGTGCACAAATGTTGTCGTAATATAGAATTCCTAAAGGGCTACAAAAACTGGGCAAGTTAAATACGTGTCAACCCTTTCACCCCCAAGATCTCATTAGTAATTCTCCTTACTGTCTGCCATATAATTCATGTGATGTTAGTTCAGAGAATTTTGGTACTGGATCAACTAATAATCCCCTAATTGATATTGTTCTCTATTCTCATGGCTTGTTTGCTTGATATTGTATTGATATTGCAAGGAGAAATTCTATCTTGGTCAGTCATGGGAGAAAAAGGATTCAAAGAGGAAGTCAAGCGGTGGAAGCATAAATTGTCGACCCAAAACCATGTTCACAAGTTTTTGAAAACGTTGCTATTTAAAAATTCATATTAGATACATATACCTTTTCTTTTCTCATCGAAAAGGCGATGGACTGGACATTAACATTTGTCACATTGAAGGAGAACGACCTTTTTTGCTATTGTGGAAGGTGAAACAAAGCAGACGTTGCACTACCTTCTGAAGTCCTTGTTTCTTTACTGGAAAAAGAATAGTTGCTCAAATTGTAACTTTTTTGAAAACGGGTTTATATATACATATTAATAAAAATTATAACAAACTTCTCGAACGTGATTGGTTATCACCAACCCGATTTCAGCACTAATAGGACAGTGTACGCGCCACGCTTGTAATTAGACAGTGAAATAAGACAGTTAAAGGGAAAGTTAACACGTCATGCCTGTGAAAGTAGGTAGCACGCGTCATGAGCGCGCGCTGTTGTCTCGCATTTCGCCGAGTCAACTGTTGATATTTTTAGGAAAACGTACAACCGATGTCTACTCTTTTCCCTAAAATTTTTTCATAGTTTTTATTAATTGGTAACAGTACTTCGTGTCGTCCAATTCTGTCTGTAATCATATTCGTGATAAACAAATGGGACTCCTGCTTCGCAGTTGTCCGATTTTGTTAATCACTCGTATGATTAAAGATCGAATTGGACTCCACTCGGTCCTGTTGCCATGAAGAAATGTAAAATGGTTTCCGTGTTTACATAGCCTGATGTAAACACGCGGGAGGTTGGGAGAACACGAGATAAGCGTATGAAACTACAACGCGAAGCGGAGTGGTTTCCAGCTTATCGAGTTATTATAAAATAACTAATGAAAGAGGAACGAAAAGCGTGTTTACATACGCTCATGTAAAATGGTTTTATGGCCAATCAGAGCGCGCGCACTATTTGAATTATTTTATAATTATTAATCATAAACATTACAATTTACTTAAATGTGATTGGTAAAATAACTGATTTATTTTTCACTAATTATTTTGCAGAGTTGTAATCGGACAGTGTAATCGATTACAACGTTGGCTGTAATCAGATACCTGTAATTGCACAGTTGAAACAGCCTATAAATAGCCTCCCTTTCCCGACCTAGATGTGCAAGTTAAAAGAAATCAGCGGGAAAGATTCTTTTTTTCTTCTACGAATTAATTTTTTTCTTCTACGACTTTGGTTTTTTTCTTTCGCGACCTCTTTTTTCTACAGCTACTTCTCTTTTTATCCATGCACAATCAGCACACATCAGCGACTTTTTCAAAACTCGCGCCATATCCTCAATCTGCGAATTTTTATTGTGTTTTGTGGTGGACTGCTAGGTGGCCATTTAAAAAAGACTACTAAGTGGTTTTGTTTTTTTTAGCAGCCATCTTGATCTTTGTTTTCTTTTCCATTGGACTGTCTTTGTGTTTTGCCAGATTACCTTCCAGCATCGCATTTGCTGACCGCTTTGTTAGGTGAGCCCGCAATCTCAAGGCACTCAAGAAGAAGTCGCGAGTGGAAAAAAAGTCGCAGTCAAAAAGCATGATGTCGCGGAAGTTGATTCCCCTTTCAGGCCACTGTTGAATGGATTGAAGTTTTTATGCAAACTGCCCCTTACAATATTCTTAGCATAGCACAAACCATATGAAGTCATCAACCTCGTTTTTCTGTTCAATTTTAATTAGAATAAGAAATTCTGACCAAATTTTCATTTTGGACGTTTTGGCAAATACATGACTGCGACATTTTCAATTGTTTTGTTCTCATATTACGATACTCTGCATTTCATGCGTCTTTCAAAAAGCTTGAAATTAGCGTTTGCACGCGTTGAACTTCTCCCAATTACTGCAGGTTACGGTTTCGAGCTGCATGAAGTCGTCTATAAATACAACTTACTTTTACGAGAAGAGCAACCAACACGTGAACCGCGTAGAGAAATAGATGCAGAGAAAGACATGGTTCTGTCAGGGTACCATTTCATTGTTTAAAAATCGTAAGAATATTACTGTCTTAAAAAGCAAGTGAATTAATGGTCAGTTAAGACCTCCTTCAAGTTATAATTTAGACAAAATGATACATTTCTCTCATTGTATGATCTTGATCTAACTCGATTCAAACCTGACCTTGTAAACGCAATGCGTTTTTCGTCTTTAATTAGGTTGCATTCTCCCCAATTTACTGCAAGAAGCAGTCCCTTTTGGTTCGTACGGAAATGTTGAGGTGAACTTAAATGGATAGGAGCAAAGAAAGACATGATTCTCCCAGTGTAGCATACTCTTGATTTAAAATTATGAGAATATATATCAGTGCCTCAAAAAGTTAATTATGAACTGCTCATTTTTTTAAGTCACTCAGGAACTATTTCTTGTTACAATTTACACTAAATTCTGCATTTCTCATTCCTCGTCGTATGATCTCGATTTCACTCTATTCAAACTCGACCTTGCAGACTACGATTAGCAGTTTTCTCGAGCCCGGACTATAATATTATCCATTTGATGGTCCTAAACCTTTCTTAATACTGCACGAGCCTTCAATCACTTTAAAACGATATGTACTTGGTTCAAGGTTTTACGACACTTTTTCACTCAACTGCAAGACAGTATTTGTAATTATTATTGAACTATGTCATAGCCAGAAATAAACAAAGTGAGAACTGGACGTCCCCTAAACGTGACTTACCAAGTCTCGCTACCGTATTCCACCGTGAATCTGGAAGACAGAATCCGAAAAGAAAAATAGATAAATAAATAAATAACTGGACAAACTCATAAAGAAAAAATCAACCTTGGGGCTATTTGTTTTTGAAATTTCAATTCAGACCTAATTCTGGTTACAATTCAGACAAAATTATTCTTTTACCATTGGTGTCCATTTGAATTCAAACAAACAAACAAACTCTGTAAGCAAGGCGTTTGTTTCCATAGAGAAAATTAAGTATAAGTTAGTTAACTTTTTTCATATCCGGAAAAGAATTCTCTGTTTTATCACATCTTCTGCTTTACATGCGCACAAATGATGTCGTAATACAGAATTCCTGAAGGGCTTCAAAAGCTGGGCAAGTTAAATACATATTAAACCATTTCATTGGTTAAAAATCATAACGTTATAAACGCAATACGTTTTTTGTCTTTTAATTAAGTTGCACTCCCCAAGTTTACTGCAACAAGCAGTCTTTGAATACTACTTACTATTTAAGATCGCGCCACGTAGAGGTGGACCTAAATGGATAGGAGCGAAGAAAGACATTACTCTCTCAGTGTACCATTCTCTTCTTTCAAAATTATGAAAATGTATATCGGTGCCTCAAAACTTAAGTTATGAATTGCTCATTTTTCGCAGGGAAAGACATGGTTCTGTCGGGGTACCATTTCATTGGTTAAAAATCATAAGAATATTCGTGTCTTAAAAGCAAGTGACCTTTTAAACGCTATGCGTTTTTTCTTTTCTTTTTTTTTTGTCTTTTAACTAGGTTGGACACTCCCAAAATTTTCTGCAGGCTTTGGTTTACGACAAGAACGAGGCAATTCAAACGCTACATGGGTGTACCAACATAAAATCAATAAGGAAGTGATCGCCGAATATCACTGGAAATAGAGAAACCAGCAAAGTGAAAAATTACTAGGGTGTAATGATCAGGGGATTATCATCCACGTTTGCGACATGTATTCAAGTGCGTTGCAAAGAGTCTTTGCTTTCTGTGATGTATAGAAACTCTAATGAAGAGTAGTAGTTAGTTATTCATAGCAATTTAACTTGCTGGTACTCTCTTTAATTCCAAATAGATTTTTGGCGCAAGACCCCTCCCCCCAATTCTCCACGAGGAAGACTGCGTAGGTCCCTGTGCTGGTTTCAATTCAGGGAACACATACATTTAAACACGACTTACCAGCACCCAATAACAGACACATCGGCCTGGTTACAATAGGCCATTTTACAGTTGTGTACTTAGTTGCCAAGCCTTTTGATTTGGAAGGGGGCTGAAGGTGACCATATTGTGATAGAGATCAGTTAGAATGATAACAAAGTAGTTTACATTTGAAAAGCAGCAATGTTTTTATCATAACAAGGTCAACCTTAGCCTCACTCTTTTCCAAAGGCTTGGCAACCAAGCAGGCAACTGTAAAATGGACTATTTTGGTTACAATTCAGACAAAATGATTCTTTCACCATTTTTGTCCATTTGAATTCAAACAAACAAACTCTGTTGGAAGGCATATGTTTCCAAAGACAAAATAAGGCATATATCAATTAACCTTTTTAACATCCGGAAAAGAATTCTCTATTTCATCACATTTCTGCTTTACATGTGCACAAATGTTGTCGTAATATAGAATTCCTAAAGGGCTACAAAAACTGGGCAAGTTAAATACGTGTTAACCCTTTCACCCCCAAGATCTTATTAGTAATTCTCCTTACTGTCTGCCATATAATTCTTATGATGTTAGTTCAGAGAATTTTGGTACTGGATCAATTAATAATCCCCTAATTGATATTGTTCTCTATTCTCACTGCTTGTCTGCTTGATATTTTATTGATATTGTAAAGAGAAATTCTATCTTGGTCACTTATGGGAGAAAAAGGGTTTAAAGAGGAAGTCAAGCGGTGAAGGTATAAATTGTCAACCCAAAACTATGTTCACAAGTTTTTGGAACTGTTGCTTTTTAAAAATACATATTGGATACGTATACCTTTTCTTTTCTCATCAAAAGGGTGATGGACTAGGCATTAACATTTCACATCGAAGAAGAAGTTCCGTTCTTGCTACTGTGCGAAGGTGAAAAAAAAGAAGCCATTGTACTTACCTGCTGAGGTCGTTTTCGCTTTACGAAGTTTGGCTCTACCTTTTTAATGGAAAAAGAAAAGATGCTCAAATTGTAAATTTTTTGAAAACCGGTGTATATATACATATTAATCAAAATTATAACAAACTTCTCGAACGCGATTGGTTATCACCAGCCCGATTTCAGCACTAATAGGACAGTGTACGCGCCCGATTTTGTCCGATTTTGTTAATCACTCGTATAATTTAAGACCGAATTGGACTCCACTCGGTCCTATTCCCATTATTAATCATAAACATTACAATTTCCTTAAATGTGATTGGTAAACTAACTGATTTATTTTTCACTAATTATCTTGCAGAGTTGTGATCGGACAGTTGGCTGTAATCAGACACCTGTAATCGCACAGTTGAAACAGCCTATAAATAGCCTCCCTTTCCCGACCTAGATGTGCAAGTTAAAAGAAATCGGCGGGAAAGATTCTTTTTTTCTTCTACAAATTATTTTTTTCTTCTGCGACTTTGGTTTTTTTCTTTCGCGACCTCTTTGTTCTACTGCTACTTCTTTTTTATCCCTACACAATCAGCACACATCAGCGACTTTTTCAAAACCCGCGCCATATCCTCAATCTGCGAATTTTTATTGTGTTTTGTGGTGGACTGCTAGGTGGCCATTTAAAAAAGACTACTCAGTGGTTTTGTTTTTTTAGCAGCCATCTTGATCTTTGTTTTCTTTTCCATTGGACTGTCATTGTGTTTTACCAGATTATCTTCCAGCATTGCATTTGCTGACCGCTTTGTTAGGTGAGCCCGCAATCTTAAGGCACTCAAGAAGAAGTCACGTGTGGAAAAAAAGTCGCAGTCAAAAAGCATGAGGTCGCGGAAGTTGATTCCCCTTCCAGGCCACTGTTGAATGGATTGATCTAATCGTAAGAATATTAGCGTCTTAAAAAGCAAGTGAATTTATGGTCAGTTAAGACCTCCTTTAAGTTATAATTTAGAAAAAATGATACATTTCTCTTTATGTATGATCTTGATCTAACACGATTCAAACCTGACCTTGTAAACGCAATGCGTTTTTCGTCATAATTAGGTTGTATTCTCCCCAATGTACTGCAAGAAGCAGTCTTTGAATACGACTTACCTATTTTGTGCATACGGGAAATTTGGGGTGAATCTAAATGGATAGGAGCAGAGAAAGACAGGATTCTCTCAGTGTAGCATACTTTTGTTTTAAAATTATGAGAATATATATCAGTGTCTCAAAAAATTTAGTTATGAACTGGTCATTTTTTTAAGTCACTCAGGAACTATTTTTTGCCAAAATTTACACTAAATTTTGCATTTCTCATTCCTCATCGTATGTTCTCGATTTCACTCGATTCAAACTTGACCTCGCAGACTACGTTTAGCAGTTTTCTCGAGCCCGGACTATATCCATTTGATGGTCCTAAATCTTTCTCAATACTGCACGAGCCTTCAATCACTTTAAAATGATATATACCAGGTTCAAGGTTTTACGACACTTTTTCACTCAACTGCAAGACAGTATTTGTATTTATTATTGAACTATGTCATAGCCGGAAATAAAGTGAGAACTGGACGTCCTCTAAACGCAACTTACCAGCTGTCGATTTCAAACGCAGCGGCATATTTGGAAGTCAGAATCCGAAAAGAAAACAAATAAATAAATAAATAAATAACTGGACATGCTCATACAGAAAAAAATCAACCTTGGGGCTATTTGTTTTTGAAATTTCAATTCAGACCTAATTCTGGTTAGAATTCAGACAAAATTATTCTTTTACCATTGGCCTCCATTTGAATTCAAACAAACAAACTCTGTAGGACGAGCGTTTGTTTCCACAGAGAAAATAAAGTATAAGTTAGTTTACTTTTTTCATATACGGAAAAGAATTCTCCGTTTTATCACATCTTCTGCTTTACATGCGCACAAATGATGTTGTAATACAGAATTCCTGAAGGGCTACAAAAGCTGGGCAAGTTAAATACATATTAAAGGAGGAAGTCACGCAGTGGAGGTATAAATTGACGACCCAAAAGTATCTTCACAAGTTTTTAAAAACTTTACTTTTTAAAAAAATATAAATATTAGATAAATATCGCATTTCTTTTCTCATCAAGAAGGTGATGGACTGGGAATTTACATTTCACATCAAAGGGGCAATTCCTTCTTTGTTATTGTGCAAAGGTGAAACAAATTAGTCATTGTTTTAACCTACTGAGAACTTTTCCTTATCATAAGTTCCGCTAGCACTTTTTTTAATGGAAAAGAAAAGGCGTTCAAATTGTAACGTTTTTTGAAAACGGGAGTATATATATACACTGAGATTTACTCACAGTTTTCTTAATCAGAAAACCTGTTTTAAAAATTTTGATAACCAATCACAGCAGTGAAATGGCTTTCTCATAATTGCAGAACTTACAAAGTCGACGACGAATGTCCTGCACCTCCTGTGTGCTGTGGCCTTGCAATGTGGTCCCTCCTGATCTCCACCCTGGATCCGGTTCTCTGCTACAGGCTTTATATACATATTTATTATTATATACATAATGTAATGAAGGCTAACATAAAGGTCTATCAAACTTCGCGAGTTACGAAGGAAACGGTTTATCAAATGTAAATCGCTTGCTACCTCCCTTTTTTAAAGACTGATAAAACAGATCATCGACGACATATTAAGAAAGAATGCAAGTACCAGGGTGGCTAGGCAACCGCGAATTTCAACTATGGAGTCCGAAAGAATATAAAAAAAAAGAAGCCACACACTGCAGACTGTATATTTTGTTAAATACAACTTACCAACGTTAAAATTCGATTTATCTAGGCTCCGCCGCAAAAGTGGAGGTGAGTCTAAAGAAACGTAAGACAAATGTAAGCTTATATAATTAATTATTCTTCAGGTATTAACTTACAAAAGTTGCCATAAGTATACAGCAGACTTTCGCGGGTGTCCTTTGCAAAAAAAAATGTTAACGCGCTATTTGAAGCATGACTAACGTAAACTATTTGTAAATTGAAAGGTTATAGCCAACAATTTACGCCTTTGCCGGGTGACCAGATGTCAACTTATGTCAAAAGGCAGCATTTGACATTCAATTACATTCTAGACAATTAAAAATAAATGCTCAGACAATTCGTTGTTTTTCTTCCCATTAATGATTGGACAAGGCCGGGACTTCGAGAATTTTCCTTGGAAAGGAGACTTATCGCCTTTTTCTTGCTTATTTCTGTTATCAATTGCCTTAAAAGTTGACAAATAAGAAACATACGTCCCTTGGCACTAATCCTTTCGAGAACTTTTAATTACGAAAGGTAATAAGTGGCATTTTTCGAGTTCTAAAAACAAATGTGAGTCTGTACCGTTAAATATTGACACAGTTTATACCTACCGCCTCCATGGGTTAAACCGCTCGTGCACTCTTGAGGTGGCTTACCGAATAGCTTTTCTTTTACATTGCGGAAAAATGATTTCTTCCCTTGAAGATCAGAAAAAGAGCATTTCAAAACTTTTACCATTCGTTCTTCGTCTGTTCATCATGCACACCACACAAAAAAATCAGGCATTCATAAAATTTTGACTTTCCTTGTGAAAATATTTAAATAACCTACCTTTTCTTTTGCCATGGACATCAGAAAGACCACCTCTACGTAATTAGCATGCGTATGGAGAAGGAAAGTAAACCTTGTCAAAATCATAAAGGGGGGAAGTTTCTAAAGAAACTGTGGTGCTGCGTCGATGGTAGGTTCTAGCAGGGTAATTGTTCGTTAACAACTGAGTTGAAAACGTTATTCTTCATTCAAAACGAGCGTTTTAAAGGTTAAAAACGCTTCTAAAACTTTAGTATAGCAGTTAAGGACCACGATAGTGAACTCACTACGAAGGCTTTATATTTAGGAATTAAGGTAACCACTTCGTAAGATAGTTGCACTCAGTTAAATGATCTTGGTGCCGCTTAACGTGAAGTAAGGGATGCCTATATACAGGGCGTAAGTAAAAGTTCCTTTGTGCAAAGGTCGATTTGCGATTTGCGCGCATGCGGCTAACCTTTCGAACTCTTGCCCGTTACACTTAGACGTTTCGTGAGGAATGATGGAACCATCAGCGGCCAGATGTTTCGTCACGTGAAGGGTACAGCCGTGCGTAACTCCGTAATCTAATACAAAGAAAAGGCATTCGACAGATATTTCTATCGTTGGCTCCATCAATTCACAAGATAAAATTGTCAAAATAGAAGCATACTTCCATCCCGTGCGACGGCACCTTAAACAAATTGTTGATAGCGGAGCTCGCAGAGCGTAGCCCCATAATTGTACAAAATAGTAGTAACCCATCAAGCCGAAAAAATTTGGATGTACGACCGTACAAGGTGCTACTTTTAACATGCGTGGTCAACTGTACCACGGGCACGCCAACGCCACGGCTTTGTCCAGTAGTCCAGTGGGCAGTGCACTGGGCTCCGAGTCGGACGACCCGGGTTTTAGTCCTGGCCGGGGCAAGGCGTTGGGCCCTTGAGACGTGCGAGAAAAAAAAAATGCGAGCTCCGCTTTTAGGCTTGGCTAAATCTATATATTACTATAGATGAGTTCTAAAGAAGTATGTCTTTACCTTGTAACGGACTCTTGTCTTCATCTGGATCAAAAATTCTTGTGTCCATTGCAAATGTAAACTTCCATTTTTTCTTCTCATTCTTCACCCCAATCTTTTCCATCAAATCGTGGAAAGTATCTTGAGGACTACATCTCACGCGGACGGGTGGAGAACCACCTGAGAAACAAGCTTCAACGTCGATGAAAAGAATCTTCATTTTCAACTCAAGCCTTGATCCGGAACAAATACCCAGGTTGTCTAAGTTCCTTTTATTTTTAAAAGGAAAAATTTTTTTTTCATTGAAATAAAATATGACCTGTGTATTTTCTTGCAGGTTACAACACGAAGGAATTTCTTCCATGACAGCCTCCAAGTTCTTCTCTTTGTCTATCTTCAAGGCATGCGAGTCACCATTCTGTTCTTCCACAGTTATGTGAATATACTCCGGGAGGATGACGGCTACAGCCGGTTGTGGACTGCAGACGAGTTTATCAGGGAGACACTTCCTTGGTGCTCCGGACAGGAGAGTTTTTCCAAAGTAAAGCTTTTGGTCACTGACCGGAACGTTGAGCCGTCTCTCTATCTGCTCCATGAGGTCATGGACCTTTGACCTGCCCGGATGTACCTTTATTGGAAAGGTTTTTGGATAAGATACTTTGGAGGATGCCTCGACTGTCACTGAAATTGTCATTTCTGCATCAATAAGTCTCAGATTTCCCGGTTTCCTGCGAACACGACTGTCACAAAGTAAAGAAAAAATTGGACAAAAAGTTAAAATACGTCTGAATCTACTATCCAGTCTAAAGCTTAAGGGTTTACACAGGTCACTTACTTTACGAGAGAATCATTTGGGAGCACCTCGTCGTCTAGAGCTAGAACTTGATCCGGGTCATTCCGTACTTCCATTTGGCTCTGCACCTCATGTTTTAACTCACCAACTGTCGCCGATGGAGGTATGCTCACATTCAATGGCTGAGAAGAATCAGAGGTGATCACTGGAATGTTAAGGAAAGCTTCAGGTGTGAACACGCACTTCACAAGACCATTTTCGGGCCGACCAGATTCAATGCCTGCTTCTTTTGGTGCACTTTTCACTCGGTAGAAGGTGAACCTCTTAGCCTCATAAGCTGATCTTTCGATTGACATCTCCTCTCCTCCGTGGAGAGCCCATCCACCAATATCGTAACCATCAATAGATATGTCCAAATGACAACCTGTTAAAGATCACAACCAATGACAAATAACGTTATAGTCTTTCTGAACTCAGGCCAAACGACGGAAAGAACGGGAATATCTGGTCGCATAACTGGTGGCAAGCAAATGGCACTCTCTGCCGGCTGTATCACTTTCCTATCTTCAAGGATTATCTCCCTGTCAACGGAGTAATCAGCGAGTGTCAATTTTAAGTAAAATGGCATCTTGTCCTGGCCATCATCTTGCCAAAATGATCCGAAATATCATAAGTGTAACTTCGGAGGTGAACATCGATACAAGTCCAAGAAAATTTATGGACCGTTGTGGACGGTCTGAAAATATAGAGCAACAGGAACTTGCAGGAAATGAAATCTATTGAAAAGTGGAACTGATAAAATGCAATAGCAATGGTACCTGAGATTTAATGAAAGCGCAGTCCCGAGTCAATAAACGGGAAATTGATTATTACTTATTACTCAGTAAGAAATGGAACCAGACCACGGGCTATGCTACAGGAACATTTTCAAAACATATGCCTCTTAATTTGACCCTCACCATAAGTGCGTGAATTTTTGACGAGTATTTTATACTGTGTTCCACTCTTCACTTCAACAAACTCTCCATCACGAGTCTTAAAGTGTTTTCCACCCAATATTTTCACCGAGTAACCCTCGTAAAATAGAAAGTTAACATATCGCGCAGGTTCCGGTTCAATAGCTGGATCAAGTTGTAATCGGGAAGATGAAGCGACTTGAGTGAGCCCCGTTTGCTGTCCTGCGGGTGCTGGCAAGGGTGCTGGATGTGTTCCCATTGATCTCAGAGAGGAGCCTAGGTTAAACAGAGAACAAAAATAGATTTGGGCCTCACAAAACGTAAAAAATAGATCGTAATAATGGAAAGAGGGTGAGGAGAGTTGAAAAATTATTCTCTTTTTTAGGTCAGTCTGATAGTTTTGTATAGTCTTTCAATCCCGCACTTCCAAGCGTAACGTGCTTATGAAATGAGTCGCTCAAAATGGTGCCTAGTAAGACAATGGCATGTAAGGGTGAATGAAGCATATATTTCTCACTGACTCCTCTGAGCTATGGATGAAGTTTATTCCCCACCGAAACGTCGCCCAAGGGCCTCAAATTGAAACGGTAAAAAAAACGAGAACCGAGACTTTCTCACCATTATTTGTAACAGAAAGGATTACTTGCATACGATATACAATCCTATAGTGCGTGTCTGATTGCCCCATGGAAACGAAGCCCAAAAAGGAAGACAAAAGTAAGAAAGGATTTGCCTCGTCCAAATGGCTGATTAACTTCGTTGTTCAGTGTGAAATGGAAAAGCTTCAGCTAATAGATGTACAAGAATAGAGAAAATGGTTTATATCTGAATAAATAAAAATCTGACAACAGAATATAGATTTTGTACACAGGCTGAGCCACACATAGACTTATGCCTTATGCTATCCAAACATTATCCAACAAACAGGTAATGAAAATAATCAAACTTATCAGGTCGTTACGACATATAATTCAATTAATTTCTGATAATTTAGTCCTTTTCCACTTTCTCACCATTATTTCTTCGTCAAGGTGAAGGATTAGGGCTAACGAGAGTACAATCCTTTTTTGTACGGAGCTAATTTACGTTGACCACCACGAAGCCCAAAGGAAGAATACTCTCCCAGTAACGCAGCACCACATTTGCACTTTATAAACTTACCCCTTTATTCATTTATCAGGTAGTTAAACACTAACACCAAATTCTTGTAACTGATTTGCATGTGTAGCAGTTAGAAAGTAAAAAAAAAGTAAAGCCCTTATACAGGCCCAAGAGGCCCATGGGGCCGGTGCTTAACTCTGGTTTCCTTAGCATGAAGTGGCTAGGAGTATTGCTACTCCCCCCTGGATAGGATGCTAGTCCATCACAGGGTTACCCCCAACTGGTACCCATTTGTACACCTGGGTGAAGAGAAGCACTGTGAGAGTAGGAACACAACACAATGCTTGTGTTGTGTTGCCTAGGAACACAACACAATGACCCTGGCCAGGGCTCAAAACCGGACCACTTGATCCGGAGTCAAGCGCACTAACCATGAGGCCACTGTGCCTGACCACTAGCAGTTAGAGAGGAGAATTAGCAATTAGATCTCAGGATTTAAAGGGTTAAGGGCTACTTGAGAAGGTTAATTTATAATTATAGGAGTAAATGTTTCACCTTTTCTATCATTTTTTGATCAGAAAAGTGAATTTGTGATAATACATGCATTGCTGTATTTGAAATTTTCCTGTAATCAAATTAACAAATATCAAATGAGCATCGATAAAAGTAGAAAAAATAAAGAGGGAAAAAAGTGAAAAATGATAAAAGCTCAAACCTCTTTCTACTTTTAAAAATATAGATAAACTTAAGTAATTTATACCTTCAGTAGTGTCTGTAGTATTCACAGGACCACTTTTTGATGTTCCTGTATCTTCACCATCCCCAGCCCCATCAGTCACCATGTCACCAGGCCCATCTGATGATAAAAATATAATCATTATAGGTAACACTAATTAAATTTATGTGTTTATGGTAAGGTTATGGAAAATTGACTAACTTTTATTCCTAACATTTCAGTGATCCCTGACTCTACCTTAAGCTGTGGAAATTTAAGAAAACTGAAGGTGATTGAATGAATGACCCATTATAAATAATCCTTATAATGCAATTTCATGTCAACAAGAGCTTATTTTTCCATTTTCAAATCAACACCTTTATTTCTGTAGGTTTTGGAACTGCCTTTGAATCAATCATGACAGCATATGGGCCAGTTCCCTCAAACATCTGGACTGGTCTCCAAAACACAGAATTAATCTCTTAGTTACCAGTTGCTTTCACTAAATCTCCTAGATTTTGGATAATTATATTTTTTTAACACATTGTAGATGGTTAATTAAATAAGGGGTGGATTGGGATTATAATTCAAAATTACAATTCTCCAATGTTTAGATTTCCGGACAGTATTAAATCTATGACAGAAATCACTTTATGACCTAAATATCAGTGCTTGTAATGTAAATATCAGTGCATGTAATTGATTTATTATTTTCCAGATTTTCAGCAAATGACTGAGGATACAATTCCCAACATGGTCAATCATTTTGTCATCCACCCAACATGATAATGAAACACATAGATTATCAGCAATTAATTTTTTGCAACATAGTTACAATTTTGAATCAAAACAGAAAAAAATGATGTGTTTAAAAATCCAGTCATCATGGTATGGTTAATCAAAATAAAAGTTTTGTGTTGCAACTTTTACTCCAGCTCATTTCCAAATGAAACTTTTCGATACTTTAACCCTTTAACTCCCAGAAGTGACTAACAGGTAACTTCTCCCAATGATATTCATATGTTTTCTAGCAAATGGTTAATGAGAATACTCAAACTTATCAAGAGGAAGTTTTTATCTTGATCTTGCACCAAATTCTCATCACTAATTTGTAAGGAATTTTTTAGCAGCAAGAGGAGAGAATTAACAATCAGATCTTGTGAATTAAAGGATTGACAGTTTACTGATAATGCTGTACCTTTATTTCCAGCAGGGTTTACTGCGTTACAAGGATCTCTTTCTTTTGTTGTACGATCATTATCATTCCTTCCCTCATCGCTCACTAAGTCATCTCGCTTAGCTGTTTATGATAAAATTATGGAATTTGAATAATCGCCATTAAAAACAATAGTTAGTATAATCAATTTCAAACTTCCTAAGGAAGTATTAAGGTTTGTGGCAAACTTAAGCTATGGGAGGTCATTTTGATGGTTATCTATGTTTTAAGGGACAAAGGATTCGAAAGTGCTTAGGATGCAATACAACGCATAAGACGCACTCCATTGCGTTCAAGTAAAATTTTGCACCAGTTTTATGGTTTTTAGCACGTTTCCCACTTAAAATGTTTACTAATTATCGTTGTTGACCGAGTAATTCGTTTATACCTCATGCACAACCCCTGTTGATCAACTTTCCACAATAAGTAATGCCATTCAAGCCAAAGATTGATCGCTTAGTGGTAAAAAAACTTTCTACCAAAGGTATCCTGTAAATTCTCTTTAATCCGATACACGATAGAAAAGCTTACCTTCAGGCTCAATTCTGTCGGTTGTAATTGAAAACTCCTGAATTCTCCGCGAGAGATCCACTCTGCCGATTGTCTCAAACATATTCTGTAGCAAGGTCACATTCGTTGGGCCAATTTTGTCATCTCTCTGTAGAGCAGTAAACAACTCCAGCCCACTTCTTGTATTTTCTATTATCCCAGAGGGAAGAAAGTCCTCTGCAGCAAATATTAACTCTTCCAGATCTTTAGTGGATAGTGCATTCGATAGCTCTATTAGCAACTCTCTGTAAGAACTTATGCGGTACTCTTCTCGTGCTGAGGCCATTTTTGTGGTAATCTATATTGAAGAGGTGCCTAGGCATATTTTTTCCGCGTTGTACTTTGAAAGCGCTTCCGCCCAGCATTAGATTCCATCCACCAAAACCACCTTGGTCGAGAGGGACTGAGATGGAATGATAGACCACTCATGACTTACACTAAATGAAAATTACGAAGCTACGACAACATGCCGACTTATCCCGATGACCTAAGTGTAATATTTTTTTGTGAAATTGCGTCAAAACTCTTCACTCAAGAAATGGTAAGTATTAATTTATTGTTCGATTGTAGTATTATAAAACATTTTACGCAATTTTATGCAGATATTTCGCGTATTTAAAAGGTGCCCAGATGTTACGTAGTTTTGGTGGATGTCATTAGGAAACATCCACCAAAACTTTGACCAAAACCATCAACAATATATTTTTTTAATTTTATCTATAGCCACTGTTAGATGTTCAGGGAGACAAAAGATTTATACCACTAATTAGCAGTTAGTGCTCTGGCTAATTATTTTTTATGGTGCACAATTGCTGACCGACCAAACGTTCATAATGATTATCATAACTCTTAACACATAGAATAAAGTGGTTTTGGTGGATGTTTCTCTCCATCCACCAAAACCACCATAGCAATTTCTGCTACTTCCTTACAGAAGACTGATGTGACCTGCTATTTGGAGTACATAACCACAATCTATTTCTTTGTATGTAGAGATATTTTGCAAAGTTCTTGAGTCAGCACCTTTTATTATTGAAACCATAATCATAACATGGTGCACAATATAGAATACAAAAGGTTCTGGTGTGGCAATCATGTAATCTTGAAACAGGAGAGTTTTTAACTGACTTAAACTGACTTAAACAGACATTTGCAACAAAATTCCAGGTCCAGAAATTTCTTCCACTATTTCCGCTAAAATCATAACCCTTAAGTACAACAAATCAGCACATCAGTAATTGTTATCAGGGGTCTGAAAATCCTATAAATCTTTCACATTTATTTCAAGTAACCTTTAATTTCACATGGATGAATATGTATACACTCAAGATGCAGAATATCTTACATTTTACAAACTATTTCCCTTTTTATGGATAGATAGTGAAAGGCCTTTGCCACATTGGTGAATCAAACCATTGTATACCATGCATTTTGTGATAATTATTTGTTTTTGCTCACAATATCCAGAAAAATGGAGGGGATAAATTTAAATAGCAAATTCTATTAATGGTTAAAATTAAATAACATTGGAAGATCAAATTAACTTTGTACTGTTTTAAATTCAGTTTTGGCTTCTTGCTTATTCCAGCCTCTTAATATTCAAAAGCATTCCTTGTCATTTTTGTGTTCTTCTGTGTACATAACTTGAAAAATAAACACAGAGAAAGGAAACCACAAAGGATTAAACTTGAAGCTAAAGCAAAGTTTAAGTTGAGCCATAGCTGATCCAAATACTGAGCACTTTGTATTGTAACCCATTTAGCAGTAAAGTTTATCTATATGTCTGCCAGCTTGTCGCAAGTCTTACTCCTCTCCTTCAAAAGTCTCTATAAATAAATTTTTCTTTGTGATCCCTATTATCAATTATTGATGATAGGTATATTACAGCTCCTCAATTTCCCTCTCTCAAGACAAGGTTACTCTAAATTTAACAAAGTAATGGACTTGATAAAACTCAAACTATAACTCAGCTGGCTGCTACTTGCAACCTTTATTTCTTGATATCAGTATACAATAATCAATATGTTATAAATAAGAACCCTAATGTTTAATTTTGCAGTGATCACCTTCCTCCTTTTCATTTGCAGACCAGACTGGAACCTCTATAGGTGTGTTTGCTTGTTTTGAGTGGGGATGGAAGAAAAGGAGTCATGCCGCATATCTGATTTATTAAACCGGATTTGTTCTGTTTATACATGAGTAGAACTACCTTGTTCTCTGAAAAAAATAAAATTTCTCGCATTTTTATCTGTGCTTTGCAGTCAAACTTCCTTGTGTCTTGGACAAGAAATCTTATTTTCTTGAAAACAAAATCTTTGTTTCTGACCTTCTGTAATAGGTAAATATAACAGTGTAAGATGAGTGACAGTGTATTTCTCAAGTTATTTTTTGGAATGTGACAAAACGGAAGTGTCATAGCGTGATAAGGAGCCAACATATGATTGCTTGATAGAAAGCAAAAAATGCAGAATTGCATATATTTTCTCCTTTGTCAGCAGCATATGTTTGTGAAAAGTTCTTATAATTGTTAACTTCTAAACCATCTTCAATTTAGCCAAGTTTGAACTGTTATCACGTTTGTCATAAAAGTATTCTGAGATCAATGTCACATGACCCATTCATGTATTTTACCTTCCGAATTAGCAAGCCATAGTTGACAGTAACACAAAGGTTGAGGATAAAAAGAAATTATTATATACAGTACTTCTTCTGCATCTTTTCGTGTCCTTTTCTCTCCAGCTGTTCTATCTATGCCGTGCTGGAAATTGAACCTTTCCTTCCCAAAATTAGGAAAGGCACACCAGTAAAAACCGAATTTTTGCTCCTTAAATATCTCATGCATCTTCCCCTAGTATTTTGTGACTTCTGTCTGAGGAAGGAGGTGTAAGCATTAAGTTAACCCGAATGATTCCACAATTGTGGTATCATCCAAGCAATGCCAGAGGACTTGAACTAGATAAACTAGTGAGAATGTGCAATAGCGATAGCAAAGCTTTGTAATGCCAAATAGCTATATCAATATATATATATATATATGGATAGATAGATATACACCGGTGTTCCCGAAACCTTTGACAGCTTTAAAGAAAGAAAACTTCGTCGTCAATCCTGTTTCAAATTCCGTAATAAGTTTATGCGCCTCATCAACAGAATTTACGTATCCTAAATAATCTGCATGTCTACCATCAAGCAATGGTTGGCGACTTAAAATTCTCGCTATGCTGTTTCTGTTTGTTCCTCAAGAATCATGGGATTTACAGCTTCGGATGTTCGGCTACATCAGTTGCGGATTTCCGAGAATCTTCGGTTATGTTTTGCAAGTCATTAAATATTCCATCTCAGTCCCTCTTGACCGAGTTGGTTTTGGTGGATGGAATCTAATGCTGACCAGAGCGGTCCCGCTCTATGGTTCGCAGTGGTTCCCAGTTCTCACCGGGTTCTAGCAAACTCACTTACAAGGTTGTTTTGAGCGTAGTAAGAATTGTAATTTATGTCTTTTATGTTTTAATTGTCATTTATTATTAATATTTTAATTATCACCATGATTGTTATTATTATTTTTGTATCTAGTTTGCTTTACCATTTTTTTTAATATCTAATATTTTTCTTTTAGTTGTGAACAGGACTTCGACTTCAAGATAAGAAGTGACGACCATGGCTGCAAACAGTAGTGGTTCCATTTTGTTCTCACGGTGAGAGTCTTCATGGCAGAGAAATTACTGAGGGTACCTTATAATTCCCTGAATGTTTTTTCACCAATTTACTAGTAATATTCTTGCATTGTTCACGTAGAAACATTAGTTTACTTCATGTGACTTACCCGGAGTCAGATCGAAAAACCACATTAATTGCACATGAGTCAGGTTAGGGGTGACTGTCACGGGTGGTTACCTCAATTTACATACTGCTCAACGTTCCGATTTCACTTCAAAGCCGGCAAGGAAATGTGTTCTACATCTGATAATCAAGGAGGCCGAACAATCGACGACAAATTTAGAGAAAGTCTTCTGCGATCTCTTAACGGACTGAGGCAAGCTTGCATTCTTTGTGACGTTCTCATTCGTGTTGACAAAACGTTGGAGTTTCCTGCTCACCGTTGTGTTTTGGCCGTAGGCAGCGTTTATTTTCAAGCTTTGTTCTCGGATGATTTTCGTGAGAGAAAGAGCGGCGTGGTGGAGCTGGAAGGTATATATGGCATGGAAAAAGTCCTTGAATTTCTCTATACGGGTGAGGTGGAGATAAATGAATCCAATGCTCAAGATTTAGTCATGGCTGCCGATTACCTGAATATTCCAGCCTTAAAATTGCATGCTGCTGTTGCGTTAGAAAAGTTCATCAACATCTCAAATTGTCTCTCCCTACAGAGGTTTTCCACTAAGTTCGACTGTGCTCTGTTGAAAGACTCGTGCACTTTCTTCACAAATCAAAACTATTCTATGGTAACAAAATTGGAAGCGTTCAAAGAATTGATTTTCGAGGCGCTCATTAGGTTACTCAAGAGTGACGAGCTTAATGTTCACAACGAAAGCGAAGTGCTCTGTTCTGCGCTCTCCTGGATAAGGTACGATCTTCAGTCGAGGGAGAAACTGCTTCTTGAAGTCCTAAAACATGTTCGGTTTCCGCTTATCCGCAAGGATTATTTGATCAACATTGTTAAGAGTGATGTGTTGCTTCGAAGTAACGCAGTCGAAGTGAACGTTTTACTGAAAACAATCAAACAAACTTCCTCGGCGTCAGAGAAATTTCGAGAGCTGCATGTGCCAAGAACTGGACCTCTCGAGACAATGGTAGCATTGACAGGGGAAAGATCAGTGTCGAAGTATGGCTCAAACAACAGTGTTTTGGCGTACATACCGTTGCGTGACTCATGGGTAACGCTATCTAGTCTTCACATTCCGCGACACGGTCACAGTGCTGCTGTCTGCCAAGGTTCTTTATACTTAGTGGGAGGAGTATGTAGAAATGTCTCAGCTCATTCCCACGTGTGTCGATTTAGCCCTCTCAGGAATAAATGGTACTGCGATGTAGCGGATCTTCCTCACCCAGTTTCCTTTGCTGCCGTTGTGTCATTAGATGAGAAGTTGTTTGTTATTGGCGGCAAAGACTGCTGCAATACGGCACTTCGTAGAACACAATGTTACAACCGAGAGCGCAATCAATGGCATTTTGTTGCAGACTTGAACTTACCACGTGACAGCCATTGTGCAACAGTATTAAATGATTCTATCTACGTCATCAGCGGAGACAAAGAGAATTTTAAAAGCTGCGAAAGATACGACTCGACGATTATGAGATGGAACCTTCTCCCGGACATGACCATGTCACGCCAACAACCTGCAGTTCATGCACTTCGCGGGAAAGTCTTGGTAGTTGGCGGTTATGCTGGTTCAAATTATAGCATGCACACAACTTGCGAGATCTTTGACCCTAAGAAGTTCCAGTGGAGCTTGGTACCTGGACTTGGTGTACCACGTGCGGGATGTGGAATCACGTGCGTGGCAGATCACGTGTATGTGTTTGGCGGGTCGAATGGCCGATCTATCTTAAACACGTTAGACAGTGTTGAGTGTTACAACGAAGAAGACAAGGAGTGGAGAAAAATCTCGGTTATACCAGAGACTATTGTCGCCCCCCAAGTGGCTGTTTTTAGGATGCCTAGAAAATATCTAACATGAAGTTGTTTTTAAGCAAGATTGAAGATGGCCGCCGAATTAAGAAAAAAATGCGCAGGTTATAAATTGGATGCAGACCAAATTTAAGATGTTCTCCTCAATTTTTACCTTCCTTCCCTTTTCCTTTTAAGTTTCCAAAACTGTTAACAATTATCCTTAGACTACTGTAAGTCATTGGAGTGTAAGAATGCTATGCTACTTTCAAAGCAATGCGAACATTTAGAAAGTGCACGTACAGCAGATGAACGATAAACGCTTACAGAGGTAAAGGGTTCCTGTAACTGTGATCTTTCATAGTACATATGCCTGTGCTAAACAAAAAGGTTCTTCGATCATTTCGTTTTACGCAAATATAGAAAAGCGTAACACAGAGCAGGTGAAGACGAAATAAAGAGACAATAAATCGAATAGTGCCAGCTGTACATTTATTTACAACTCCACAAAAAAGGTGCTCAGCATTCGCTCTGAAATGAGTCACTACCGTGTACAGAACATTCGGTTCTCATACGTTTGGACAAAAAACAGTAACCGTGGTTATCGCGATTCATCACAGTTTGAGATGTTTAATGGTGACTGTTACGAGTCTCATAAGAGAGTGAGAAGCGATCCCCTCTGACTTTAGTATCATAATTCATCCAGCTCACGTCTTGGAGTATAGAAATTGAATGGTTGTAACTTAAGAGTACTTGATCAAAAAAAATGCTGTCATTCTGTATTGGACAGGAAATTTAGGACTCCTATGAGTCTCATAAGAGAGCGAGAAGCGATCCCCTCTTTGAGTTCATTATCATAATTTATTCAGCTCATGTCTTCGAGTATAGAAATTGAGTATTTTATCAAAAAAGTGTTGTCGTTCTGTATTGGACTGGAAATTGATGTAGTGAGATTTGAAAAACGTAACATCATAATGTGATAACAGAGTGATATGTTTTCGATTGCTGTTGAAAAGTCATAACTCGTGGGGGAGTTGATCTCTTCAAATGGTGTAAAACTGACATTCCCAACGAGCAACGTCATTCTTTGAAAGAGTAGCTTCCCTCTCCACATCCCACCCCCTTTTCCTCCTCCTCCCCCCCCCCCATGCGTATGGGGGGGGGGGGATATGCTTATGGGTTTTCCGGCTGTTCGGTTTGGGTTCATATACAGTTTATTTCCAACGTTAGCTTGACCAGTCCTTCGTAAAAATCTATGAAGACTCAAATTTCACCACTCTCTTTCCACAACTTCTTAGACGAACAAAATCTGTCGTTGGCCTTCAGAGTCCAAATCTGTAGGGCGTTCGGCGTGGAGTTGCAGGTGTTTTACGTCCTGGCGTAGCGATATGTGATCTATTATTGAAAGAGAGACCAAATAAAACAAGTATTGTATAGAAGCATTGTAGAATTGTGGCCTATTTCACTGATCTATAGATACGGCCAAATAGGAAGTTCATGATGTTTATTTACTTTACTGAAGGAGTTAGTTTGGCAAGCTTTTCCTCTTCTCGAGCTTTCATCTGCGCACTGGCAGCCGCCATTTCTTCTTCCATAGCCGATAAGTCTTCCCTGGCACGCTTTCGTTTCTCCTAGACAACAAAAAGATAGTGAAGAAACGCTGTCAGAACCTCGACTACCGACATATGTTATCACTATGTCGAAATCTTGTAGATAATGAAGAAAATACCATGTTTCCTTGGTAGTATGGCCCTGTGACATACACAGTTTATCAAAAACGAACTAAATAAAGTGAATAACGTCAGCATAACGTTGAACACAATAGTAAGAATGGTGAAACCAACTTTAATCGGGACGCGGGGAGATTGGATGATTGAAAAGTATGCACCCCTGATAGCAGATTCTACGAGTACTAAGAGGCATGATTGCAAGGAAAACAAAATTTATATTTTTGAATGATTCTGGGGCACCCGACTCTCTCTCTTGGCTCCACCGGCCCTGAAGATGCCGAAGTCCTGTTTAAAAAGCACTAAGCGAACTAACCAGCCTTGTCTTTGTGGATTCTTTCACTGTGTAAAACATAGGGCCCAGTTCTGCCAGCCAGTAGCCATCAACAGCTGTGACACATTGCATGTATTCCTGCGTTAAAGAGTTGAGAGAAAAATCCAAATAAGGTAGAACAAACATGCATGCACGCCTAAGAAATTAGCTAGCTGTACCATTGCGCACTCCTGACGACAGAGTTATTAGCATGTAAGAGAGGACTCCCTAAGTGGTCATTACATGATGATTACAAATGTTAGAACAAGATTGGAGCTGGCGTTTACATCCATAGTACCGACCCTCAGCCATGAGGTTGGGAACTGGCAAGCAATATCAAGAGAACTCCAATCAAACTTCGTAGCCCCAAAGTGCGCCAGAGTCAGAATCTCTCTCATGTTATAGGTATCACGTGACTACGCATCTGTCAAGAAATGCACCGGCCTAAGTTATCGTTAACCCTTTAACTCTCATCATGAGTGACCAAGACAGAATTTCTCCATACAACATTAAAACAATATCAGCCAGGTAAGTGATGAGAATAAAGAAAAATATCGATTTGGGGATAATAAGTTGATCCAATACTAAATTCTCTGAACTAACATTATAAGAATTGTATGGTTGACAGTAAGGAGAATTACAAATCTGATGCGGGAGTTAATAACTACGTTACCGTGGGTTTGTCGTCTTACCTTAGAGGTCATAACAAGCTCATGATAAACAATATAGTCGGGTGTGTATCCCATACCAAACAGAGCACTAGTGGGGTGAAGATGACACGGCATTCCTGTTCTCATGTTGACGTATTCTCCAATGCCCTGCGACAAAAATGCAAATAATTAATATCAAAACGACTTCCGGTCCGCCGTTAAACCTCTGACGCAGCCTGTACTGTGGTCATGTCATCTTTTTGGTTATTGATTTCCATCGTCGTTATTGGTCTTAATGACCGAAAAAGTACATACCATTATCTAAATTAGAATATTTCAGATCAAAATTACTGCGTCGTACGAATTGAAAAGAAGCTTATAAAACTCATCTCGGTTTGTGAGACCCTGAACATAAAACAATTTCCTACTATTTGTAGTTGTAACGAAATTCAGTAAACTCTTACTCATCGAGACAGATTAACCCTTTATCTTCTAACATCAATATTCATAATCTCCATACTATTCACTATACATTTCCCAAGGTGCTGACAAAGAGAATTTGTCTGATAATCAAGCGCTGCTTTAGTTGGTGATCATTACGCCAATTCTCATTACCTTAACGTTTGATTCAATGGTGATATTGTAAGGAGAAATTAGATGCTAGTCACTCTGAGGGGTTGAAGGGTTAACAAGTCAAACTTGGGGTGATTTGAATCTATTAGAAAAGGAATGATTAAAGAGGGTAGTTTCTAAAACTGTGGTGCTGCGTTGGTGAGAGAGTATAACAAGGTAATTTGGTATTATCAAATGGGTCGATGACGTAAATTGGCCACCGTTAAGAGTTCCAAGCTGACATTTCGAGCGTTAGCCCTTCGTCAGAGACAAGGACGAAGGCTAACGCTTTGAAACTCATAAAGGTGGCCAATTTACGTTATCAACTCATTTGATAATACCAAATTACCAGGTATAGAGGTAAGTCCTTAATGTAACATGTTACCTTTAATCTGGCGGCTTGGTGAAAGTAAGAGGAACAGATACATTTTCTGATGATATCCCAATCGTTGCCGCACGACTTCAGCGGCATTTTCTGTTGGTTCATGATATCTTTCAATTGGCCACGTACTTCACGAACCTAAAATCCGGAAAAAAAAACCGTTATGAAAATCGGTTCATTTACAGAGACCATCTGATTAGTAAGTGCCACTTTTAACACGAAAAGCCATGACAAAGCACTGCGGCAATCTCTTTTATCGACTTGAAGTAAACCGGGACGCGAAGGTGTCTGTAGTCTACGCGTTTCAAAAGATAACAAAAAGACAACAACAACCTCAACTCACCTTACGCATCGCTTTAATATGAATAAAGTGCTCATTGCACCACTGAGCTGAGTAGCTATTAAAGCAAACAAACAGAAACAAGGAAGTGTTTAGAATTGACATTGTGGAGGACCAAAATTGGAAAAAGGCTTGTAAAACTTTTCTATAAAGCACTTTGACGGAGAATATGTGAGAAACTTATCGCGGTTAAATAATGCGAGTAGGAGTATTTCTTCTCCCCTGTCCACTGCAGATTAACACCAAAAATAAAACAATAACTCTTTAAGTTTCCTTGCTAGTTTTTTCAGCACCTATTTACTCTCTTAGATGGATCTTGGCTTTGTGAGATCGAGGAAAGAGCTTTGTCCAAGAACATAACATAACATAACCCGGCCAGTGCTCAAGCCCAGAACTTTCGCTGGAATTTAACAAGCAAACCCCTAAACCACCGCATTTCCCATTTGAAGGACTATGACAGCCACGAAAAAGCAGTGGAATAACCGACAGATTTGTTACATATAAAGCGATGAACTTACTTGTTAGTCTTCCATTGTATGTATACATTAAGGTAAGTCAAGTGATCACTCTCGGGTACAGCGAATTTCTCCCTTGCCGCGTCGCTCTCCTCTTCTCTTCCTTTTGGACGGAAAAAAATGGCGGGAACTGACAGCATAGACACGATGATCTGTCAAGAGGTGGAGAACATCGTGGGAGGAACAATTTAGTACATTGTAACGAGAACTAGAAAAATTTTTAATCTAAGGTAAGTTGGTTTCATGAAGAACCAGACAAAATATACGGTCAACAGTTAAGAGAAGAGATAGAAGAAATCCTGTAAATGTGTTGGTGAGCACTCTAAGGGTTCTGAACGTTGCTTCGAGATGAAACACAAGCCTGATTTAGCTGTCACACCATAGATCTTAACTAGAATGTCAACACCAGCTGAAAATGTCAGCTAGACCAAGTCAGTATTTTTTGAAAACTTTTCGTTGCCACATACGTGACCACCAATTCTCCTCCTCTAATGAATTACATCAAAGACAACACCTGATCAACCACGAAAACTGACGCTCAATCCGAAATGGCGACACGGTTCTACCTCAGCTCATGCTCACCCTTTGACCCTTAAGAGTGAATTGCATCCAATTTCTCCGTACAATATCACCCCTAAAACTAAGGTCACGAGAATAAAGGAAATGATCACCAACTAAAGAAGCTCTTGATTGTTAAACAAATTCTCCTTGTCAGCACCGTACGAAATGTAAAAAAATTATGGAGAATACGCGTACTGATGTCAGGTTGTAAAGGGTTTACCCTTTATCACATCAATTTCATATTCTTCACAGTGATCTCTCTACATTTCCTGTCGTAATGACAAGGAGAATTTGTTTGAAAATCAGGAGTTTCTTAAATAAGTGATGATTTCCATTATTCTTGTGACCTCTACATTTGATTTGAGAGTGATACTGAAGGGAAAAATTAGAAGCCAATCGCCCTCAGGAGTTAAAGGATTAAACACATTTTTTGAGCAGAAACATCTCTCGGGCACGGAAAAAGCAAGTACCTGGTATAATGAGAAAACGTTTCGCAAGCTTTGAGGCTTTCCCGTAAAGTTTAAAAGATAAACTCAAGTTGACTCATTTATTGCGACAACCGTAAGTTAACATCAGAAAGTATGCACTTACAAGCGACTCGTCACTGCACTCCATATCCACAGCGATGATCAACAACTTGGACAGGGCGGGGTCCAGAGGGAACTCAACCATCTGACGCCCCAGGGGAGTGAGACTCCCTGTGTTGTCCAGCGCGCCAAGAATCCACAGTTGGTACATGGAGTTTAAGATGTTGTCCTATAATGAACAAGGAGCCACCGTCAGTTTGAAAAATAAACCTATTTGAAGGGAAGTATTACATTGGAAAAGCAAACACCGTTAAAAAAAAAAGGTCTTGTGACTCTTTCTATCGAAGCTTATCGTATTCCCATAGCATTAGGAGTATTGCTACTCTCCCTGAAGGGATTCCAGTCCAACGCAAGTTACCCCCGACAGTTTTCCAATACCAAGTTTTACTCCTAGTAGAAAGAGGCATGGTGGGAGTACTGTGTCGTACCCTTGACCCGGCCAAGACTCGAACCTGCACCTTTCGATTTAGAATCCGGCGCGTAATACGGCTTCGTGAAAAAGGAACTCCCAGAGATGGTTTTTTTTTCTTCTGTTCATCCATTTACCTGTGGTGGAGGATCCATAAAGTGAAACTCGAGCAGATTTTGAACACCTAAGGACTTGAGAAGCAGCACGACATTGGACAGGTTTGTTCGTTGGATTTCTGGTACGGTGGACACAAGTAGCTCGTTTTTATAAGAACTCTCCGTGAAAAGACGAAAGCACTGGCTGAAAAATAAAATTACCATGGGTCAAAAACAACTATATATTTGTATAGAGCTAAAAGAGAGTCCCCGTTTTTCACCTGGAACAATACCGCCCAAAGCATTTCTAAGAAAAACCGTAACCAACTTGCGTTCATTTGTGTTATCTTCAGCCACCCCTAATTTATACTAATTTAGTAGTCTCTTAGATGTTTACTTATAAAAGAAAAGTAAATGTCAGAGGTATCTTTCACATTGAAGGTCAATTTGAAGGCGTTAACTGAATCAGTGTCAAACTCAAATTCAGTGTCAAACTCACCCAGGCCCTGTTCTGCCGGCTCGACCAGATCTCTGATTGGCATTGGCCTGCAAGTAAATGATTAAGACACTAGGTCATAAAAGTATTTAACAAGAATTTGTTTCACAGAAGCTCTAAGCTTGCAAATTTCCGCTTTTAAAGAATACAATCCATGAACAGGTTCAAAAATTAGAGTTCCAAGTTATACATTTAGTTTCCAGGGCTCGGTGCAAAGCCTAAACATTCCAGGACTGTAGTCAAAATATCCGAGCCTGAACTACCAAAAAAAAAAGCCGTGAAGGTAATCTGCGTCTAATCAAAACTCTGGATTGAAAAATAATGGTTGATTGGTCTGAAAATGACTCGTGCCCACTAACTGACCAATCAGATGCAAATTTAAACCAATCGCGGCTTGGTCGGTGGCATTTTCCCGCGCCTTAGGTAGTTAACATGTGTTGCCTTTGAGTTCTTAATGGCTTCTTGTGACATTTTACTTTCGTGTGATTGGTTGCTGTGATTACGTTAGTTTTGATATAAAGACATTCACAGGAAAAGTGCCCCATCATCAACAATACTGCTCCGAGAGAAATGTTTTTCGTCTTGTCACGAGCGTGGGACAAAGGAAAAATAATCTCGTGGCTCAGTGGTAGCGCATCAGAGGGCAGAATCCGCACGTCTGAGGTTTGAAACCTCCTGGGCACTCAGAATTTTTTCTTTGTCTCACGCTCATGACAGGACGAAAACATCTTTCTCTATTTCTTTAGCGAGCTCAAAACTTACCATCTCTCTTATTCTATTTACAAATACTGATCAGTATGTACCTGGCTGATGGGATAAACTTGCAAAGCGTCCATACCAATCTTGGGATTGAAAACCTTGAGCTTGCAGTAGCCAGAGTCAATTACAAACATAATTCCGTCAACTAAAAGAAAATACAGGGGATTTTCATAATTATTGCAAAAGCGAACAGAACTCAACAACAAAAGACAGGAAGGGATCTTGTGCGAGCATGGCTACGCCTCTTAACATTCTTTCTCATAGTTAGGATGCTGATGCATGCGTGTCAGTGAATTTCATGTTGGTGGAAAGGTTAATAACAACATCCTAAACTAGGGGAGGGGTGATATTGTAGAGAAGTTATCGAAAGCAGATAATCTCTGCTTTCCACTCACTAATAAAGAGGACATTGAAACTTCTCAGGTTGTACACTGTTTCCAAAACTTACACAATCTAACTACACCAATACAAGCGCCCTCGCACTCGTAATGGTGTAAATAAATTTAAACATCAAGAGCTATAAAACTGTGCCCTTCCGTCATATGCGAGCTGGTAGAAAACTAATTATCGCAAGACCTGTAAGCGACGTTTCCGCAATGTTCGTTGCCACGATACACTTCCTGACACCGTCCGGCGCCTTCTGAAATATCTTGGCTTGCAAATCCGATGGTAGCTGTGAGTAGATAGGTAACACCGCCAATGGTGGAGTTTCGTCTAACTCGTTTAGACGTTCTGAAAGAGTGAAGAGACATATATTCCCTACATTCCGAGCGTACTATCAAATGCACTACATTTTTCCAGTCTTTCATGCGTTCAAACGGTTCATAACTGAGTGTCTATAGAACAGGCTCAAACCAAATGTAACCACCAATTTTGTCTGAGGACGGCAGCAGGAGAGGGAAGAGAAAAAAGTTTGCAAGTCCCCCTGCCTCAGAATCATAAGATGCATTTCACTCACCTGTGATAAGATCACAAGTAACCTCGATGTCTTCTTGACCAGGCATGAAGACTAAAATGTCACCTGAAGTGTATCAAGGGAAGCAAGAATTAAACCGACAAAAGAAAAAAATACGGTAAATGATACCACAAAACAATATCTATTATGGAATACGATGATTTGATTTGTAGCAGAAATTCAGTTGACAGGATGCGAACGGTGAGTAGAATGTAGGGCTCCCAAGTCGATTTGCATTCGCAATAACTATGCATTTGAGCCATGAACGGACTTAGAGGGAAAATAAAACCAACAACAAGAACAAAATGCAAAGTACATTCTTATTGGACAATGAAAAAATATGGATTGTTAAGGATCTCACATGGTTCTCTCTAGATGTCGCATATGGTCATGCAAAGCTATCAGGCGTTGTTTAAATACCAAACTTTATTTCATGTGTTAAAGCAAGTGATGAGAATGTTTAACTTTAGGAGCAAGGGTAAAAAACCATAGTAAGACCATAAGTTCAACACGAACCTTTCGCCGGCGTAAGATGAATCTGCAAAGCCTGCTTCACAGCGCCATCCACGTAATCTTCGACAACATTCTTGCTGAAAAGTATGTCCACAGGAAAAGTTCGACCTGGAATCTGAAAATGAATAGAGAGTTAGTTAGAGTAGTTTTCGATTGGCTGTCGAAAAATCCCAAAACCAAAACTATCACAGCGGCTAATCATGACAAAGGTTGACATTAACATTAGCCATCAAGCGCTCCAAGGAAACGTTGGTGACCGAGTCATGGTATATACGATTGGTTTTCGTTTTACATCTGATGGCTTAAGACGGCGTTTTATCACATCATGATGACCCGAGCTCTTTGCGATTATCCACGAAAAAGCCAAAAGAGAGGACGAATCGCGTTAAAAAACACGAACAATCCCCGGCTGTTGTGAATTCCGGGACTAGACTCCGGATCCAGAGGTTCAGATTTTGATCCTGGGCGAGTCACTTAACCCTTTAACTCTAAGGGTGACTAGCATCTAATTTCTCCTTACAATATCACCCCTGAATCATGAAGTAAGGTAAAGAGAATTAAGAAAATTATCAGCAGCTAAAGAAGTTGTTAATTGTTACACAAATTATCCTTGTCAACACCTTAGGGAATGTACAGAGAACAGTATGGAAAATACCTTTACTGATGCAAGGGTGTAAAGGGTTGACCGTCCCTGTGCCTCTACACACCCAGGAATATAAACTGGTATCGGTAAACTCTCACGAAAATTTCACAAATAACTGCAGGAGAACTAACAAAACTCTTTGTAGCTTTATACTACCGAAAACGGGATAAGCATCTGTTGAAGTCTCCGTACCTGAAATGTAGGAACATTCCCGAAGAAGTCGGCGAATTTTTTAGCGTCCATGGTTGCAGAGGTAACAATCAGTTTCATATCCCTTCGGCGAGAAATGACCTGAGAAAAGAAAAGAAAACCTTTGCTCAATCCAGGTACGAATATAAATAAAATTTTTCAAAATATATCCATAGAGGATAACATTCATAAAATCATTTAACAGAAACAAAACTAGCTGAAGGAAATTGGAGCATGCGTAGTAGCGAATCATTTACATTGATGTCAAACGTAAACAGGCAGGCAGACAAACAGGCACCACACACCACATTGTGAAACATTTGGGAGATATTTCAGTAACATCAGGAGTTGCTAAGCCGATAAACTGGACTATTCTCTTTATCTATACGCTTGATAATTTTCCGTATTTAGTCCATTAAGCGCCCAACCTCGAATAACCAACCACTCGCGCTAAAAGGTCCAAATATTTAATAAGTGCTGAGGGCGCTTAATCGTAAAAAAAAAACGGTATATCAAAGGAGAGGAAACGTTACACGTTCGTCACTTTTGGGACAGATGGTTAATAATTGCCACGGCAAAAGCATAATCCGCGAAGGCGAATAGTTATCTACAGAATGTAACATCTCACCTCTCTAAGAAGACCAAAGAGGACATCTGTGTTCAGCGACCGTTCGTGCGCCTCGTCCATGATAATGACGCTGTAATGATCAAGATCTGACTCACGGAGAGACTCTCGCAAAAGAATACCATCTGTCATGTACTTGATCATTGTGCGCTGCAAGAAACCACCGACAGTTGAGATGGTCAGTTACTAGTAAAATGATTCCCTATGACCAACCCAACCATGCCCAGTTAACGGACTGGAAATAACTACGAAAATAAACGAAAACTTCCTTTTAACCTTTAACCTCTAAGAGTGACTAGTATCTAATTTCTCCTTACAGTATCAGCCCTGACTTAAACATCACGATCATGAGAATGAAGAAAATGATCGCCAACAAAAGAATGTCGTGATTGTTAGACAAATTCCATTGGTCAGTAACATGAAAAATACATAGAGAACAGTATGACGAATATATATACTGGTGTTAGCGTATTATGACAAGATTTTAAAAAAACTTACGCACTTAAGTCATCATTTGCGCTGGAAGAGGATGCGCGTTTGACACGCAGTCCTTAAGTTGTATATTACAATAACCATCCTAAGTTAATTATAAAGAGAACATTACCTCTGGTCGCCAATTCACAGAACTCGGTTTACACAAAAAACTCCACGCTAACCACTGATACATTGAGTGTAAACAAGTTTTCCTCACCTCGGAAGTGACATCCTCAAACCGAATGGCGTAGCCAACTTCCTCACCAAGTCTGCAGCCAAACTCTTCACTGACGCGCTTAGCAACTGACATAGCAGCCACTCGACGAGGCTGTGTGCAACCAATCATTCCATAATTTGTGTATCCATCCTCATGCATGTACTAGAAGAAAAAAAAATGTAGGATTGCTTCACATGAATAAGTTATTTGAGCAGCAACAACAACAACAACAACCGAGAGTAACATACACCTCACTGTGCTGCCATAGCGATGACAAGGGGTGAATGTTACATGGCCACACGGAGATACCTAATCTCCACGCAGAAATAATTAATCTCCCCCGACCCTGTTATTATCATTTTTTTTTAATACATATAACTCAAACAAAGGAACATTTCCTACTTTACAGGAGACATTGAAAATCAAAATATTTTCAGACGTCAACTCGTTAAGCACCTCACAACGGCGCTGTTTTCGCGTCGAGCGATTTACATTTTTTTTGTACCTGAGTAAGCTGTGTTGTTTTTCCAGAACCTGTTTCACCAACCACAATAACAACCTGATTGTCTCTCACGATGTTAAGAAGCTGCAAAGTACAGGTACAGTAGTTTTAAACTGGATTAAAAACACAAATTCACACACGCAACTTGAGTTCTACATATCATGTACTTAATAACAAAGTGGGAGGGCTAAATGGCGCTGGGTCGGTACGTCTTGACCTACAATAAGTACGCATTTCATCACATGACTGCCGTTTTATCTCCCTCTTCCTTTCTTCTTACGTTTTTTCCTACCATGCATCTTGTGAGGCAGACGGCTCAGTTTTACAGCTTTTTCTAGCACTGCTCGCGCCTTCAAGCCCGGCCCTCGCAATGGAATTATTTTGTTTAAAATAATTTTCAATCAAAACGGCATCCTGGCCCGTACGGGTCAGTTGGAAAATAAACGAATACGACGGTTCCAAATTCTTGTTCAAATGCACAAAATTTAGCAAAAAAAGACACTACATATCAGTTATTTACATATCGTAGTGATGTTTCACAGATTGACATTGCTTCCTTCGTACCTCTTCTCGAATCGCAAATATGGGCAAATACTCTCTTTGTTCCTTGATTGATTTCTTCGCAGCAAACTCGCTGCTGGCTTCATTTTTATCCCTCATATGTTCAGCAAACTTCTGATTATCTTTGTAATCTTCCTCCTCGTCTTGTTTTGTATCCTTGAAGACAAAGAAAAATAGTTACTTTTACTTTACTAACTTCGTGAAGTTTGTAAGAAGTTGTAATAAATTGTGAGTATTTGTCGTGGTATAGTAGATTTACGAAGTTTACAAACGAACAAATTTGCTCCGAAATTTTAAATAACATGAAACAGCACGAAACTTACATGAAACAAACGCCGCACAAGAAAACCAACATTTCTTTAAAGCTCTTTTTTTTTTTTCCTTTTCAATAACAAATTTCTTACATGAAATGTTCTTCAACAAAGTCGAAATTCAAATTCCAACATACTTCATCTTCCTCCTGTTTAACACCCAGAATGTTGCCAAGTTTTGTTCCCGCCAGTTCCCAGTGTTTGTGTTGTGACTTCTGTCGTTCTTTCTGTTCTCGGTGAACACGTACAACATGACAACCTTTTCTTGAAATCATAGCCATGTCTGAAGTGGAATCCTGCAAAGAAGACGAGGTTGGTAAGGTACCGTAATGATTCGATTTAGTGCCCCGGGCGCTTATTTACTTTGGTTACCTAAAGGGAGGGCGCTTTTTCGAAAAATATCTCCTATAAGGAACAGGGCGCTTATTCTATTTCGAGAAACAGTAGAACGTGCGAAACAAAGCTCTGAAGTCCATTCGAAAAAGATCAGAAAGCTGGAAGACGGACCGGTTTTCCCTAGATCCTTCCTATTTCGAGGGAGCGCTCATTGGAAGGAAGGCACCAAATCGAACCATTACGGTATTTATATTATCTCTAGGTTCAAATCGAGGAGAAGATTTCAATTCGACAAAACTTTTGAATTAAGCGGGCCACAGTACGGCCCGCTGAACTGACCCATCATAGTGCACGTACTAACTATAGCATAATACCTTGACTGGAATGACCGGTTCTGGTTGCTTTGTGAAGACAATGCGTCCATCAAGAAAAGGCGGCACTATGTTATGCACCAACAGGTGGACTTTGGCTTCTTGATCATCTTCAAAGTCTTCATCAACATCTAACTTCTGCACCACACCACTTGTCAACATCCTGTTGGTCTCCCAGAGGTCATTATCCTGAATAAAAATGGTTTCAATCGGAATATTATTAAACACATTCAGATGGTAAGTAAATGAATGTACACCAAAAATACAGCCTTCACTGAAACCTCTTCCATTTTGGGATATGGTATTAATTAGTCACAAACTACAAATCCTCAGAGGTATGGCTGGGGATATCTTTAGAAACAACATACACTTTCATTGAAGACTTGTTGATGACTGGAATTCTGACCAACCTGCTTTGTGGGATGTATGCTGATGAACTTGAAGAGCCAATATATTATAGGAAAAATCTTTTTTAACGATCATGAATTATGAAAATGCTACTTTTGAATCTTAAATTACTACAATAAAGTTAGAATGAAGTTAACTCTGTAGGACCTAAGTGGCATTTGACCCCTTGGCATCTAACTTCTCCTTACAATATCACCCTGCAATCACACATTAAGGTCATGAGAATAAAGGAAATGGTCACCAATCAAAGAAACTCTTGATTGTTATACAAATTCTCCTTGTCAGTGACTTAGGAAATGTATGAAGAACAGTATGGAGAATATGTAAACTGATTGTTAAACAAATTCTCCTTGTCAGTGACTTAGGAAATGTATGAAGAACAGTATGGAGAATATGTAAACTGATGGTTAAACAAATTCTCCTTGTCAGCGACTTAGGAAATGTATGAAGAACAGTATGGAGAATATGTAAACTGATGGTTAAACAAATTCTCCTTGTCAGCGACTTAGGAAATGTATGAAGAACAGTATGGAGAATATGTAAACTGATGGTTAAACAAATTCTCCCTGTCAGTGCCTTAGGAAATGTATACAGAACAGTATGGAGAATATATAAACTGATGTTAGGGTGTAAAGGGTTAACACTTTAGACGCCAGCTAAAAATTGCACATGCTACAACACATGATAAACACTTTTAGATTTCCTCTGCTGATAACTCTGTATACATAATGTAAATCAAAATATGTTTGCACACTAAACATGTCCATATTTCACCTTGTTTATTTGCCTCTGTTGTGCTGACATCTTCTTAACTGCTTTCTTGGCCATGTTTTCCTCTTTTTTCTTGGTGTACTCATCACTGACATCAGCAAAAGGGTTATGTGTTTCATCATAACCAGAGTCCATATCATACCAAGCTCGGTCCAGCCTCTGTAAAATAATGTACAGTAATTCACTTTTCATCATGTTTTTTCTACCTAGCCAGGTGTACAAGCAACTCTTTGTTTGAAATTTTTCTCCAAATACCCTGCCTTTGAAGATCAAAGCTGCCATCTTTGATTTTTACAGCAGCAGAAAACTGGGGAAAGAAAGAATTTTGTACCAAAGGGCTGAGCAAGCCAAAAGGAAGGAGAGGGGAGGGGGTAGGCAATGTCATCTTGCCATTCCCCATCCCCATCCCCATCCCCTTCTCCCACCATCCACTCTTATCTTATACCAAACACAGCCAGTCAAAGAAACAATTATGCCTTGATAAGACAACAGCACTACAGGCTAAAATCTTATTAACCCTTTAACTTAAGTGCTCAAGACATAGTTTCTCCTTACAATATCAGTAACAGGTGAAGCAGACAAGTGATGAGAATAATCAAAAATATCAATTAGGGCATCATTAGTTGATCCAATACCAAATTCCCCAAACTTGCATCATAATGATAGTGTGGCAGACACTGAGGAGAATGAATAATGAGATGTTGGGAGTGAAACAGTTTTTCTGTGCTCATGGCTCATTAATCACCTTTTGTTCTTCTTCCCATTCCTCCTTGTCAACTTCAGAAGGAAATCGCGATTCCTTGTCAACTTCAGAACCTGCATGTTTTATTTTTATGTATCAGTCAACCAATGATTTGTTTAAGATAATACAATTTTGAACTGCTTAACATCATCAGATAACCTATGTCAAGAAAGTAACATCTTGATCAAAGACTTACTAATATAAACAAGAACCTGCCACAATGTGACTATTCTGTCACAATAACGACTTGGTTTAAACATAAATTTAAGTTTTTTTGAAGGAAATATGTGGGTTTTAAATGGTAAATTTTTAATCTAATGACAGATTAGTCTATCAAGATAATTACAAATGAGAGGGCAAAACCTAATTAATGCTACTAGATGAATTTATTCTACTTTATTCCACAGATTTGGCATGATCAGATCTTTTCACAACATACTCCTTATTATAACATTGCTATAGAGTAATTTTGTCTCACGTTTTCCTTTGGAGAATCTTGGAGTAGCTCCAGTGCTTCGGCGATCGTCTTCCCAAACATTGTATTTATGTGTAGGGGTGAAGCGAGGAGTGTCATCTACTCTTCGATGAGATCTGTAGGGCAGTAAATTATTCCACTTATTTTTATAAATGCTAGGACTTTACAGAATAAATCCATTGATTGAAAAACACCTATAAGTGCTCCTTTACAAGGAAGCAACAAATTAAGGGATTGTAAAAGACACAAACTCTAACAGAACTGCAGGTAATGATAGTGTAATCTCTGTATCAGTCTGAGATACAAAGATGATAAGAAGGTTATATGTGAAATGATGAACCCCAACAGCTGCTGGGAGAGGGATAACACTCTAACATCAGTGTGCATATTCTCTACACTGTTCTCTATACATGTCCAAAGATGCTGATAAGGAGAATTTGTAAAACAATTGAGAGCTCCTTTTGATCGGCAATGGTTTCCTTTATTCTCATAACCTTTATGTGTCAGACACCTCACTCCTAAATAATGATCCTAGTTTGTACAATCTTTGTATGTAAACTATCTGGGAAAATGAAGACCAATCAGGTATTGATAGGAACACTTCACAGTTTTTGTTACCTTCTTTCACTTTTCATGTCTTCATATACTGATCTGCTGGGAGATGGCATTTCCCATTTAGCTCTGCTGGGTGTGGCATCTTCGTCATCCCAACTGCTTCGTGAAGGAGTTCTTATGTCTGTCAACAAAACATAAGTACATGTAGGACAGGAATAAAACTTTTGCAAGGTCTTACAGAGAACACAAAAGATAAGAGACAACCATCAAGAGTACAATATAATGCAACATCAATGCAATTTTTTTGGTGTACTAAAATACATCAACAATAGGCAATTATATGAATTTATCCACAGACATTATCTGTTCCTAGAAGTGATCAGTCTTTTGGGAACAAATTTTGCAAAAGAGCTTTTAGTAACAAGTAACTCCCAAGGACAAATAAATTACGACATTTTTCCCAATCAAATGGTATCTAGTGAGCTTATTATCCATCAAATAGTTTGCAGAAGGCAGGAAAATTTGTTTGCAGCATCAAAGCTGCTTCAACATGGAAAATGTTGAATGCTCTACCACCTCCAATTTACTTTTAACCAAGATTTTAATCATATTGGATGTGAGGTTTTAAAATTGTGGAATACCAAAGCAATGTACCATGGATTTTAAAGAGGAATATTTTTGTGTGTGGTACTTTATTGTCCTACCATGTGCCTAAGCTTCAAAGGGTTTCAAAGTGCGACTGGCAGATTATTTTATGGGGGGAAATTTATATTTAATATATCTAGTGATAGAGGTTACAAGAACAAATTTGAATAAGGGCAGAAGGCCTGGTTTGGAATGTAGAAGGGTTTCAGAATAAACCCTTAGAAAATAGAATAAAGGGGGAAAGTTTCTAAAGAAATTGTGGTGCAGAGTCAGTGAGAGAGTATAATAAGGTAATTTAGTATTATCAATTGAGTTGATAACATAAATTGGCCACCATAGAGAGTTTAAAAGCTGACATTTCGAGTGTTTGTTGTCAGTAACAATTGTGGGTTGCATGAGTCTTTATATGCAGAAAATGGAGCTATGGTATGACTGGGAATATAGCAATGATAAAACAAGAATAAATTGGTTGAATGAAAAGGGCTTGTTGATACTGTGGTGATTAAGAGTGCCTATTTGAAAGATAATTTTTTTTTCTAAAGTTTTGCTGCCTTCCGAACTGCCCAGATGTAGGGAAAGGCAGCAAACTGCCATATGTTGTTTAGAATGGTTAGGGAGATTTAAGTGTCTAATGACTGGATGCCTTCTTGTCGTTTCTTTCTACATTGCAAAAGAGTTCTTGAAATTAGTCACCTAGTTATCTTCCTGCTTCATCAATGTATAACTTTTTGTGATAAGTGTAAGTTTAGGCGCATGTGAAATAATCAGTGATCTTAATGGATCTCTTGGATCCCAACATTTTTTCTATCTTGTAAATGAAAGGACAAGTTTTGCATTGTGAGAGAGCATGTTTGAAAGTTCTACGTTGGTCACTGGTTTGAAATGAACTTCTGACCAAAGAGTTCCCAATGTTTTTGTTGTGTTTGAATGAGATAAGTAGAGGTTGCAAAAAGATAGTACCAGTCTCTGAGTTGTTTTGAAGAACTGAAGAAACTTAGAGTTTTTCTGAATGATAGATTTAACTGAGTGGTTTTGAGGGTGAAATGTGGGAGTGAATTGAAAGCAATCAGTGTTTTCCTTCTGAACAATTTGTAGTGCTGTCAATCAATTTGTTGGGCACCGTGGTGACCCACTTGAACAACAGGAACAGGATACCCATGTTTGTCAAAAAACTGGCACATTGCCTTGGATTTTCTGGAAAAATAAGAGTCAACACTACCTAAACTACAAAGTCTGAGAAACTTTGGGAAATAGGTATAGAATTCTTGACATGTGATGGATGCAAAGATGAATAAAGCAAGTACCTATGTGAATCTGTAGGTTTGTAGTAAACACTAGTGCATAGACTGTTGCCTTATTTTGAAATTTTAATGTCTAGAAAAGCCAAAGAAGAGTCAGAAATTTCCTAGTTATATTTCAGTGCTGAGTCAAAGGAGTTGCTGCCAGTTAAAAATTGAGTGAGCTCCTTTCTGGTAGAGGAGGTAGCACTGATGCAGTTGTCAATGTAACAACTGTAGAGTTCAGGTTTGGAGCCATTGTATTGACTGAAAAATTGGTGTTCAATAAAACCCAGGAAAAGATTGGCATAGCTGGCTCCCATTTGGTCTCCATGGCTATGCCATTGGTTTGTGTGTATTAGTTACCACTGAATGAAAAGCGATTGAGTGTTAGGACTAGTTCGGTTAAATGGAGTAGTGTTTCTAGGGTTCCTTACCAGTGCCTTGATTACAAAGATGTTTTAGGGCCTGGAGACCTCCATCATTGGGAGGGTTAGTATAAAGAGATGTAATATCCATAGTGAAAACAAGTTTGTTTCGGCCAAAGAAATTAAACTCACAAAAAATTTCAGGCATGTAATGGCTGTACTTAATGTATGATGATGAGGTTTTGATGATAGGTGATATAATTTTGTTCAAATAGCTGGAAATAAGTTTGGTGGGACAACTGCAGGCAGAGAAGATGAGTCGACTTGAGTTGTTAGGTTTGTGGATTTTAGGTAAAAAGTAAATACACGAAGTTCTAGGAAGGATGATTGTAACTATGTCTTTGTGTTTTTTAGCCTTTTTGAGTGCCAAAAAGACATTACCAACTTAGTTGATAATACTAATTTATCAATTATCCTTGAAAAAAAGGCTATCAAATCAACTGCAAAACGATACAGTTACCTTTTGATTTGTGTCTAGGAGTATAACCTTCATCTCTTGACCGACTACTTCTGTATGGCGTCTCTTCCCAGTCACTGCGGCTCGATCTTGGCTCTTTAAAATAATTTTCCCTGCCATTCCTGTAGTACTCTCGAGAACTTCGACTACTTTGCTCTCTTTTTTCATACCTTCTTCTTTCTCTATCATCGTTTTTATCTCTTCCATATTTTCTATAATCTTTTTCTCTGTCCTTTGGCCTAGATTGAGCATACAAACCACCTTTTCTGGAGTCACGATCTCTTTCAAGTCTCTGGAGCTGTTTTTCTCTTATATCTTCATTAACACCTCCAGTGTGTGATGGGGTTTCGGCCAATCCAGATCTATAATGACGTGATTTCGACTTATATGCTTTACTTCCAGAGCTAATTCGCGCTTCTCCCGTGAACTCTGATTCGTCCCAATCTTCGTCGCGATTTGAAGAAAGAGCCTTGTTCTTCTTCGTCTCCTCGTCATCCTCCTCCAACTTTCGCTTTCTTTTCTCCTCAGCGAGCTTTTGTAGCCCTAATACACTTTTCTTGGGGGATTGAGACGCTTTGTTGCTGTTTCCTTTTAAGATCAAGCCACCGACAACAGAATGAACTTGTGTTCCCTCCAGTCGGTCTGATGGAGAGTCGTCAAATCCTATGTTTGCCATGACGGGGTTACTTCCCTAGGAATAAACTAACTAATCATTGAAATACTTTAATCAGGTTCCATACAGACTTTGTAGTTTGGCGATCATCCGTGAAAAGGCAAACAATTTCCATCAAAAGAACTTTTGCATGAAACTTGGGCCGCCATTTTATATCATTTTCGCCTCCAGATCCCGTGAGTTCACAGACAGAGGAAAACCTGGGTAAGAGCGGAAGAGTTTGCAAATTACTAACATTTTTGCTTCTGTCGGTGCCCAAGCAAAGTTGAAGATGGCCTCCGCGAAAGATGAAAATTGCATAAGTCCATACAGGAGACTTCTCTTGGACATGTCGATGGAACTGTCTAGCAAAGATCTGGAGCGGTTGATATATGCTGTAGGGGATCATCTTCCCAGGAGATTGACAGAAAACATAGAAAGTGGACTGAGGTTATTTGAAGCACTCGAACAAGATGTTCACATTGGTCCGCAGAATCTGACTTTGCTATATGATGGTTTTAAGACAATCGGTAGAGTGGATCTTGCGCAGAGAATTCAGGTTTTTCCAAGAAAACTCCACAGAGCGGATGAGACTGACGGTAATTCTGTAGAAAGTGTATCTTAAGAGGAATATTGCTCACTCATTGTCGCATCGGTCGCAAACCTCAGTCTAAAGATCCGAGTTTGTTGAAAACAATAAGTAAATGATTCGATGAAAATCTGGAAACGTACATGAATTGCTTGACATTATCATACAACAGGAATGTCTGGTTTTAAAAAAATCCTTTACGCGTAAAAGTATTTTATTATTTTTATTTACTTAAAAAAATCGATCTGAATTCGACAACGCGGAAATTTCAACAATCAATCAAGTTGCAATGTAAGCATCTTAGAACACTTCGCCTTATAGAGCTCTACACACCTCGCTTTTTATTCTCAGAGCTAAGTTTTTGAGCCATAAATTGCTTCCAAAATATCAATAAAGTGAGTTCAGATAATTAGTTACAAAAGAATATCTGGACACAGGAAATTATTTTGTATTTGCTACGATTTTGTTTTGACTAGACAGGCGAGAGCGCATAGAAACTGACGGCGGAAGGGACGGTAGTGATACGGAACCAAAAGGAAGTGATCTTGCTTACACTGGCGCACGAAAAGGTACAGATACGAATAAACTTAGTGAACTGGTTCATTTTGAGTATCGCTCCATAATAAAGATTTTTTTTAAATATTATTTTACGTTTTGAGTGTCTTATTTTAAGTTTTTCAATTTTATTTACTTAAAAAAATCGATCTGAATTCGATTATAGAGCTCTACACACCTCGCTTTTTATTCCCAGAGCTAAGTTTTTTAGCCATAAATTGATTCTAAAATATCAATAAAGTGAGTTCAGATAATTAGTTTTAAAAGAATATCTGGACACAGGAAATTATTTTGTATTTGCTACGATTTTGTTATGACTAGATGGGCGAGATGACATGGTAACTGACGGCGTGGGGGACGGTAACGATCCGGAACCAAAAGGAAGTGATCTTCCTTACACTGGCGCACGAAAAGGTACAGATACGAATAAACTTAGTGAACTGGTTCATTCTGAGTATCGCTCAGTGAAGAACTTTTTTCTAATCTTGTTTTAAGTTTTAGCCAAACAATTTTTTTCCGGTGGAAACCTTAAAACCTGGCGATTTGAGCTTTTAACCCAAGTTCTCCCTAGCAAATAAGGTCTTTTCTTCCAACTCAACAGCTGCAGCCGACGAACATGTCATGACATTTCGATCTGTGGTTGATCAGCCACATCCTGCGAATCCTAGAAGTACTTCAACAGGGTTAAGTGGCGGTGATGCGGATGGCTGTACAGCTGAACATCTTGTTGCTGTCAGAAGTGATGCTTCGCTAACTGTAACAAATAATGGTGAGAACCTGAAAAGGGAAGGAAATTGACAGAAATACTTTAGGAATGTGGACAACAAGTGAACTGCTTATAAAACTTAATGCGTCACTGTTGCTTTGTGAACGTTTAGTTATATGCTTTGGGCAGTTTAACTGATCTTTGGATAGCAAGTTAATTGAAGCAGTTTCCTATTGAGTGTCAAGATTAATTCGAGATTTCTTTGCTTTTGCTTATCTTCGCTTAGTGATTGGTCAAGTAATCTCGAACCACTTTCTGAAACAATCATGCAGATTCAAAACTAAAACCGATTCTCGCATTTGAGGCAGTTTCTCTTTTTCACTAGGAGTTTTCACTGCCTATTTCTGATGATTTCCTTTGTTCTGATTGGCTATTTCTGATGTTTTTCTTTGTTCTGATTGGCTGTTTTCATCAATGTGGTTTGTATGTGAAATCTCTTTCCTTCTCTAAATTTCAGGCTCCTCTTTAGAATCCGCGCGGGGACCCTGTTCTGCACCTTCTCGGGCTTTTGTCCATAAATCGTCTGCTCGACTCCAGCCTGATCCAGCTGTAGGACCTGCACCTCCTCAATACGTGGACTTTCTGCTTCACGAGGAATACGTAGTGAAAATCCTGGGAGGAAAACACTTTAAGACCCCTGATGGAGAATTTGTAGAAATGAAAAGCGGGACGCAATATGCAATACATGTCAAAAATTGTCGTGCTTATGGTAAAAGTCATACATATTACTGTTTTAAAAACATTTTTCAACTTTATCACCATGTCAAATTGGGGTGAAAACATACTGTCAGATTTCAATGGACTCCTGTTACTGACTGTGCTATCACGTTCTTGTTGACAAGAACTTCACCCCTACCCTGATGAACGGACCTGCACCGGTCCCCATCCAGAAAATCATAACCAGGGTGACTCTTTATTTTCGCTGATGCATGGGGAACACCTCACTGTATTTGAAAACTGGTCATTTACTTGGAGGTCAAAGGACGTTATAAGTGTCTACCAATTACACAATTTCTTTCTCACTTTTCATTGAGTCCCTTTCGTTTCTTTTTGCATGGAAGACTGAATTCGTCAATACTCTATGGTTAAAATCTCGATTTTTTATATATATATATATAAAATCATTGATCACTTGCGCCTTTTTTCCAGGTTGTCATGTGGACATATCTATTGATGGTTATGACGTAGGGAAATGGGCTCTCCGCGGTGGAGAAGAGATATCGATAGAAAGACCAGCTTATGAGGCCAAGAAGTTCACCTTCTACCGAGTGAAAACTGCACCGAAAGAGGCAGGAATTGAATCTGGCCGGCCCGAAAATGGAGTTGTTAAGTGCGTGTTCACACCTGAAGCTTTTCTTAACATTCCAGTGATCACCTCTGATTCGTCTCAGCCTTTGAATGTGAGCATACCTCCATCGGCGACAGTTGGTGAGTTGAAACGTAAATTGCAGCACCAGATGGAAGTTATGGATGACCCCTATCAAGTTCTGGCTAAAAGCGACAAGGTCCTTACAAATGGTACACGACTACGGTAAGGAATGTAAAGCCTATCAGCCTATAGGATGATCCTTTGGAGGGCGGACTAGTAAGGGATAAAATCTTGTCAATTTTCCCTTTTTTTTTTCATTAGAGGTATACTTGAGAAACCTACGGATTTGAGACTAATAGATGCAGAAATAACAATTACAGTAACAGCCGAGGCGTCTTCCAGTTTTCCTTTTCCAATAAGTGTGCATCCCGGCAAGGTAAAGGTCCATTATCTCATGGAACAGATAGAAGGGAAGATTCAAGTCCCAATCAGGGACCAAAAGCTTTACCATGAGGGAAACCTCTTGTCAGCCTCACCAAGTAGCTATCTTCCTGATAAACTTATCTGCAGTCCACGTCCGGCTGTGAATGTCATTATCCCCGAGTACATTCACATAACTGTAAAAGATCAGAGTGGCGACTCACACTCCGTGAAAGTGGACAAAGAAAAGAACTTAGAGGCGGTTATGGAAGAAATTCCTTCGAGCAGTGACCTGCAGGAAAACGAAGAGGCTACGTTTGCTTTCAATGGAAAGCAACTCTTCCCTTCTAAAGACGAAGGAACCTTAGCAAGCCTTGGTATTTGCTCTGGATCAAAGCTTGAGTTGACAGTGAGGATTCTTTACATCGAAGTCGAAGTTTTCTTCTCCGATAACTCTTCATCAGTTATTGTGAAGTGTGATCCACAAGAAACATTCCGGGATTTGGTTGAAAAGATCTTAAAACGGCGCAACAGTAGAAAGTACAGGCTTACATTTGCAATAGATGGACGAGAGTTTGATCCGGATCAAGACAAGGGTCCGTTACAAGGTATATTTTATTCCTCAAATATAATCTATCACTAATAATAACAGTGTTACTAAATGGCTGCGGCGTAGGGGGAAAGAAAGATACTATTTCGGCAACGTCACCCTATATGATAGTGTAACAAGCTAGATAATACATTCGGTTAACTTTCTCTGATATAGATTACGGAGTTACGCATGGCCGTACGCTTCGGGTGACCAGACATCCCACTTCGGTCAGTATTGGCGCTAGGATACTCAACCGGTAAGTGTATAAAATATGGCTACTTGCGTAGAAATGCAAATATCCTGATACTTCGTAAACTTTTTAGCCGCCGTTGATAAGAACAAAGACGTGCATTTAAGAACGCGAGGTGATTTCCTTTGCGAGGACTCAGATTCCTCTTAGCATCCAATTTATAATTGGCGTTCACTGACGTGGTCGAACTGGCTTCTTTAATCCCTGATCAATTTGTTAAGGTGGTGAGAAAGGGGACAAATGACGATTTAGGCTACAAAAGGGTTTCATTCAAAACCATTGAGGAAAGCGGACCAACTAAAATCTCAGCGTTGTAAAGCTAAAACAGGCAATTTGTTAAACTATAAACCTTGATTAGGTTTAGAGCGCGTGCGTGAATTTCTGTCCGAGATAACTTTAATAAGCGTGGATACAACGTAGTAATATTTGCACTGTCTATTTATCTTTCAAATAGATTTAAGAATTTAGGAGCTCCAGGTAAGCAAAGCACCAATGGGAATGGGTGGAGAAGGTGTAACAAATCAGGAAATGAACACTTATACTGCAATCCCTATTTAATTGCTATCCGTCAAGCAAATCTTAAGAATTAGTATTTGGAGACAACAAAAATTGTATTCATAATATCTAAAGATATCTCACAATGTTGTGGGAATTTGCCCTTTTTTTCGCCTTTCGTAGTGAAATTATCCTATTTGTTGCATCCATCCATTCAATCATGTCTTCAAAAACTTATTAATAATTCATAAGCCCATTAACCTATCAAATGGTAGATAATACATCACGTGCAGTGACTTTATATCGATAAACCTCATCCTTATTAGTATGCGGTGTTTTATCAGATATAAAGACACTGCACGTGACTTATGAATATTAATTAATTATCAACACAGAAACTGACACAACAAATGGTGGGAACATATTTAATGTTCTTTCAACAAATTTCACACAGTAAATTTACTTTTGCACCAAATTAATAGTACAGTTGTGAAATACACATCTGGAAAAATTCTCTATTCCATTAGTACAGTAATCTGGTAAAGGCATATTAGACAATACATCATCTGAAACTTCGACGCCATGTCCTCTTCGATTAGTAGAAGAAAAGTACAAAACACGTGTGAGATTTGATTTTCTTGCATACTAATTTAATCCCAAATCGTCGATCGATGTTCACCAAATTGCTCGAAAAAGGGAAGGTAAAAAATGAGATGCAAGATGCATGTAGTTCAAGTATGTTTAAGACTCACCGGCGCGTATAATTAGGTATAGGGAGCCATTTGTGCGATAAAACTCAATCATTAGTGCTAACACATCAATCGTAGCGATAAAACTCAATCGTTAGTGCTAGTATCGATTTGTTATCGATTTTAACTTGAGCAAGTCTCTCGCTTGTTAAGCAAAGATGAACCAATCAAATCTTGCTCACTTTCATGAAATCTGATAAGGGACATTGAAATGAGATTAAAGGTAAAGACTACGAAGACTCATCAACTCTTTTTTTTCACGACTTCAACTTTTTTTAAAATTCAATGCAATTGGAGTGCCAAAGTTTTCCGTACGTCAAACTCTGATTTCAAGGAAAATTTTATTCATGAAATTACTCGATCAGCTTTCTTTTATCTCATTTTTCTTTTAACATTGAAAGCTCCCTCTTTTGTCACGTAAACGGTCCACTATAGAGAATTACACTAGTTCCCTGAGTGCTCACTTCCTTTTTGCAATCTTACAAAAATAGCTTGCTTGCATGTCAAGTCAACCTTCCATTTAAGGCGACTTGCAGTTGAGTTCTAAAGAACTAATTCAGTTCCAGTAAATTTCAAGTACCCCTGTATTACTCTTGTAATTTACAGATGATGAGCAAACCTTTGGTACTTCGAGATGGAGTTAGTAACTTTCTTTTTGTTTAGCTTAAGTCTTTTGCTACAAATATTTCGTAGCTTGCATGACGATGCAATTCATGGGAGGGGGGGCAGGGGGTAGCTGTTAATTGTGACTTTGTCCTGTTGCTGCCCTCCGTCACGAACTTCTTTTTTATGTATCTGTACATTTTGCAACGAATAAATTAAATTAAATCAGAGCACTCAACAGTTTCACGAGTGCTCACTTCACTTTTACGGCGCACCACAGCCTCTTACTTGTTTAAGTGGCATAATCTTAAAAACTAGCTTGCCTACTTGTCAAGTCAACCTTCCATTTTAAGAGACATGCAGTTGAGTTCTAAATAACTTATTTTGAGTAAATTTCTCTTAGGACCTCTTAGAGGTGAGTAATTTTCCTTTCTTGTGAGTTTGCGTTTTTTGCTGCAAATATTTCGTAGCTTGCATGACGATGCAATTCATCTAGTTTAAGGGACTCGTCAAACTCTTGCCAAAAACAGCTAAAATTAAGGGTTTCTCGGGCACTTTTTGTTTTGGTTTGCCATTATCAGGAGGATAATAATAATCTGTTATCTTAAAAGATCAGGGGGGTAGGGGGCAGGGGGTAACTGTCAATTGGGACTTTGTCCTGTCACTGCCCCCCGTCACGAAACTATTTTTTATGTATCTGTACATTTTTATAACGAATAAATTAAATTAGGGTACCAAAGTGTTATACGCCGAGCCGTGTGACAGCGGACCGCCAAGGGAGCAAATCACTGAGTGATCAGCAAGGATCGAAATGCACCAATCAGAGCTGTTGAAAAACAACTAATCACAGCAGAGTATCATGCTTTATAAGATCAAGCATGGCCGGTCGACCTTATTGCCTGAAGAAGACCAGCAGTATGCAGTCGAAACGTCGCGATCTACATCACACGTGACAACATCGCGAGACATACGAAAAACTTAGCTTTTGTCTTTACTCTCTATTACTCTTGTAATCTACAGAAGAGGATCAATCCTGTGGTTTCTCTGCAATTTGTGAGTAATTTCTTGCTTGCATGGCGAAGCAATTTGTCTAGTTTTAGAGACTCGTCAGGCTCCTCCCAAAAAGCAGGGGCTGAAAAAGCTAAAATGAAGGGTGTTCCTCAGAACCTTTTTTTTTTTTTCGGATTTGCCATTGTGATGAGGATCATGTGGAGGAGTTTTGGATCAGCCATTCTCGATCAGATACATACAGTATATGAATTTGATTTCTGTTTGACTTGAAGAATTTAGGCAGGGATGCGAGATTCTAGGTACATATGCTTCGTATCTCAAAGATACGTTTAGTTTCTCGATATTTCTTTCTCTAATACATATGAGATACTTTAGCTTTCGAATGCCAGATAATCACTTGATAATCAGATAATCGATAACTTCCATCATGTGCTTCAACTTTTCAATTTCCCCTCTCATTCTCTAACGTCATAGGGCACAAAAAACCAAAACCTCTTTACATACTGAACTTCCCTGTACAAAAAGCAAGAACATTATTTCCTGTCACCGAAATGTATCCCTTACAGAAGCAGACAAATCGAAATAAACAGATCTCCCCTTTTCTATTTCACTGCTATGTCAACAGAAAGAATTCATTTATGACTGAGAAATAAGGCCTCAGAGGAAAAGGAGGAATGAGAGAGTCGAACGCGATTACTACGCGTACCATCCCATGCTGGAAACTTTTCAGTTTAAAATGTGCGTGAATAAGTCATTCTTCAGTTTACTGAATTTAAGTAGACTGTTTCTCTCGATTATTTTGCATTCGAATTTCCCACCTCGATGATACTGTGTGCGATATTTCCAGGCTATGATTCTGAATTATATCTACTTGCTAATGCCTCGATCAATTCCAAGCTTCAAAATCTCCCTTCAGGGAACCCAATTGGCCCACCCACGGACCAGATTTAATGGTCAGTTTTTATGCAAAAGACAAAATCAGGGTCGTGACTTTCTACTCGTTGACCAAGCTTTAAAACTTGTAGACCTTGTAGACCTTTTCTTTTGAGCTGTTCGCTAGTGAAAGTGAACTTTGCCTATTAAAAGATAAAACGCTTGTATGGACTGAGCGCAGGGAGGTCTGTATTTTAACAACCGAAGGCCGATATTTCCCTTACGACAAGAGCAAGCGAGGTTAGTAGGCAATTTATATTTTGATAACAGTGTTACTAAAGGGTTGCGGCGAAGGGTGAAAGAAAGATACCATTGCGGCAACTTCACCCTATATGATAGTGTAACAAGAGAGATAATATATTCCGTTAACTTTCTCTGATCTAGATTCCGGAGCTGTGCATGGCCGTATGCTTCGGGGGAAGAGTCATTCCATTTCGGTCAGTACTGGCGTTAGGATGCTCAACGGGTAAGTGTATAAAATATGGCTGAGTGCATAGAAACGCAAATATCCTGATACTTCGTAAACTTTTTAGCCGCCATTGACGAGAACAAAGACGTACATTTAGAACGCGAGGTGACTTTTTTTGCGAGGACTCAGATTCCTTTTAGCATCTAATTTATAATTGGCGTTCATTGACCTCGACGTGGTCGAACTGGCTTCTTTAATCCCTAATCAATTTGTTAAGGTGGTGAGAAAGAGGACAAATGACGATTTAGGCTACAAAAGGGTTTCATTCAAAACCATCGAGGAAAGCGGACCTACTAAAAATCTCAGCGTTGTAAAGCTAAAACAGGCAATTTGTTAAACTATAAACCTTGATTAGGTTTAGAGCGCGTGCGTGAATTTCTGTCCGAGATAACTTTTATAAGCGTGGATACAACGTAGTAATATTTGCCTTGTCTATTTCTCTTTCAAATAGGCCTCAGATGTTAGGAGCTGTAGGTAAGCAAAGCACTAATGGGAATGGGTGGAGAAGGTGTAACAAATCAGGAAATGAACATTTATGCTGCAATCCCTATTCAATTGCTATCCGTCAAGCAAATCTTAAGAATTAGCATTTGGAGACGTCAAAAATTGTATTCATAATATCTAAAAATATCTCACGATGTTGTGGGAATTTGCCTTTTTTTTCGCCTTTCGTCTTGAAATTACCCTACTTGTTGCATCCATCCATTCAATCATGTCTTAATCATGTATTAATTTTTCTTTTGTCGCATATTCATTCATTTATTCAGCATTTTATAATGACCCCTCGTCGCCAGAAACTGAGAACTGCAACAGTTCTAAGACCTCAAAAATAAACGTAGAGTACGGCAAGCTTCTTTTTCAGGGTACAGAATTTTAGTGATGAATTGTAGGAGGAGGGGAGTGCAGAGTACGCAAGGATTTGGAAAACAATGACGAGGCTTAGTTTTGCGAGATTCGTCCTAATTTCAAACATAAACTTTTTGCCGCTGGGTTTTGCCGACCACCTAACTCCACAATAGACACTTAAAAGGAACTCACGAAGTCCCTTCAACTCGTCAGCAAAGCAACCTTCGACCAGCTTTTGGCCTGTTGGGACGTTAGTCTCCCTACCATCAACTGGAAAACCTGTACTTTCATCAACAATGACTCCATCTGCAGCTATTTTACAAAACTAGTGCGAGACAATTACTTGGGGCAACTGGTTGATTCCCGTACACGGAATACCATCATGTTGGATCTGGCCCTCACTAATACAGTACCGCTCGCGTATAGCTCTAAAGAACTAATTTTTAGCAAATTTCAAGTACATCTCTATTACTCGTGTATTTTACAGGAAAAGGACAATTCTTGGGTCACTGTGGAGATGGTGAGAAATTATCCTTTTCTTAAGTGAATTTTTTTACTACAAATATTTCGTAACTTGCATGACGAAGCATTTTTTCTATTTTCACATTTTGTTTTGATTTGCCATTATGAGGAGGATAGTTTGGGGGAGTTTTTTTTTTATCTTAAAAGATCAGGGGGTAGGGGGCAGGGGGTAGCTGTCAAATGGGACTTTGTTCTGTTACTGCCCCCGTCACGAAATTCTTTTTTATTCACCTCGCCTTTTATACAAAACTAACTAGTTCTAGTCGCTTATTTTAATGGTGTCGTGTTGCAGTTTGGTTGCCTGTTACGACTACGTCTTGTTCTGACTCATATGCAAATTTTTTAGGCGTAACCGGAGTAGCCTCTTGTTTTATTATTTGTCAAATAATCGATCGATGTTCCCCAAATTGCTCGAAAAAGGAAAGGGAAAAATGAAATGAAAGATGCATGTAGTTCAAGTATGTTTAAGACTCGCCGGCGCGTATAATTAGGTATGGGGAGCCGTTTGTCCCAAATATTAATCACTAGTGGTAAAACTCAACCGTCCATTTTAAGATACACGCATTTGAGTTCTAAATAACTTATCTCGAGTAAATTTCTCTTTTAGTATCTATGGTAGCAGGGTCTCACTCTGGAGATGGTGAGTAATTTTCCTTTCCTATAAGTTTAATTTTTTTGCTACTGGTAAGATACATGAAAAAATTACTCAGTTCTGATTGGTTAAGATAAATTTAGTTTTCAGGTAATTCAGTGCAGAAGAGGGTTAATTCAGTGCTCAGACACTTTGTTTTAATTTGCCATCATGAGGAGGATCATGTGGGGGAGTTAAAGATCGGGAGGGGGGGCAGGGGGCAGCTGTTAATTGGGCTTTGTCTTATTACTGCCCCCTGTCACGAACTTATTTTTTATGGATCTGTAAATTTTGTAACGAATAAATTAAATTAGACGAATGCTAAAGTTTTTCATACATCAAACTCTGGTTACAAGGAGAAGTTTATTCATTAAACTGCCTGATCAGCTTTCCCTTTTCTCATTTTTTTAGCATTGAGAGCTCTCGTTTTGGTTATGTAAACGGTCCATTTATACTAGATAATTACGCCAGTTCTTTGGGTGCTCACTTCACTTTTACACTGCACCACAGCCTCTTACATGTTTAAGTAGGATAATCTTAAAAAATAGCTTTCCAACTTGTTAAGTCAACCGTCCATTTAAAGAGACACGCAACTAAGCTCTAAAGAACTAATTTCTAGCAAATTTCAAGTACATCTCTATTACTCGTGTATTTTACAGAAAAAAGACAATTCTGGGGTCACTGTGGAAAAGGTGAGCAATTACCCTTAAGTGAAGTTTTTTGCTACAAATATTTCGTAACTTGCATGAAGAAGCATTTTTCTATTTTCACTTTTTGTTTTGATTTGCCATTATGAGGAGGATAGTTTGGGGGAGTTTTTTTTATCTTAAAAGATCAGGGGGTAGGGGGCAGGGGGTAGCTGTCAACTGGGACTTTGTTCTGTTACTGCCCCCGTCACGAAATTCTTTTTTATTCACCTCGCCTTTTATACAAAGTTCTAGTCGCTTATTTTAATGGTGTCGTGTTGCAGTTTGGTTGCCTGTTACGACTACGTCTTGTTCTGACTCATATGCAAATTTTTTAGGCGTAACCGGAGTAGCCTCTTGTTTTATTATTTGTCAAATCATCGATCGATGTCCACCAAATTGCTCGAAAAAGGAAACACAATGTTTAAGACTTGCCAGCGCGTATAATTAGGTATGGGGAGCATTTGTGCCAAAAATATCAATCATTAGTGATAAAACTCAATCGTTAGTGCTAAAAAATCAATCGTAGCGATAAAACTCAATCATTAGTGCTAGTATTGATTTGTTATCGATTTTACCTTGAGCTAGTCTCTCGCTTGTTAAGCAAAGGTGAACCAATCAAATCTTGCTCACTTTCATGAAATCTGATAAGGGACATTGAAAAAATGAGAATAAAGGTAAAGACTACGAAGACTCATCAACTCTTTTTTTTCACCACTTCAACCTTTTTTAAAATTGAATTAAGTTGGAGTGCCAAAGTTTTCCTCACGTCAAACTCTGATTTCAAGGAAAGTTTTGTTCATGAAATTACTCGATCAGCTTTCCTTTATCTCATTTTTCTTTTAACGTTGAAAGCTCTCTCTTTTGCTAGGTAAACGGTCCACTATAGAGAATTACTCTAGTTCCCTGAGTGCTCACTTCCTTTTTGCACCGCACCACAGTCTCTTACATGTTTAGATAAAATAATCTCACAAAAATAGCTTGCCTGCTTGTCAAGTCAACCGCCCATTTTAGGAGACTCGCAGTTGAGTTCTAAAGAACTAATTTCCAGTAAATTTCAAGTACCTCTCTATTACTCTTGTAATTTATAGATGATGAGCTAACCGTTGGTACTTCGAGATGGAGTGAGTAACTTTCTTTTTTTTCGCTTAAGTCTTTTGCTACAAATATTTCTTAGCTTGCATGACGATGCAATTCATCTAGTTTAAGAGACTCGTCAAACTCTTGCCAAAAACAGCTAAAATTAAGGGTTTCTCGGGCACTTTTTGTTTTGGTTTGCCATTATCAGGAGGATAATAATAATCTGTTATCTTAAAAGATTTCGGGGGGGTAGGGGGCAGGGGGTAGGGGTAACTGTCAATTGGGACTTTGTCCTGTCACTGCCCCCCGTCACGAACTTATTTTTTTACGTATCTGTACATTTTTGTAACGAATAAATTAAATTAGGGTACCAAAGTGTTATACACCTTAGTTTCCGTGCAACTGGTGTAATTTTCCCTTTTTCTGTTTTAAGTTTTATGCTATAAATATTTGGTAGCTATAAAACTAATTTCCAGTAAATTTCAAGTACCTCTGTATTACTCTTGTAATTGAAAGGTGTTGAGCTAAACTGTGGTACTTTGAGATGGAGTGAATAGCTTTCTTTTTTTTAACTTTAGTCTTTTGCTAAAAATATTTCGTAGCTTGCATGACGATACAATTCATCTAGTTTAAGAGACTCGTCAAACTCGTGCCAAAAACAGCTAAAATTAAAGTAAACTTAAACGGTTCATTTAAAGAGATTTACACTAGTTCCCTGAGAGCTCACTTCACTTTTACGCCGCACCACAGCCTCTTACTTGTTTAAGTGGCATAATCTAAAAAAAAAACTTGCTTGCTGTCAATTGGGACTTTGTCCTATTACTGCCCCCAGTCACGTACTTCTTTTTTTATGTATTTTTGTAACGAATAAATTAAATTAAATTAAATAAGATGAATGCTCAAGTTTTCCATGCATCAAATTCTAGTTACAAGGAAGATCTTGACTGTAAATATATGAAAATCATATATGGGTACTGAGGTTGAAGAAACGAAAATAGAAGCAATCCTCGCAGATATGAATACTACTGAACTAGTAGTGAAATTCATTAAACTACTCGATCAGCTTTTCTTCTTCTCATTTTTTTTTAACAATGAGAGCTCTCGCCTTTGTTACGTAGACGGTTATTAATAGAGAATTACACTAGTTCCCCTGAGTGCTCACTTCACTTTTACACCGCACCACAGCCTCTTACATGTTTAAGTAGGATAATCTTAAAAAATAGCTTGCCTACTTGTCAACTGTCCAGCTAAAGAGACACGCAGTTGAGTTCCAAATAAGTAATTTCTACTAAATTTTAAGTACCTCTCTATTGCTCTTGTAATTTACAGAAGAGGATCAATCCTGTGGTTTCTCTGGAATTTGTGAGTAATTTTCTTGCTTGCATGGCAAAGCAATTTGTCTAGTTTTAGAGACTCGTCAGGCCCCTCCCAAAAAGCAGGGGCTGAAAAAGCTAAAATGAAGGGTGTTCCTCAGAACCTTTTTTTTTTTTTCGGATTTGCCATTGTGATGAGGATCATGTGGAGGAGTTTTGGATCAGCCATTCTCGATCAGATACAAACAGTATATGAATTTGATTTCTGTTTGACTTGAAGAATTTAGGCAGGGATGCGAGATTCTAGGTGTATATGTTTCGTATCTCAAAGATACGTTTAGTTTCTCGATATTTCTTTCTCTAATACATATGAGGTACTTTAGCTTTCTAATGCCAGATAATCGCTTGATAATCAGATAATCAGATAATCAATGACTTCCATCAAGTATTTCAACTTTTCAATTTCCCATCTCATTCTCGAACGTCATACGGTACAAATAACCAAAACCTCTTTACATACTGAACTTCTCTGTGCAAAAAGCAAGAACATTATTTCCTGTCACCGAAATGTATCCCTTAGAGAAGCAGACAAATCAAAATAAACAGATCTCCCCTTTTCTATTTCACTGCTATGTCTACAGAAAGAATTCATTTATGACTGAGAAATAAGGCCTCAGAGGAAGAGGAGGATTGAGAGAGTCGAACGCGATTACTACGCGTACCATCCCATGTTGGAAACTTTTCAATTTAAAATATGCGTGAATAAGTCATTCTTCAGTTTACTGAATTTAAGTAGACTGTTTCTCTCGATTATTTTGCATTCGAATTTCCCACCTCGATGATCACTGTGTGCGATATTTCCCGGCTATGATTCTGAATTATATCATCTTGCTAATGCGTCGATCAATTCCAAGCTTCAAAATCTCCCCTCAGGGAACCCAATTGGCCCACCCACGGACCAGATTTAATGGTCAATTTTTATGCAAAAGACAAAATCAGGGTCGTGACTTTCTACTCATTGACCAAGCTTTAAAACTTGTAGACCTTGTAGACCTTGTAGACCTTTTCTTTTGAGCTGTTCGCCAGTGAAAGTGAACTTTACCTATTAAAGGATAAAACGCTTGTATTCCTTTGGAAAGACTTGACACTTCCTTCTCCACCCTAGCTAGGAAAGGTTCAAATACCCCAACCTCTGGGCAAAGAAAACAGTCAAATGCCCGTGGGTTTTCTGGGTAAAGATATTGAAATTTAGACTTGGTCGGCACATAACCAAGTGTAAGGCCGTACTTGGGAGGTCTGTATTTTAACAACCGAAGGCCAATATTTCCCTTACGACAAGAGCAAGCGAGGTTAGTAGACAGTTTATCTTATGGCACTCAGACCGAGCTTGTTTATTTTATTTTTACTAGCTTTCAGTCATAAAAACGCACAGCTTATGACCGTTTCTGTGGTGGAAACAGACCGCAGGGCAAAATCCGAATCAAATAGGAAAACTAGTCAGAACGCTTAGATCTACCCCAGGACTACCTTGCCATATAAATGCAATAATAATACAACCGTAAATATGTCCTGGAATATTTGTATATCTGCCGTCAATGCCCTTTTCCTATTACGTGTAAAGTTGACGGTCGTACCAATGTCGTTAAACCGGATCCTGCATGGAGATCAGGTGGAACAACATTACAAGGCCACAGTACACAACAGTTTACCACGGCTGAACCAATAAGAGTGGATCATTCACGGAGGGTGGAACTGGTACTCAGGCTTGTAGCCAGGTAATACACCACTTAGCACATTCAAAAAGGGAAGGGTCAGCTATTTGTTTTAGAATAGTTAGTCCTTCGTACCTGGCTCGACGATTAGCCGTTGTTATCGAAATGAGCCGTGTATTATCTCCTAGGTACGACTTGAGAGAGTAGCGGTATTCGACCTAAATGTCTCTCGTTATTACAAAGATTTTTAAACAAGAGCTTTTCTAAAGTAACCACGAGCTGTCATGAGCAAAGTACAAAATTGTTTAGGGAAAATTTTGACACAGTCACCTACGACCAAGGAAAACCGGTTTCTCCAACACTGAGGGCGAGTTGTAGATGTTAGATCTTTAATATTAATTGTTAATATTCTTGTATGTCTTTACTTTTTAGAGATGGAGAAAAAGATTTAGAATTTCCCAAAGGTGAATGTAAACCGATGTCAACTCTGACTCCACCACCTGTCCAAGAGTAGGGCAGACAATGAATCGGTGTAAATGGAAGTCAGTTCAACAAGTAGATTCTAATTTCTTTAGGTTTGTCTTGTTCACCGATGACAGCAAAATATGTTAAAAACAAAATTCTACAGTAAGCTGAATAATACGAGTGTTCAGATTTGTTCTTTCTTATAATCTGTTGGAAGACAGATGATATCACCATCAACAAGTTTTTACTTCTTTTACATTATATGAAACACATAGATTCCATGTTGCTGTTGGTCAGTTCAGTAATAGATCACAGAAGTTGTAAAATATGGCAAGAACATCAGTGACATGTACTTTGCATTTATTAAAGAAATAACTTTGAAAGCACCAATCCTCTCAAACAAATATTTTTATTTCATCTTAAAAGCAAGATTACACTTTGGCCTCTTTGTGCAACTTCTTCAGTTCAGCTTTAAGAACTCTGTTTTTCTGTGAAGCAAAACAAAAGCTTTCATTAGACACTACATCCGCATTACCATCACCGCATTTCCTTGAATGAGCATCCCCACTCTAATATGCACCCTTCCCTGAATAAACTTCCCACCGAATTGGCCATAATATTAAACAAGCACCCCTTGTCAATAAGTGCCCTCCCCACCTCCACTCTCTCACTATCTAAGATAGTAGGGACACAACGAAAACCTGTTTCTATTGCCACTTCGTTTTAAACATAAGCTTCAACTACAGTGGAAGCAGTACAGGTGGATTATTTCTTCATAAGCACCCCTCCTTAACTCCTCCTTAACTAAGCTCTTGAGCACTGAGGAATACATTTTGTACAGGTACACTGTGTGCAGGTACAACACCCTCAAAAAGCCCAACATGATCGGTCACACTTTATTTTTTTCTTATTCTGAGAAAGGTTAGCAATGTCAATTCAAAATAGTTCTGAGCCCTTGCACTGATAAATGGATAAAGGGGGTAAGTTTCTAAAGAAACTGTGGTACTGCATCAGCAGGGGAGTTTAACAAGATGAGTTGATCATGTAAGCTGTCCAGGCGAATGACAAAGGACTAACACTCATAACATAAGCTTTGAAACTCTTTATAGTGGCCAACTTACTATATCAACTCAGTTAATAAAACCAAAATATCTCACACTAATAAGCCTCACACAACTATCCCAATTACATTGAATTATGCAAAAATATTTCTGAGGTTGGAAATTTTTACACCACTGATGGTAACATACAACTTGACTATTTTCAGTTATCTTAACAGCTGTGTCCAAATCTAAGGTTGAAAAGTTTCACATAGCATATAAAATCAGCCATAAATTTGGCCACTTATGAATCAAAATTAACAATAACCAAACAATCTAGAAAAATGGTTCTCTCTTATGGATAAACAAATGTTAATAAGGAAATTTGTCACAACTGTGGTGCAAGGAAAAACCCATGCCACTGATGAGGAGTTAACCTCAAACCAAAAAATATCATCAAATCAACCCTCTGAGAAAGAAAAATTAGGTGAAGGTGTTGCATAATTTGGTTGTTAAATTACAGTAAATTTTAGCTCTGACACAAAATAAATAAAAACATAAAATGATGCTATGACCATCAACATGTAACAGTTTTAAAGGTAATTTCACAAAGGCCAAAGTTTGATACATTTTGACATGACCTAGGACCCAGGATTCTGTGGTATATCAGAGACAGGTTCAGTGGTAAAATTCCAAGGAGAATATGGTGTGTATTGAGAATAGCATTTAATTCAAAACCATATTTCCAGAAGTCTCCACCAACAGTTACACTATATCAGTGCAAATATTGCATGAAACAAACACATGTGCATTGTACCCAAGATGTACTTATCATATATTTAAATAATACAATGAGTTGCATTATACTTGCATTTAGGTTTTGTTATTATCTAAGACCTATTAGCAGATGAATGCTTTCATGTTGTCACCATTAACAACATTTTGCTTTGTTTTCACTTAAGAGATAAAGATTGTATGTTGTGGTGGTGCCACTCAGTAACAGATCACAGAAGACCCCATGGCTACCCCTTGTGTGCCACTTTTTTTGTTCTTACCACAATTTGACATCATCTGTGATCTATTACTGAACAGATGCATGGCAACATTGAATCTCTTTGTTAATCCGCAAACAGACACTGCACTCTTCTGATTGGGTGTGGTGCTTAATTGTACCTTTGCTTCTTTCTTCAATTTACGGTGGGATTTTATTTTAAAGAAAAGAAAGCGAGGAATATCATTTAATACTTTGATAGTGGCTTACCCTCTGCTTGGCCAATTTGAGCTTAAAGCGATCGAAGTCAGTGAGAGTTGCTCGCTTCTTCTTTGTGGCCAGTTTCTTGGCCCAGGCTGTCTTTTCCCACTTTTCAAGGATCTCTCCCTTCTCAAAGGCGTTCTTCACTGGTCCACTCTTAGCAGAAGGTCCAACTTTGATCTTGAAGTCAGTGAGGGAGAGGTGCTTGAAGTTAAGGGCTTGGCGGCACACATTGGTACAGGGCCCATCAATCAGAGCCTATTGAAAAAGATTTAAGTAAAATTCTGCTGATTAAATTTTATTTTCCAAGGCCAAGACAATTTTATTTAATGTGGTATTGATAAGGAAAAACCTCACTTTCTCAAGTCTTGCAGTAATTTTTTGCAAGTCAATTTAAGATATTAGTAAAAATTTGTATTACCTTGACTGGATGCATTCTTGTCGTTTCTTTCTACATTGCAAAAGTGTTCTTGAACTTAGTCACCTAGTCGTCTTCCTGTTTCACCAATGTATAACTTTTGGTGATAAGTGTAAGTTTAGGTGCAACAGGAACAGGATACCCATGTTAGGAATAAACTAACTATTCATTGAAATACTTTAATCAGGTTCCATGCAGACTTTGTAGTTTGGCGATCATCCGTGAAAAGGCAAAACAATTTCCATCAAAAGAACTTCTGCATGAAACTTGGGCCGCCATTTTTATCATTTTCGCCTCCAGATCCCGTGAGTTCAAGGACAGAGGAAAAGCTGGGTAAGAGCGGAAGTAGTTATTTGTATCGTTGCATCTATGTGTAGCGTGGTACATCTATGTACGGTGGCCCATAGAGGACATGCCACATTTTTTTTATCGCGCAATAAAATCAAAACATCGCGCGATAAATGGAAATTATCGCGCGATAATTTTATCATTTTCGCGCGATAAATGGGAAACATGGTGGGTCACGTAATCGGCTGTCACGCACGTTGTTTCCGTGAACGACAATGACTGCCACAGTTGAGGAGGTATGTTTTGAGGTCAATAGTTCATTTTATTTAAGTAAAAACATCATTTAGCAATACTTTGCAATACTCCTACGACACATAGCTTTGTGAATCAGGACAGTAAACCTTGATTTTGCGAAATCTTATGAGACACTTCCAGGGATGGCTGTCAGTGTCTGAGAACGAGAGTGGATTATCTAATCTTTCTGATTGCATTGCAGGTTTGTAAATATCTAGAGGGTAGATCTGTCGACAAGAACGTTGTTGCCAGGTTTCGTGAATAAAAGGTGAGAATGGTAGCTGTATACACGTACTGAACTTAAACCATTTAGTTTTTCAACGGTCACGTCTGGTTGAAGGTCCACGGGTAAGAGTTAAGTTGATCCACAAATATTTGAAATACAGTATTCATTTTGTAAAAATAATGATGAAGCGTAAAGAGTAAAAGAACACAGAAATCTGCAATGGATATGTTGTCAGTTTAATTGCAAAAGGTGTTGCACAATTTTCTTACGGCGGTCACTTTGTAACATAATATGAAGTAAAAGCACGAACACCCACATATACTAGCTCAGTAGGGCTCTTAAGTAACTATGCTGACCACGAGAGCTTGCGGTTGAGTTGCCGACGAAAGATCAAAAGAACAAGCACAGAATGAAAGGAAATTTGTTTTGGAACGATTGCGTGACACGTCATGGCCTCCCACGACGGCGTTTTCAATAGGGGATCGCCTTACCCTATGTAGGAGGTTAGACTCGTCACGAATTCTTGATTCCTGCTTTATTGCCTAATATACGTTAAGTAGGGAAGCAAGAAGATTGTGGAAATTTTGAATATCATGTGAGTCAGGAGCTATATCATAGATCCTCGTTGTGAGTACATTATAATTATCGTCCTCGTCATCGTTATTATTAATGGTGATGTATTTTTATTTAAGATGGACGGTTCTGCTGTGATATATATTGCCCTGAGTTCTTCCTGATGGAGCTGGGGTTAAAGATAAAAGGTGACCTGTACGCTCTCCGTCTGTTTTGTGAGAGGAAAGAAAAAAGGGGGAAAATAAGGACATGGAGGAGAGAAAACAACATTTAATTGAAAAACTGAGATCAACTAAGGGATCACGTCTTAAGGGCTCTGCGTCGGAGAGCAAAATAGCTTCCGCTAGTTCCAACGTTAAGCCACGATGGCGAAAGTTCGAAATTGGCTGGCTGCACTTCTCGGAGGAGAAGGGAAGATACCTCGCAGTAAGACAGTCTACTGGGGGTGGAACGAGGTCAATTTCGTTGCCTGGGAGTAGCAGGATGTCCGACATTATCGACGAGGCTCGCAACTTATTTTTTCCTCAAGGAGGATCCACGTTTGGAAGATGGCTTGAAATGGATTACGATCAAGCAAACTTTAACGGTGAGAAGATTGATAAGCTTATCACCCCTGAAGGGAAAGAGATCGAATTCTCCCTTCAGTCATATTTCAATCTCTACAAGCTTACCCGTGTTCGCCTGTATCTGAAAACCAAAAGAAAAGAACTTCTATCGGAGGAGACCAAAGTAGGAGAGTCGCACTCCGAGGTGAGGAATTCCAGGCTTTTAGGAAGCTCGCAAGAAAGGGCCCAACTCAAAGAGACGCAAGATGAAAAGTACGAAGAAAGCCTACGCATCGACTGCGCAAAAAAAGCAACAGAAAGAAGAAGCGTTGATGGAAGAAATAAGCAGAGCTAGGAAGGTCGAGGAATTCACGCTGCTCGATTAGGTAGAGTGTTGGAGGAACCGGGCATAGATGAACCAAAAGTTGTCGTTCGTGTACGTCGCATCGACTTGGGAATGGTTAAGCGAGCTTTCAAACCATACCAAGCAATGGCTGCAGTGTACAATTGGATTGGCTCGCTTACAGTTATTTCCAGTTTACTTCTCCCTCTGCCCTACACCAGGCGATGTGTTAGACCCCTCCTTACTTGCAGAGGATGCGGAAGGTAAAGTCCTATTCATGGAACCAAGAGACGATCCAATTCCAATATGTGATGACGACCCAGAAATTACATTTAAAAGACGGATTTGGCCGACATGGAAATGTCGAACCTGCACTGGACGACTCCCTCTTCGCCCTTGGTGAAATAGGGACAACACCGCCCTTACATCTATTAGCTGGGGAGATGGATAGCGAGGAGGATGACAGTCCAAAGTAAGTAACTTCAAAATTATCCTTATTTCGGTGTCGATATTAAATCCTCCCACTTGTTCTTAAAGAATAACAGGATCACATAATGTACACGTACGGAATAAGTGGGGGTTATCCCACTTTATCAAAAACAAAGAAGAAAATTTTCTCCTTAATACTTGTACCTAGATTCTATTATTAATGCCTTAATGACCAAGAAACCATTCCCGACCATAAAGCAATTAAGTAAGTGTTACGAAAGTTATACCCCTCCTTCGGCAATTTTTAGCCAATCGCCGTCGTTTTCGAGCCAACTTTTTCGCTTGGCTAAATTATTCTCCATTATATATTATTTTATCGAAGACAATTATTGCTGGTTCTTGCGGTAACGAGGGATAATTATAATCAGTACTATTCACTATGTCCTTTTCAAAATTGTTCTTGCAGTAACGGCATTGCTCCAAGGCACAAAAAGAAGAAAATGGTTGGTTTATAGACAGTACTGCTGTTGTTATATATAGAACGATGATAATAACGATACAAACGGGTACTCTTTCGCCCTAAACGCCCATATGATTTACATATTGTAACTGTCTGGTGTTCTTTACAGGAAAATAGCGCTACCTCGACTGAGACGGGTACCAGTAGGTTATCGGCAGACCGAGGGCGGCATTTCCGCCAGAACTACTTAGCCCAGTCAGCACAAGAACAGGTCAGGAAGATATAATATATAGATTTAGGCAAGCCTAAAAGTGGAGCTCACATTTTTTTTTCCCGCACGTCTCTTCAACAAAACTAAAGCCCCTACTATGGATAAAGTTCGTGGTAATACTAGTGGACTTTCATTCGCAACTTCTCCGTGTCCATGTAGAGGACTGATTACAAGATAGTGCCCGTGGTACAGTTGGCCGCGCATGCTAAAAGTAGCACCTTGTACGGTCGGTCGTACGGTCGTACATACAAATTTTCTCGGCTTGATGGGTTACTACTATTTTGTATAATTATGGGGCTACGATTTGCGAGCTCCGCTATAAAGAAAACATAATGTAGACCGATAAATGATAGCGCTTTTTTTTTTAGGCAAAATCTTCATCACTGAAGTAACGGCAATTGGAGTTTTGATTACTTGAGTAGACCGTTTTCCATATATTAAGATTCAGACTTGCTTCCGAGGTTTGGGGGAACAAAACAAAAGCAATAGCATCGAAGTTGAAGTATGAATAAATTATTTCTTTTGTTTTATTCCCCCAAGCCTCGGAGCCAAGTTAGAATTTTAGCATATCGAAAATGGCCTATTGGCTTTCTACTGACCGAGCTCTACACTGTCCTGTTCTAGCTAAGTGACCTTGTATGTCTTACTTTGACTTGAGAAAAAGTTTGACTCGATAACGTATTCTTGTAACGGTCGCAACCGCTTCAAACCTGCACAAATAAGAATTTGGGATTGAAATTAAATCAGAAAGTGCAAAAACTTCCCTTTCAGCACTGTCTTTTATTTTATTTCAAATACCTCAAGTGAACAGTATCTTTGTTCCCTGTGTGTTATCTTATCTGATAAGGCATCCACGTAGGTTTTTGTTAAATTTCTGTCGGATGTTAAAATTAGGCCTCATTTTTATTTGAAGCAGACGGCTACTCTAGAGTAAAGTAATACTTAATAAACATAAAAATAGCAAATATTTTCAAATACGCGAGTACTTCTGAGAAAAACGGGGGGGGACTTTTTTTAAGACGGAAGGCAGAGATGAAAACCAGGAGCTGGAGGGGAAGAGCCAAAGCAATACTCAGGTGGCGATGCCCCCTGATGACATTGTCGTAGTCGGTAATAATACCACTGAGGAAGAGCAGCAAAGCAACTCAGAATCACATTGCAAGTAAGCCTCTCATTAGTGCACAGAGTGGACGTGTTTGGGTGAGCTTAATTTTTAAAAGAGATTTTGCCACTGTTTAAAGAAGGAAAACTCGTGACACACCCTTTTTTGACACATTTAAATCTTGCGCCATAACCAACGCCTCCTTCACTTGATGTAACATTTGTAAACAATTAAAATGAAAACATTTTTCTACAGGGTCGTAAAGATAGGGAGAGTGCAAGTTATGAAGGACATGATAAGTCTTTTCAAAGACAAAGCTGTCGTTGACACCGCTCTTAACGTGGTCATGATCAATTCTTTCGGAAAAGAAGATGGGCTGGATAATAGCGGCGTTTTCCTTGATGAACTTTCCGCGTTTTGGAACTCTTTTTATGACTCGTGCACTAATGGTGAAGACGAAAGAGTTCCAGTCATCAGGCACGACTTGCAGGTTGCTGAGTGGGAGGCCATGGCCAGAATAATCGTCAAAGGGTATCGAAAAGTTGGTTTTTTTCCAATTAAATTAGGCAAAGCCTTTACAACAGCCTGTCTCTTTGGCGAAGAAGCTGTAAAAGAAGATCTTTTGTTGGAATCCTTCCTGGCTTACCTCAGTAGTGACGAAAGAGAACTGGTTAACCTCTCTCTGAATGGGAAGCTGGACGAAGAACAAGAAAACGAATGGTTAGATCTCCTGGAACGTTTTGACTGTAAGACTGTTCCCAAAGCCAAACAAGTCAAAGATGTCGTCTTATGTCTTCAAGCAAAAGTACTCATTCAAGGGGGTCGGGATAAGTGGAAAACTTGACCAGTATTTTAGGTAACTGATCTCAGGAAAACATGCCGTTCGCATGATCATTGCGAACCGGATCATTAGTCTCTCACATTGCTTTCCTTGAAGTTCTATCGTTCCTTCGATCGAGAGATCGCATTGTTGTTATAACCTAAACGTGGAAGAACAATTTGCTGCGTGAATAACAAAGCGACTTTCGACCAAAGGATGCGTTATTGTTCACGTTTTATTTGCAGTCCTGCTTTATTTACAGTCTTCATTGCTCGACTTGCGACTCCAATGACAACATTTTAGCCACAAGATAATTATAAGACAAAAGCACAATGTGGCGATATAGTCACAATAGTTGAAGAACATAGATTATGGTTCGTCGACATAAAATTATATATTTTTGACACTTCACCTGATCTGCCAGAGGTGATATCGACTGAGAAGTCAAAGTTGTAATTATTTGTCCGCATCACAAAGTCTTCCTTCAATCACAGAAGTTTGGCCTTCAGTTGTTTATTTTGAATACTGTGGGTTTTTGCTGTATCGCACTGAGCCCTCCGTTAAAAAAATTGAAGTAGTAGATTGTGATTTTATTGCGGTTCCGCTGATTTTAAGCTGGTTTATTTTTTTTTTTCATTACTGTTTCTAAATTATTGTAGGATTTATTGTATTTTAGGGTGGATTTGTCATAATTTACCCCGTTTATGACAAATTCACATAATGATTAAACCGAAAATGGGGGTAAAGGTGGCTATGGCAAGTCAGTAGGATAGAATCCACCTAAAGGATGAATTTCACAGAATTTATCCCGTTTTTCTAAAATTCGCTGATCAAATGGAAAATCGGGAAGATTGGATATGGAAACTTAGAATGTATTCCACTAACGGGATGAATTCTCAGAATTTACCCCGTTTTTCTCGAATTAATCAGAAAAAAACGGAAAATAAGGGATGTCCCGAATTATAATTTATACCAATTTTAAGATGAATGGACACAATTTAGCCTGTTTTCATAATTCATTGAAAAATTCATTTGGCATGTTGAGATATGGAAAATCGGGTAAAGATTACATATCACAAGTTGGGATAAGTTTCACTTGTAGGGTGAATTGTCCGATTTTACCCCATTTTCACAGAATTCTTGGTAAACTGCAAAAAGCTGGGACAAAGATTGAATATAACAAGTTAGGATTTATTCCACTGACAGGATGAATACTCAGATTTTACCCCGTCTTCTCAGAATTGACTCAAGAAACGGAAAATAGGGGCGAAGATTGATTGTGAAAAGCTAGGATTTATCCCACATGTGGGATTAATTGTCAGATTTTATTTTACTTGTCTCTAAAAAACGAAAAAAATGGAAAATTAGGCTAAAGATTTGATATGGCAAAATTGGAAACTCGGAGTAAAGATAGCATATGGGAGCTAAGGGTAATATAAATTCTCAGAGTTTACCCCGTTTTCCTAGAACTAATTCATTAAAAGAAAGGAAAATAAAGGTAAAGATTTGACATAACAACTTAGGTTATATTCCACTTGCGTGATGGATTGTCAGAACTTATCCCGTTTTTCTAGAAGTCGTTGAACAAATGGAAAATCAGGGTAAAGATTGGACATTGCAAGTCATGATATTAACCACTCGTGGAAAGAATTGCCACGATTTACCCCGTTTTTTTAGAGTTCATTCAACAAATTGGGGTAAAGATTGGATATGGAAAAGTTATGATATCATCCACTTGTAGGTTGGTACAGAAAATGGAAAATTGGGGTGAAGATTGGATTTGGCATGTTAGGATATAATTCTACATGCTGGATAAATTGTCAGAATTCAATGAGAAATGGAAAATAGCGGTCAATATTGGATATGTCAAGTTGGCATACTTTGCATATGCAGGTTACGAGCTGTTTAATTGTTTTGATTTTCGAATGCACTCAAAACATGGAAATAGGGATGAACAGATATACCGCATTCGTAAGTTAGATCGCCGGAATTGCACCCTTTATTCGCGTAAAAGAATGTTGAGTTGGGGGTAGGTGTCGGAAGGTTACCCTCGGGTGAAGTCAATAATTTGAGCCGGTACATTGTAGAATCCCTGCACAAAGCCTGGGACTCGACAAATATCACTGAGCCTGAGGAGATTTTTGCGCTGGAAAAGAGAATGTAGCCTTCCCTATAAAATATTTATCAGTCCGCAAGTTTTGGTGCTATGTTTCACCACAGTGATGTTCTGATTGTTGAGACCGGTCTGCATATTACTCACACCCTTAGAATTTAAGTCAATTTAGCGTTTAAAATGTTTTCAGGCAATTGGAAATTTTCCCAGAAGTCGCTGTATACACAGATGCATGAGCATATATTGACGGCAAACTATTGATTTACCTTTGCTTGACAAGCAAAGTGAACGTCGACATAGAGGCTTACGGGTACTATGCGCCGTCAGATAAAACATTGTAATAGAATATTTGAAGGGTTGAGTGCAAAAGAAGCCATTCCAAAAGGATCTCATTCCAGAGAGAGATCTGCCCAAAAAGTGGGATGCTTATATGAGAAAAGAAAAGAAAACCAAACTTAAGTGATTCAGATTTAATTAAATTTTTAACAGATGACAATATTTACAAGCATTACTTTCTTGCCACTATTAACATGCATCACGAAAGAAGACAATTGAGCAGTAACTATTATTCACGCTAATGCTAAGTCAAAGCTTTGTCACAGTTTATTTCTCAACAAGATACTGTAGATGAATATAAAGAGTGATTTTATCCAACCGGTAAAATTGGTCATAAACTACTGTACATTACAAACATTTTTGGTTTATGTCATGTTTTCCACGCACAACATGGGGTGATCCAACAATCAAACATGCGTGCTGGTGTCATACAGGTTTGTTTACATACTGTTTCATGGGTTAAGTAAAATCACTCTAGTTGTTCCTTTTTTATTTTTTCATATAAATTTTGGTTACCTTTTTCCTGCTATGATATCCTTTGTTGACAAGAGTTGATAAATAGAATAAATAGGATACACAGTAAGTGTTTGGAACAAATTAACACTTTTTGTGTCATTTAGGCAGGAGTGATTGGTGCTGAATATTTTTTCTAACCACATGTGCAAACTGTAATTAACCTAACTAAAAATTCAAGCTTAAATTGCTCATCTAGCAAACAAATGGGTAGTTAAAAAAAAAAAAAACTCCTTTAGTTGTACTTGAACATGCAACACTTCTATGGAAATAAACATCTTCAGTACAAATAATTCAAGCAAAGAAACAGGTGAAATAAGGATTTTTCGGAATTTGTGAAATATAAAGTAGACTACAGTGCACTAATATACAATACCTCCATCCTATCCTTTTTCTCACTTGCAACTATTTGGCTCTAATTCTTCAATACTATTTCACAGATAACAGAAAGTAACTCTTTCTGTCCTTCCAATTTGCCCTCATATACTTTTGAATAAAATAAAGCAGTTGACACTAGATTGAGGAGTCAAGGCTATTTCATTCACCCATTCATTCATAATTGTTGGAAAGACTTCTTTTGTATATGGGTTGCTGTAAACGTAAAGGTTTTAAATAGATTCTTTGCAATTTAAATGTTTGTGTCATTTTTTAAAATTTTACTGCTCTGGAAATGCACTGGATGTGAAACTCTGGAACTTAACAATTCCAAAGGAGGTTTTGTGGACAAATTCATGGGTCTGATGTGAATATGCTTAACCCCTTAACTCCCATGAGTGACCAAGAAAGAATTTCTCCTCACAATATCAACACAATATCAACCAGGTAAGTGATGAGAATAGATAAAAGTATCACATTGGAAATAATTAGTTGATCCAATACTAAATTCTCTGAAGTAACATTATAAGAATTGTATGGCTGACAGTGAGAAGAATTACAAATTGAATCTGGGAGTTAAAGGGTTAAGAGGTCACATTCTCTGTTGATGTTCTCTGGCCTGTTCATGTCTAGGTATTATTCACAATTTGGAGCTGGGGAATTTTGGATATAACTGTTAGAGTGAACACATGACCTGTTAGGTGTTTAATTATTAGTATTACACTGTGCCAAATAGCTTGTCTTACTGATTTTATTTCTAAACAATGTAGCAAAAAACTCATCTTATAAAACCAAAGAGACAAAGAGTGAAAATGGTCAACATAATTATTAATTACCTTGAATATTGTTTTCATTTGACAACTCTGTGTCTGTCCAGTAGTTGAATGTCTAATGAGGGAAGAGGAAGAGGGAAACAAACGGATCATCTTCTATATCTTCATAATCCTCCTCAAAATCCCCTGATTCATACTTACCAGGAAAAGCAACACCAAAACCAGAAGAAACCTCTTCCATGATTTTTCCAGGACTAAATGGACTCACTCCTGTTCTGCATTTCTTGATTCCATCTTCACCTATTCTTGCACTACCTTCTTCACCAGCACAATTCACAAAACAGTATCTACCAGTTTTTCATAAACATATTTCTGGCATCCATTGAAGCTACAATCTGCTAAATAAAATAAAGTATTTGTGAATTAGTAATAGCTATAGAAGATTGCTACCTTTAACATACATTTATTGATTAACCCAATTACACCCAAACATCAGTAGGCATATTCTCCATACTGTTCTCTATACATTTCCTGAGCTGTTGACATGGAGAATTTGTTTAAAAATCAAGAGCTTTATAAGTTGTTGGTCATTTCCTTGATTCTTGTGACCTTAATGTTTGATTCAGGGGTGATATTGAAAAGGAAAATTTGAAGCTGGTCACCCCTAGGGGTTAGAGGGTTAAGATTTTTTCTTTCATTAATGTATTGCAAACTGTACATAACTGGTAAAACAGATCCTATTTAATGGTTCAGAGATGACCTTTCTACAAGTAACTGGAGTTGAGGCCGTGGAAGATGTTATTGCATGCTCAGTGTATTGTAGCATGATAGTATTTAAAAGTTTCCTGTTTCTGAATTCCAGCAGTAGATAACTCTTGTATTCCAGCACTGTTATTTTCCAGCCCCTCTCAGCTGTTCTCAGTTTCTCAGCAGGAGTTGTATTCCAGTGCTGTTAATTTCCAGTCCCACACAACTGTTCTTAAATTATCAGCAAGGAATTAATATTCTTTTCCAGTACTTACTTGTATTTTCCAGCCCCTGCAAGCTGTTCTGTCTTTTTTGTTTTCCAGCTGGAGGTAACTGTTATTTCTTAGCACAATTATTTTCTAGCATCTCTAGGCTGATCAGAGTTTTCCTGCTCAAGTTAACTGTTATTTTCTATAAAACAGAATAATGTACATAAGGACCCAGGCATGAAGCGAAGAAACCTTCCTTGGAAACCTTGGAAACAAGACAATAATGTTTTTAATTGCTCAGATCAAAACTGAAAAATTTATTTAATATGATATATAATGTTATATAATGTTGAATGTTACATAATGTTAAAAACATCAAGGCCAACAGTAATTCTGAATACAAAATTTAATAAATTTGACATCTGTGGAGTATGTAGCATCGCTTATGAATGAGACAAGAGTGTGCTTTTAAATTTCCATCATACCTGAATAATGTCTGTGTAAAAGTTGTGCTTAAATGTGGTATTTTGAACTTATAAATCTACTCCTGGCAAGTGGCCCTCACAACCTATCTTTACATGTAACTGCCAATAAAATAACCCTCCATCTTCATAAAGATCTAAGTACGCTTCCTGTCATTTTTTTAAAGCATGGCTTCGCAAGACACTGAGACACTATTAGCACCACAATAAAAAAGCAAGAACCCTCAACCGGCTGAAACTTGCATCATTTAGTTGCATACTATTCTTCCCAGATTTCCTAATAAATTAGCCTATATTTAGTGGACACCTCTATAACACAAACAATGGAGAAGGTTCTCAGAGGGGTTACCTTTGATACTTTTATAACTATAAAATTAATAGCTTTCACTGCAGTTTAAAGTGATTTAATTTTTAAAATAAAGTTAACTTCTCCACTTATCACACAACACCTGAGCAAAGAATGTCAATTGTGAATAACAAATATGGAGTTACAAATTACTTTCAGTACTTTATAGTGCATGCAATGTGTTTCTTACCATCATTTTTCTGTGTTTTATTTCCATTTACAGACTCAAGTGGCTGTAATGAAAAAACAAATTCAAACAATTTTACCTCACTTCTTAAAGTAAGAAATCACAAGACTAAACAACAAGTGCAGAAACTTAGACATACTTAGGCTAAAACCCTAATTCAAAAATAAAAAACTATCCCCCTGCAAAAAAAAATCTACCACTGTCTTTGGTACCATCCTGTTCTTACCCTATTTTCATTTTTTTTTTTACTTTTCTTTTCTATTAATTTGCAAACACATACAATGCTTCTTCTCAATGGGAAGAGTTTCCATAAAAACCCAAATAACCAGAAAGAGTATTGGCAAGATTGATAACCAAATGAGTAGTGGTATTGAATTAGAGATTGTAGCAATTCACCAACCTGACTATTACACCCCATTCTTTTTCCCCAGGTCTATGTGAACTAGAATTTGAGCACAGAATGCAATACCTCACCAAACATCCGCTAGGATGAATCACTTAAAAGTATACATGATTATCATCTCTTGCTGAGATTGCACACTTCACTTCAATGTTTTTATTACTACACATATGGGGGCTTTGGTAATATTGTGGAAAGGAGGGACAATGTTTGAGCAGCTGGGAGGGATTAAAATGACAGTGTGGCAGCCATTTATTCCCTATTGGACAGCAAAGTCTACGGAACCTTTCCCTAGAAATTTAAAAGTTTGGAGATCGAGAGTCCATTTTAGGCCACTTATTTCTCAAGTTGGCTAAAAATTATATCTGCTACAAGGAAGAGTATTGACACTAATCTCATGAATAGAGCAGCTTTTACATAACTAACTATATAAACATTATACATAGCAATGTTGTCTCGTAGATGATGTCTGTGTGGTCTTGTTTGATTTTTACCTTTCCCTTGCTCAAAAATATGAAATTGTGCCCAGGACAACATCACATTTTGGAGCACAGTGCTGTGATTTCTGACACAGTATATTTAAAGCGATTACTGATGGCAAAGGAATTAATTGGTACTTCAATGATGAATGTAGAGCACAGCAATCAATGTAAACCATCATACCAAAAAACATGGTAACTGGTACATTCACCTAGAACTCTTTGCGCAAGAAAATCCTGGAACCACTCAAAAAATCAAGCAGAAAAGGTCTGGAAAATTTAAACTTTGCATACATAATGTTGTTGTTTTGTGAAATATTGCTTTCTACATGTGCCTTACCCTAAAAATAATGGTAAAATGTACAGGCACCATCTTTGTCTGTAAGTGGATTGAATCTATTGGGTAAACACCTGAAAAAATAATAATATTGATACAAATAAAATGAGGGTTTAGTATAGGTATGCTGTGGTTTAGTTTTATCCTTAGTTTAATTCTTTAACTTTTAATAGAAGCCAAATTGATAGTGACATATCATCTCACCATAACTTAGGAGCTAAATTTTATCTTTCTTTACACAAAATGCATTTTTCATTCATACCATTAACAAATCTTTTATAACTAGTGCATAATTTTCCAAGAAAATGTTTACAATGGAGCTTACCACCTCATCAGCACTTTTGATTACTTTGCTTTGCTGCTGGTCCTTATCCATGCCTGTATGAATGATATTACGTAAGGGTGAAAGGATTAGTATTTTCTTCATAGACTGGAGATAGTTGCAGAGAGTGTCTCCATTGATATATGGATCATCAAACACTCACAATGAATGCCAACAAGACCAAGTTCTTGCTAACAACTGTAGGAGCAATAATCACTAATAATGGGCAATAGTCTATATTGAATTAAGTATTAAATACTGTGTATGAATTAGTATTTATTTAATTTTAATGTTTGTAACACACAATTGAAAAAGTATGTAAAATGTGTAACATATAAAATACATATTATTGTGGTATTCCTTATAATTTAGTTCAAGGGGCTTTATTTTAAATAGATCAAAAGAAAGAAAGTGGCATATGTCTGCCACTGATATTAATAAAAAAAGCACATGTTATTGAGTGAAGAGTAATTTTGCTTCAAATTTGTGCCCTTCTGGGTGAGCAAAGAGAATGATTTAACGCGTTGTAACCCAACTGTTACTTGCTGGAGAGCATTAGGGAGCCACCACCCTATCCTTTATAAGAGACCAGATCTTCATCATATGTGTAAGAAGTTTGTGAGTTAACTTTCCAGGATATGTGAACTTTGACATCGACCATACATCCTAGCTGAATTTTTGTGTAGCCCTATACATTTACAATGATTACATGTCTTCCACTGTATCCATAATAGCCATCAGTGTAGACACTATGAGATTGCTACATGTAACATAGTACAAATTATTATGAGGCTGGAAGAAAGTCACAAGTTTTTGATCATTGAAACACCGACATCTGTCCTGTTTTTTAATCGTGTAATATCTGATTTTGCATGGCCCAAACAAAATAAAAAAGTCAGTCCTCGACACAGAAGGATTCAATGAATCCAGGTATCATGCAGCTACATGAAATCTACAGGAATTTAACACAAAACTTGAACGCAATCTTTGAAGAATGGTTGTAATATTTAAATTTAAAAAAGATACTAGTATGAAATACAACGAAAACCTTACCTTACTGAACTAGCTCCGACAGAAAAGTAAGGAAAACCACGAGGCAATGTCAAATTCTCGTCTTCCTAAGCTTTCTAATATATAGAAGAAAATTTCCCTAATACCTCGCACTTAAAAAAGCTACCAGAATCTTACTCTTTCACCAATCAGAAGCGTCCCAAAAGGCATCAAGGACAGCCCATGAAACAAGGATAGCCCATGAAGTTCTCAAGCTCTTAACGATCTTTCTACACTTTTGCATTGCATCCCTCCCCTAGTTGGGAAGTGACACACGGAAGACGCGACTACAGTTAACGCACTTTGATTGGAAGAAGTAAAACCGCATTCTATTGGTTATAAGATGTGAGGACATCGCTTCAAAGGAAGACATAACCGCCATGCTATATTCCTTCATTACTTCTTAAATAACAATTTTGCTTTTGTCGCCGCCCGAGTAAAGTTGAAGATGGCCTCCGCAAAGGATGAAAATTGCATAAGTCCATATAGGAGACTTCTCCTAGAAATGTCGATGGAACTGTCTAACAAAGATCTGGAGCGGTTGATGTATGCTGTAGGGGATCGTCTTCCCAGGAGATTGACAGAAAACATAGAAAGCGGACTGAAGTTATTTGAAGCACTCGAACAAGATGTACACATTGGTCCACAGAATCTGACTTTGCTATATGATGGGTTTAAAGCGATCGGCAGAGTGGATCTTGCGCAAAGCATTCAGGTTTTTTCAAGAAAACTCCACAAAGCTGATGATAATCCGGATGAGACTGACGGTAATTCTGTATAAGGTGTATCTTGTAGAGAAAAATATTACTCACTCGTTGTCGCATCGGTCGCAAACGTCAGTCTTTCGATCCGAGTTTCTAAGAAAAAAAAAACAAATAAGTGTTTTGATGCAAATCTGGAAACTTACTCGAATTGCTTTATTTAATATTTACAAACAACAGGAATATCTGAATAAAAAATATCGTTTACCCGTAAAAGTATTTTAATACTTAAAAGTTCGATCTGAATTCGACAACGCGGTAATCAAGTTGCAACATAAGCATCTTAGAATACTTCGCCTTACAGAGTTCTGCACACCTCGCTTTTTAATTCCCAAACCTAAATTTTTTTAAGCCATAAATTACTACTAAAATATTAAGAAAGTGAGTTCAGGTAAAATTATTTAGACACAGGAAATTTTTTTATATTTGTTACGATTTTGTCTTAACTAGATGGGCAAGGTGACATGGTTCCTGACGGGGTAGGGGACGGTAGTGATCCGGAACCAAAAGGAAGTGATCTTGCTGACAATGGTGCCCGAAAAGGTACAGATACGAATAAACTTAGTGAACTGGTCCATTCTGAGTATTGCTCAATAATAAAGAACTTTTTTCCTAATCTTATTTTAAGTTTTAACCCAACAATTTTCTCCAGTGGAAACCTTAAAACCTGGCGATTTGAGCTCTTAATTAACCCAAGTTCTCCCCCCTCTCCCTCCCACCCAACTCGGCCCTAGATCAGGAAAAAAGGAATCACGTGGGGTATAACATCATGCTAGCAACGTATCAAGAAAAGCGGATCGGCCTAAAGTTGAGCAGGCTTTGTTTAATGAATAGGATCTTTTCTTCCAACTTAACAGCTGTAGCCGACGAACACGTCATGACATTTCGATCTGTAGTTGATCAGCAACATCTTGCGAATCCTAGAAGTACTTCAACAGGGTTAAGTGGCGGTAATGCGGATGGCCGTACAGCTGAACATCTTGTTGCTGTCAGAAGTGATCCTTCGCTAACTGTTACAAATAATGGTGAGAACCTGAAAAGGGAAGGAAATTGACAGAAATACTTTAGGAATGTGGACAACAAGTGAACTACTTATAAAACTTTATGCGTCACTGTTGCTTTGTGAACGTTTAAATATATGCTTTGAGCAGTTTAACTGATCTTTGGATAGCAAATTAATTGAAGCAGTTTCCAATTGAGTGTTAAGACTAATCCGAGATTTCTTTGCTTTTGCTTATCTTTGCTTAGAGATTGGTCAAGAAATCTCGAACCACTTTCTGAAACAATCATGCAGATTCGAAACTAAAACCGATTCTCGCGTTTGAGGCAGTTTCTCTTTTTCACTAGGAGTTTTCACTGGCTATTTCTGATGATTTCCTTTGTTCTGATTGGCTATATCTGATGTTTTCCTTTGTTCTGATTGGCTGTTGTCATCAATGTGGTTTGTGTGTGAAATCTCTTTCCTTCTTTAAATTTCAGGCTCCTCTTTAGAATCCGCGCGGGGACCCTGTCCTGCACCTTCTCGGGATTTCGTCCTTGGATCGTCTGCTCGACTCCAGCCTGATCCAGCTGCAGGACCTGCACCTGCTCGATACGTGAACTTTCTGGTTCACGAGGGCTACGTAGTGGAAATCCTTGGAGGAAAACACTATAAGACCCCTGATGGAGAATTTGTAGAGATGAAGAGTGGGACGCAATATAAAATACACGTCAAAAATTCTCATGCTTATGGTAAAAGTCATACATATTACTGTTTCAAAAACACTTTTCAACTTTGTCACCATGTCAAATTGGGGTGAAAACACACTGTTAAGTTTCAATGGACTCCTGTTACTGACTGCGCTACCACGTTCTTGTTGACAAGAACTTCACCCCTACCCTGATGAACGGACCTGCACCGGTCCCCATCCAAAAAAGGGTGACTCTTTATTTTCGCTGGTGCATGGGGAACACCTCACTGTACTTGAAAACTGGTCATTTGCTTAGAGGTCAAGGGAGGTTATAAGCGTCTACCAATTATACAATTTCTTTCTCACTTTTCATTGAGTCCCTTTCGTTTCTTTTTGCATGGAAGACTGAATTCGTCAATACTCTATGATGAAGATCTCGATTTTATACCTTTTATGACCACTTACGCCTTTTTTCCAGGTTGCCATGTCGACATATCTATTGATGGTTATGACGTAGGGGGATGGGCTCTCCGCCGTGGAGAAGAGATGTCAATAGAAAGACCAGCTTATGAGGCCAAGAAGTTCACCTTCTACCGAGTGAAAACTGCACCGAAAGAGGCAGGAATTGAATCTGGCCGGCCCGAAAATGGAGTTGTTAAGTGCGTGTTCATACCTGAAGCTTTTGTTAACATTCCAGTGATCACCTCTGACTCGTCTCAGCCTTTGAATGTGAGCATGCCTCCATCGGCGACAGTTGGTGATTTGAAACGTAAATTGCAGCACCAGATGGGAGTTATGGATGACCCCTATCAAGTTCTGGCTAAAAGCGACAAGGTCCTATCAAATGGTACACGACTACGGTAAGAAATATAAAGCCTACAAGCCTGCAGGATGATCCTTTGGATTGCGGACTAGTAAAGGATAAAATCTTGTCAATTTTCCCTTTTTTTTTCCATCAGAGATATAATTGAGAAACCCATGGATTTGAGACTAATAGATGCAGAAATATCAATTACAGTAACAGCCGAGGCGTGTTCCAATTGTCCTTTTCCAATAAAGGTGCATCCCGGCAAGGTAAAGGTCCATTATCTCATGGAACAGATAGAAGGGAAGATTCAAGTCCCAATCAGGGATCAAAAGCTTTACCATGAGGGAAACCTCTTGTCAGCCGCACCAAGTAGCTATCTTCCTGATAAACTTATCTGCAGTCCACGTCCGGCTGTGAATGTCATTATCCCCGAGTACATTCACATAACTGTAGAAGATCAGAGTGGCCACTCACACTCCGTGAAAGTGGACAAAGAAAAGAACTTAAAGGCGGTCATAGAAGAAATTACCTTGTGCTGTAACCTGCAGGAAAACGAAGAGGCTACGTTTACTTTCAATGGAAAGCACCTCTGCCCTTCTAAAGACAAAGGAACCTTATCAAGCCTTGGTATTTGCTCTGGATCGAAGCTTGAGTTGACAGTGAGGATTCTTTACATCGAAGTCAAAGTTTTCTCCTCCGATAACTCTTCATCAGCCAGTGTGAAGTGTGATCCCCAAGAAACATTCCGGGATTTGGTTACAAAGATCTTTAAAACGGCGCAACAGAAGAAAGTGCAGGGTTACATTTGTAATAGATGGACGAGAGTTTGATCCGAATCAAGACAAGGGTCCGTTACAAGGTATATTTTATTCCTCAAAGTTAATCTATCACTAATAATAACAGTGTTACTAAATGGCTACGGCGTAGGGTGAAAGAAAGATACTATTTCGGCAACGTCACCTCATATGATAGTGTAACAAGCGAGATAATATATTCGGTTAACTTTCTCTGATCTAGATTACGGAGTTGCGCATGGCTGTACGCTTCGGGTGACGAGTCATCCCACTTCGGTCGGTGCTAGGCATAGGATCATATTCGACGGGTAAGTGTATAAAATATGGCTGACTGAGTGCATAGAAATGCAAATATCCTGATACTTCGTAAACTTTTTAGCCGCCATAGACAAGAACAAAGACGTACATTTAGAACGCGAGGTGACTTTATTTTGCGAGGACTCAGATTCCTTTTAGCATCTAATTTATAATTGGCGTTCATTGACCTCGACTGGCTTCTTTAATCCCTAATCAATTTGTTAAGGTGGTGAGAAAGAGGACAAATGACGATTTAGACTACAAAAGGTTTTCATTCAAAACCACTGAGAAAAGCGGACCTACTAAAATCTCAGCGTTGTAAAGCTAAAACAGGCAATTTGTTAAACTATAAACCTTGATTAGGTTTAGAGCGCGTGCGTGAATTTCTGTCCGAGATAACTTTAATAAGCTTGGATACAACGTAGTAATATTTGCCTTGTCTATTTCTCTTTCAAATAGGCCTCAGGTGTTAGGAGCTCCAGGTAAGCAAAGCACCAATGGGAATGGGTGGAGAAGGTGTAAAAAATCAGGAAATGAACACTTATGCTGCAATCCCTATTCAATTGCTATCCGTCAAGCAAATCTTAAGAATTAGCATTTGGAGACGTCTTTTTCAGGGTACAGAATTTTAGTGATGAATAGTAGGGGGAGGGGAGTGCAGAGTACGTAAGGATTTGGAAAACAATGACGAGTCTTGGTTTTGCGAGATTCGTCCTAATTTCAAACATAAACTTTTTGTCGCTGGGTTTTGCCGACCACCTAACTCCACAATAGACACTTAAAAGGCACTCACGAAGTCCCTTCAACTCGTCAGCAAAGCAACCTTCGACCAGCTTTTGGCCTGTTGGGACGTTAGTCTCCCTACCATCAACTGGAAAACCTGTACTTTCATCAACAATGACTCCATCTGCAGCTATTTTACAAAACTAGTGCGAGACAATTACTTGGGGCAACTGGTTGATTCCCGTACACGGAATACCATCATGTTGGATCTGGCCCTCACTAATGCCCCATTCACACCAAAGCTTAAACATGTTTAAAAGTTGTTTTGTTAAACACAGTTTAATTTTTTTTTCTTCATAGAAACTATTTAACCGAATATTTTTGACTTGAATGTAGCACATTGGAAATGCAAGTTAGCAAGTACTTGAATCCAATGGAAAATCAAGTTTTTCAGTTCTCTGTTTATAATTTTCATTCAATGAAAACCAGTTTAACAAAACATGTTTTGCTGGTGTGAATGGGGTATAAGACAATACCGCTCGCGTATAGCTCTAAAGAACTAATTTTTAGCAAATTTCAAGTAAATCTCTATTACTCGTGTATTTTACAGGAAAAGGACAATTCGTGGGTCACTGTAAAAAAGGTGAGCAATTACCCTTAAGTGAAGTTTTTTGCTACAAATATTTCGTAACTTGCATGAAGAAGCATTTTTCTATTTTCACTTTTTGTTTTGATTTGCCATTATGAGGAGGATAGTTTGGGGGAGTTTTTTTTATCTTAAAAGATCAGGGGGTAGGGGGCAGGGGGTAGCTGTCAACTGGGACTTTGTTCTGTTGCTGCCCCCGTCACGAAATTCTTTTTTATTCACCTCGCCTATTATACAAAACTAATAAGTTCTAGTCGCTTATTTTAATGGTGTTGCAGTTTGGTTGCCTGTTACGACTACGTCTTGTTCTGACTCATATGCAAATTTTTTAGGCGTAACCGGAGTAGCCTCTTGTTTTATTATTTGTCAAATCATCGATCGATGTTCACCAAATTGCTCGAAAAAGGAAATACAATGTTTAAGACTTGCCAGCGCGTATAATTAGGTATGGGGAGCATTTGTGCCAAAAATATCAATCATTAGTGATAAAACTCAATCTTTAGTGCTAGTATTGATTTGTTATCGATTTTACCTTGAGCTAGTCTCTCGCTTGTTAAGCAAAGGTGAACCAATCAAATCTTGCTCACTTTCATGAAATCTGATAAGGGACATTGAGAAAATGAGAATAAAGGTAAAGACTACGAAGACTCATCAACTCTTTTTTTTCACCACTTCAACCTTTTTTAAAATTGAATTAAGTTGGAGTTGGCCAAAGTTTTCCATACGTCAAACTCTGATTTCAAGGAAAGTTTTGTTCATGAAATTACTCGATCAGCTTTCATTTATCTCATTTTTCTTTTAACATTGAAAGCTCTCTCTTTTGTCAGGTAAACGGTCCACTATAGAGAATTACACTAGTTCCCTGAGTGCTCACTTCCTTTTTGCACCACACCACAGTCTCTAACATGTTTAGATAGAATAATCTCACAAAAAATAGCTTGCTTGCTTGTCAAGTCAACCGCCCATTTTAGGAGACTCGTAGTTGAGTTCTAAAGAACTAATTTCCAGTAAATTTCAACTACCTCTGTATTACTCTTGTAATTTATAGATGATGAGCTAACCTTTGGTACTTTGAGATGGAGAGAGTAACTTCCTTTTTTTTAACTTAAGTCTTTTACTACAAATATTTCGTAGCTTGCATGACGATACAATTCATCTAGTTTAAGAGACTCGTCAAACTCTTGCCAAAAACAGCTAAAATTAAGGGTTTCTCGAGCAATTTTTGTTTTGATTTGCCATTATCAGGAGGATAATAATAATCTGTTATCTTAAAAGATTTGGGGGGTAGGGGGGCAGGGGGTAACTGTCAATTGGGACTGTCCTGTTACTGCCCCCCGTCACGAACTTATTTTTTCTTGTATCTGTACATTTTTGTAACGAATAAATTAAATTAGGGTATCAAAGTGTTATACACCTTAGTTTCCGTGCAACTGGTGAGTAATTTTCCCTTTTTCTGTTTTAAGTTTTGTGCTATAAATATTTGGTAGCTTGCATTACTCGGTGTTTTGTCTAATTTAAGAGACCCGTCATACTCCTCCTAAAGAAAGCTAAAATCAGGAGTGTTTCTCTTTTTACTTTGATTTGCCATGATGAGGAAGATCATGATGTAAGGGAGTTTAAGATGGGGGGGGGGGGGGGGCAGGGGGTAGCTGTCAGTTGTGACTTTGTCCTGTTGCTACCCTCTGTCACGAACTTCTTTTTTATGTATCTGAACATTTTGTAACGTATAAATTAAATTCAATCAGGGCGCCTAGAAAATCAATCCGTTGGTCCCTCTGCAAGCGGTGAGTAATTTTCCTTTTTTCTAGTTTAAGTTTTTCGCTAAAAATATAAATATTTCGTAGCTGTACATTTTTGTAACGAATAAATTAAATTCAAGTGGAGTGCCAAAGTTTTCCATACGTCAAATTTTGATTTTAAGGAAAATTTTATTCATGAAACTACTTGATCAGCTTTCCTTCTTCTCATTTTTTTAAAATCGAGAGCTATCGCTTATGTTACGTTAACGGTTCATTAAAAGAGAATTACACTAGTTCCCTGAGTGCTCACTTCACTTTTACCCCACACCACAGCCTCTTACATGTTTAAGTGACATAATCTAAAAAACTAGCTTGCTTACTGTCAATTGGGACTTTGCCCTATTACTACCCCTAGTCACATACTGCTTTTTTTATGTATCTGTATATTTTTGTTACGAATAAATTAATTAAATTAGAGGAATGCTTAAGTTTTCCATGCATCAAATTCTACTTACAAGGAAGATTTTGACTGTAAATATATGAAAATCATATATGTGCACTGGGGTTGAAGAAACGAAAATAGAAGCGATCCTCGCAGATATGAATATACTACTGAACTAGTAGTGAAATTCATTAAACTATACTTCTACTACTCGATCAGCTTTTCTTCTTCTCATTTTTTTTTTTTAACAATGAGAGCTCTCGCCTTTGTTACGTAGACGGTTATTAATAGAGAATTACACCAGTTCCCCGAGTGCTCACTTCACTTTTACACCGCACCACAGCCTCTTACTTGTTTAAGTAGGATAATCTTAAAAAATAGCTTGCCTACTTGTCAACTGTCCAGCTAAAGAGACACGCAGTTGAGTTCCAAATAAGTAATTTCTACTAAATTTTAAGTACCTCTCTATTGCTCTTGTAATTTACAGAAGAGGATCAATCCTGTGGTTTCTCTGGAATTTGTGAGTAATTTTCTTGCTTGCATGGCAAAGCAATTTGTCTAGTTTTAGAGACTCGTCAGGCCCCTCCCAAAAAGCAGGGGCTGAAAAAGCTAAAATGAAGGGTGTTCCTCAGAACCTTTTTTTTCGTATTTGTCATTGTGATGAGGATCATGTGGAGGAGCTTTGGATCAGCCATTCTCGATCAGATACATAGAGTATATGAATTTGATTTCTGTTTGACTTGAAGAATTTAGGCAGGGATGCGAGATTCTAGGTGCATATGATTCGTATCTCAAAGATACGTTTCGTTTCTCGATGTTTCTTTCTCTGATACATATGGGATACTTTAGCTTTCGAATGCCAGATAATCGCTTGATAATCAGATAATCGATAACTTCCATCAAGTATTTCAACTTTTCAATTTCCCCTCTCATTCTCTAACGTCATACGGTACATTTAACCAAAACCTCTTTACTTACTGAACTTCCCTGTGCAAAAAGCAAGAACATTATTTCCTGTCACCGAAATGTGTCCCTTATAGAAGCAGACAAATCAAAATAAACAGATCTCCCCTTTTCTATTTCACTGCTATGTCTACAGAAAGAATTCATTTATGACTGAGAAATAAGGCCTCAGAGGAAGAGGAGGAATGAGAGAGTCGGACGCGATTACTACGCGTACCATCCCATGTTGGAAACTTTTCAATTTAAAATATGCGTGAATAAGTCATTCTTCAGTTTACTGAATTTAAGGAGACTGTTTCTCTCGATTATTTTGCATTCGAATTTCCCACCTCGATGATACTGTGTGCGATATTTCCCGGCTATGATTCTGAATTATATCATCTTGCTAATGCATCGATCAATTCCAAGCTTCAAAATCTCCCTTCAGGGAACCCAATTGGCCCACCCACGGACCAGATTTAATGCTCAATTTTTATGCAAAAGACAAAATCAGAGTCGTGACTTTCTACTCATTGACCAAGCTTTAAAACTTGTAAACCTTGTAGACCTTTTCTTCTGAGCTGTTCGTCAGTGAAAGTGAACTTTACCTATTAAAAGATAAAACGCGTGTATTCCTTTGGAAAGACTTGACACTTCCTTCTCCACCCTAGCTGGGAAAGGTTCAAATACCCCAACCCCTGGGCAAAGAAAACAGTCAAATACCCGTGGGTTTTCCTGGTAAAGATGTTGAAATTTAGAGTTGGTCGGCACATAACCAAGTGTAAGGCCGTACTTGGGATTATTGGCCCGGGGTCTTCGGTGTGGGTTGGCAGTAGGGACTGAGCGCAGGGAGGTCTGTATTTTAACAACCGAAGGCCAATATTTCCCTTACGACAAGAGCAAGCGAGGTTAGTAGGCAGTTTATCTCATGGCACTCAGACCAAGCTTGTTTATTTTATTTTTACTAGCTTTCAAAAAACGCACAGCTTATGACCGTTTCTGTGGTGGAAACGGACCTCAGGGCAAAATCCCAATCAAATAAGAAAACTAGTCTAAACGCTTAGATCTACCCCAGGACTACCTTGCCATATAAATGCAATAATAATACAATCGTAAATATGTCCTAGAATATTTGTATATCTGCCGTCAATGCCCTTTTCCTATTACATGTAAAGTTCACGGTTGTGCCAATGTCGTTGAACCGGATCCAGCATGGAGATCAGGTGGAACAACATTACAAGGCCACAGTATACAACAGTTTACCAAGGCTGAACCAATAAGAGTGGATCATTCACGGAGGGTGGAACTGGTAATCAGGCTTGTAGCCAGGTAATACACCACTTAGCACATTAAAAAAGGGACGGGTCAGTTATTTGTTTTGGAATAGTTAGTCCTTCGTACCTGGCTCGACGATTAGCTGTTGTTATGGAAATGAGCCGTGTATTATCTCCTAGGTACGACTTGAGAGAGTAGCGGTATTCGACCTAAATGTCTTTCGTTATTACAAGGATTTTTAAACAAGAGCTTTTCTAAAGTAACCCCGAGCTGTCACGAGCTAAGTACAAAATTGTTTAGGGAAAATTTTAACACAGTCATTTACGACCAAGGAAAACCGGTTTCTCCAACACCGAGGGCGAGTTGTAGATGTTAGTTCTTTGTTGTTAATATTCTTGTATGTCTCTCTACTTTTTAGAGATGGAGAAAAAGATCTAGAATTTCCCAAAGGTGAATGTAAACCGCTGTCAACTCTGACACCACCACCTGTCCAAGAGTAGGGCAGACAATGAATCAGTGTAACTGGAAGTCAGTTCAATAAGTAGATTGTAATTTCTTTAGATTTGTCTTGTTCACAGATGACAGCAAAATATGTTAAAAACAAAATTCTACAGTAAGCTGAATAATACGAGCATTCAGGTTTTGTTCTTTCTTGTGATCTGTTGGAAGACAGATGATATCACCATCAACAAGTTTTTACTTCTTTTACATTATATGAAACATATAGATTCCATGTTGCTGTTGGTCAGTTAGATCACAGAAGTTGTAAAAATATGGTAAGAACATCAGTGACATGTACTTCGCATTCATTAAAGAAATAACTTTGAAAGCACCAATCCTCTCAAACAAATATTTTTATTTCATCTTAAAAGCAAGATTACACTTTGGCCTCTTTGCGCAACTTCTTCAGTTCAGCTTTAAGAACTCTGTTTTTCTGTGAAGCAAAACAAAAGCTTTCATTAGACACTACATCCGCATTACGATCACCGCATTTCCTTGAATGAGCATCCACGCTCTAATATGCACCCCTCCCTAAATAAACTTCCCACCAAATTGGACATAATATTAAACAAGCACCCCTTTTCAATAAGTGCCCCCCCACCCCCCCCCCTCCACTCTCTCACTATCTAAGATTGTAGGGACACAACGAAAACCTGTTTCTATTGCCACTTCGTTTTAAACATAAGCTTTAACTACAGTGGAAGTAGTACAGGTGGATTATTTCTTCATAAGCACCCCTCCTTTTAGTGGAAATTTTAACTAAGCACTTGAGCACTGAGGAATACATTTTGTACAGGTACACTGTGTGCAGGTACAACACCCTCAAAAAGCCCAACACGATCGGTCACACTTTATTTATGTCTTATTCTGAGAAAGGTTAGTAATGTCAATTCAACATAGTCCTGAGCCCTTGCACTAATAAATGGATAAAGGGGGTAAGTTTCTCTTTCAGAAGGGGAGTTTAACAAGATGAGTTGTTCATGTAAGCTGTCCAGGCGAATGACAAAGGACTAACAATCATAACATAAGCTTTGAAACTCTTTATAGTAGCCAACTTACTATATCAACTCAGTTAATAAAACCAAAATATCTCACACTAATAAGCCTCACATAACTATCCCAATTACATTGAATTATGCAAAAATATTTCTGAGGTTGGAAATTTTTACACCACTGATGGTAACATACAACTTGACTATTTTCAGTTATCTTAACAGCTGTGTCCAAATCTAAGGTTGAAAAGTTTCACATAGCATATAAAATCAGCCATAAATTTGGCCACTTATGAATCAAAATTAACAATAACCAAACAATCTAGAAAAAATGGTTCTCTCTTATCGATAAACAAATGTTAATAAGGAAATTTGTCACAACTGTGGTGCAAAGAAAAACCCATGCCACTGATGAGGAGTTAACCTCAAACCAAAAAATATCATCAAATTAACCCTCTGAGAAAGAAAAATTAGGTGAAGGTGTTGCATAATTTGGTTGTTAGATTACAGTAAATTTTAGCTCTGACACAAAATAAATAAAAACATAAAATGATGCTATGACCATCAACATGTAACAGTTTTAAAGGTAATTTTCACAAAGGCCAAAGTTTGATACATTTTGACATGACCTAGGACCCAGGAACACTGGGTATATCAGCTACAGGTTCAGTGGTAAAATTCCAGGGAGAATATGGTGTGTATTGAGAATAGCATTTAATTCAAAACCATATTTCCAGAAGTCTCCAACAACAGTTACACTATATCATTGCAAATATTGCATGAAACAAACAGATGTGCATTGTACCCAAGATGTACTTATCATATATTTAAATAATACAATGAGTTGCATTATACTTGCATTTAGGTTTTGTTATTATCTAAGACCTATTAGCAGACAGATGCTTTCATGTTGTCACCATTAACAACATTTTGCTTTGTTTTCACTTAAGAGATAAAGATTTTATGTCATGGTGGTGCCACTCAGTAACAGATCACAGAAGACCCCATGGCTACCCTTGTGTGTCACTTTTTTTGTTCTTACCACAATTTGACATCATCTGTGATCTATTACTGAACAGATGCATGGCAACATTGAATCTCTTTGTTAATCCACAAACAGACACTGCACTTTTCTGATTGGGTGTGGGTGTGCTTAATTGTACCTTTGCTTCTTTCTTCAATTCAAGTTGGGATTTTATTTAAAAAAAAAAGAAAGCAAGGAATATAATTTAATACTTTGACAGTGGCTTACCCTCTGCTTGGCCAATTTGAGCTTAAAGCGATCAAAGTCAGTGAGAGTTGCTCGCTTCTTCTTTGTGGCCAGTTTCTTGGCCCAGGCTGTCTTTTCCCACTTTTCAAGGATCTCTCCCTTCTCAAAGGCGTTCTTCACTGGTCCACTCTTAGCAGAGGGTCCAACTTTGACCTTGAAGTCAGTGAGGGAGAGGTGCTTGAAGTTAAGGGCTTGGCGGCACACATTGGTACAGGGCCCATCAATCAGAGCCTGTTGAAAAAGATTTAAGTAAAAATTCTGCTGATTAAATTTTATTTTCCAAGGCCAAGGCAATTTTACTTAATGTAGTATTGATAAGGAAAAAACCTCTCTTGCTTTCTCAAGTCTTGCAGTAATTTTTTGCAAGTCAATTACAGATATTAGTAAAAATTTGTATTACGATACATTAGAAGTGGATAGCTTACATATAAATTGCCTTCCGCTCCAAAGATCTAATTCCCTTTACTGACTTCCATACAATTCCTAATATGTTAGTTTGGAGAATTTGGTATTGGGTCAACTAATAATCCCCTAATTTTCTTTATTCACATTACTTGTCTACTTGATATCGCATTGATATTGTAAGGAGAAGTTCTGTCTTGGTCAATCATGGGAGTTCAAGAGCACTATCACCCTTAACTCCCAAGATCTGATTGTCAGTTCTTCCCTCTAGCTGCTATACATTTCCTTGTAAATCGGTTATGAGAATTTGCTTTTCAATCAAGGTAATATCTTGTAGCTGATGAGTTTAAGTATTCTTGTTACCTGTTTGCTGAATAATGTATGGATATTATAGGGGAAAGTAACATATTAATCACTTCTGGAAGTTAAAGTGTTAAGTCCCCATTAGTGTGTACATGAACATCTGTCACCGCAGGTGAGTTTTCCCTTTTTAACTTAACGAGTTGAGTTCCCCCCTAACAAGTGATATTCAGTGGGAGATCTGTTTGTAACTTGTACTATCAATCACTGAAGAGGACACAGATGAGGAGAGAAAATAGAATGAAAACAACTAGGGGCTGTTATGTTGGTGTAACACATTATAAGATTTAAAATAATAACTGAATTTTTCTAAAGATTTTGCTGAAAAACACAAAAAAGAAACAACTGACACTGAAATAAAAGTAGTGACTAAATAATTAAGATAATAAGCTACAAGGAGACAATTTGACAAATCAGATGACTTTGTACAATTGCTTGGCAACCAGGTACATAGTATACCAAGACGGCTGCCTTGATGGAAACTAATTCAAAACATAATACCAGGCTTTCAAGGAAAGAAAAACAAAATTAACAAAATAAATTTCACTTCAGTGCTCCAAGAAAAGAATGCAACAGCCAAGAGCACGAAGAAGGTGCAGCTGACTGCATACAACATTGAGATCATTGTTATTGTATAAAAATAAGCTTGTTATAAACCATCCTACCCAGACGAAGGGTACTCGCTTAGATTCAAGACACAGAAATCAACTGAATCGAACCATTAGTCAAGCAAAGTACATATAAAAGAAAAAAACATGCTGATTTCTTTAGGAATGAGCGAAACTCATGATCAATTTTGAAATCGACCTCTTCAAATACACAAACGGAATCAAACCCCACTTGAAACTTCCTAAATGATGTTTGATTAGTCTATAATATTGATAAAAGCATTTCTAACGAATTATTGACATGATATTAACTTCAGATCGTTCATATAAAATGGAGATATAATCTGTAACAACACTTACTCGATTCTGATCCACCACATCAACTATGACACAAAGTTTTCCTTCATCGGGCCCAGAGTTAATAAGGGCTACACGGCCAATCTCCACCAAACGCTTGTACACCTGAAGGATTTTTTCACAAAAAATGAGCACAATGCGACACTCCAAAGTTTACTTATTTTGACGAATACTTCTAAGTGTATCACACGTGGACTTACCATCTTGGAATATCCGCGAGAAAGGACAAATCTTTGTCAAGGTCCCGTATGTAATGAGGCGCGCAAAGCGTTAAGGGTATACTCTCAGTTAACCGCTGAATGGTATAATTGGCGGCGCAAATGTAGAGGAATGGATGAGCTGATTCATACTACTATAGACGGTCAAAATAGACATTTAAGAGTTATTTAAACATTAAAATGGCCTTTTTTTTCACATTAATCAATATTAAGCTTATTAACTTTCTCTTTTACTATATTATGAGCTGGTAGTAAAACAAAAAAGTCCGAAGTCAAAGGGTAGTCAAACGAACCATTGGGTATAAAATTTTAGAGGTATACATCATGACTGATAACTGGTAAGGAAAGAGAAAAACATTCAATTCAACCTAAATTAACACAGGGGACTAAAAGAATTGCAAAAAATTATCATCCATACTTAAGAGAGAATCACACTTTCCACTCTAATACGTCGAAAAGCCCATCAATCCACGAAACGATCCAAATTATAAGTGACTGAAGAATTAAATTTTCTAACCGGAATTTCCGGTCTGTAAATATGCACAGCAAAGGTCGCCGTACATAGTGTGACTATCCCATGAATAAGCTCAAATTAGATTGACATGTTGGGATCAAATTTATCAGATTTATGGCTCAAGGCTGAGGTGAAGACAATTTTTAGGTACTTTATTCCGACCGAGTAAAGGCGAGGCGGCCGGATGCTAGTGTGGATGGTTTGCAAAATTTTTCTTTTTTTCATTTATCTATTTTCCAGTTTCTAAGAAGACAGTTCCCTTGCTTACATTGAAAGGTTGGTATATGAAAATTCCTCTTGAGAGAGTAGGTTATAAATAGTCTACTAGTCTTAAATATTAACTGCATAGTTCTTGCTTAAGTTCCGACGGCTCGCATGAAGACGACACGATGTGTGGGCCAGAAATTCAGTTTAGGAGTGCAAAGTGGGAGTATATCATAACTGGTTTACACGAAAGGAATACTGAGAAACATTTTATCAATAACGCTGAAGAACCAGAGTTTCTGTATCTAAGAAAGAGTAGATTTCATTAAAATCCCGGCTTCTTAAATGTCGTGAAAAAATAACTATAAAAAGCAATAGCAATGTTGAAAGAGCTGATTTTTGGAAAAAGTTTCGGGTCGTCTACAGAGTCTGGCGGTCAACGTTGTCAAAAACCCTACCACGGAATTATTCTGAGGCTTCATTTACGAGAACTTTATGAGTGCTCACTTCGCTATCGGCACAAGAAATATATCTATTTTCGTTTATCGAGTCTAAAATTACAACCTTCAGTTCTCTTTCATCGCATGATTCCTGCGTGGGTAACGACCGTTAGACAGTGTCTTTGGAGGTCTGTCATGGTGGTCCATGAAAACTTCGATTTGGTATCATATCAGATCCTTTCGTTTTAAAGGCAAAGGTATGCAAAGTGTTTGTTACCTAACCGGTCTCGTTTGCGTGGGACTCAAACAAAAGAATGAAGTTTAGCGTACGAGAATTTACGTCTGGGGCTCAAAATAAAACAAACATAGAATGGAATATTTCCTCCTATAAGCGGATTAATACAAATTTAATGCGATCATGCTTTGAACGATCTTTTTTTTTTCTTTCCTTTCTTCGAACACGATATCTTAGTTGTTAATAAACAGACAACGGTGACGGATTTGTATCACAGCGACGAAGACCTCAGTTGTAGTGCAACCCTCTGTTTGAGGACTTCGAACAAAGGGCGTCAAATACGAGTTGATCACGTTTACGAGCTTAAAAATATATTACTTAACTGAGGTCACCGTATTAATTGCTGTTATTAGTAAATAGACGGTAGAGAGATTTGTATCGGAGCAACAAATGAGTTAAGTGTAACAGAACCCTGATCTTTTGCTCAAGACCAACTGTCGGTAAAAATGGAACAAAAGGCGTTAAATATGTGTTTATAAGCTTAAAAAATATATTCCCCGTTGAGGTCACGCTATTTTTCAGATTAACTATTCTTCTTCGTCTTAAGGTATGTAAAAATCACCAAGGTAGCCGCTTGTTTCCAAACAATACGAACACTCCAGAGTCAATTACAGTTTTCCTTTACTACACCACCACCCGCAAAACCCTCACAGGTTTCAATGACATCTACCCAGAAAATTGTGCCTCGTCATGCAGGGTATTCAGATGTAGCTCGTAATATTCACTGCTCCCCTCCTTTCAGAGAGCAGTTTGCGTGCTAGTACTAACGGCTGAAATCAATTTATACGCAATAACAACTCAATTTACGACAAGCTAAAGCGCGCTAAAAACGTTACCAAGCGCGATGTGGTTTTAGATTACAACAGAACGTCTTACAATCCTCTTTGTTTTTTTAAGCCGAGATTAATATCAACAATAAGGTCGATCGAGGTTTGCACGCGGATATAAGAGTGAGTGAAGTGTTTGGCAGGGTTGATTGAAATTAAGAAGGAACATAAAGAAAAATCAGACATATCGCAGAGCATGGAGAGTTAGGAACTTTCTCCAACGAAATTAACTGCTTGAAAGTAATGGATCTCTACCAAGTGAGTTTATTCTTTCTTATAGATCAAGGACAATGTATATTTATAGTCAGTTCGCATCCAAAACAACAACCTCCACTCTGCACATTTCACCTTTCCTAACAGTTCGTTTTTTTCACGACCACTGCAGTAGCCTTTCTATGGTATTAATAATTTGTCTCCGCGAGAAAAATACATCAATCACCCTGACGTATTCCTTAATCAATGGGCTTTTGCAGGACTTAGAAGACGAAGAAAGATATTTTATTTGTCTAACACATAATAGTGAAGAGGTCAAAGAACTCTTCTTAGCGATTTATTGAGTTCTTTTCTGTAACGTGAAAATTTGCTTTACACGAGAGGGAAAGCACAAAATATCGGTTTGGTAAGATGAGAGAACACAGAAATTTGAAGAATAAACCAAAAAAAAAGATAGTAACTAAGAAAGAAGTAGATTAACAAGAGTAGAAATCAAGTGACAATTGGCTATAAAAATTTAGGCTGACTTTTTCGAGGTGCTCGAACAGTGACGTTGTTCCTTTAATCCTTTCACTGGTCACTGCCTAAGAGCTACCAATATGTAAATTCTCCTTACAATATTAATACATTGTCAAGAGGTGAAAATGAAGAAAAATATCCACAAGTGAATGTTACTTGATTCAGAACTAACGTGGCGCTGAACGAGTGGCAGGGACAGGAGAATTGATGTTTAGATGTTGCGCCGGATCAAGAGTGTTGGTGACGGATGCTACGAATAAGTTGAAACAAAATGTAGAGCTGAGCTTTCGTAAAGTGACACCACATCCGTGTTACATAATATATAAGTTTTTACTTTTTTCCGGCTTAAGATTACAGACAATAGTTGATAACCGAGTGCAATTATGTCATCTGAAACTTTCAGATGATCGGCTCTGGACTCAGTCAATAGTAAACCGCAAAGCTGGCAGAAATGACAAGAGCGGTGATATTCAACAACTTTCCGGTACCTAAACATTCATAGTTCTTGAGATCTATAATAGGCTTTGAACGATCAAAAACTTTTTGGGTGAAATTAAACCGCGAAAAAATTGGCCTTTAAAGAGTAACTTTTTCCTTAAATGCTTGGTTCTGTGATGTCTTCCTGATTTCCCCATAAGACAGCTCGGGAAATCATTTCGCACACACCTGTTCCGAAAAGAATTAAGTTTCTTTTCTGTCGTATTCACATCTACCGTGATCTGCATAGTGACTCATTCTCTATATTTGAATTTCTATGAAAGGAAGGTTCAACGCATCACATGAACTTAAATGAAGAGGATTTCTGCGGAATTAAGACGAGGCCTTGACAAATTACGAGGAGGCCAATCAAATTTAAGAAAAACTGACAGGTAATAAGCTCACACGCAAGAAACAATCACTTTCTTGAAGTAACATGGTGAATATTTATCCAACAGGAGACAATGCGTCCGGTAAGACTCGATAATTTGTATAAAACCTTTTGCTATGTCTCGGATCGTTCAGCATTTCCGTATCTAGCTGTTATTAACACTTATCAACTTCTGAGTTACAATAGAGATTTCATGTAAGAGCACCGAAGAAACCTATCGAGATAAACCGATAATGCAGAGGAGAATTTTGGTTTCACTCAAGAAAATCGATCTGTAACGTCAGACAACAAAACAAAGGGGATGAGATTTTGTTTTGAAGAGTATACGTTCAGATCAGAACCCCTGATCACAGCCTCCTAATTCTCACAGTTTCGTTTTTCTCGACAAATGGTTACAAATTAAATCTCAATAATGTTTCAACCGGCTGCCTCAGCCGGATTTGACTGGTTTGGCGGATGATAAGCTTACAGAGCTCATATGCTTCAAAAGAGGAAGATTTGTTTTGGTAGATCAGAAGCTTTTTAACTTTTTATATAAAATATGGGTCCCCGTGTTTCAGGTTTCCGAAGCGATGTAATGTTTACCAGGCCGGAAGAATGTGTTGCACGTTCCAATCATGTGTGCTGTTGAAAGTTAATAGCAACGCACGTACGAAGCTTTGTGTTTCCCCTTTTCGTTAAATATTACAAAGGTTTCAGTTATCTGGCTCATGTCTAAAATCATTCTAAATATATTTAAATATGAAACAGGAAAGTTCCTTTTGGGACGACTGCCTTCGATGTACGAACATAAATAATTTTCTATATCCGTTCGTCTATTTGAAAATTCTGACATTTATTTTAGAGATAAGTCTTTTTTTTTTTTTTTTTTCCTTCCTGGTCCTGATAAGATTAAGCAACCGACGATAGAGAAGACTAATTTATCGCGGTTACACTCTCACTTGACACGTTAAAAACCTCATTTTCCATGAATTTTCATGAAACATTTTCACGGGAAAAGGGCCATGAAAATAAATAATATGGGATGCTCTGTGTGATACTAATTAAGGAAAGATCTTTTGGAATAAAAAAAAGGATCGGATTGTAAGTGACTTAGCTTCGTTTTGCGTCATTTACAGCTGATCTCCTCAGGGTATTTTGAAATTGTCAGCTCTAAATTATTGTGTTTCTTCCTCGACTCTATAGCTCGCACGTACTGTATATGACAAGTGTTGCTAAAGGGCAGTAGTAAAGCCCCAACCACACCGCACTTATTTAAAACGTTATTTGCTAATCCAAGAAACATTCTCCGTAGCAGTCTGCTCCCTCTCCTGTTTGCCAAATGGTAAAACTGTGAATAATTAGGCGTAATTCGAACGAGTGATACATCGAGAGAGGAAAAACTTTTCTTTAGTAGCTTTAACACCTTTGCGTGACTTCCTCTTAACTGAAAGAGATGAGACTAATATTTCACCTAAAAAAACCAATTTTTATCACTTCAAAAGCTAAACAGAATAAGTAGAAATTTCTAAATGAAAGCCGGCGCAAACTAAAACTAGGATTTCAGCATTATCAAAGGTAAATTTTCCACTCCAATTTTTCTCCGAGATATTCCTTTCCAAGTGCAATACTTACTTTTCCATCCTCGTTACAAGAAAACAACTTAGTCAGTTCATCTGTTAATTACGTCATAAAAGCTGGATCTCAATTTTTGCGGTTATTTTGCAAATGTTTCGTTCCTTGTTAAAAAAAATTATTGCCCAGTATGAAAAAAAGAAAAATGGCAGCAAGAAACCTTGCAGAATTTTATTTCACTCTAAGAATTCGACTGTGATCTCCGAAAAAGAAAAAAAAACCTTCATCCGTCAAAAATTAAACTTTAATCTTCGTTTTCCTTTATTTTTGAGCACAAATTTGAAGCGCTAATAGTTTTGCACTTGCCGCAGAAACTATTTACTTTCATTTATCGCTTTTCTTTGATAAAACTGTCAAAGCGAAAGCTATTTGAAGTATATTTTAAAACACCAAATTGTATGGTTGCCGGAAAGGATAAAGTTTCCCTTTTAATTGCTGCCAGATCGTTGTCATTTACTCCATGTGGATAACAGCGATCATGAAATTTCGCTGACACGTGCCACTTGTATGGCTGATTATACTTGAAAAATGACTGGACAATTGTTTTCAGAACATCACTAAAGTTCCGGTCCACAGTCTTTTAAAACTTCATTTGCATCAGAAATGTGCAGCGAGTGGCAAAATAGGATGACAGATGTTTCAGCTTAGTTTGTGGTGTGAAGTTTCAATTCACGAAGCTTTGTCTTCGCGTCTGCCAAATTTTTCACGTCGAGAGGAAACATAGGGGAGAAATCAACTTAATTTTTCATCCCTGTGACAAATTTCGTGAAGGGAGACTGATACAGAAGAGCCCAGGTGAGGTTGTTTTTCGGAATAAAATCTCGATATATTTATCGCTGCTGTCTATTCACTTGAGATTCAATATGAATCTGTCAGAAGGAAGCTTTGTCAGCGACATCGAACCGTAAGCTTCTTAAATTTTTCCACCGAAATGGAGCCGCCAGAATTGATATTGACGTGATACGAACGGATTGGATGTAAACACTTATAATGCCACAGCCCGCCTGTTTCACATCGGTTATGAAAAATTCACTGAGGACATCGCAGGGTTTCACAGAAGGTTCAAATCAGCAATTCATTGATTTGTTCTCTGTTTTCCGCCTCAGGGAAACGCGTTTAAAATATCTTTAGAAACTAAGCGAGCCCCACGAGCCACGCATATGTTTTCGTCGCTCCATGCTGACATTTTTTTGTCAAAATGCAAATGTTTTTATTCTTAAACATTAACTGTTTTCGGTGTATTAAAACCAATATCACTTCGGACCTGCAAAAATCGATTCCTGTCAAGAGGATTAAACGGCCAATTTAATCTGGCGCTCGTTGGTTTCGTACCTCTTGGCAAAAGCTAATATTCTGCCTGCAGAACTGACTATAATTAAGCTACGATTATTCAATATCGAGGTTCGAAAACATCTATAAACTAAAAATTTCTAATTGAGTTCTTCATCTGATCTGATAAACAGAGAACCCACGCTAGCGCCGCAATGTACCGGAACAGATTCTGGTAATACACACTTACCGTGTGAACAACTTGTCGGGATTCAAGTGACATTATGAAACGCTTATTCCGCGCGCTCACAGATACCAGTTGTCAAAAGCGCCGGAAAAGAAAGCAAAGAAAAACAAAGCACTCTAATCATTTGAATGAAACAATGGGAGCATGTCTGGACTTGCAGAGCTCTGCCCCTCTAAAAATTCTGCTGGTTCCATGCGAATCTCAACCGTCTTCTGCAACAAGATACTGGATTGTGGATACAAGAAAACAGGGCAAAATTCCCTTCTTTGGGTCTAACAGGTGCAAAATTGTGCAACATATGGGCAACAGAGTTACGGAGCCCTTTCATGGACATGTCACGACGAGAGAAGGACGAACTATCATCAAAGGGATTTTAACAGACGGAGCCGTTGAAGGGAAATATTTTGAACTCGTGTTGCAAGCTTCTCCGCAACAACTAAACCAACCCTACCGGAAAAATTCTGCAAGAAAAGCTTCATTGTGCGGATTTCTTCAGCGCAGTACAAAAGATGAATTTGGTTCATTCGAGGAGACACATGACGCATTTTTACATACAGAGGGGGAAACCAGCGAAGTTTTTGACACACAAGAAGAAATTCTGACATTCGCAGAGGAAAAAGTTTCCTAATTTCCTTAAAAGTTGTACGAGGCGTCATTCTGTTAAAGAGGTCTGGTTTGGTTAAACTATACACTTACGTGGAGTTCAATATATCCGCGGAGATATTGTTTCTTGATTTTATGCCGGCAAGATTGTTAAGAATATGGATGTCACAGCATAGAATTCTTAAACTTTTTGTTTACAAAATAGACTGACATAGACCCTAGATGGTGAAGAAATGTTGCGTTAACCTTAAATATTAAATATGATTTGAATTGAGGAATTTGTTGATGGTTAAAAATGGTATTTAGCCGACTGTGGCACGAATTAAACATGGATTTAAGAAGATGGCCTGTTTTCATGATTCTCATCGAGCGACAACAAAATCGTTAGCAACGCATGCTGCGAGGAATTCAAACATCTAATTTATTATATAGAACCCTAAAGTTTCGTTTACAATGTTTATTTTTTTCTCTAATTAGTATAGACTGAGTGCCGTATTGAATACTTAGTAGATTCCTCTAATCACTAATATTATTCAAGCTGAACTTTGCACTAGCTCATTTACTACAATCCATGAACATAAGCTACCATGCGCTTGACAATTTCTTAAGCATCTTGAAACTCTTTAGCTTTTACAATTGGCTTCTTAACTCTGAAGCATTAATTTCTGATTCTTAGTTTTTGGATAGGTTAAAAAGCAATAATTTTTAAGGTCTTTTTTTCAGTGACTCAGTAATCGTGAAACATCCTGATTACTTTCAGCTGCAGTGTAGGCGTAAATGATTTACATTTTTTTAAGTCTGTCAGACATAAAAAGAATTTCGAAAAATTCTACGCCTTATCTGCATGCTGTATTAGTTTAGCGCCATTACTAGAATAAGCCTTAATTTTTGACGCAGTTTGTAATGTCTACCGCTTTCTTCCTCTTATTTTGCGGCTAATGAAGTGAGAGTCTTGAGTCCACTCGATCACGTGCGTATGGCCAAGGAAAAAAAGCCTTTTCCTGATATCTTGCTAATTTGATTTCTTCGATCAAAAAGCTTATTGAGGACGCAATCTAAAACTAAACATTTCGTCTTGCTAACTATTATGCTTGAGAATGAAATGACGACTTAGTTAAACCGGCTCAAATTTTTGTCGGAAAAAAAAGAAAACGCTACATTGGCTATAGTTCGCTTATTCGATCAAAGGCTTTAGTCAGACCGCGATTCAAAAATTGTCACGTCGTCCTGCGAGATATCATGTTTGAGAATGAGGTAAATTCTGCGTCAATTTGAGTTCAAAGTCCACCAAGAGAAATTGCCTCCCTTGAATTCTTGATATTTGGATTGGTACGATCGAAACGTCTAGTTTGGCCACACTCTCAAAATTATTTTTCCGAAATGTCTAATCAGGAGACCACAATCTAAAAGTTAGTATGTCGTCGTGGCTAATATTAGGGACCTTAAGCAGTCAGGACGGCAACGCCAAGGAAGACTTCGATTAAAAAATGAATTTCTGCCTTGAATTAGAATTTCAAAAATGGCTGCATTTGTTTACTGTCTCATACGGCGCCACACCTCAACTTCAGCATAACGTATAAGCGTTGAGTTCCAAATGGAAATTCAAATAATTTGCAGTCGCGGTTTCGGTTCGCAGACGACGCAAATTGTGGTGATTTCAAGTTGTTGCTTTGCATAGGACGGCTAAGAAATGTACAAAGTTTTAAACGCACGTGCTGAGCTATTCTGCCAATTAGATCTTTTATTTTTCCATGTCCTCGATGCCGTCGCCGTCGTGATTTGCTTAAGGTCCCTATTACGCTCGAGAATGCAGCAGGTGTTGACGTTTGATCGATGGAACGGGCACGACCCGGTCTGTCACGTCAACATGAACTCATTACCAGGCTCCTCCCTCAAGCCTCTGATAACGAGGCTGACAAAGACCTTAATTGAAAGCTTTTCAATCTGATTTTATTTATCATCCATATTTTTCTTTCAACAGCAACCCTCGTAAAGTGCAAATATTCCACCTCCGGCTCCCGATCTTGATATTGTGTTCTTTTTTAGCATTTTGACGTAGCGATAGTCTTGATCTCAGAGCTAGAAAAAGCTGTAGACCACACCCTTGTGAAAAGGAAAAAATGATTGCCATCTTGAAAACGCCCCCTCTCAAAATGCTGACACTAACCACACAGTGTTGACACAGCCTATTTATTGACAGTTCTTGTTTTGAGAATTCTTAAGGCTTCTGGTTACTCCTTAAGAACTTGGTCCTCAGTTCTCTTCAATGAAACGGATGTAGTCTTTTTTATGGCATACCGAAATATTTGAAAAATTACACTTGTTTTGCAGGATAAGAGAGTTTGCAGGCAATGCGTGCCTATATTAGCAACGCGTTCCATGTAGTACAGCGGTCCGTCTTGCCACGTAAAATTCAAGATGGCGGACAACGAAGAGAAATACTCTATTTTGCTACCCACATATAACGAGCGAGAAAACCTACCCTTGATCGTGTGGTTGATCGTGAAGGCTTTTTCAGAGTGGTAAGAGTAAATCCTGGTTTTTTTTTTTAAACAATTTTGGTTACTGTCGTTCATGAACATCTTCATCCACGTTGGATTTCAAAAATTCTTTTATTGTTTTTTAAGTGGGTATGATTATGAAATAATCATTATCGACGATGGAAGTCCAGACGGTACCCAAGAGGCAGCCAAACAACTGGAAAATATTTATGGAACTGATATAATTGTAAGTCTTGCTAGAAAGCTCGCGTGCTTTTCATTTTTGGTCGAAAATGTTCAAACACTTGTTGTGCGAGGTTTTGGAAGAAATAATATAAGCTTTGATCTATGTTTCTAATTATTGTAGCGATTAAAACCAAGACCGAGCAAGCTTGGCCTGGGTAAGTAACTTACAACTAAAAGTTCTTGTTATTATCATTATTATTATAATTATTATGATTACTATTATTTTTCTAATGCATGTGATCCTTGTGACCAATGCAATATTAATTCTGATACTGTACCCTTGTAGCTACAATTAATATTGTTATATACCTAGACTTTAACTTGTGAGTTTGATTCTTAGTCATGTACCCCTGATCAAATTCAAATGGGATACAATTGTGCAGTTGGTGCCTGTGCCAAATACTGACAACAGCAGGTTTTTGCCATTTAATTGTTGAAGGGAAAGTCTAAATATAGAACATAGCACCTAATGTATGGTCCCTCAGGAACCTAGTTAGTTTGTTTTCCCTCAAGTTCTGATGTTTCCCTCAACTTCGTCTTGGGAGACATAAGAACTCTTGGGAAAACAAAACTAACTGTTTCCTTGTGGACTATACATTAAGTGCATAATATACCGATGTGCATCTTGGAGGTACAACATCCAATTGTATTGTTATCTGCCTACTTCCCCTCTGAAGGTTTCCATGGATTCAGAAACCTAACTGTAAATCCAAATTTTCTTTTTTTCTTGAAGTGATTTCTGATCTTTCAGGTACTGCATACATTCATGGAATGAAACATGCAACCGGGAACTTTGTAATTATTATGGATGCCGATTTATCTCATCATGTGAGAAATATTGTGTTTTTTCTTTATACCACATTTACTTATATTTGTTTGCAAAATATCACATTGTTTGTATGAGAAGTACCATGATAGGCATTACACTTTTAAGTTGCATAACTCAAGACAAGTTGAAGTGATACTATAGTTTGAGGATCTTTTCGTACTGGTTTTTCAACAAGAGTTGTATTACTGTGAGGAAATTACTTAGAGCTAAATATGTGATTTTACCACATGACTTGTATGGCCCTAAACAGGCTCTTACTTGAAAACATTTAAAAAAAATTATTAGAAGGGGCATACAGTAGGCGCAAGTGGGTCGAGAATACATTGTCTGGCTTTACAAGATGAGAGCTGGAAGGAGAAAGGAAGAAAGAGAAAGATGAGTGGTCATTGATACAATGCTTTTTGCCTGAGTTTGGTTGAAGCAGATGCTGTTGGGGAATTTCTTTGTTTTGGTTTCTGCCAAGTTGATCCTGAAAATGGTTTTAGTTGGGAAAGGAACAAGAATCCATATCTGTATCTGTGATGAACCACCATCATATTTAGAAGTCCTGTTTTCAATTATCAATTTTATCAATTTCTTATGTCAACAGCCAAAATTTATTCCAGAATTCATCAGGTATGTCAATAACTAACTGTATCCCTAGATCAAAGTTTTTTGTTTCAAAGCTCATATCTACGGTTTTTTTTTAAGTCACTGAATACAATGCAAATAACCATCTGTAACTATATTTTTATGTCTGTTTTTTTCTCAATAATTTTTTATACAGAAAGCAGAAGGAAGGAGACTATGACATTGTATCTGGAACAAGGTATATTGGAGATGGAGGAGTGTTTGGCTGGGATTTAAGAAGAAAACTGATCAGGTGAATTGAATTTTTTCTTAATACTTTCAACAACTACCTATGGATATCTGGTTTACTATAGCTTAGAACAGAAGTCTTTGATACAAAAGTGTAATGAGTCAAGTTCAACAGTACCTCATATTGTCTAGTTCTAATTCTGTGTTGAGAAAAAAAAAAGAGAGAGGAATGTTGCATAAACAAGTCTGTTGACTTTGAATGCCTCCACATTTTGACACATATTCTGCATGTGATCACTGTTCCTCCTTTCTAAAGTGGGTGCAGAATGTTGAGTAGTTACTTCATACATCATACATAGTAGCAAAGCCAAATTTGTTGTACTTGAAGGTGCATACAGTTGCAACTTATTGGTGACTAAAAAATTTGCTACTGGGAACCTCTTTTTTTGCCACTCAGGTACTATCAAAGGCATTTTTTTTCTAATTTTGGGTCCTAAGTCATAACTAAGAATGCTGACCCTATAACTCAACATGTTTTGTTTATCTGTATGTGCATTTGTTCTTTTACAGCCGTGGGGCAAATTATCTGACACAGGTGCTTCTCAGGCCTGGTGCATCTGATCTGACAGGAAGTTTTAGGTAAAAAATATTTCACCTCGCATCAACAATTTTTGAACTTGTCTTCCTTTGCCATCTGAGACTCCTTAAAAGTCTAGTGAGAGGCTCTGTTCCCTCCCTCCCCTCCCCCATCCCCCTTCTTCTTAGATGAGAACTGAACCTTTGCAGCTCTTTGTTAGATGACTGAGTCTTTGTCTGGATTGTCTTACAATTGGATTGGAGATGGGTTTGGCTAAAATTGTTTTATTAGGGTCATCAAATTGATCAGTGACAGTTTTTCTACCTCACAATCATTCTGATTCTTTTATAATCAGGACAAAAACATAGAGTGTTATCTTTTGAAAGAATGCTATTTCTTCCCTTCTCTGACAGATTATACAAAAAGAAAGTGCTTGAGAACTTGGTGGATGCCTGTGTTTCCAAAGGATTTATCTTTCAGATGGAAATGATTGTGCGTGCAAGGCAGTTTGGTTACACCATAGGAGAGGTTAGTTACAGCATCAGTACATTTTCTAATTAATGTCAAAGAGGAGCAAAGCTCTTGAATTGCCAACTTTTCATCTGGTCTGTCTATGATGAGGCTTTGTTTGAAATAGGGGAACTCAGTGAATGGGAGAAATGCTTTCATCTTTTTTTCTATTTTTTTCTTTTTGGCAAGCTTTAAATTGTTATGGCATGGTCATTTCCTGTATCTGCTGGGTTACTGTGTCTTTGATTACTGTGTAGCCATGTTACAATGACCTTGGTGCGAGACTCACCATCCCCTTTCTTTTAAGAATATTTATACAATTGACAGGAATAGGTTCAGCTGTTGCTGCATGTGAGACAAATAGCACCCATTTAAAGTTTAGTTTGTGAGAAGGCTGTCAGTGTATTTCTCAGAAATTTAACAAAAATTTAAACTGAGTTGATAATATGGTATAAACTGAGTCGATGGAAGTATAAACTGAGTTAATAATGTCAATTGGTCACTGTAAAGAGTTTCAAAGCTGACATTTTGAGTGTTAGCCCTTCTCAGAAATGTTGTCATACACTGCGAGAAATGAGAGCCATGAGAAATTTTGTGCCAGACTCCTTGATTGCTCTCATTGCCAGTTGGCACAGCAAAGCAAACAGCGCCTCAGTGCTCTCTGATTAGGAAAATTGGTTACATGTTCATACATGTATTTCTAGATGCAAACTTTATCATCATACAAAGGCAATTCTTTCTTAGTTGCAGTTTGTCTTCCTGTTTCTTTTAGGTCCCTATCACATTTGTGGATCGTGTTTATGGTGAATCTAAACTTGGTGGTAGTGAAGTGGTCTCTTTTGCCAAGGGACTCCTTTATCTGTTTGCTACTACATAATAGAGAGGCTTAGTAGTTTAGCTTCTGTTAAAAAATATTTTATGAAGAGGTGTGGGTTTCAGATGTACTCTCAATCAGTCAACCAAAGAGGGTTAAAATACTAAACTGAGGTGCCATAGGAATGCGCCTCCATTGCATGCGTACTTGAATTGGTATCAAGAAAGTTGACATTTACTCAAGAATGAAGGATTTCCTAGGATACCTGTCAAATAATATTGCTGATTATGGCTGAGAGTAGGAATTAAGTTATTCACAGGTCCAACTGGGAAAACAGGAAATTACATACTTATCAAATTGGTAAAAAGAATCTGTTAGAAAGGTACTAATGAACCAGAACTGTGACCATAAATGTGTTTAATGATTGTAACCTCTTAAATGACTTCAATTTGTTGTAAGAGGTACCTGCCCTTTTCTCTCTCTCTCGAAAAACGTTTTCTTATTTTGGGGATTAACGAAAATTGTTTTAGATCAATAAAACTTGCTGTGTGCATGGGTCAGTTTTCAGAACATCTATAAATTTCATTAAGTTTTACAAACGAGATCAAGAGGGCAATCTGTACATCTGTGAGTGCTATCATGAGTTTTATTAAGAATAATACAAATTAACAATAGTAAAGATAACTATAAAGAATTTTCTTTATATATTTAAAAATATGGTTACTTACAGTTATAACAAAATAAAAGTATTGTAGTAGAATATGGCCACAAATTTATTTCATGAGTATGATATTCTTTAGGGAACTGAGAGAACTTGTAAGATAATTCTAGCATTTAAACCTAGATATAGTGGGCTCGAAATACTTGGAATTCGCAAACGAGCTGAGTAATTATGCGTGGTTTCGTTTGTTTTCCATAGCTCAGTTTTTTTGGTCCTCGGAATCAGATTCATATGTTACAAAGAAATAATAAAACAGCAAAAACAACCAGCAAGATTAAAATTTCTTGCTTATTGTCGTCTCTTGAAAACGCGGTTGTTCAAAAACATTTCAATCCCTGCAACAAATACCAGCACTGAGAGATTGATATGATTAAAAAAAAGCTTATAAACAGCCATAAAAATAACTTGACGAGTCTTATGTTATGTTCCGTTGTTCTATCTAGTTCTAATTTTGTTTTCTTTTGTTCTAAAAAAAGGAACAAAACCAGTAACCCGTGTTTACACGACGAATGTTCGCCACGCAACTTAAATAACTCGGGTTCACTCGCGGGTTTAAGTTAAGAGCTCCGTGACATTATCCGGATTCTACAGGAAAAAATGTAAGGAAAACTTTCACATCGCCAGGGCTGTTAAAATACAGTTCACTACAGTTTCTTCGTCTGTCACGACAAGTAACATCACCTTCAACGCCAAACAAAGACACGTCAAAATAGTGTTTTGATGTTAGAGCAAAAAGACAAGATGGAAAGAATGAACTAAAATGGAACAAAGATGATAAAGGATGAAAAAGATTGGCGAGGATGCGATAAGACCATGAATTAGAGTACGGCGGGCGCTTCAGACCCAGTTCCCCGTGAGTAAATCCTCTTTGCTCTCCTTCGTTATGCAAACACGTGCGTTGGTTTTCAAATTCCCACAATTCCTCTACTTAACAATATATGGGATTTCGTGTGTCTGAATTTCTCATGACATTATCATAACAAGTTTTTTTAAGCAGCTTGTGTGAATAGAGTCCTTAAACTTTTGTGAAAAACTAGATTATTTTATCGGCAAAATGTAACATAATTAAGGTTGAAAGGACAACATTGTTGCACAAAATTGACAATAATGATGTAAAGTTTCTCTCTTATCACAGATCGGCTGTGTTCCTCGAGGAAGTTAATTTTCGAAATCTATTAAGCCCGCTAACTACCTATTAAAACTAGACTACTATACTAATCATTTGCGACGATTTTCTCCTGTGAAAATAGCCCATACGTGATCCAAAAGAAAATTATATCAAGCAAACTATTTATCAAAATACCTACGTATTAAAACACATCTCAGACTTATACTTCTTTCTCTCGTTACACATTGATAATTACTAAAACTTAATGTCAAGAGGGGGCGTTTCTCTAATCAATTCCGAAAATGTAGATCGTTCGAAAAACTAACCGTAGTGGATTAGAATGAATAACGTATTGGATTTTAACGACACGTCCTATAGAAGAGGTTTGATGAACAAAGGAAACAACAAAACGTGGAACAAACAGAACAAAGCAGATTTCGAGAAATATGCGCTAGCTGAATAAATAAGCCACATAGCTCACCAGCTAACTAACAACAAACAGAAATTGTTTCTCGGAATTGTTTTGTGTTTCATTTCGCTATTTCCACCCCGTCGCTTTACTTCAGAACGCTCTATGAATGGATGAATCATTGCTACAACGTTTCCACGGCTGACTGGCCCGGCAGGCAAATAGTTTTAAGCATACTAAACCAATCAGCTTTGGAGCAGAAGTTACTGAAGACACGGGAAGTGGCAATTAAATGTTCCCTTTTTTTTTTCGTCCTCATTGAGCTAACAGTATAGTGTTCCACTTGAAATGATCAGAAATTCATTTTCGGACTTGAATAGGAAGAACGCCTTAAATCGCTTCAAAGCTAACTAAAGTCGTAAACAAAGTTAAAATTCGGGGGTTCGGCGGGTATGGGAGGCGGAGTTTCGGGGATAGTTATATTCTCCAAATCCAATAGTCTCAATTTCATTTCCATATTTAGGAGGGTCTCCAACTCTTCATGTGACTCTTTTGACGGCATCTATACACAAGTAACAAAACAACAGTCGAAGCTTAAAAAGTATTCTCAATTTCTTTCAGGCAACTCTCCAATAACTACAATCATATTTACTTATTAACTCACTAGGAAGGCCGGACGGGACATATTTGGCACGTCATGATCTCGAGAAAAGGATTTTCCTGTCCAGCCTGACCTAACTCATTAATTATGCATTTTATCATATGACCGCTGCTCCCTTTTCTTCTCGTGGAACCCTAGGTAGGACTGAACTGTAAAGTTCACCTACTCGCAACGCACGCAATTTTTTCACACTTTTGCTAAAAGTATTGTCTTTCGACCATATATGGCTAAAAGCCTCCCTAAGGAAAAAACGCTAGGCCTCTCCCAACGGATTGATGTTCAAGCTAATGAAAGCTTACTACAATCGAAGAACTGCGTAACTAACCTCTTTGTTAAGAAGCGTTGCCAAGCCGTCTGTCCAATTGGCGAACTAAAGCGAAATAGAACAGTTTAAGAAATAATTTGATCATTAAGGATCCGATCTTTCACCTTTCATGGGATTTAGCAACAATAAATTTTTTGCAAAGGCTCTCATTAATCGGGAATATTTCCAATTTCCTATAGACGATCTACATTTCCATCGAGGGAAGGAACGCTAAAAATGTAAAATATCTTACGAAAGAAGTATCACAATTCAAATACTGACGATTATTTGGGTCGCTGCGATGAAATCGAGATGTTTTTCTTCTGCTTCAGACTCGTACATTAGAGAAAAACAAAATGGGACAAACGTCTGTGGATAAATATAAATCAAACACAGTGAGAAGGAATACAATCAAAGCGAAACTTCGCATTACATTTAGCCAAGACAGAAATTCATAGCGCTTCTTTCGTCGTTATGCAAACGAGGAAACTAGAGGTGTTTTCATTTCAGTAGAAGGAGACTTAAACACAAACTTCAAATTATGAAGAAGATAAAGAGGGACGAGAATATTCATGGACGGCTAAGATCGTTTGAAGGTTATTAACACAGACTGCAAACTAAAAACTAAGAACATCTAGGCTGAAATTTATGAAGACGGACAAGCCGCGACGTAGTGAACAAACCCTTTTCTTCCAAAGATCTACTCGCCTCGGCTCTCTGTCTTCAGAACATTTCTTATAATTGTAGCTGTTGGAATTTCGTGTTAAATAAAATAATGTCCTGTCGTTGATAGTTTTCTCTCTTTGGTCACCTTTTTCAATCTAGCTCTCATCCCAATTCCTAACAGTATTTCTCTATCGTATCTAATTAACGGCCACCACTTAAAAAAAAAGTCAGTAAAACGAGACTAAATCTTATTTATCTTACTTTGCCGATTTTGCGATCTTTGCTATGAGGACAATCCTTTCCAACCAGTAGATTTTTAACTTTAGCAATCGAAACTAAAATCAACAAATACAAAGTTTAGTACACAAAGAAAGTTCTAAACGGTAATAGTCCCCCAGGTTGAGGTTGGCATCAGACATAAAAAGTATATAGGGCCCAGTTGAGATTGTCGAAGATCATTCCTGTTACTGTAACCATAACAGGCTACCCCTATCAGTTTTTTCAAGTAACCTCGACTATGTGCCAGCGGGCATTTAATCATTTCCTGAGTAGAAAAAGGAAGTGATCCCCACAGACCATTCTGACACAGATAACCAGCTTAATTGTTATTTTGATTCCACAGTTGGGATAGACAAAGTAAAAATATTTCTGTAATACAGCCATCTAAATTTCTCTACCAACTAAATCGCTACTATGGCTGGGCGTTGACATTTACCTCAAGCAGACTTGGTCTTTTATCCTAAAGCAAAGAAGAAACATAACACTTACATTTGTTTGGAAGATTCTCCAACGAAGGCGTTTGTCCTTCTTGACAGTCGCCATAATGCAGAAATTTTAAATTGGGTGACAGCCGACAATACCAATATCTATCTAAGGTAAAACAGGAAAAGAGCCACAACAATTAGCATCTCATTGGGTTCAACTCTCGGATAGAAACAACAAAAACAATATTATGAAGACCACAACTTTCGAAGTAAAACACCTCGTCTGTTGAAGTAAAAAAACAAGGCGTCACGTTTTTACGACCGTGGTTGGTCGGTGATTCTTACCTCGTCCTCGTCCTCTCCCTGGGTTTTTGTCAAACAGGGCTCCCTGGATGAGTTGATCCAATCTCTGAAGAGAATCAACGTGAGATGTAAAGTTGGAAGAATAAATAATTAGACAAGTTTAAAAAAAGCTCAGACCCGCTCACACGGATTTCAATAAAAGCCGTCTGTCTAGTTTGCAGGAAGACTCATCTTTGAGTTTCATCTTCGGTTCCTTTTCCGGGAATCGCCGCCCATGAAAACATCGGCAGCCGCTTATGAAAAAAATTATTAAAAACCCAGCGCTCACATTTAAGAAATGGCTAATAAAATAAGTTCGAGCAATATCTATTTTACGTACACACTGAAACAGTGGATAGTGTTTCAGGCACGCCTGGATTAGCTACTTAAACTCCAAAAATCCTTTCCTATTCATCTTTGAGTATTTACGCCCGAAATTATTTTGATCGTTGCAGGAATACATGAGTTAAAAATCATCTTTTTGTGCTATATTATATCACTGTTTTAGTATATTCTACGACAACTAGTCACCTGAAGGTCGGTGGCTAGTGGTGGATATGTACGTCGCTGCTTCGCGGTTCGGTAAATATTCACCACTAGCCACCTCCACGTCGGTGAATAGCTGTTGATGATAGAGATTTGGGGTTACCTGTTGTTTGACTAATTCTTTTAGTTCGGGCAGAACTTGTTCTCTAAGTTCTCTGTAGATGAACAATTGACAACGTTTCAATTTTACAATCAAATGTTACAGGAGTTATTAGCAAACAACCCCATAAACCAGACGGTCAGAGTGTTGACACATCGAGTAAAATTTTGATTAAGCTCAAAACACAATGGAAAGTCAACAGAATACCTGTAATTAACTGAACTAAACTCAGTTATGATATTGAAGTCTTAAGTTTTCCTTTTCCGTCATTTTTTAAAATATTTCTTTGAGCATTTACATTTTTAATAATAAATTTGCGCCAGAACGGTTATTTCTCAATTTTTTTCTTAACTTTGCGCGAGAAATTTGGGTGCAACTGACCAAAATTGATCCATTTGCGCATTCCTTAAATAGTACTGCTGTGTTTTTTATTCAATGACCAGCTGCTAAACGGGATGTAAGCCCACGCTCTTGCCCTCTTCTCCCTGGTGAGAACGAGTGCACAATACTCGAAGGAAAGGCGGATATTGGGAACCTAGTTCATTGCATACTGAACTGAAGCTGTGGAAAGCAGTCAGATGTTGATCACTTCTAGAAGTCAAAAGTTCAGTGAAAACTACCTTGGTCCTTAGAGAGATCACTGGGAAAGTACACTGTCGACTTCTATCAATACTCACACGACAGGTTTAGCCTTGAGCTCCATGATGTTCCTTGCTTGAATTTCGTCTTGTAGAATTTTAACAATTTGCGAATATCCTACGTTGAACACGTTTGTCTGCAAGAAAAGGAGTTGCATTGAACGTCAGAGTCGAATCACTTGAAATAAATGGCTACTTAAGAGTAATTTCTTATAACAAGCGCAAGTGAGGTTAGTGCAGAATTACCTTCGCAGGTAATACTCTCGATGAAACCTGAAAACGCTGATGTTTACTTCCTCTTAAGTTGTAAAAACGTCAATCACTTTGATCGACACCAGTCCATTTCAGAACTACTCTCACGCAGAACTACTATTACCCAGACGGTCAGACTGCTCGATTGACTGCTCCTATTATTGATCGGTAACTAAAGCCAGGTTGTTAATTTTTCTCCTGGGTTCTCCACAACTTCCAGAGAATTTTTTTTCTCGAAACTAAAAGACATTAATACGGGTTACTTTGCCCCTTGATCAGGCCTTAAATCAAGGAGAACAATAAATAGAATGAGAAAGGAGGTTAGTTTTGAGCTCGGTGGAGAAATAGTGAAATATATTTTTCGTCTCGTCACGAGCGTGGGAAGAAAGAAAGTCCCCATGAGGAATCGAACCTCAGACCTTCGGAATGATGGTAGGTTTTGAGCTCGGTAAAGAAAAAGTGAAAGATTCCCTCAGACCTTCGGATTCCTCGCTCACCGTACAGTCTCCGTGGCTCAGTGGTAGAGCAACGGAGCGCGGAATCCGAAGATCTGAGGTTCGATTCCTCATGGGGACTCTGGATTTTTTCTTTGTCCCACACACGAAAAATATCTTTCACTATTTCTTTATCAAGCTCAAAACTTAACATCTTTCTAATTCTATTTACAAACATGACGCTATCGACATTGCTGATCCTAGCAGTACGCAGGACGCGTGTCATATGAACCTCGTAATAGACCTCGCTCACCGTAGAGTTTCCGTGGCTCAGTGGTAGAGCATCGGAGCGCGGAATCCGAAGGTCTGAGGTTCGATTCCTCATGGGGTCTAAGAATTTTTTTCTTTGTCCCACGCTCGTGACAGGACGAAAAATATCTTTCACTAAGGAGAAGACTGATTACAAAAACAAACCAAAACATACGAACAAACAGAACAACAAAAAAGCAACAGTCAATACTAATCGAACACCATCAGTATCTAGTAGCGATCGATTTTTAAAGCGCATGTACAAGTACTAGATTTTTTACATACCCTAAACAATTCCATGGAGAGATGTCTCTCTTTGAGTGCTCTACAAATCTGGTCCTTAACCACTTGCATAACACGGTTGAAATCTCCTGAAGTGGCTCTCATCTCTTTCCACGTCTTATTCAGAAGTTGAATACAGATGCAAAAGAATTCCTCAAATGCAAAGTCCATAGTGAAAAATATCGGGTAGTACTCCTTACCGGAATCTGACGCTTAAGTGAGGAAAAAAACATAAAAATAAGTACTCTTTAAGACGAACGAGAACGATCTGCCAATCCTAAGAACGAAGCGTTGATTCCGAGAGAGAGGGATGCCTTCAATTTTCTAAACGGGTATATCCTGCCAACTAGGGTGGGGTTTCCGGGATATTAAATCTTAGTGAAAAATTTACAAACCACAATGAACTTTTTAACTACGACCCAGCTGTTTGAAGGCCGATTAGTACTAACCCAAACTTAATACGCAATTTTTATTCCTTTACTTAAAAGCCTTTTTGGTATAATAACCTATTCTGTAATCTTTAGAGCACTCAATACTCAAATTGTAGACAAAAATTATTACACTGAATTTTCTTTTACGGCTCTCTGATCTGGAATCAGCTTTCACACCAACCCAGCTTTGAACAACTCGACCCAGATGCCCTGGACAGGGTGAGAACTAGTGCACGGTCTTTTGGTCATTTGTTACCATTTTGTGGTATCCCACTATCTTATGGCACTAAACATACTAAACCAGGCTTCCTAAGTTCAAGTTGCCACAATTTAAACAATTTTGTCGGCTTTAACAGGTAAACGAAAAAAATTACGGATTTTTATTTCTTGAAACGGACTGAGGTTTGCAGGATTCGGTAACAAATACCTACTTACACTTCCCTTAGATGCCCTTCCCATCCTCCCCCTCCCTTCCTCCCTTCCTCCCTTCCTCCCCTCTCTCCCTTCCCCCCCCCCCTTCCTTCCTCCCCCTCCCCCCCCTCCTCTCTCCCCTTCCCTCTCCCCTTCCCTCTCCCTCCCCTCTCCCCTCCCCTCTCCCCTCTCCCCCCCCCTCCCCCTCCCCCCTCCCCTTCGAGAGTAGCCTGTGTACAGCCGAAAACAAAAACAGCGTTCACAAGCATCAAAGAATATGAAGTTTGACACTTTAACTTACGTGGTTCTGCATTGATTTCCAGTACATCACACAACATTTTGGTAAGAGCAATACTGGTGCGAGCAAACGGGCACTCATAGTCGTCACCTCGAGCATGGTTTTCTAAAATGACCTGGACGTGAAAAAATACAGTTAGAATTTATCTCATGCAAATTGTTGTCAACACCGAGACATCAAGAGCGTAAAGAGGGTGTTTTGAACTCTTTTATAACATTTAAACTGTATCCTTTAAGGACCGACATCAAGGTTAAAGCATCTACAACGCTCTCAGCTGCGACTACTTTGGCCTCCATGACGAGTAAACAAAAAATTTTAGTACTTCAAGTACAGGTTTATCTCGCCAAAACATTTTTATGATAGCTGTTCTCAAACTTTGCTTGAAGTGTTAATGCTTTGCCAAGATTTGATAAGAATTGTTAATAAGGCTAATGGAAACCAAGATCAAACAAACATGACAAACACACAAAAGAAATAAATTTTGTCAACAGCCATTGCTAAAACCATGAATACAAAATAATGGATGGGGTTTGTTTGGGCCGGTAACGCACCCGCTATTTGCTAAGCTCCTGAGAGGAGCCGGTTAAGAAACAGAGATAGAGCTGCAACCTTAAAACGATAAATACCTTGACATATTGTTCCTCGTGTTTCCGTGCAAAGTAAACCATTGTATGAAGAGGAAGAAGGCCAGGGGGTGCTTCGCTGAAGTCATTTGCTGGTGTGTCAATGTCCTAGGAGAAAATTCATAAAAACCGCTGAGCAATGATTATAATAAATAATAATGATAACGATATTGGCGATAATGACGACGAGATCAACGATAATGATGATCATAATTTGTGATAAAAGCCTGCCTACCCTGATTTGAACTACACTAAGTGAACTCACCACAAACCCAAGTCTCTTGAAGTCTTTGGAAAGTTCTCCCGCTTGTGAAAGAGGTCTTCCTGAGCTCGCGGCCACAATATCTGATTCAAACACTACTTGCCGCAAGGTGTTAAGACTTTCGAAAAGACTCTGAAAAGAAAAAGAGGAATTTGACAGATTTGGAAAACAAGTCAAAAATCGTCAGTCTTTCTTCGTCTTTTCAATCGCTGGCCAGTATATTAGTTCACTTATCGTTATCTCTTTTCGTTGGTTCGATTATCATTTTAGAGCTCTCGTCCGTTCGTCCTCAGTGAACCTGACGTTCGCTTTCCAATTCGTTCCTTCTTCTGTTCACTTCCACGTACGTATGCCCGTCTTTTCTCTTTTCGCCTGTTTATTCATTCGTGTGTTCGTTCCTTTGTTGACTCTCTCGTCTACTTTTGTCTACCCGTCTATCTGTCCGTCTACACATGCATTCGTTCTTGTTGGTTTTTCCGTTTATTCCTTGATTCGTTAGTCAGTTTTTGGTGTTCTTTCATTTGTTCGCTCAATTAATATTCCTCTACTTCTCCGTTCATGTATTTATTTTTTTCACTGCCTCAGTCCTTCCTCCCTTCAATCACAAGATTTTTCATCCAAGTTCGGTCTTTGATTCGCTCGCTCATCTGCTCGTTCGTTCGTTCGTTCGTTCATTTGTTCTTGCGTTCGTGCGTTCCTTCGTTTGTTCATGCGTTCGTTTGTTCGTGTGTTTGTTCGTTCTTTCGTTAGTTCCTTAGTTCGTTCATTCGTTCGTTTGTTCGTGCGTTCGTTAGTTAATCCAGCCTTTCATTCACTCACTCGTTCCTTTGTTCATTTATAAAGTCTTCCGTTCTCACGCTCGTTTGTTCCTTCGATCCATTCGCTCGTTCGTTCGCTGGTTCGACCTGTTCGTTCACAAGCATTACCAACAGAGGTTATTCACCAACCTGGTTCTGGGCATTTCCTTTTATAAGAGACATGTCTACCAAAAGAGATCGGAATATGAGGGACTGGTACACGTACAGCTGATGTTCCATTTCACTTCTCATGCTCTTTCCACCGCGAATAATATCCTTAAAAGAAAAAACAAAACAACACGAAAATACAGTTTTCCCTTAGTGGTGAACGGCTGTAAAACATCTTTAGGACTGAGTGCCATCAGTGGTTAATGTCACGGGTTAAGATTCTTCCCGGAATGTTACTTTCATAAAAGTTTAGTCAAAGCACATCGAATATATCTTTGTGATCAAGATCCCCAAAGGGAACAAGCTACAGACTACTATTCCCCTAGCTCCAAACATGCGGCTTCAAAGTTTAGTTAGCAACAATACTCATGGCGTAGGTACAAGCTTCGACACAGCTTGTATTTGTTTTTCATACTTTACACTTAACGCTCAATTATACTTCCGGAGGAGATACTAATTACCAGGGCTTCAAGATCTGTGGCTTGTTGGAAAGGAGGCGTTGTTTGCGGCAAGGGGGAGGGGGGAGAGGAGAACTTTATTCCTTTATCGTCCATTCTCCTAGGAGCACAAATGGCTACTATTACTGCACCCCTTGCAGACTTCTCGCCAGCTAGGATCGCTCGAGGCCTTATGCCAGTGTCTTCCCGCGGGCAAAGAAACGCGTAAGCAGAAGCTCAAATAAGGAGAGCCTATTAGTGGCCAACCTAACCCACCACTTTAGGGTTCGTGTTTAGGGAGAGCAGGATAGGCCTTTGTAGGCAGCGAAGGGCTTATTAGAGCGTTCCCTGTACTTTTAACGGTTTCTCTACTTGCAGTTCACCCGTTTAGGATAAATTCCTCAATTATAACCTGCTGATCAAATAAGAACTCATATCTACAATTTGTTAAGAAAGAATCTTTTAGAAGCAAGGAAAAACATTTGGCTTACGTTCATAATATATGTTCTTACTCCTTTCTTTGATAGTGTATCTACAAATTGCTGAAAAAAAAATATCATGGTTAGGAGCATTTTAGCATGAGAAGGGCAAACTTCTAGTTGCGGTGTTGTTCCTCAGAGGAAGCCGTTTCAGGTCAAACTGATTTACACAGATCGATTTGCGTTTCCTCTATTTTCGAGAAATGGAGATAATGGCTGTGCCAATCAAACTAGTTTGAAATTGCTTTCGTACATATACATGAAATTACTGTGAAGCTTTCAACATTTGCTGTTAAAAGCTGTGCGTGACACCTTTTTTAACAAATGAAAAATTATCTTATCCAGTCATCCAGAATAAATATATGATTAGAGAAATGTTGCTACACAAAATGAAAGACGCTGCAACCAAAAGATTTCCCAAGAGTAGGGGAACACAACTTTCAATGGGTAAATATCAACTGCATATTGTCATTGACACGTCAGAGCGAATGACGAAGGGCTAACGTCAGCTCAGAAACTCTTAACGGTGGCCAGTTTTCATTATAAAATAATTCAAATAGTACGCGCGCTCTGATTGGCCATAAAACCATTTACATGAGCGTATGTAAACACGGTTTTCGGTCCTCTTTCATTAGTTATTTTATAAAAGAAATGTAAAATGGTTTCCGTGTTTCCGTGTTTTTTCTCGATAAGCTAGAAACCACTCCGCTTCGCGTCGTGGTTTCCTACGCTTATCTCGTGTTCTCTCAACCTCCCGCGTGTTTACATCAGGCTATGTAAACACAGAAACCATTTTACATTTCTTCATTATCAACTCTGTTGATAAAACCAAATTATCTTGTTTTACTTCCCCACCCACACAACACCACAACTTCTTTAGAAACTTACCACCATTATACATTTATCTCTACATGTGAACATCAACTCACTCTTTTATTTGTTGTACGCATGAACAAGCTGTTTAGGAGTGCTATAGCATTCAGCTGAATATCTTGATTTGAGCTACAAAGTTATGCAAACAATAATTATTAATTAAAATAATTGTAATAATTACAAATAAAGATTGACAACACATATCTCTTGTCTAAATTTTGGACACTTATGTTTAGAGATGGTAGCAAGTGATTCATAAAATGAAGGGACAACATACATGATAATTTTTACAAAAATAGAAATTAAGATTTAAAAGCAATTTCAATTTGGCCTAAAAATTAATAATGATTTTTATTCCACATGAACCAACCCAAACAATAGTATTGTATTTCTTTACCCAACAATGAACATAAAGGTTTAGAAAGTCTATTTTATGACACTTCACTTTCTGTGTGACTCTGAGAGTTGTAATACTCAGTGATAGTTCCATGCAACTGACAGGACTCCACAAATGAAAATTAGAAACTTATCTCTACAGCAAAAACGTATTGCAAGTAAAATACTGCTCTTTCTATTGTTACTTACTTTTGCAGATGAAGAATAAGATGCTCAAATACCACTTCTTTTTCTACAAGTGGATAAAATGTTGGGCTGGTGGACAAAAAAATTGAAAAAAGAAAACACACATCAATCAAAATTTAGCTTGAAACAAAAATTATCCTGCAAACCATTTCCAAGGGCAATAAAAGAACACTTTTCATCTTGAGAAGGAGTGCAAAATTAAACATTAAGTTCCTACAAGTAGATGCTGCATGTCAGTTGTTTTAAAAATAATTCTTAAGAAATAATTCTAGCACCTATGTCACATTTTTTTGAGTAGGACTGAAATTTTAAGTAATAGAGCTACTAACCTGTTTGTACACACTGCTTCTAAGATAGATAGACATCTTTTGAGCACAGTAGGGTCTACAGGTGGATTCTTCTTGTTTACAAAGACTGTCAACTACAAAGTAAGATTTCAAGAATTTAGTGGAAAATCAGTTAATGTATCAGCATGCATATGAAGAAAGCAAGAAGTTTGGAGGCAAGAAATATGCTTTAAATTTGAGTGCACCGTGACCAAGAGCGATTCTAGCACCTCCAGTTTTGTTATATACTTTTTTTTTTCGAGGAGGAATTAATTATGCTACACTTCAATGCCAACACATTTATCATTATTCCCCTATGTAAATGTAGCTCTCTGTTTCATGATTCTATAGGTAAGAAAATTTGAAAAATGTTTCTTTCTAACAGCACTTTCATGCAACAGGTAATTGAGAGGGAGGCTGGTTGATTACATCTAACCTGATCATGTTTTATGGAAAGCCTATTGGTGTCCATTTCTACATTGCAATGAAGAGAAGCACTGTGAAACAGAAATGTATGACCCTTGCTCAAGCCAATTGGCTAGAGCTTAACCCTTTAACTCTCTAAGAGGATTGACATGGAACTTCTCCCTATAATATCCTTACAATACTCTACAAACAGGTATTGAGAAAACTCCAACTTATCAGGCAGAAGTTATTTCGATTGAACACTAAATTCTCATAACTAATCTACTAGGAAATGTGTAGCAGCTAGAGAGGAAAGTTAACAATCAGATCTCAGGGGTTTAAAAAAGGTTAAATCTAAAGCTCTCTGCACTAACCAGTAAACCATGCACATCCCACAATCCCCTTTGAGTGATGACAAAATATTTTGTTTTTTCCAATAAATATTTCGCAAGCTCATGGAAAGAGAGGAAACATTATGAAAGTTGGCTCACTTTTTTTGCACAATTTGAAGTATGACATGGCTGACCCTCATTGCAAACCAACAGAGTGGAAGATATGACCCACCATAATCATATCTGGCAAAATAATCATGACATGTCTCACTTACATTTTTAATGAATCCATGCGTAAGGAAATCCCATGAAACTTCACCATGATCCATCAGCTCTTGAAAAGAGGTCAGGCAGTGAGCCAAGGACTCATCACTCCTGAGGACACAAGGTGAAGATACTCATGAATCACCTGTGGGTCCTTTCATAGCACTGATTGGCACACATAAAGTTAGCTAAATCATGGTTCATTTAACCATCAGTTGATTGGTTAACTTTGTTCAATAAGCCTAGTCAAAGAAGTCCACTGTAAAAGACTGGAAATAAATGGCACAAATGCAAGGTTGTCACTAAGTACCAGCTGCTAGCAAAATTTGCTATATGAAAAAGAGTGAATCACAAGCTGGAGTTTTGGCTGGCTCAGAAAAGAACAACTGGCACTGAAGTTATGCACCAACAATTTTATCCTTTGATATCAAATACTCTATAACCCCCTCACTTGAATTTCACTTAGCAACCTTATTTCTTAGCTACAACCCTGCAAATGTGTTAAATGAAGTTGAAAAAATCTGGAATTGGCTTACTCTGGTTTTCCCTCCACCATGTTGATAAGGAGCCCCAGACCATTTCGTTTTATAAACTCACTGGCAAAGGTTGGATCCTGACAGTGTGTGTAAGAAAAAAAAAAGTAAATAAATAATAATACATTTGAGGGAAAAGATGGTTGGTTGGCTAGTAAGGAAAAGAAATAAAGATCCAGTGTGAAACTGAAAGAGTTTCAAGCCAAATTTGCAATAAGACAACATGGATAATCACATACCTCTGAGATACTGGATAGTGTTGCTAAAGGATTTCTTCTTTCCTCATGAACAGTTGACTCCAGACGCTCAACAACATCTTGTGCAAGCTTAGCCTAGTTTTTTAAAACCAGTAATCAATTGAGTGGGCCGCAGATCTCACTCATTCAAATATTCTGAGACAGACTTCATCTCAATCTGCAATTGTGACTCAGGATAACTTACCGGTGAGAGTGTGAGTTTCAGTACAGCACCATTCTTTATTCCATTGCGGTTCTAAAGGAAGGTAACATTTAACCACATCAACAACATCAATTACCCAAGATCTAATTATCAGTGATTAGTAATTGTCCCTTCGATATTTAACCCTTCACACCCTAAAATCAGCATGCATATTCTCCCTACTGTTCTCAATACATCTCCTGAGGTAATGACAAGAAGAACTGGCATAACAACAGACAGCTTACTTTGGTTGTTGATCATTTCTTTTCTTCTTGTAACCTTAATGTATGATTTGGGGGCAATATTGTAGGGAGAAATTAGATTCTAGTCACTCTTAGGGGTCAAAGGGTTAATAATTATATTTTCTGGAAAATTAACCAAGACAATTTGGTGTTACATCAAAAAAAAACAACCTCTTGCTGATATATATGTGTATTCTTGTCACTTTTTCATCGGTTAATTATCTCTATATTTTGAAAGCTAACTAAAGGAGATCCATTAAGGGGTAGGAGCATCCTGTGGGAGGGTGCAGATGGATCTGTAGCCTCCCCCCCCTCCATCAGACCTGTGGGTTTGTTCACTACTTGTATGAAACCAATACTACCACTCAACTTGAAGCATTAAGAATTCCTTTCTTTTAAATATTTCTTGGCTTATCAAGGGCTCTAATATAAGTAAAGTCTCTGTTCCTGGATCTGCCCAGCTATGTCTTATGGGAATCACCTCTGAGAGTTACAGTGTAGAGGGTTAGCTGAATTTTGTTTAATCTGTTAAAACTTTTCAAAGTTTTTTATCATCTCAAATGTTCAATAGTAGCCATTTTTTTAACCAGGGACACTTGCATATAAAAAAATCCTGTTCTTCTAATTGTGGCTTATAGGAAAGAAGTATGGCTTACCTCCTCAGTTATGTAACAGTTATAGTCAGAATACTGAAAAGCATACTCCTCTGGGGTTTTTATGGACCAACTGAAAACATGAGTGAAAGGTCAGTTGTGAGTATGCAAACAAAACAACCTTATCCAGGATTCTTAGGATGAAAGCCAGGAAGGAACTTCCCCAAAAAGGTAAATAATTTTTGCCCAAGTACATGAGAGTGGGTTTATCCACTGTAGAGATGTTTCCTGGTTTGGGTATAGTATTTAAATCAAACAAAACCTTTGAATTATCCACATGCTATAGGAGCAATTTCAGGACAATTTGCCCCATAAAATGCTGTGGGCTGGGTTTAAGTCTTACAGGTTTAGAGGCTCATAACTGCAAGTGCTTATCCATTATTCCTGGCACAAGTGAGTATGAGCATTGGTTCTCCATATAGGTGAAATACAATTCCATCCAAGGCTACCACCCAGCATTTTTTTGAGTTTTCTGTAGGAGTATACTACAAATTCTTTCCAAAAGGGTTTCAAGAGATAGAGACCTTAGGGGCAAACACCCTAGGGGATGTGGAAAAATTTCTTCCTTTATCCCAGTCTATCTCCTTGCCTATTTTGCTGTTTACATTACAGAAGATTATTCTAAATTCAACATTAACCAATAGTTAATGGAGATCACACATTCCTTAGAGCCTCAAAGTGGTGTTTATTTATTTTATTTTTCACTATGGATATCGAAATTTACCTATTGTAACACGTTTTCTGTCCAAAGATCTAAGGTTTCACCAAATAAATACCTCTGATTAATGAAGCACTTATAACTAATTATTGTTCACTAGACCATTTAAAGAGTGAGGAAATCAACACAGATATAGATGCGATCATATAAGCTTTAAATAGAAAGGTTCTATGAAACTTTAAAAGCAAACTATTGGACAGGTAATGATCACTGTTTGGGTACAACCTATAACTTGTGTTGATACCGGTTACTCACTTTGTGCAGATTTCCCTTATAATTTCGTCTAATGGTCGACTCTAGTGAAAGAAAAAGAGATATCATTACTGGTCTTGTGTTTAAAATAATTAGCATTCCTTAAATCATATTCTACCAATGAATGATATCTCAAAAGAGAAATTCAATCAAAAAATTATCAGGACAACTTAAGACCTAATTAGTAAGCTTGTTTTTTACAAACCTGATCAAAAGTTGTAAGCAAGGGAAGTTGTCCTTTTCTTTCGATGGCCAACTTCACCTGCGCTGGACCACTACGAACAGACATTATTGCAAGCTGTCCCCTTTATCCAGAAAAGGCTTTTTGAACCGCTTTCCGGGGTTCTCGATCAGTTCAGAACCCGCTGCAGACACAACCCTCTAACGACAGCATGAAAATTTGCCTCGGATCGCTCGTATAGATCAGTTTCTTCAGCGTTTCACCGCCCAGTAACGACGATTATCCAGTAAACCATCTCTGAAATTATTATCGAAGCAGAAAACGTAGAAAGACAGAGTTAGACCACGAGGAAATATCACTTATTTGGACGAACACTTAACTGTTACTTCCGATAGAGCTCCACACTCCCATACGAACAAAACCTTACTAACCCTCCCCTGCTTAGATCATTTTGATACCACATCCTTCTAAGCTGCTGTACGCAGATGACTTTTTAGTCCTCAGAGATCTAGATCGTACGTAAATTTGAGAAAAAAAATTACCAATTTTAGAAATATATCATTAGTATTTTAGTAACACTAGACATTTTCCAACGTTATTTAAAGGATAATTCCTGCTGAGTAGGGGAGTGGAGGAGTGGGTGATAATGGCACTCCCATCAACCTTTGCGAAGTCGGTTTCAAACATGGCGGCAGAATGGATGAGCGGAAGTCCCTTATCTTCTTCTCAAATGATCGAAGTAGAAAGCAAATTTCGTGTACCACCAGACTTTGAGAAAGTTCTGGAATTGAAAGGAGCAAAACTTATGAGACAAACCACTTTCACCGATGTTTACTTCGACGCACCAAACCACGAACTGTCGCTTAATGGTTACTGGCTGCGGAAGCGAAATAATAAATGGGAACTTAAAATTCAGAAACTGAAAATTGAACGGTGGATCGAAAGTAACCGCGAGATAGAAGACGAAAATGAAATTATAAATGAAATTGTGACGAGGCTGCGCTCTTTCTACCCAAATATTGACAGAGATTACACGTCTGTCGAGGAGATAGTGCAAAGAACATCCTGTAAACAGATTGCATGTATTACAACGAATAGAGCTGTGTATGAGATGCCAAACAGAGTTGTAGTTGACTTAGATCAGGCAAGCTTTGGGTATCAAGTTGGTGAATTGGAGGTTGTAGTGTCAAATGAGAAAAACGTTGATGCCGCAAAAGAAACTATTCAAAGAACTGCAGAACTTCTTGGTATGCTAAATTAAAGCTTCAGTGGCGTTAGTTCAGTGAATTCTTGGAATACCTCTTTGAAACCTGAATCAACAAATTCGTCTTACACAGGTTGCCATGAGCAAATTTTACAAGTAGCTCCAATCCAAAGTTGTTGATGGAAGGTGTATGTCATTTGTGTGCAAAGAGGATTTTTTTAATCCATCTCCAAGTTCCTGCCTTTATTCTTTAATTGATATTATTTCTATGAAGTGCAATAAACCCCTACCTTGTCTCTCCTTTACTTACTTCCTTTAACTCCTAGGAGTGACCAAAACAGAATTTCTCCTTACAATACTAATACAATTTCAAGCCAACAAGTAATAGGAGTTTAAAAAAATTTCATTCAGGGAATCATTAGTTGATCCAATACTAAATTCTTGGAACTAATTCTATAAGCAATGTATTGGGGACAGTCAGGAGAATAAATTATGAGATCTGGGAGTGAAAGAGTTGGTGATTTCCTTAAACTGGGCAACAAAATCAAAATAAAAAAAGTGTTAAAAAATAACTGGGAATCTTTTTTGTACCATTTTTGAGGGAAGACACAAAAATGGGTGTTAGTTGTAAGTATTGATTTATCAAATAATCTGGGTTTTGAAATAAGCTGCTTCTTTTCAGAGACATATTTCATCCACAATCCTAACACTATCCATAATGAAATATTAAGGGAAAAATGGAATGAAAACATAAAAGTATTATTTTGATTGATTTTAGGCATAGAATGCAGATCAGACATTCCCAGCAAACTGGAGAAGTACATTTTCAGTAATTGCAGAAGTCATCATGAACAACTTGTTAAATGTGGATTCTTTGTAAAACAGCTGAAATAAAACCATCATGGATAAATTCAGATGTGAGTGTTATCCTGAGGCATACCAATCACTTTGAGAAATCAATTATAATGTAAAAGAATTAAATCATGAAGTGTTTATCTTGAAAAGATGCTCTCTGCCTCCACCAAACACCTTAGCATGTAAGGTTGGAAACCAGATCAGAATAATTTGAGTTGGTAGAAATGTTTAATTTCAAAAGTACAGATAGTACACTTTTCAGGTAGACACAGTAGCCAATGTGGGAGATAGAATGGCCTTTCAGGACCTTTTTCCCCCCTTTACATTCAGTCCACTGGACTGTAGGTGATGACGTTTGGGTTTGCATCATGGCTGGTTTATTGTATTGTGTTGTTTGGCAATACACTTTATTCTCACAGTGCCTTTCTCTGCCCAGGAGTGTAAATGGGTGATGAATATGCATTAAAATGCTGGGGGTAACCTGCAATGGATTAGCATCACATCCAGGGGCTGGGTAAGGGGGAACACTCCTAGTGGCTTCCAGAATAGATACAACACTTTGGCTCAAGTACCAATCCTACCTTTTATGATACCTTTACTATGATTAACTTGTTGGATTCTGGATCAGGAGGTGCCAGTTTGAGTCTGAACAGGATCACTGATTTTTATTCTTGGGCAAAGTAGTTTACTCTCACAATGTCTCCAGCCCCATCCAGTTGTATGGATGTGTATGCATGAAACCTATAAAAACTTGACAAAATGCACAACAGGGTGGGGGGAGGGAGCATTTTTTTAAGTTGATGAGTGAATCCAGGCTACTGAGGCAGTCATATCTCTATCAAGTTAAGACGATTTGCAAAGGGTTACTGAGTTACTCTGTGGAGTCTGGAAACACAGTGAAAGGAAAATTTTAATATGCACACTTAAATGGTAAAGATAACATTTCTAGGGAATTAGGAGCATGCCTATCTTTCAATGAGAATTACATTGGTGATAACAAATAAACAAGTCTGTCTAACAACAATCACGTGACCCATGAGAAGAGGTTGAACGTTAGTTTTCATGGAATAGAAAAATATTCTTGTAAAATATTTCGTGGAATCAAAACTTTTTCGCAAACTCAATACTCCTACTAATCAGGGAAATTTAATACAAGCATTGACCATCAAAGGATGATGGACAGTCGTTAATTTTGTATTCAATCAATTGCACATAAGAACGAAGTCAATTTCATTTTTTGCTGGTGATTACTCAGGGCTTTTTTTAGGAGTCGGCCGTTAGCTAAAATTGCCAACCTAGCTTTCTGAAGCGTTTGCTTTTTGTTTGATAACATGTGTAAAATGGAATCAATTTCTAATTGTGAGAAAATTAAAAAGTTTCTCTAGAAGAAAGCTTATGAATAGACTTCTTTCTAAGAAGTCATTTCCACTTGTGAAAGTGAAATTTTCTTTAACTGTTCTCCATCTTCACGTTCTCCTCAAAAGAGAACATATATACACTTTTTTTTACCGTGGCATCTAACCACCACCAAAACCATCACTAAACACTAAAAAACCGAAAGCCACCGAATGCGGTTGTGACTTCCTGCAACCGCGGGATGATTCCCGCACCATGGCTTTTTAGGTAGGTATGAATGTAACTACAAACTGACAATTAAAAAGGGCTCAAACTCACTTGCGATGCATTACTCTCTTACATTACGTTTCTAATCACTTACAATCCGATATACAAACTACTTGAATTGCGCGACATTTCTCTGAAATGGCGACTGAAATTGAAGATTTGTCATGAAGAATAGTATTAAATACAGACTATTGAAAAACTTTACGTTGATGCAAAATGACAGTGTTTAGCTGGCTGCGCGAGCAGGCAACATGAAGCGACAGCTGTGTTCTAATGAAAAAGAGAAAAAAAGTTGTTTTTAGCAAGTGTATAAACTTAGCAGCTTCTAGGCGACTTTATCACGAAAACATTTGAACAGTTTATGAGACAAAAAGGGTCTTAAACACTCTTCGACTAGGAACTGTGTTTCCGCCCCAGTTTGATAACATAGATTTTTTTTTATTTTGACTTTACTTTGACTTTGGTTTTTTTCAGTCACCACTTTGGAGAAGTTGATCTTTGTGATTTAGTGAGTTTGTCTGTCCAGTTTCAAACAGCTAACACAGCGCTTCGTTGTCATTTGTTTGTTTCATTTCCGGCTTGTAGGTTAAAGCGTTATTCTCCTCTTCAGCGGAGCTGTTGATCTCTGTGAGAGCAATAAACTCTCGCACTTGACCCAGATCTACGGAGAAATGGCGCCGTCGCTTTTGGGTTTTGGTAGAAACCACTTCTGTCATTTCCATGTCGCTCTGAAGATCCTTAGCAAAGCGACGTAACTCACCCAAATCTACCGAGTGATTTTCCCTGTGTTGCTTTGTTGGAGTTATTGTCGCCTGCACCTGTTGTCTGCATCCTCCACCCTGGCTTGGGGTATTTGAAGAAATCGCCCGTTGCAGCTTGTCGTAGATGGGGTGTCCAAGCCGATCCTCTGCCCCTCCAAGTGATCTTCGCCTTCCAAACCGTCGTAGATGCTTGTAACTTGTGTTCTCGTAGAGTTGCTCGAAGTGGATAACCATATCCCGTAAGTGTGGTGGAAGGTTGAGCGAACCGTCAGGATTGATGTTGATGTAACGTGGTCGGCCATTACCGCAGGGGACGTTATCATCATCTATCGTCTCATATCCGTGTACTTGGGTGTTGATGACGTTTTCTAACCAATTAACGGAGGAGACGGCATATGGTGTCACTGGACAACCAATACCTGAAAAGGAAGCGAGGGCAAAGGCGAACATGTTAAATAACAGTCCTGCAAAGTAATGGTGTCACTTACAAAGTGAGGGCATTTGAACGAGCCTTGTAACGGCTTTTACATCTCGAGTTTGTCATTAAAATCCGTGTTGATCTCCTCCGTCCCAAATCATTCTCGGTCCGTTTTCAATGTCTTTCCATACCACAAGTTTTAATCGAGTTTGAACGATTGCATTGGTTTTATTCCCCGCTCCGCTCTGTAATTGGTTCAGAAAATTCACGCCATCCTCTCGACCAATCAGATTCAAATCTAAAACCACGACTTGGTCACTCGCGTTTTCTCGCGTTTCTTCACATCACTTGTATCACCCGGGATGAACTTAGAATTTAGTCACGTAGCGGTCACTTCTGGTATTAACAGTCTTCTATGACACTGGGGGTGACTTAAAAACATTGCAACTAACCATACAGTGTTAGGGCGTATGTTTTGAGAGATGGCGCTCTCTATTTGGGTGCAGTTGAATACTTTGGATCAATATCAGTATCTGGGCAACTGCCCACCTACCCCTCCCCTAACCCAACGTTAACCCTAACTTGTTATCAATTAACAAGGGGTAGGTGGGCAATTGCCCAGATACTGATTCAATACTTTCATAATTCCCCTTTTCCACAACTTCGAACCCTCGGCTTAAAGTGCCAAATCGAATTCTCAGCTGCGAGAAATGATGTACCATTCACTTTCGCTTCGCTTTTTATTGATGTTTAAATAACATTTATCCCGGGTTGGAGGACCTGTGTGGAGATAAAATTTACCTGATCCTGCCATAGGGCTCTGAAATATTCTTTGGATCTCCCCCCTCATTGGCAGTTCATAGGCAGTCAGTTGATTATTTTTATAGCCCCTTCTTTTATATTCTGTTGGCGACGACTGATCCCCCCTCTGTTCCCCTGAAAACCAAATGATTCTCCGAAAAATTGTCCACCCCTCCCCCCCTATTGGTCCCAAGGGGCAGGGAGTTATTCATGCGTAAAGAATCAATAATCATCCTACCGTTTTCACCGTCGTTATTTACTGCTGCTATCCTTTTTTTACGGAAAAAGTAGACCATTAAAAAAACTGCTCCAAAAGCAATGGATCCAGCAAACACAGAACTCACAATGATGCCCACTGTAAAAAACCGTGGAGAAGACAAGGCAGTTATTTTAAGACTCCATCTAATCGGTTACTCTTCTCACAGCAACTTTAAATTGATTGTCGAAAGTTTTCTGGGATCGCATTTATTTTTTTCTTAACTACGCCTTTTGATTGGTTCAGAAGCTCACGCCTGTCAGAAAAACGAAAAAAAGTTTAAAAGGGCGAACGAGAGCGGCACCAGGCAAGTGAAAACGAGCCTATGTCGCGATTGGTTTATGTTTTGCATATAATTAAGTCATCAGTTGAAGCTTTTTTTGACTCAGTCGCAGAGCATAGTTAAGTACCAAAGCAATTGTGCAATTGTAGACACTCAATCGAAAACCGCTTTTTATGTAATTAAAAACAAACTTTCAAACAAACGCTTATTCTTGAATCTGATTGGCTGAACGAGATTTTCATTCATCAGTGACTTCTTGAGGCTCGTTTTTTCGATTATCCACTACTCAGTCTCGATCACGGGCTCCTTTCCCGTGCAGTGCCTGCCTATCGAGCGAATGACCTCACCCTTTCTTTATCAACATTTAGTGAACTTTAAACGATGACCTAACCTTACCTTACACTTAAATGGTGTCATATTGTATCATACCAATTGAAAAATTAATAAGATGTGAACTCATTTGCCGGCCGAGCCGCTGTTATTATTGTCAGTTTCTGGTAGGTGCGAATAATTTCATCTTTCGCCTTTTCATATGATATTGTTATTCAAACATTTTTCCCGTCAAAGCTCTGTGCGTTAAAGAATCAGCTGAACTGTCCTTGAGCGGTGCAACTAGATCGTTAAATGGATCAAATTTCAAAAGACTAAAAGCAAAATTTGGGTTAGAAAGAGGACATTGTTACGGACGCCTAATTGTCAAACTTTTGACATCATAACAGTAAGCAGTAGTAAACATCTCCATGCAGTAGTTTCTCTGTTACCGTTTGAACCCTGTGATGATCTCGAACTTGGGCCACTGTTGGATTTCTCTGCCGGAAAGAGTAAATTAACTGGTTAGTTAAGAGATGGAATTTGATTAACTGTGAGTATATGAATGCGATTTCATTCAAATTAACTGGGAGAATTACTTGCGTGGTTGGCGTACAAAGCGGTAAGGGACGATTGTGATCAGGACGATTACGTTCTGCGCCCGTATAAACATTTCATCCCCTCCTTCCCACAGTTCCTGTATAAGCGAGTTGAAAGGGTCCACTTATTAGTAGACGTTTTCAACAGGTTTGGCCCTGAAATTTCAATCTGATTTGAAAAATTTTGCTTAATTGGTTCATTCAAACATTAGCAAAACTGTATCTTTTAATGAAAAACAAAAGCCCTGATGACAACAAATTAACCGTATACCGGGAAAAAGAATTTTTTAACTGTCAACCGTCGATCAGAGACATTAATTCATTAAGACCTTCATCCATCCATCAACCTGTACTTTCGTGCGACCGTCTGTCCGTTCGTATATGGTCAGCTGGTCAGTCGGTCAGTCAGTATACAATCAATCAGTCAGTAATTCCATCATTCAGTTAGGAAGAAAGTAATTCAATTAACTGTTAGCAAGTTGAAATTTCATGTATTACATACCTGATAAAGTTTTTGCGAGGTAGGCCGCGCTTTTTACCCCATCACCCTTGGCTGTAAATGCAAGGACATGAAAATTGTAGCTGGTGTTAGGTTTCAGTCCATGGATCTCTACAGATGTTTGATTGGAAGAAACTGATTTATTTTTAGCAACTGACGTATCGTTGTAGAGCACTCTGTATCCAAGTATTTCACCATTTGTGAAGTCCTGAGGAACTGGCCCCCAAATGATTTTAATCACTTTAGAGCTCAGGCCTGACACGGTTATGTCTGACGGAGGGCGATCTGGTACTAGAAAAGACGTCAGAAGTGAGTCATCCACTGCTGATTCTAGCAGCTTGTAGGACGCTTCTCTCATGAGAATCTAGTCGATGGCCTTGTTCTTAAACATTCGTCTGTAGCCCAGTCCTAGAGAATTAATCGGAAGATCCACAGCCACACCTCCTTCCTTCTTTTTCAAGAAGGAATGGTCATTATAACAGCCTTGTAAGACCCCAAATGCCTCCAAAGGACACTTAAGGACCATGCTGATGGAAAATTCTATCCACTTCCCTTCCCTGTGCCATAAACGCAATAGTGTGGTCCCGGCCACACTATTGTGTTTTTAAAAGGTTCCGTTTTCGTGTCAACCAAAACCATGTAAAATATTTTTCCCAAACTAGCCAACACTTATCTAATGTATTGTAGAGCACCTATTTTTAACAGCTTTTCGCCTATCACCCATACTAAAACTTTCCGGAAACGCCAATGGAAGCGACACTGAATAACGCTTCAGGGTACAGTACCATTTTCAAAAGTTTTCATTTTCTCTTTTCTACATTAGGGGGAATCGTATAGCGTTTTCAAAATGATGCATGTTCGAAAGAGTCCACCTCTGAAACTGTTTTTTTATCATTTGGACACTTCGGCGTGGTGTAACGAAACACGTCCATGTAGAGGGGGCCTTAATCATTTTTATCAAATAGTGATAAATATGATTTTCTAGCTAGTTTGTGTGTGTAACTTTTTGTGTTATCCTTACCATCTTCATCAGTTTGCACCACAGTTGAAACTGGGGGTCCAAAGCCTTTTCTTGTCATCCCGGACACTTCAATCAGATACTTCTTGTATTTCTTAAGGTTGACAAGCGTGAGTGACCTTTTCTTTGTGTAATTTGTAGTAGAGACTCGCTGTTTTGTCAGTGAATATTGGCTATATTTCACTTGGTATTGAAGTATTTTTCCATTCCGGAACCCAAAAGGGATTGGGTCCCACTGGACCTGAAGACTGGTAGAGCTAAGGTTCCTAGCGCTCAGATAGTGTGGGGGAGCTGCAGGCGCTGTATAATGATAGCAAGAAAAGGTACTATGGTTATGAGTTGAAACGATTCTTTATTACGTAATGGCTAGTATCTTTTTCTAAGTAACTTTCCTTGATTGTTCCTCATCACTGCTTCCAAAAATATAATGAAAATAGTTGCTGTGCTGCCTAACCGGCTTTAACCGACCTAATTGAGATGATTATTGATGATGAATCCAGAACCAATAATCACAGCGCAGTAACCAATGATAAGAAACGCATCACAGAGGGCAAATAACAGAGAACTCAAAGCAAGCACAAGAACATTGATGTAAACTGTCTTAAGCGGGGACATGCCCGAGGGATCAAGTCGCAACTAGTACTACTTTTGAATCTGATTTGTTGCACTTATGGCACGATTTGTCTGGACCAATCACAAAGAGTAATGAGGCTCATGCGAACTCGAAATTCTTTTTGTATAGTTGTAAGCTTACAACTCATCAATAAATGACCACAACTTCCTGTGGGCAACATACCAGCATCATCGGTTGAAATAACCAATTCCTCACTCCAGGTGCCATTTCCGTAATTGTTGTACGCTCTTAGCCAGCAACTGTAATTAGCAAAAGTTTTGAGACCTTTCAGTTTCCAATGATGTTCTTCAGGCAAGAACTCTGCGAAATAACTGTCCGAGGATTTAACTGCCTTACAAGAGGCGTGGTACCCAAGAAGTACTCCATTTGCAGAGGGCTTTGGAACATCTCCCCAGCTGACGAAAATGCTTGTTGCGCTCACGTTATGACCATGGAAGTTGACTGGTGGGCTTGAAGGTGCTACAAAACAATTAGATTATGCAAAGAGAGATTTTTAAAAAGGTTGTCGGCGCCGATTTTGAACTAGACCACAGAGAATCAAGTCCAATTACAAGGTTAAATACCGATTAACAAGTGTATGTATACTGCTACGATAAGCAGTATCCACTCAAACTTTCTGAGAAGGCCGGGATAGATCGACTACCAACACAGTTCATAACTAACTTGATCATTGAATTAAAAATGCGTAAAAAACATTTGTTACTCGCTTGGGTCAAGGAAGAGGACATCTGTGAGACAACTCAAACATACTCGCGTCATCTCAGTACATTTTGTCGTGCTCGAACACTTACGCCGCCTCTACGTACATCTGGTCGTGTTCCTGGCAATACGCTACGTCTTCTCAGTACATATATTTCATCGTCACAGCACACCTCGTCGTTTAAGTGCAAAAACGTCGTTTCATCACATTGACATCGTCTTAGTGCTCTAGCAGCGCCCTAGAGCATTTCGCTGTCTCTGTAAATTTTGCCGTTTCGATACACTCAGGTCGTCTCGTTATACTTACGTCGTTTGGGACACCTAGGCACATCACAGTGCTCCCATCGCACGGTCCTGTTGGTTGTGAAACACCACGGCCCACCTTTAGCAAATCCTCCCGGATTACGACAGAAATTTCCGCTGTTATTTATCGCTTGGTAAAGATGTCCATTGATGTTGTGTTTGTGTGGACATTGAGAATCCCACGCCTGGCATGAAAACCCGGATGTTGTGACGCTTTTGTTACCACGGTAGCCACGTCCATCACCATAGAAACAATCTGCGAAGCGGGCAAGATTATGGAGAGTTAAGTTTCAAGTCCATTGAAAAAAGGTAGACTTGAAAAAGTTCAGATAATCCATCAGTGTTCTGCTCTGCTCTGCTCCTTAAGCCACATTGATTTACGTATTACGAGAGCCAATTTTTCTTCATGGCTGAACCACGCCATGCAAACGGCTCCCGGGGTCCTCTTGTGACTTTCGAAATCGTGTCAACGAACGAATCTAGAATCACTGTAAAGCAACTCTGGATGCAGCGAGGTATTTGAGCCCATTTGCTTATCGTAAAGTGAATCATAACAGATATTCCCTTAATTCTCAGATGTTTGGGTTTCATCATGGTAAATAGATCTCCTAGCATTCAATAGCAAATGATACAATCGGATCGGCTAATATATAAGCTACTCGTTATCTTTTTCGCGATATGGACAGTGAGTTAGGTGAGGAGCATAACGGTGTGCAGTTGTAAACAACCAGAAATATGTAAAAACGAGCCTCTATGTGCTTTTTTGAGCAATGAGTAGATGGATAATTAAAAAAATAGATTATCATGGTTGCTCTCGATTTCTGTGCATGAGATAACGATTTAAATCTCATCCTCATAATCCAATTGTTAATTAGTTCGAGACTTACCTTCACTCTCTAGCACGTCCAATTTGTCTAACCACAAGGAGAGGAAAAAAAAGAATTGGTCGGTAAGATTTACATTCATCCTTTGCAACGAAACTTTCTCGTGATTACAGGGTGCACGGCGTGTACCACACCTACATGATTCCAAAACCTGTTTCAAATCAACATCAGATTACACTTATACTTCACCCCCCTTATACTGCTCACACGACGCTGTCTTGTTTCATCACGGTCGACTAGAAGTGACTAAATCATGATAGCATCTTTGACACAAAAGAACAGTGCTGATTGAAATGAGGGAGAGGGTACTTTTACCATTTCTAGCGTCATGCAAAGGGTAGTGATATATTTTTTCTCGGTACTACAGTTTTCAATTGGGCGTTGAAAGTAATCCGGGTTTGATTAATATGTTGCTTGATTAAACATTGCGATCTTTCCAGTTCTGAAACTTGCAGCACCCAGCACCCAATTAATTGAAAAGACGCCATGTTATGTCAAAATTGACCACTTAATGTACAAAAACTCGCTCAAAAATACTACTAACATTGATTTTGGGAGATAAACATGGATTAAATTTGGCCTGAAAGATTATTAGTTTTATTTGAGTGGCTCCGCTATCAGGGACCCTTCACTACAGGTAAAAGATAGTATGAGCAGGCCGTTGGGACTCTCTCAAAGGTAACCACGACGGCTAAATACTGGTGAAAATTGCATGAATTAAATGGAACAAATTCGGGACTTTGAAAACCGACGGTGCCGCTAAATATAGGTTCGACTGAAAGAGATTATAATCTCTTGTCGACTGTAATTACATTTATTTAACGACCCATCACTTACCTCGTATCTTGTCAGGAGTATAGCACTGCGAAGACTCGTTCCTAGATGGCAGCCGCGTACAGTTTATGATATCAAAGTAGAACGGGTAAAAAGTATTCTGTCTCTCCTCCGTGAACTTCAGCACAATCTTATATTCTCGATCACAGTCGTGATAAAACATTTTTGTGCACGCTTCTCTGCACACAAATTGAGGATTAGTATCGATGTAGAAACGTTTAAAGTAGTGGTGGCAGTACACATCGTCCACCATATCCAGACAGCTCTGACGCACATTGAAAGAGTTGTCGATGGATTTTTGATACTTGATATTGCCAGTCGAATTTCGAGTCCGCAAAACAAAGTTCTTCGCTGTCTGAAATTGATTCATTTTTCTTTCATTCTTAAATAGCTCGGCTAAATATCTTCCGTAGACTGGTTGATAACCAAGGATGTGTTTGCAGTAGCCGTTTGGAAAGAAAAGTTGGTATGGTATACGAAGAAGCCCATTTGAGACTGCTGACCGCTTGGTCCTGTTACCCGTCGTCGCTGGGAGGCATCTGAAAAGAGGGTGTTAAGCGTTATGAACCCTTAAGGAAAACCGAAAACTCGTGATTTAGGCTCTGATCACGCTACGCTGTATAAATTTGGGACGCAGTCTTTATCCTCAAAATTCTGGGGCTGGATAAATCTTAAAACTAGCGGCAGGAATGCTCGGTACATCCCTGGGCATGCGCATGAAAAATATGAAGAGCAAAGCGTTTTGTACACTAAAGCACTGTCTTTGTGTCAGATTAGGATGCATGGCAATTTTTAAAAAAAAAATTATTTCTGAATTCATCCGCTTTTGGTCTGCAGAACAGGCGTGGTTTTGTTTTCTTCGTTTTTCTGGCGGGCGAAGGCAAGCGCGCCGCGGGCGAGCGGCGGCGGCATAGGAATGAGGGTGGGAGGTATCTTTTTGAGCATCCAACCTCGCGCTTGTCTTGCTCTTAGCGCTCGCCTTGCGCTTTCCTCCGCTCAGCAGAAAAAAAAAAGGAATAGAATTTTAAAAAAGAACGTCTTTGAAACGGTACCACTTTTGATAGGTAATATCTCTGCCTGAGAGTGGATGTCTCTCGTCTAGCACGATGGATGAGGCCTTGATGTGCAATCGCAACCAAATATATTGATCGCTTTATTTATTCCTGTCTTCATTTTGGCTGCAGCAACGATTTGCACATTTCTCTTCGATTACACAATGCTCATCTTCGTCTAGGGTACGTTAAGAAGCATTATACTTCACTTTGACTGTTTGATTTTCTACAGCTGTGACCAGAGAACACACCTTCGAAATGCTCTATTAATAGCTTTTGAAAACTAGTCCATCGCAGCAGAGTATAACGCTTCATAACGCGCGACACGTAACCACGGTCGACCTCATAGTAAGTTTGAGATCAGCGGTATACAGATGGGAGTAAATGTACATCGTGAGACAAAATATAATCCTTCATAACTTAAGTACGACTCACTCATTTGCTCTGGTGGCGTTTGCATCTGCAGAGCTTGCTCCTTCTGAAAGCGAATTCAAAAGATTGTTTTTGGGTTTTTACACTAACACCTGGGGAGGGGTGTGGGGTGAGTTCATCTGTGACCAATGATAACACTAGTTCACATTGAGTGTTGTTAAATAGTCAAAAATTGATTCCTCCAATATCTGGTGATTGTATAAGCTCTAAGATCTTCCAAACACACTTAAAAAAGAACGGAGTAACTTAATTGTAGCTTACATTGTATGTCGTGTATTCAGCACAATGATATCACTGTTAAGTTCTGTTCTCCAATCCCACACACATACCATGTCATACCACTTTTCACCCGTTTCGCTCGATTAGTTCAGAGTCTCATAACTATTCGGGGCAGCTATCTGACTTTCAAGTCACTTCAGAAGTATTCTGTCATCTAGCAGAGACGATCGAAAATCAGGCGAGGCAAGCGATAAACGGCAATTTGATAGTTTCCATAACCGATAGCCTGGCTCAAACTAAATCGTTCTGCTTAGGCCTGTTTGTGGAAGGGCTGTTGTTAGTAAAAAAAAGTCCGACGTTTTAATTGACAGTTTAAGCGGAAATCATCGTGAATTTAAAGGCTCATACACGGAAGGGCTCTGATGACGCCGTCGATTTGAATAATATGCAACTCACTTAGTTAACGAGACATGAAATCGTAAAACTTGAGTGTTAGCTTTCGTTGATAAAAGTCAAACCCCTTAGCGTAGAATTTTGATAAAAAAGGAAATCATTGGAGTCTTTCCTGAAGAAAGCTGGTAAACACAACGAGTCGGATTTCCATTATTGAACCGTAGTAAATTGAAGTGGCGCAACGGCTGACTCTACAATACCAGGTTCCCATCCGGAAGGATATTTAATTTTCTATTACTTTAGATCAAAAGAATGTTACTTTTACTTATTTATTTATTGACGTCATGGTTCGAAGTTCCTTATGGCAACGTATGTTTCGTAAGTATATCACACAAAAAACTCAGTAGGAGCCAGTTCACATTCAAGGACTCATCTAGTTTTTTGTTTATTGAGCCTAGAGGAGCAAAGTTTTTACAGTGATTGACGTCCTCGTTGGAACTTTCTCGTAAGGACGGCTCTAATTTTTTTTTTCGTTTGGACCTAAACGCACAAACATAACAACGAAGCTATGAGCTTGACTGACTTTGCCCCCTGTTTACCAATTGAAACCCAGCTTCCGCCTAATGCAACAGACAATGCTAAAATGTTTAAACTAATTTTCTGCTCTGTTTGAATAAACAGCACTCTGTCTTTATTTCAAACTTTCAGTTTAATTATATTACTAGATATAAGCCATATTATTTTTTACGGCTAAACCCAAACTGACCCTCAGGGGGGTGGAGAAGAGTAGATAAAAACTTGTCTCGGGTGAATAAAGTGATATCCACTCACAACACGAAATAATCTCCTTTTGATTCGATAAATGTCTACTCTGAAAACTCATCGAAAATAATTTGTCACACCCCCTATTATTTGGAAACCTGTGTATTTTCCAAATACTGGGTTTCAATAAAAAATATTCCGGCCGGTTAACAACGGTCTACCGCTACCTACAAGGCCTCTTAACGCCGACTGTTTGGTCAGCGAGCTGGCTCTCATGTTATTGAAACTCCAGCACATATGCGGGCTATCTATGACCTTTGAACAAACGATCCACGGTATTGCTATTTTGATTTAGATTTGTGCTGTGCTCTTAAAACTTAACATCACCATAAATATCTGCTTTAGATGAGTTTATAAAAAATCAATTCAGTTTACACAAGGGACGTATTGAGGTGTAAAAGTTGTGCCATTTTTGTGACGAGAATTTGAGTTAGAATGCCGCAGTAGACATGCCCGAGCTAGAAAGTACAAACTGAAATATCTACTTAATATCGTGTAGTTTGTAGCGTTCTCACCTAACACGGCAACGATCAGGATCGTTATTCCAACACACTGTGTGGATATCGTCTGAGAAAACATCATTCCTTACTTCACACAGCCGTCACAAAGTCAAAGGGATTCACGCCGAAGCCTGACGAGAGAGGAAAATATTGAAATCCAAACTGAACACAAGGATATTAAAAGCCAACCTGTTGCTCGGCTAACTGTCTTAGAGATTCCGCACCTCAAAATATTTTACGGGTGTGCAAAAGTAACGACGGTTGCTGCAAGAGGCAGAAATTCTTTATCTGGTCTCCAGCAAACGATGGAAGTAATCCTTCACCCTAATGACCTTTTCTCAAAAATAAGAAAGCGTTTATATAAATGGAATTTAAATACTGACAATCACGCAATGCTAAGAACTAAGTAAATGAAAATGTTTAGACTATCGATTTGAAAAAATATAGCTGAGTGATGTCATTCCTACTTGTGTGTTATTTTAGGAACTTTGTACGTGTTGTCTCTATGGTACTTATATTGCGCATTTTTGATAAGATGTTGTTCATTTTCACCAATAGGGCGTTAAAGAATAGAGAGTCTAAGGAGCAAGGGAAAGTCCCTTTTTCGCAATATTTGGACATTACCATTACTTTCGGCGTTCTTGCAACAATAAGAAATAAAACATCCGGGACGAAAGAGAGAAAACGGTCGGTTTGTTTCCAGGTCGGTTCCAGAGTGGCATGACGTGAATTATAGCAAACCTCATTCAGTGTGCAATCTTGACAAGTCTGGAGGTCAAGAAGTCATCCATCTTCCTGTTTTGACACGTTGCCCAAACTTCCCTTAAATATTTGATTAGGCGCACTTTACTTTGAAAGTGGATTTTAACCAGGGTTGAAAGCTTTTCAATGTCAGGAGTTTTATTCTTTAAAAAAAAAACGTTTTTCTTGTTCTTTTCGATCGCGAACAATGTTTTCGAAGATAGTTAAGATTTCTGTTGGGAAGAAACCTTTTCCTGTGTCAGGAGTAACAGGGAAAGAAGCATACCAATATCAATCATGTGGTGAAGGGAGCCATATTTCGCGGTTTTCTTCACACGAGGAAGACGAATTGACTCTTGATTCGCATGCAGAGTTCTTAATTTTGCCGAAAGAAGTAAACTTGTAGGGCGTTTACATTACGGCACGGCAAAAGTATTTTTAAAGAACGAGGACACCACGCCATTTCCGCAAAAGACTACAAATTGAAAACCGTAAAAATTTTCATTCACCCTGGAATAAGTCATCTTTTTTTATTCATTTTTACTTCACTTTAGCAATGAAAACATGGCCACAGCATTTGTCATGGAATAAAAACTGTACAGCTTTCTCGCCATACATAAAGAAACTGTTCACATTTCGCCATCGACATTGGCGGCAAAAAAGTGTTGGAGAAAGTATTCACAACGCACATGATAACGAGCTGTATAATTTTCTTCCTTATGGAACCATTTCTTGGATGAAAACAAGTCTTCGATGGTAGTAAATAGCCTACAATAATAACAGTAATAAGGGGAAGGAATTCAGGATGGAATTTTTTTTCTGTCTTTATAAAATTGTGTTGTGTCCTCTTTCTTCTCAACTTTTGTATTTTAATTTGTTTCTTTTCGCTACCTATTTATTTAATAATCTATTAAATTATAGTGTAAGTACATATGTAAGTATAATATATAGAAAAAAAATAAAAATTAAAAAAAAAATAGCCTACAGGCTCTCAGCTTCTTTAATTTTGTACGCAGGAACATATAAGCTTTGAGGACCCTTGAAGGTGTGTAGTAACACCTTGGAAAATTGTTTCAGCCACTTCTCTCGGACGGTGCCATGCAAATGAATCAATATATGTGTACGGTTTGGTACTCAGGGATGTGCTTTTTTTTTTGGTGAACTTTCTTTTATTTTTTTCTCAGCTTCTCACGCTTCGTTTGGCCTCACATTTGTACAGTGGCCCTCAACTGTCACTGCATAAGTAATTACCCCGCGGCAAAAGAAATAACCTTGTGGCAAAAGAAAAAACCTCATGTCGAAAGAAAAAACCTCACGGCAAAAGAAAAAACCTCACGGCAAAAGAAAAAACCTCACGGCAGAAAGAAAAAACCGCACGGCAAAGAGAAAAAGTCTTATTCTTTTTGTTGTGAGGTTTTTTCTTTAGCCGTGACAGTTGTGGGCCACCGTGCATTTCTTATTCTCCCCTAACTAGTACTCAAAAAACCCCAAAAAATTGCTTGCCTTGGGCGCATGCCCTTGTTTCCTCTCTAGAGGACGCGGTGTTGTCTCAAGTCATTTAAAGATTGACGATCGGAAATCTTGTGAGTCTCCTTCTTGACTTGAGGAGAAAATATTGTTAAGTAAGTAAGTTTGAACCTGGTTTAAACTTTTCTTTCATTCAGTCGGACAGCGGATCGGATAAGGTTAGCCTTTCCGATTGGCTGTCAGCTATTTTTAGAGCTGTCAATCTCTTGTCGAGAATTTAACAAATTAGCACCCTCCGTTCCCTTGAGACGAGTGAGGTGACCATTCACTAATGGCGGTTGAGTAGCAACCGAAAGAATTCAACCAAATGAGCCATGAACAATACAGTCTGTAAGTATGGTAAATGGAAATATGGCCGTTCCAGTTCATTATATGGCTATTAAACCCTCTCTGTGTGCTGTATATTCACAAAATTGGCAAATTCCTAACCCAGCAACGTCCATAACTCATAGGAATTTCTTCCACAGGTCTGGCGTGTTTATATTTAGTTGTGCAGTTGTTGTTTGTGTTGTTTAAACCTCAAATGACTGTTCGTGATCTTTTAATCTTCACAGCGGTCGTAGTCTCAACAAAGATTGGATACGAGGTAGAATAAAACATATTCCACTCCAACATTCTGGAGGACAAGCAAATAACTCAAAGCAGGTTAGCAAAATTAGCGCTGACTAACGATTGTATATTTGTTCAGTTTTAATCTCGTTGCCTCTACAAGATGACGTATTATACTTTTGTAATCCAGCTGCTGCTGGTAATCCACTTTACCCCTTTTCCTCAACAATTTTGTCATTTTGTTCTCTCGCAGAATGGTCGAGCAAGAAGTGCAACACCACTACGAAGTGCCTCGGCGAACATGCTGTTTGAGTCTAGCGATGATGAAATAAATGGTAAGAAAATTTCTTGTTATAGTAGTTCATGCCAGCTTTGACAAAATGCCGGTATTTTGACGGTATTCATGCCTTTTATTGAATAGAGTAGGCTTAAATCAAAGCTGAGAGGAGCATTAGATGTAATCTCCCAGTTTGTTTACCTGATTTGAAAGTGATCCAAAGGCATGCAACAATGAGAAGGTGGACGTGTAAATTATAGATCCCAGTCTTCAACAAACAACAAAGCTGTAATTCTTATATTCTGACAAGTTCAAGTTATTTATTGATATTTCTCAAACAAAGAAAACTCGTGGGTGTTATAATTTATGCGTATTGCGGAGTCTAAACTATTTTTAAGCTATATTTCAAAGGAAAAATTAGTTTAATTTACTTAGCATAATATTAATTTAATTTCTAAATTATGTTTCTGATTGGCAATGATTCTGGAATACAGGCATGCTATTTTCTTTGATGTGGCAAAAAGCACTCTTGAGGTGATTTTGAAGGTATATTAGAAAGATCAGGGTAATTAAAACATTGGAAAGGTGTCAAACTTTGGTAGAGGTCTACACTCTTTCCACAAATTAGAATTCCCAGCATCTCCCTTCTTTTCGAAAGAAATTATTATCCCACCTTGTGATAGTCTTTCGAAAAATAACTTATTCTTTAAAAGCTCACCTCAATTCAAGGGTTAGTACCTCTTGCTTTCTCAGGGCTAGAATCTTTGTTTCATAAAAAATTTCATTCTCAATGCTTTTGAGTATGATATATACAGTTGTCTGTAGACAACAAAGAAATGTTTCGGCATTACTTGTACATGTGTGAATTAGGAGCCAGAATTCTTGGGAAAGTCACATGTGACCCTTAATGCATTTGTAATCTATGTTTTTTTCTGTGCATTTAATGTAAGATGTTTTGTGGAATTTTCAGATACTGTCAAGGAATTCAAACTAACTTTGGTAAGAAATTGAACTAAGTGCAATTAACAGTTTCATTTTAATAGTGCTAATAATGTGCCAGTCAGGACAGAGTGTAGCCAAAGAAATAGGCTCTCACTTAAGATTGGAACCTTTATGCTACTGTCAGTGTTCTCCCTTATTTTAAGCATGAAAGGTAAAATAAATTTTCAAACCGGTAAAGCAATCCTTTTACCGTTGAATTTTCAAGAATTCCAAGCAATTTTAAACAGTAACAAGAGGTACTACAGGTGGTAAATGTACTGCCTGAAAAGGAGAACACTTTACTGTGGCACCAAAACTTAACATATCAGTTGATTCAAAATTAAAATCTTTTCTTTAGGAAGATATATAAACAATATCCTCTATTTGGCACAAAAATATGCCCAGATATTTGTCCACAAACATTTATCTGTTCTAAGATGCAAACAGCTTTATGAGAGCAAAGCTTGAGGAAAATTATAAGCTTCAAGAGATAGATAATGTCCAAGTACAAATTTGTGAGCACATTTTCACACAAAATGGAGGCTTTTGTGTTTATTCTTCTCCAAATATATATATCAATGCACATGAAAAATGTTTTCAAACAGCTTACTGTTCACTGCGTGGGATGTTTTCTTTTCAGTGTTCTCTGGTTCCACTTTACAAACAAAAAATGTTTCTTTTCTTCTGTAACAACCGCTAAACAATTTCTCTTATCTTGAACATAAATTTTTAAGTGAAGACTTATTGTAGTGGACTTGAATTTAAAAATTGGGGAATATCATTTGGGTGATATCCTCAGATGTTTTTTGCTGGAGAATATACAGTCATGTGATGCCTCGAGACCAATGGTGCAAGCAAAAACATTTGATGGATCATAAACTTAAATATTTTAGGATTGTAGGTGCATCACTGAAAAACCATTCATTACCCTTAATCTTGTGACTAGCATCTAATTTCTCTTAACCATATCAACCCATATTGCAGATGAAGGTCATGAGAATAAAGAAAATGATCACCAAATTAAGGAGCTCTTGATTGTTAAATTCTCCTTGTTAGCACTTAAGCAAAATTTATACAGAACATTATGGAGAATATGCATACTGATGTTAGGGTATGAAGGTTTAACTAAATAATTTCCAGTCAATATAAGCGGCAATCCAGAGAGTTTAAGGGGGAAGCTGGCAGTTAACACCCCTTCATTAACAGGGTGTTCATTTGGCATTGTGCATTAGAGAATTTGCTTGTTACTCTGTAGATTTTTGCTGCTAAATTTTGGAGGCCTGGGATATTTCTTATAAAGTTGTGGAGAATACCCTGCAACTAAATTTTCCCAATGAAAACCCTGCAGTAATGCATACTTGATATGTTTGGACCATGCTAGAAAAAATGGGCTGACTGGTAAACTCCACTGGAAAAAAAAAAGATGAAAAATGCAAGAAAACCTTTTCTTAGTCCAACTTGTGGAATTGTTTGGCTTTTTTTTCTCTTAAAGTTCTCTGAGGGCAGAAGTTGTTTCAAAGTCCATAAATTTTAGGGCTATTACAGAAAAGGCTGTCTTTAGTTCACAGCTACAATAACTTATTTCATATAAATTGTGTGAACATTTTAAAACTATAGAAGATGGTAATAGACATACATATGAAAAAGGAGGAAATAATGAAGAAATTAGTAAGGGTGAATAGGCTGCTTCTGGATGAAAATGCCACTTACAAAGGCTCAGAAGGGTTTGGATCTGATATTTTGAGGGGTTTATTGACAGATTACTGCTCAGGCAAGTTAAATATCCTGTGGCCAAGGGCACCTTTTTCAGATGCTAGCTGAGACATAAAGCTGTGAAGGGCAGGGTGTGACAAATGAGGCCCTGAAGGTTCCTCTCCTGGTACTACAGCACCTGTGAGAGTTACTAAAAGGCTTCATATTTCAACTGTAAAGAAATGTCTTGGTTAACTTGAGAAATGGGCAAAATGTTATTTTTGTATTTTTAAGTTCAAAGTGAAGGCAAATGTGGGGCAAATTAAAAGGGCGTGCTTCATGGAATAGGATTTTTTTTTTGTGCACCTCTCCCCTCCCCTTAGTGAGTCAAGTCTGTCTCTGCCTAAATATGCAAAAAAGTGAATGCTGCTCTGCATTCACAATCTGAACCTTTCAATTGAGATTTCACTTTAAACCTCCACTCCTTCTCCTTCACTGTTTGGTCATTAAATATATTTTTTTTATTTGCAAAGGTGTCATTGTAGTCAAAATTACATTTTCTTCTGTAATCTGGTGTCAATATTCAAATTTCCAAAACATTGTAATCATTATCACAATACATCTTTAAGTGAACGTTAGATATCCATTGTGCTATGAACAGCTGATGCTTACAAGTTTTTCATATTCAAAATTTTTTTCCTTCCCCAAAGCAACTCTTCAAACGGCTCAATCAGCAAGTTCGAGAAGTAAACCAGTGCATGAATCAGCAGAGAATCTACAGCTTCAAGGTATAGTTGTCTTTAAAGTTAAGGATCCTTTTCTTGTCTACACTGTATATATCAATCTCAAATATAAGCAATAATAATTTTTGTATGGAATAAATACCTTATACTTCATTGTCGGTTTTTGCGGAAAATTCGCTCGGAAGATCACATGCAGCATATTTTTTTAAACGATGTGGTATACTGTGAATAGACGAGCTGAGGTTGTCAATGGTTTGTCCTGCTGTGAGGTACGACACATAGAAGATACGTACAATGTTCTGGCTGATTTGCAATTTATCATCCGTGTCATCACGTTTTGACATTCGAGTTTGGTAAAACACAACCATACCATAACATGATATTTTCTCGTTGGAACTACGGTGTTGGAAAAATTTCAAGTAGACTGAATTCAAAAGAAAATTGCTTTGAATTAAAAGGAAAAATTAAATCTGCCTTTATGATACAAGAAATGTTTATTCATACAACCTATACGTATATACCATAAGCCATTGTAACCTCACTCCTATTTAACCACCTGCAAGCGTTTTATCAAAAGCTGCTACATGGAAGGTTCATTTGTTATCTGAATATTATTTTTATTTTGAAAATAATCTAAATTCTTTTTATCCACCGTTAATCTAGGAATCTAGATCTCAAAGCCTGAGAAAGCCAAGCAGTGATATACTGTTTATTGGCATGACTATTTTCGTTAAATAAATGTTGTGAATATTGTTGTCGACATTCGTTACCGGAAAAATATTATTTCAGAACCGATGAAAGCCACACAGTAAGACATCACAAGTGTGATCGGCCTATCTGAAATAATGCAAAATGATTTTAGATTTTACAAGTTACAGGATGAATTTTAATTTCTCCACTGCTAGTAGCGAAAAATCTTTTCCGTAGTATGCATTTATTTTTGCTGGTATTTTGATTCAAGCCACCTTGGATGTAAGCTTTGATAAAGTAATCTTCAAAAATTTTCTCGTTCACAATACGTCACTCAGAGTGTAAAAAGCGTATTCAGTTTTACTTCGGGAGTCGTTATGAAGATTGCTAGCAGATAGAAAAATACAAGCCTTGTTTCTCCTAGATATTTGATTGACGGCCTACGCTTTGGTGTTTACAGTTTGTTCAATCTACTTTAAGGGTGCGCACTTACAGAAGATTTTTGTTTGCATCTACAATATTTTACAATGCCGCTATCTGTTGACAGCTAGTGGTTTTACACACGAACTGAGGTACACTTTCTCTTCTAAGAGAATGGAATTCATGATGCTTGTTCGCTTGTCTCCTCTGCCTTTTGAAAATCGAAAAATTTCTTAAGCTTGTTTAGCAAAACCAGCGAGCTAATTCGAGTTTCTTGCATGCAAAGAGGCTTTTCAGTTGCCAAAGAAACCTTTAGTCAGTAGCTAGCATGTACGTGTGGCTTGAGTGACAATTAATGTGAATTGTTTTGAACGTCATACCTTATGCAGAATTCAAATGTTTGAATGAGATGGCTTTTTTTGATTTCGTTCCTCAGTACTATCAAATTAGTACCGGTAAGACCTCTTAAATTCTTCTATTTTTCCTTCAATTACTGTTATCAATTTATCATTAGTACCTCGTGTTACTTGAATTTTCAGCCTAAATATGTTTATCTTTATTTTGAATCACATGATGCTTGCGCTCTTACTCAACGAACGTACTTCAACTCGAAGACTTTCTTTGAAACCTAAGGTTTTAATAAGAAACGTCATTACGGGTCGTCTCTTTTTCTTTTGGCTCCATAAAATGACTTGGACTGGATGGCGTTTCTCGACAATCTCAGGAGCAATCACAGTTTTCGCTGAAAGTATCGGCAAGTTTGTTGGTATCACTTTGCTCCATGGATTTCAGTTAGTGATTTGAACCTAGGAGCAACATTTGATCATGTAGTTTGAACGTCCGGGTGAACTTAGTACGGTGAAGGACTGTTTTCGTAAGTGTTGAACGATGTTTCGACAACCTTAGCGTATCTAATCATCAGAGTCAAGGGAAGAGTTGTTTGCCAGTCGAGTGTTACAGGTCTGGTTCGTGTAAACTGATTGGTCAGTTTTTCGTTAAGTTATCAGTTTTAAGACTCAGGTAGCATAAGATGGTCGTGATAAGTCAGTTTTGATCCGTCGGTAAAATTTGGTAGTGGTGGCACGAACGGTTCGGTTCGATTTTTACGGGAATAAGTCGTTTGTATGGTGCCGATAGTAGTCGACGTCTGTTGAGAGGAGTTAGTTAATTTGGTAAACGCGCATTCCAGAATCATTCAATGAAAGTAGCTTATGCTTTTGGTTAAAATATGCGCGACACACCCCAACATTTAACCCTAGCGCGCTGCTTGGGTGCTATTGACTGTTTTTGAAAGTTAAATTGAATGAATTTTCGAAGATTTACAAAACGTGTCCACGTCATCCTCCACAGCACCACATGAACAATGAAGGTATAGCAAGCCCTGCTCTTCGCCGTAGTCAGCTGGCAGCAGCCATGAGTAAGAGAGAGATCCCGGCCACGGAAGCTCCACATGAACCGTGTAACGACTTGGGACCAACCTGTGCTAGCTACTTTACAAGACCCTGCAGTCGTCATGAAAGGTATACAAAATTGGGCGAGGAAATTACGAACCTCTCTTCTCGTGGCTTCATGCTGCTTTGCACGTGTACTAGACTTAACGCTTTAACCTCGCCACATCCGATGATAGATAACCATTTACATCCTAACATCAGTTTTTACATTCTGCATAATTTCCTTTATACATTTCCTATAGTGCTGACAATCAAAAGCTTTTCTAGTTGGTGATCATTTCCTCTATTTTCATAACCTTAATGTATGGCTCGGGGTGATGCAGTAAGGAGAAATTACATGCTACTCGCTCTTAGAGGTCAGAGGGTTAAGAACAAATTGAATTCTTATTTTGCCATTTCGGGAACTGAACTCATTTTTGTTCTATTTCAGGAGTACCAGCAGTCCATCCCCTCCCCGCCCTTTATCATCAGTACCTCCTTCGCGTACTTCTTCCCCTTCTCCAACTTTACGTCCGTCTTCTCGCACTGGAACCAAACGCACAGGGAAGGGTCCAGATCCTAAAAAACTCCAACAGCAGTTGGCTGAAGCTGATGCCAAAGCAAAGGAAGAATGGGAGGAAAATGATCCCCAGTTCGAAGAATTGTTTGTGCCAGAGGAACTGTCCACCGAGCAATTGGGCTTTAAATTCCATGACCCTTATCCGGAAACGTGGGTCGAGGAGACTGCTGAAGACGCGTGCTTTCGAGGATCAAAAAAGAATGATCTGTTTATGCACAGATTACAAGAGCTGGAAAATCTGAGAGAGGAAACTGTTTTGTGGGAAATATACAAAGAAGAGAAAGCTGAAACTTCAAACTCGGCCAAAGGATTCTCGAACCGAGTTGTATTCGGTGGAAAGTTTAACTCAAGGACTCAGTCTGCTAAAGTCAGCGCACCGCAGTTGTACCGAGCGAAATCTGCCGTCAACAGACTGAGACGAACATCATCGGTGGGAAAGAATACTTCGTCCAATAATGGCATTTCCGCTTCGGATGATGGATCGGATAGCGTACAAACTTTCCGTAATAGTGGATACCAGTTAGGTATTACATTTGTCCCTGGCTCACTTTATCCCGAGGCAAGACCAGTGCCAAAAACTCGAACTCATTCATCCAGCTTGAAAACTAACAGTTACAACTCTAGAAAGTTCCCTAGACCGTCTGCAAACACGCACACGGTTGACAGCAAAAAACCGCCCGTATTTAAATCACCACCTTGCGAAGCGTGCCACCCGAAACCAGCGGGTAGGTCGACGTGCACCAGCCCGCGGGATGTAGCAACCTCGTACCATGCCCTTCGCAGTCAGTACGCGCTCAAGGCTTCGGAATGTTACGACATTGTAGAATTAGCGAAGACGTTTGAACCGCCTTGCAAGGCTCATTTTGTTAAAGCGAAAGCAAAAGCCAAGTTAATTGACTCAGATGTTGATAAGGCGTTAAGTAAGGGTATATCCCCTGGTAAAAGTTACTTCTCACAAAGGAGAATATCTCTGACGCGATTGACTCCTGATGAAGGTATGACAGTGAGAGGAGTCAGTCCACAGAACATAGCACCAGGGTCTGGGGGCCGATGTAAGTCCGCCAAAAAGGGGCCCAAAAGGAGGTCACAGGACTTAAAAGAGAAATGCAACAGAAGTTATAGAGCGCTTGGAAATCAAACAGCGGAATAATGGAGTGTTCGTAATGAAATGTCGTTGTTTCTCTCACCATAATGTCACTTCTGATGAGGATTGATACGTTTCGACTCTACCATGAGAGTCTTGGCATTCGATAGGGTCGACTGTCTATCGTCACCATAAGGGTCTTATGAAGCATTATTCTCGGCGTCAATTACAGTTGAGCATAATAATTCAAATGAGTTGACGTGCCGTGTCATCCAGTCGATCTTGTCGCATGGGGAAGCACAATGAAACGCTGCGATCCATACTGGAAGTGAGTGCATCGTGAGACAAACAACAGTACTTCGTTTCCAGTAATTTTACGTAATTACAACGGGAAAGCAGAACTTCGCCAGCTTTAATTCGGTTGACTTGAACTTTCCGCTTACCAATGTGAAAGGCATCTTTTTTCAGACAATTTTTCAGTCATTTGTTCCAAGGTGACTCAGACTCCCGGTATCTCGACTAACTTGTTTTCTTCTCCCTGAGCTGTTAGAATAGGCCGGGTTCTCCTGTGTTGAATCATATTAAAGAAATTATTGATAAAACTGTTCATGCAGTGAAGTGCATATCGCTGTCTTTGTCTCTCCCCAAAATAAACATCTGAATCACGTCTGTACGACCCGCACATGTATCGTTTGTTTAAAGAAAGTACCTATGAGAATTAGTGTTTCACTTAAGATTTGGCTTCAAATTATTCAAGTAGAAAATATTTTATTGATGTATTAGCCTTGCGGACTATAATAAAATGCTTATCATCGGAGTGTAGTTTCAAAGAATGAATCGTGAGACCCAAAGAACAAAGCGATAGTGCAGAGAGTATCACTAGCATCGATAAAGACTTTCGTTTCACCCGGACAGAAAACCGTGAGGACGGACCCACTCGTTGCAGTTTTTAACGCATTGATACGCATGGTGGAAAAACGATGTATTGTGGTGACCCAAGATGTCCCGAGGTGAAAATATGATACTTAAAACCTGTCCCACTCCTCTCCGCTCAAAACTTATTGAGAACAATCATCAACTCGGGCTCAGCTGAAACGACCAAGCCTTAGTTTCGTTTTCATTTTCATGACCAAGAGAACGTTGCGTAGAGCATTTAAAACTACACCTTACTTTCCCAGAGAGAGAACTCGTAAATTTATGCCAAAATCAATCGTACATGCCCAAAGTAACTCTTTTAATGTTTCGGCAAGAATTTATTCCAACAAACGAAACAAACTGAAGTATTGATGCGAACTAAACAATCGAAGAAGTTGCGAAAATGAAGTTACGATTGACAAGTTATTACAATTATTGGTGAGGAAATTGACAACCGAGAAAACAAAATAATAGACAACAAAAGATACTTACAATATCCGTTGTACAATAGCCGGAGACAAATGGCTGGTTAAAGACGATCATAGAAAATGACTGAGGAAAACGATCCAGCCCAGATAGACGATGAAGCCGAATGAATAACATTTACGGTAAAGAACTTGTACGAATGACACAAACCAAGGTAAATTAAACCAAAAAAGTAACAGAATGTCGATGAAAGTAATGAGCGTGAAAACGAAAGAACTTAATGAAAAAGCAACAAAAAGAAAGAAATACGAATTCTTGATGAATAACGTCAAATCACCGGCTTTGGCTGCACCATCGTAAACTTAACAACTCGAAACTATAAGTGGGAAAATGAACTTTTTGGTGCTGTTATCTGTAGAGAAATTGATATGAAGTCCGATGTCACCATTGCTCAAGGGTTAGTGGAGGGGGGCAAGCAATTTTTCAAGAACAGGGAAAAGGTGACAAATGTCGCCAAGGTTGCAAGCGTCCTCGGCACCTTCACAAAATTTTTAAAAGCAGCGAGACCATTGTTTAACACTTTGGGTGGCATCGCTTTCATTTTAACGACATTAGTTGTTCTTTCATTACACATTTTCTCCATCAGCGATTACATCCTTTACAAGCATTTCGTTTTCCGTCACTGCTCTTGAGAGAAATCGCTTCGATTTTACGACGAAGAGGAGCGAATTCTTTTCAGTTAATTGGCAGGACCCACATCGGCTACGCCCTTGTCACGAGTCTTGCTCCTAGAAGAGTTTCTAAAGTAGTGCAACAGTTTTGCTAGATCAACCAAGGAACAAAACTCAAATGTTACTCCTCTCCGTGACCTCAGTGCATTAAGACCAGCTCTAGAATAGTTATGAATCCCTTTTGCTGTTCTAGTACATTAGAGCGCGGCCTCCATATCTTTTCCTCAAATGAGTTGACGTCAATCCGTAACCGCCGGAGACATTCTCCTCTTCCTCACGTGACCCGATATTGCTATACAGCGGGTAATCGCCGCTGGAATAAATTTAACAAAATTAAATTAAATTATGTGAAAAACCCCAAACAGAATGCAGATATGGAAGACTACTCGGTAAGCCCGGGGCGAGTTCTACGAAAGCGACGCTATTCAGTCCTCAGGTTTGTTTTGAGAACGCAGCTCTTGAAAAGCTACGCCGGCGTCGTTGTCGATGTGTAATTCTGTTACACTACCCTATGTCTACGAGTTATTGTGTTCCTGAATGCCAACAAAAGGGAGGGAAATCTTCCCCGGGAGAAAAGGTTTGGTTTTTTGAGTTCCCCTACGCACATGAAGAGAACACAGGAGAGAAAAACTCCTAAAAAACCGATAGATAGCCGATTCTCCCACGGCCATTATGTTCCACGTTTGTGATACAACAATTTCCTATTCCACGACCAAGCCCAAAGTTTGCCGCTCTTCGCACTCCTATCCTATTAACTCTTTCCACCTCTACATTAGTATCCAAATTCTCCTCACCGCTCTCTCTACATTTCCTAAGGTACTGACAGGGAGAATGTGTTTGACAATTGGGAGCTTCTTAAATTGGTGATCATTTCCGTTATTCTCATGACCTTTACACTTGATTCAAGAGTGACGCTGTAAGGAGAATTTAGAGGCTAATCCCACTAAGATGTTGAGGGGTTAAAGAAAGGTGATTCAATCGAGACAGATAAATCATACTTACTAATAGTAATCCCAAATAGCATAGTAATAAACAATGAGAGCCATGAAGAAAAACGGCGTCACTACTGCATAGAAGACAACTTTCCATGGAGAAATCTAAAAAAAAATTATCCATAAATAAGTGAGTCTCTGAAAGAAGCCGGCTGTTCCGCCTGCAGTCGATTCTTAGCATGAAAAAAAAGTAAATAAAGAAACTGAACTACTGTGAGTCACAGACATTGATCCCTGCATTTTTCAAAAAAGTCATTCCTTTACTTACCATCTGAAGGAACTGTAACAGCCGTAACAAACTGGTTTTAGGTGGTAACTAAGAAAATCCCGGGTTTTTTCCCTTTGCGTGTCACACCCAGACATTACAGTTTTGCACGAACAGCCCTTTTTATATAATTTGGGTAAAATGTATAGTCATCCTTCTTTTACATCGTTATTAATCGTTATATCCATTAATGTAGTGTCATTTTCTCTCCCATCTGGTTTGGCTCTTCAGTCTCTTTCATAGTCTTTCCTGATCAACCCCGCAGTTGGATGCGCTTCCCTCCTATCATCAAAACAGCGTTCAAACGTCAGGCATGCGCGAGGGGATCAATTCCGACCGGCCACACACTATTTCCCGCGCAAAATTTCTGAGAAAAACATAAGAAACGACCGCTGTCTCGCAAAATAAGCGAAAGGAAATTGGAACATTCAAACAAATCTGTAAAACAAACAGATGGGGGATAAAGGTGAGCTCGAGACTTTTCAAACCCGGCCAAAGCTTTTTCAAGCATTAGTATTCTGTTAATTTACCATTCTGTATTTAGTTTTACCAAAAGTTATAATATTTTGAAACACCTTGACTTAGTGGCTTGTGTGGCTGTTTGTAACTCGTGTGAGGCAACTTGGTTCCGACAGCCTTAAAGCACGCCACGTACTCCATAAAACCTTCCCGCATGCGGAGACGCTGTGTTTTTGCCATTCCACTGTCGCATACCTTAATCTACATACCTCGTCCCATCCAATATGGCTACCACTAATTTTTTGTGTCTACCATTATAGCTTCTACGATCTCGCAAGTTAGCATGTTTAGGTAAATCCAAACAACAGTGTTCAAAATATCTTCTTTACTCACTTCGTTGGATGGTAACTCCCAGTAGTCCTTGCAGTTTAACAGTGAACACGTGTTTGAACTGATCTCCTCTATAAGCAGAAAAACATGAATTGTTTAGAATTTTTGTAAGTTTAAATGTGGAGTAATCAAAATTGTATGAAAATAATGCAGTGTGTAATATAGTGTTCCAGTGAATGTAATGAGCAGGCAGCTAACCAAATAATTTGAATTCTTCCTCAACTGATAGATTGCCCTGAGGAAGGCAACTTCGCATTAAAGCCTGTAATGATAATTGAAAAAGGATCAGCTATTAGCTGTATGTTAAGTAGTTGCACAATTGGTGTTATCACTCAGATAGAGGTTAAGTCTTAAACCCTTTAAGCCCCAAAGTGATTAACATGTAACTTCTCCCTGTGATATCTGTACAATGTTCAGCAAACAGGTAATGGGAATACTCAAACTTATCAGATAGTAGTTGTTATCTTGATCTTGTGCCAAATTCTCTTATTTTATTTACAAGGAAATGTGTAGCAGCTAAATGGGAGAATTAACAATCATATCCTGGAAGTTAAAGGTTAAAAAAACTGTCATGGGTAATGAAAAGATGACAATGTTACAACCTGAAAACAAGCTTCCTTGAAAGTCAAATGAAGAGCTTTTGTCAGTTGAATGTATTGTGTCTGGTTCATGGAAATTTTATTGTTAATGTTTGCTTTTATTTCAATAACTGTTAGACTCAAATGAAGACTCAATCGACCATTTTTGGTACATTAAAATTCAAACATGGCTCAGAGGCTTGGGGCAATAAAACAAAGGAAATCACATTAAGGTTGAGGGATGAATATAATTTATTTTGTCGTATTCTACCAAGCCTTAGAGCCATGCTAGAATGTTAATATATCAAAAATTATTATTATACATTATTATTACTCATACAGTAAAATTACAGCAAGGTTTCATGTTTCTTCTAATTACGTGCATCTTTAAAAACATGTTCAATTACAAACACAAGAATCAACCCTGTGAGAATCTGTATTCTCCATACAATATCACCCCTGAATTACACATTAAGGTCAGGAGAGTAAAGGAAATGATCACCAATTAGAGAAGGTCTTAATTGTTGGACAAATTCTCCCTGGAAACCTAAGGAAATGTATAGAGAACAGTATGGAGAATATCTGTACTGATGTTAGGGTGTAAAGGGTTAAAGAGAAACAGCTCACCATACGCAAAAAATATTCCAGATTACCTCACATCTCTTTTTGCGAACAATTAGTTTGTTTTCTTTGCAGAGTTTCTTTTTCCAAAAGTTGTCTTTTCTCTGGTTTTCAAACACATCACATCTGAAGATGTCACAAAAATCAGCTAGACACACTGTAGAACCCTATAAGTAAGTTAAGGTACAGACAATAAATAAATATATATACTCTACCAGATTGCAGCATTCATGATTGAATGCTGATAAATTAATAAATGCCCCTGGGATGTGTGTGTGTGTCCAGGGAGGGGAGAGTCCTGAAATGAGATAGTGTCTCATTCAGGAAGGTATATGCAACACTCCAATTTATTTCATATAACAGAAAACGAGACAAGCCTAAGCTCTAAGTGATTCAGTTTTGTGCTTATACACAGATAAGTTTTATGAATAGCAAATTAGTTGACAAAAAATATCCAGATTTCAAGTCCCACGCTCAAATAAGATGGTGCTGTAGTTCTTCAAAATCTTCTTGCAGCAAAAGATAGCATACTCTTACCTTTACTAACTTGTCACTATGTCTGTTATCAAAGTGCAAGTCGAGATAATGCTCGGCATAGAAAGCCTTGCCGCATAAGTTGCACACCCATTTTGAGGCATACTCCTCTATTTTATTTCCCTCTTGAACACTGTATAAATCTCTGGATGAGTGCAGTGGACATTTTATGTGAGGTTCTTGGTTCTTAGCTTGGAATGCATTATAGAATTGCTGCAAGGAAAAAAATTAGAAAAGGACATGTAACAGTTGAAGGGTTTCTGGAATACAGGAGGCTATTTTTAATTGTATTGTTGCTGTTGTTGTTGGTTTTTCCTTTCAGCTGATGAGTGATTTCTTTCAATGTTAAGACACTTTTTGGAACATGTTAAATGAAGTGCCTAATATTTACAATTTTCTAAATCCACATATATTTTTGCTAAAAAAAAAACAAATTTGCCAGAAAACTCAGTTTCACTTTAGCTAAAAGTTGTTTCGTGATCAAAATCTTGGTGGTGATGAGTCCAGAAATAAGTAACATTTTAACATTACATTGGCATTATCTCTCTAATTTTTACCTCCATCAACTGATTCCTCACAATCCGGGAGAGGGGTCTAGAACAGTGACTTTTGGGATTTGTAGTCTGTATACAATGCATGAGCTGAAACTAAATAGAATCTCCATGAAACCTTTGCAATACATAATTCAAAATAAACCTAAAAATGAATGCTTTTAGAGCAAGGCCACTCGTTCCTTTCAGTAAGATTATATTTCTCATGAACTGGTGTCAGTTGCTCTGAGTGGAACTTCATTACACGTAAGAATGGACTCCTGGTGTAAGATATTTCTGGAGCAAAATATCTATCAGAAAATGTGATCCTCAGGTAGACAACTGTGAAACGATATTTCTCGGAAAGATATACCGAGAATAATTAAACTTACAAAGAGCGCGCTTTCTAAAGAATAAAGCAGAATGATCCATCTTGAGAGCTTATTTTTGTGGAAAACCATTGATGTCTTCAATAAATCTCAGTATTTCCGTTCCCTACAAACATTTGTCAAAACATGTCAACTGCTCTTTCCCGTCGAAAACACCGCCATTTTTCAAAACAAGCGCCTGCACATCTATCTTTCAGTGGTCAACACACAAGAATATGGTAGGTACGTCATGTATGGACAAGAATACAGGTTCGGGATACAAGTCGTGCCATTCTTTCCCGTCATTATCAAAATGGCGTCGATGCGTGCGCGTATAGTTACAGTGAACTTGTAGATTACGGCGCCTAACGGAGTTTTCCTAACATTTGAACGTCTAAAGTAGAAACGTCGGAAAAGGTTTAGTATGGCTCGTTCTAAAAGGTGAGCTTTAGACTTGTCTATGTCTACGAATTGAGGATGACTCCTGGTCTGAAACGGCGCACGTGCATCGATTTCAATCTGTTTACAGCCTTGCAGACGCGAGGAACTATAACTGTGATCGTTGTATTGTTACAGCCAAATAATCTATGTTAGGAAATGTTGGGATATGATAATGGTTTGAACAAGAGTGGAAAATTTTCAAATCCACTATCGAAACACCATTGATAACTAACAAAGATAGAAAATCTTGAGCTTTTGGGAATGGACTCTCCCATCATTTGCTATATATGATATACAGATATTCTGGATTTTCTAAACCCATAGCATACAAGTTAGGTTTAAAGGAATGAATATTATGATTGATGAGTAATTTAGCTTTGTATCCTTTATTTTTCTTTCAAAAAAGATCAAAGAAGCGAGGTAAACGTAAAGTTGAAAGTGAGGAAGTTTATGACGAGCCGGATCCCGTAAGTGAAGATACAGCTGTATGGTGCAGTATCATTTAATGCTGAGACTACAGATAAAGTGATTATTATGCTTGGCATAACGACAGTTCTTTTGTATGGATTATCAGATTCCTCAACTATTGAATTGCAATCACAACAGGATGTTTGCATTAGACTGATTTTCTTGGTCAAAAATTTGGTGTAGAAAGCCCTTATTTTTAATTTACACTTTTTCATCATTTGATAGAATGGGATGTCATTCACCCTTTGCATAAATGGCAGACTCAATTAGTATTCTATTATACTTATGTAGACTATCCAAACTAACCCTGTCAGTATATCTAAGGAACAACAAAACATTGATTCAAAGATGAGACAAGTTGGGCTAATTTACTTGAGTACAAAAGAATATCAGTCAGGTCTGCGATTTATGTCTACTGCCTATGGCCTAATCAGGGACTCCTTTCAGAAATGAATCAGCAGGAAAATTCTCCCTGTTGCCCCATGTCACAGAACAAAAGATAAGTATTGATTGATCTAGTATGCTGCATTACATGTAGCCTTAGTTCTACTGTACTTTGTCAACAATAATTATAAAAGAATATTGAGATTTCCTCAAACACTTGTACATTTCACAGGAAGGAGATTATTATTTTCTTGATGATATTGATAAATTTCATGCTGAGAGGGAGAAGGTGAGTCTCTTGCATCACACCTAATTAATTGTAGTTTGGGCTCCGAAAAGCTTACTTATGGAATTGTTTTGTGATATGTGCAAAAAAAAATACTTGTATTACATGTACATATATATATGTTATTTGCCGGCTGGGAGGTCCGTATGGTGAAAAACTGTGACTGAGGTCTTGAAAATGCTGCCCTTGGCCTACGGCCTCGGGCGGCATTTTCAAGGCCGAGGTTACAGTTTTTCACCATACGGACCGACCCTTAGCCGGTAAATAACATTTTTTTTTTTTTTTTTAAACTTAAGGAAATACATTCTGAAAGAACCCAAATGATTTTGGGTTATAAATACGGCAAGATCTTCTATAAACTGAACAATTTTTGAGTGAGTAAATGGTAGTTAAAGTAAAGGTGATACAAATTAAAGAGAGATGCTTCACTGAAACATTTTCACTTACGTAATGATAAAGGTGATTTAAAAGGCTTCCAAACAAACTTTGAAACATTCTTTTTACAAGTATCTGTCACAATCTGACACCTGTCAATTAGAGAGCGCGTAAGAAAAAAAAGCGCAAGAAGATTTGAAAAACAACGGGACTAGTTTGGCAAGGACTGTCACGACAATGTTTTCTTCAAAAACAATCAATGATATAACGGAAAGTATTATTCACTCTCATCGACAATTCATTCATGTACGAAGATTTACCTCTGTTCATTAAGTAAACGGCGAGGAAAGTAATTGTGAGTAAATTCAAATTTTTTATTTTGACGTTGTGAGAGTTTGCTCGTTTGTTTGCTGCAACGGCGTGTGTGACTCTGGTCTTTCCTTCACAAAAACTAAATTTGAACGACACACTCCAACGAGACACAAGGGGATTTAATGCAGCCTTTTCTCAATAAATTCCTTCATGTTCTGTTGTGTGATTTATGGTCCAAATGTCCAAATTGAACGGACTTTGAAAGACTCACTGAGAGCGTATATTTATTGTCGAACTGAAATTAAAACTTCGCTCGCTCTTTCACTACGAACAAATTGTTTGAGAAAATTCAGACATTAAATGAATGAAAGTTCCATTGTTCAGTTCACCTGTAACCAAATACCTCACATTTTAACTTTCTAGGTACTTTTTGTGAACGATTAAAATCAATTGCAGACGGTTTTTAGGCCGCTTGTCAACCAACATAATGACACAATTGCCTATACAAATTAATTCTGAAACCAATATTTTTTTGTCAACTAAAGTGATTTGAGAGAGAGAAAAGAGAGGATTCATAAGTCGGCTTGAGGTAGTAACTGATGTGTTTGCTTAAAAATACTGCCCAGTGGGCAAAACGAGGTATATTTATGAAAAATGGCAACGAAATTTGAGATGTACAAGGCGACTCACGAAAGCGTTACCGTGGCCCGTGGGCAGAGATAGGAAAATACTGACTAGGTAAAGAACCAATCAGATTGCAGGATTCGTTACTGTGCCCTCTAAAAAAAATAAATTCATGTACCAGATAAGATGTTTAAATTAAAAGGTAGAAAATTAGAAACTATCATAAAATGAGATGTTTTAATTAAAAGTTAGAACATTAGAAACTATCATAATGATATTGAACAATTAAATTCAATCTCATATAGTATATCTTGTTTTTTTTAAGATTCTTTTAGATGATACTGTTGAGGACAAGGAAGATCTTGATGATGATAATCAACAGGTACATGTAATAATTTGTTTAATCCTGAAATTTTCAATAGTTGCCCAATTTGTCGAGAATTGTCAGATATATACAGCACATGTAAAATGTGTGCAGGTACAGCTTATTTTTAAAATTAGTATTATTATACAGTATATTCCAGTAAATGTAGATGAGAAAGTAATTGAGTCAAGTTAATGTTGATTGTTTTCAAATTCTTGAAAAGTTGACTAAAAGCTACTTTTACTGAACTATTTTTAATGTACTTCAAGGATGAAGAGGTGATGGCCTTGGATATTGGTGATTCTGATGATGAGAGTGATGACAACAATGATGATGATGATGAAAGTGATATTGATACAGATGATGTGGAGGATGACGAAGTTGATGAGGTACTTTGTACTTTTTAAGTAAATTTACTCCTTACATTGTATTTAAGAGAATGGTGTAGAGGTGTTGCAGTTACCTTGTAGTTGAGTGGTAATCATGCCTTAAGTGTCCATTAAATTATAAAGTCACAGGCATAGTATAAAACCAGGGACATGTCCTTTAGTGAAAGCAATACTGTTGAACCTATTTTAAGTGGCATCATATTTAAGCAGTTACCCTGTATTAGGCAGTCGGTTGTCAAAGTCCCCAATTTTTTCCTTTCAGTCACTGTAATTTTCTCCTCTCTTAAGTGGTCACCTCTATAACTGCATGAGTCACCTTTACTTAGTCCCAATGACCTGTTTGTTTTGTCCTCTCCCTGTATTGAATGGCCATGTAAAGCAGAACTAGTTGAATGAAACTAAGAAGAATCTTTCCAGAAAAACTTAATCTATTTTCACCTCCAATAGTTGATATTAGTAGTAGTTTTGAGAAAGTTTTTGTACATAAAGTGGTTAGTGGTTAATTATGTCAAGAAATGGAGTTCTTTTTTTATCAGTTTTTATAATACCCCTATTCTGTGGAAGCTGTATTAAGTGGTCACCCTGTGGGTGACTGCCTAATACAGGTTGGACTGTATTTATAATCTTGCAATTCTTTGTAGGAAGATGAAGAAGAAAGTGGAAAGGAAGAAGAAGTGGGAAAAGGTGAGCAAAATAACCTGAAGATGCTAATGCTTGCTATGGATAAAAACCCAACAAGATATATCATTACTCTGTTTACATGTAAGCCACAAGAAAGTACAGATAAAATGCTTAAAATGCATTTTTTTCATAGGCATGCCAAGTCAAAAGTCCTGGGGTAGAAAGAAATCAGCTTTCTATGATGCTGATATTGTTGAAGAATATTCAGGTGAGTGGTCATGTTTAATTCCTTACAGTTGTGCCTCTATTATGCTTTAATTTTTAGACGAGAGAGCTGATTAGGTAATAGATTGATAGATCAAATGCGGTAGATTATTACAGGGCAATTGTAAGTTGACAGTCCATTAACCCTTTACACCCTAACATCAGTATACCTTTTCTCCATACTGTTCTGTATACATTTCCTATGGTACTGACAAAGAGAATTTGTTTAACAATCAAGAGCTTCTTTAGTTTTTGATCATTTCCTTATTCTCATGACCTCAATATTTGTTTTAGGGGGTGATACTGCTAGGGGGAAAATTGTTACTTATCACTCTTAGGGGTGAAAGGGTTAAACTCCATCCATGATTCTTGATCAGCTCATTCTTGGAAACTTTATAGGATCAAGGTTCAAAATTAGTTTCAAGTCATTTTAGGTCATTTGAGAAATTACTGGTGGAGAGTTTCATGAACTGCAGTCAGCTTTGAAAACAGGCTACTGAAACTAGCCCTGTACTTTATTGCTGAAAAGGAGTGGCTCTTCTAATGTTTTAATGCTGTTGCTATGATGTTTTTGTCATTATTGGTATTATGATCACAAGTAATATCATTAGAAAGGTTGTGGATATTCATAACTTTGGAGAATTACAATAGTAGAGAGGCCTTATTGTTCGACTCACAATATGGTCTCTTTCAATGTGGATTCTGGCATTCCAGCTTCATACAGATAGTGTCCTCAGGTAATTAGGCTGACTGTTTAAAACATTTCACTATTATTGTTTTAATGTGTTGATCTGTTGTCATTGATGTTGGTGTTGACAGGATCTGATGAGGAGATGGATGAGCTGGCAAAAGAAGAGGAAGAAGAGGCTCTGGCCCTACAGAGACAAATGGCTGCTTCTTTACAAGAACAAGATTTTGATGCTGAAAACTTTGAGGTTTGCTTCAGTAATAAGTCACCTTAAATGTAATTTAGGATTATCAACTATAGGAAGCTGACATTTCGAGCATTAGCCCTTCATCAGAGTGCTTGAAACATCAGCTTTGAAACTCTTTACAGAAGCCAATTTACATTATCCTGTTACACTCCCCTACTGATGCAGCACCACAGTTACTTTAAAAACTTACCCCCTTTAAACTTAAATGTACACTAGGACTCAGCATCTCTGTACTATGAGTGGCAAAAAGTCTTTTGATTTCACAAGTATCTTACACCAGCTAGGAGCTCAGAAAGATAAGATTCAACACTGTATAGGAGGGTGGGGGGTTTGATGCAAAATCCAATACCATACAACCAGGTTGAGGAACAATGAAATATGTCAAGATTTTAGCTACAAATTGCAGCACATGTTTCATACATACCTGCACAATCTACTTGTTTCTACAATGCTACTTTCTCTAGTCAGCTGCAGAATTAGTAAAGACTGCCACATCTCATACTCTGGCAGTGAGATATGGCAACTAGTTTCCCTTTTCAATTAACTTACCTCTTTTTTTTCATTATTTTCAGCTTCCACAAACACCTCACCAGAAAGTGAAAGAAGTAGAACTGAATGAGGTACAGTATGGGAATGAACCATTTATGTGTACATGTAGTTACTTAAAGAAGTAACCCCTTCAACCGTATGCTGCTCTCTTATTTTAAAACTTTAGAGAAAATATAATGTATCTTAAAATGATTAATTTTCAGGAGAGGGTTGTTCAAGACCTTACAAAGTTGTCAAAGACTGAAAAGATTCAGGTATGTGGAGTGTACAATGTGTATCTGCAAATAAATTTATATCAAACTCAACTCCATAACATTGTCCTAAATTTCCTCAACAGATTTTGATCAAAGATTCTCCAGAACTTCTGGGTCTCTTGGATGAATTCAAAGTAAAGGTAAAAACTCTTCATTTTGTGCTCATTTCATTGCCTTCTCTGTTTAATTGGTTGCGTTTAGCAGGCTACAGACAAACTCCCTCCATCTCAGCTGGTTTCTTGCCTCCCAAAATATGGACTGCCATCTCAATGTTTTGATCCTTTTTCTTTCTCATGAGCATCACTTGGTGTTTTAAGGCTTATCACAATTCAGTTTCCCACATAGACACCCTCTCAATTCTTCATTTTCAGTAAGCATTTGAAAAACTTCCAGCTACCCTTTCTATTAACTGCTTTTATAAGTTTGCAAAAGGGTAGTTTTTTCCCTCCATATACAGTAAATGATTCCAACACAGGGATAATGAAAAGTTTTCCTTCTTGTTTGGGTGTGTATTGCCTTTGACGCCTATTGGAAAAGCAAAAAGATATTTCTGTACTTGCTCATGGTAATGTGACAACAAATTTTACACTGGAACAAGCAATAAATGGATGTTTTTATTTACACTTTTTTTTCCATCAGCTGAAAGAAGTCATAGAAAAAGTGTATCCTCTTGTGAAGATGGCAAGAGCAGGTCAAGTCCCAAAAGAGGTACAGTATTGTAGCTACTTGTTAGTGATTGAAGTCATTGAAGATATCCTTTTTATGATTTTTCATCTTTCTTATTTTAGGGTGCAGACTATCTTGAACTGAAACATCAGCTTTACCTCAAGTAAGTAACTCAAAGATGTCTTAATCAACCATGTGTACACCTTTTTAAGAAAGGTAATGGCAATCATGTTAGACTTCTGGGCTGGTTATTTGAAAGGCATCGAGGAATCAATAAAAGTAGAATTTAAACTTGACTTATGTTTATCATGAAGAAAACGACAGGTTGAAAGATCTAACGTGAAATAAGTCGTTGTTTGACCTGAAATATCATTCGCGTTTTTACTGAACAGTTATTGTGTCAACATTGGGTTCTACTTGCTGCTGAAAGCCAGACAAACTTCTGTAAGGGATCATCCGGTGATTGAACGACTCGTCCAGTACAGAAAGGTGAGATTGCCGCCATTGAAATCTTCCCTACTATGTATTCAGTGTAAATAAAACTTCCAGCTGTGAGAGCAGTATTCTTTTAATGAAACTGTGATGCTTTTAGCGAGATTTTTCTGAAGTTATTTGGTCGTTTCACTGCCGCTGAAATTGTGGATGTGATTGAATCCATTTGAACTGCAAAAGCTATGCGAAATGGTCAAATGATTGATTTTTTTGAAAAGCAGCTGTGACAAATAGCCAAAAAAGACTGAATTAGTTGAATCTGAATGAATTGAAACTGGTGATGTCGATGTGATGGTGTAACCAACTGAGTTATGGAAACGCTGACGCTGACAGTATTTACATATCATTTAAACTCATGTACTCCTTTGATAGAGAGGAACTGAAATTATACTTATGAATAAATCGATACGAACCGAAAAAATAATCGAAAAATTAGAAATGATCTTGGATTGATGTCCTGAAACTCATGTAGTGGCGAAAAATGAGATTTCACCACGGGGATCGCTATAGCATTTTGTATCTTTAACTTCTGCCTGTGTTTTCGTTACCACCTTTGCGTAAATTTTTTCTGAGGAATGAGTAATGATATGTTTTTGTGTATACTAATTATTTGAGCTAAGACTTGCTTCTTTCATCTTTTTAAAGCTCATTACAGAACTTGAACCACTCGATGAGGGGTTGAAGCCGGAAATAGAGGAGCTACTTACAAAGAGCCAAATCTTATGCCAAAATGGTAAGATTTTGTCAAATGATCGTTTTGTTTTTTTCAGGGAGTGCGTGGTTTTTAATTGCTTTCTGTTTGATCTGTTAGTACTACAAAAGCTGTTTAAGACGCGTTATAAGTGAAAGAGTGCACGTGTTGCATTTAAGTTTGAAGGGATTCGTCTAATTTCGGACAGTTGTGTCCAAGTTCGGACAGGTGCGTCCAAGTTCGGACAGGTGCGTCCAAGTTCGGACAGGTGCGTCCAAGTTCGGACAGTTGCGTCTAATTTCGGTCAGTTGCGTCTGATTTCGGGCAGTCGAGTCTAATTTTGGACGATTCCGTGAAATTTCGTTCGGTCCGGGTTCCATTTGATTTTCGGTGCTTCCGCAACTGCAGTCTGGTATAATTTAGAATACTTGCAGTACTACAATATTTTTTTTCATTTATTTTTGTGGTTTGTTTGATTTTACTCTTTTAAGATACTCAAGAGAAGATTGATAGCGAAGCAGACAGTAGCCAGGTAAGAAACATTTCGCACACTTAAAAATACAAAATGCAAAGAGAAAAAGGCAGTGCAACTTCTACCATTGTACCCTTCCACGCACGAGATATAAACATTTTAACCCATGTAGTCTTATTCCCATGCATGTCTATCTGTATTCCCCGATCATTAACTTTTTGACTCGTTAGAGTGGCTAGCACCTCATTTATCCTCTAAAAATTACTCCTGAATCACACATTAAGGTTAGGAGAATACAGGAAATGATCGCAATTCAATAAGCTCCTTATTGTTTGACATTTTCCCCTTGTAAGGGTGAATAAAGTTAACGTTCTAAATGTGCTAATGCTCTTTCAGGAACAATCCAAAACATCTCAAAAGTCTGTGAAGTTGTCAAGTCTTCTTGATGATAGCGATGACAATTACAGCGAAGCAGGGGACAGTAAAAGTGAAAACAAAAAGAGGAAAAAATCGGAGAAAGATAACGTATGTATACTCACTTTTCAGTTGAAATACGGTGGTCAATCTACATTATTACTTTTGTTTTGGTTCGCACAGGAAGGAAAATCGAATAAACTTGCAAAGGGCATTAAAGGAAAAAGGAAGATGAAGGATGATGTTGATGAGACAGACCCGTTAGAATACTATGAAGCAGTCAAACTACAGAAGAAAATGAAAAAAGAAGCTGAAAAGGCAGCCTATTGGTAAGGGGGGAGGGGAGGGGAAACACTCTCTTGCGAGCATATTCTTCTCAGCGTTGTAGCATGTGAAGCGAGGCCTGCAAGAGGTCAGCGGTGGGTCTGGTAAAAAATTTACAAGACTCCTCACTGGCACAAATCTTGCGACCGTAACCGCTCGTTACGCAAAATGGACGTGTAGGTGCTCGAAGGCCGGGAAATGCCATCACGCCAGAGTTATCACGAGCGACAATGACATACAGCTGAATGTATCTTTCTACATTTTTTGTTTGTTAAGTTTGAAAATAGAACTGTGTTGAGGCCTTCACCTGACTGATTGCGAGGTCCCACGATTTTGGCTTTGGCTAATTAGGCTGTGTCCATGACAGTGTAGGTTTCAGACACATTGCCTCTCTTTTACAGAGAAGAAATCGGAGAGGGAAGGAAGGGAATGGGAAAAACCTGAACGTGGGAAGAGTTAATTTAAAATCCTTTTTGCAGATAACAAATATGCTCAACTGACACAACCAACGTGTAAGTTTCACGTTAACATGCGACGGGAACGTCCTTTGCACTTTATTTATCCCACATTTTTATTTACTTTGATTTTAGTTTCACCTCAGAACAGCATGATGCTGAAGAGGAAGAGAACGAGGACGGAAAAAGAGGAATTACTTACGAGGTGAGAACTACAAGACTTACAACCGTTACGATCGTTTTGCTTTATGAACCTGTTGACCCTTATGATTGACCAGCATCTAATTTCGCTTTACAATATCACCCCTGAATCACTCATTAAGGTTACGAGAGTTAAGAAAATGATCATCAACTAAAGAAGCTCTTGATTGTTAAACAAATTCTCCTTGTCAGCACTCTAGGAAATGTATAGTGAACAGTATGGAGAATATGCACACTGGTGTTAGGGTGTAAGGGCCGGGTTATTTGCCATAATTTAATATAAGTGCATGTCGTTTCGCCTTAGATTTCTCAAAATAAGGGACTTACAGCTAAGAAGAAAAAGGAACTTCGTAATCCGCGTGTGAAACACAGAAGAAAATTCTACAAGGCTCAGATAAAGCGCAAGAGTCAGGTAAGATCCTTAAGAATTTTTTTTTTTTTTTTTTTAGTTTAGTACGGTGTCTGGTATGGATTTTACCTGAATTTCTGTTCTCTTTCACTTTCTATTTTTGCATTATTTAACTTGTTTTTCTCGTTCTTGTTACAGGTCCTACCGGTTGTAAACGAGCAGAACCGGTATGGTGGCGAGGTGACAGGAATCAGGTCACACCTGACCAGGAGTATCAAAATCAAATGAAAAATTATGGGTTATTTTAATTCCTCAATACACTTTCTCCTTACGTAGTTAATGGTTTTAACCCAGGAGTAAAGGAAGATCAGATCAAACCATCAAGCTTTCCACCCAGAGTAGAACATTTCGCTTGTAGAAAGCTTTTGTTTGCCGTTAATTTGAATCCTTCTTTGTCTGAAGTTATATTTCAATTGAAATAACAGATTTTAAAAGAGAAGCCATTATTATTGTCAAAAGGGAGTGTATATTTATTTTTATTTCTCCCATCTGTACACCTGTGCTCTGTACTTGACGTGAAAGTAGCAGGGAATGATCACTTCTGAACACTTCTTAAACTTAAACAAAAATTCTAAAAAGAAGACAAAAGGAAGTAAGCTTGTTTAACCAACTGGTGGTGACACCCCAAAATATGTATAAAAGACTCAGAAAGATGAGCACGCTGTAAGTTCACTCTTGGTACAGTTCGTGCTACGTAGCACAAGGAAATACATAAACTGGCTGACATTTTTCTCTCGTGTTTTTTCTCACAATGCAAAGGAGTTATTTATGGTCTTTATTTATATCGAGACAAGAAAATATACCGGCATACTGTATCAAAAAGTAACAACAACAACAGAAAAAGGTATCCAAGCAACAATACAAACAAAACAAACTCTTTTTAGCCCACAATAGCATACAATTCCCTCGTTTACGAGAGTTTACGAGAGCTTTCCGGTCACATGGGTTTCTTGGCAAACTCTTAACTGTCAAAAGAAAAATAGGTGACGAGTTCCTCTAAACTTCTCATCACAGGCTTGGGACTCAGAGATACATTAATTCAAGAGAGACTTATCTTTGTTCAGATGAAAGAGCACACACGTCCAGCTGTTTCGGCTTTTATTACTTAAGCTATCAACAGAACAAAATATCGGAAATCCGTAAATTGTCGAGTGTTAGCTGAAAGTATCACTCTCTCCTCCTCAAATAACTCGCTCGCACTTCCGTTACTATGGTCTGATATTTACCTCAGGTGTCAGCGGTTGCATGTTATCTTTACCCTCTCCCCTCCCCTTCTCCCAACTGACGTTAGTAGTGTCAGAATTATGGCGACGGGAAAAGAACACGAGCTACAAAAAGTCATTGACTCCTTTAGAGCACTGCGAAGGAGGGCCAAAGAACTAGGAATTAAAGATTCGCAGCTGACGAAATTAACATCTGTGAGGAACCTCCGTAAGAGACGATCAACTTGTCTTGTTTTTACCAGCTTCGTCTTTGGTTTGGTGGGAATATTGACAGGATTCGGATTGATACTTCATCAACAAGGCTTGCTTTCGAATCAACCTCTGTGGAAAGTTGCCGGGTATGTCTTGGATTTTGACATCGAGAAAGACTTTTGTGTCATTCCGTACCCTGAGATAATTTTGGACATGTTTCGTCCGCCCGTAGAATGCGCCATTTGCGAAGACGTGCACCAAGTCGATAGAGTTTCGTTGCTCTCAAGAGAGGAATTCGTTCGAAAATATGCCTACACCTCGAGACCGGTGGTCATCACAGACGGAACAAAGGATTGGACTGCTTCGCAACATTTTAGTTTCGATTATTTTAAGTCAATTTACGGTCCTGAAAGCCCAGTTTTGTTGTCAGAAGATCAGAAGTGTCAATTCTTTCCCTACAAGACAAACTTTAAGTCCCTCCAAGAAGTTTTCAACATGTCTAAAGAAGATGCAAATATGAAGGGAAGTCCATGGTATATCGGATGGTAAGAGAGCTTTTTTTTTCTATTTTCTCGTTATTACCATGAAGCTTTAATGAGTGTCTCATGAGAAATATGTTTGAATGAAAACGGTGATTTATGAATGGAAATTAGCGTTTAGTATTGTGTTAACTATTTGTTTGAAAGTCATGAAATTTGAACATGTTTTAGTTTATGAATTATTGTGAAAAGTTCCACCCTGGAAAGAGTCGACAATTCCCTTTAATAGAACTTATAGTTGCTGTTTTTGAGTATGCAATTTACGGCAAAGAGGCCAGGAAATTTGCTATGCTGCATATAAACTGTAAAAGGTTTAGTGCTCATGATCAGTAGTGCCATTTAATGAGGTATTTTAGCTCAATATGCTTAAACTTAATATGTGTTCTTTTACTCTTTGTTTAACAGATAAGTTTCTTGTAAATATTTATAATCTGTAACAGAATTTGAGTTAAATCTAAATATTCGACAGAAGCCAGTTACGTTTCAACCCTAAGTTGATAACAGAGAACTGTGGCCTGAATTTATTGATTTTGAATTTCTTTCGTCATTCCATGATCCTGTGATAAGAATTATTTAACCAGAAAGTAATTCCAAAACATTTAAAAAAATAGATATGTACAGAAATTTCCTATAGGGAATGGATCAGGACTTTCAAAAACTTGAATGTTTTTGTTTCAGTTTTTTTTCCCAATATTATAATTATACAGGCATATGGCCAATACTCCACTCAAACTTTATCATTGCAACTGATCAACTGAGGAAATTTATGTGTTTCCAAACGGTGCCATCAGAAAAGGTTACCTAACAAAAGCTTTAATGAGCCATTCAATAGAGATACTGATATTTTGAATTTATATGGAAGAAGGGGTTGCTCAGGGGATCTTAATCCAAAGGGCAAAGGAGAATTTTGAAGAAATTGGTTGCTAAATGTGAGCCATCAATATAAGAAGTGGTATTATTATACTGTGCCTCTGATGTTTTGAATGAAATGAGATTTACATGATTAGTTGCAATGTTTCTGCTTTTTGCTTAAGCTTATTAAAATTTATGTAGCTCCATAACACTTTCAAATTATTTTTTTCTGAAAGTGTTCTTTGCCAAATCCACACCGTCCACCATTTTAACTTTTTACTGTGTACAGGATTTGAGCTGGCACAATATACGCATAGTTTTATTATTGGATACAATATGGTTGGTGGGGAAAGATTTTCATTTTATATGTAAAACCCAATAAGCTGTCTGTGAGAAATCTCCCTTTCAATGTTTTAGTGTAACTAAACAGAGCTCTAAAGCCATGCTTTTATAAGGTTGGAGTCAAGGAAATTCATCTGTGAGTTATTGCATATCTGTTTGTTCTGTGGCAAAAGGAACAAGGAATGAAAATATGGCACTTAATCATTAGTTCTTAATTATATGATTTCTACAATATTTAGTTATAATAAGAAAAAATCAGAAATAGTTATTAAGAAAAAATTCAAGCATATGACATGTATTTCTAATCAGTTTATTTGTTGTAGATTAATTGATGACACAAATCTCTGTTTTCCTAATGTGCGCTCTTTCAAAAAATAAAACACTAATGAACACTTAGAAGTGAAGAGGACAAATGATACAAAATCTAAAAGGTACATCTCTAAGGTACACTGCTTGCAATGAAAAACATTGACTGATTTATTTTCAGTGATGAAAAAACAATATGCTTTTAATGGTGTTGCTACTTTTTGAAATAGTTTTGTTCTTTTACATTTATTTTTGTCAACTTTGATATCATTTTCAGTATTCTAGACAATTTTTAGCCTGAAGTCAGGCGAGAGAGCCTTTCAGCATGAAGACAAAAACGCATTTTTCAGTCTAACCTCTGGTCAGAATAGCATTGATGAATGCTAACTGTAAAAAAGATTTCCTTCCAGTTTTGCATACTAACTCATATTTTTTAATGATTTTGTTTTGTTTCATTATCATACAGGTCTAACTGTGACTCCTCAGCTGCTAATGAACTTCGTAAACATTACAAAATGCCATATTTTCTGCCTGAGACTTCAGAATCAAGCAAGACTGATTGGTTGTTCATGGGCTGCCCAGGATATGGTGCTCATTTACATGTAAGTATTCTTGATTTTCAAGATCTAGTGTTAAGATAACAAACAATGCAAGAAACCTCCTTGAATTTGCTTATCTTAAAACAAAATTTCCAAATGTGACATGATTTTATATTGTCTGTCTGTGAATGCATGAAGTTATGATCCATCAAATGTTTTTAAATTTGCATGGTACATTGAAGGAAAAGAGTTCATCATTCCTTGGCAATTGCTTCTTATAGATTGACAATGTAGGGAACCCTTCCTGGCAAGCTCAAATTAAGGGAACCAAAAAGTGGACTTTGGAGCCCCCACCGGAATGTGCCAATGTTTGTGATCCAAAGCTTGAGGTGACAGTTAACTCAGGAGAAATAAGTATGTCAGCTTATATGTTTCTTGTTACTTTTGATAAGGGAAACCATTGTAAGATTGGTTATTTACCCCCGTCCTCTCCTGAAAAAAAAATCAATCATCGCATAAGAAACACTTGTTAACCCTTAAACTCCCAAGCATGACCAAGACAGTATTCCTCCTTACAATATCACTGCAATATCAAGAAGAAAGTGATGAGAATAAAGAAAAATATGAATTAGGGGATTATTTGTGGGTCTAATACTAAATTTCTGCACCATAATCATAGGAATTGTTTGGCGTATAATAAGGCAAATTACATAATAAGATCTTGAGAATGAAAGGGTTAACCCCTCAACTCCCAAGATCTGATTGTTAATTTCCCCCTGTAGCTGCTACAAATTTCCTTGTAAGTAAGTTATGAGAACTTGGTGCTAGATTAAGATAACAACTTCTACCTGATAAGGTTGAATATTTTCATTACCTGTTTGCTGAAGAATGTATGGATATTGTGGGGAGAAGTTTTATGTTGATCGCTTTTGGGAATTAAAGGGCCAAAAGCCAAAAAAATATAAAATCTTCAAGCAAGGGTACATTAACTAGGAAGGGTACATAAAATTAATGTTAATAAAAGATACACTTTTGTTTGGGAGCATGGAGTAGTATTTACTAGTGAAAAGTTAATTTTTATTCTTTACATTAATTACAAAATGCACTTTGTTATTTATCCACATTTGGACACTGTTGGTCGAATTAATTTAGATTATAATTTTGGTGAATTTATTTTTGATTGTAGTTGTTTTGGACACAAACAAGTGGTTTCACCAGACGGACATTGTTGGCAAGGAACTAAGCATAACTATTGGGTCTGAATATGACTAAATGCTCTATTTTAAACACTGAATGCAAATATGGCAGACTAATTGGTGCGTGGGTTAAGTTCCATCAAAGTGAAGGTAGTCAGGCATCTGGTTTGAATCGTGTGGAAGATTTTACTCCCTTTGGTTGGCATCTGGGAACCCAAAAAACTTGTAGTCTTAGCTTTTCAAGAGCTACATTTACAAAACAAAAGCTAACCTACCAAGTAATCTGCAAATTTGCATTCTGTCTATGACTAATATTGAAATACCAAGACTCAAAATAGGTTTCGAGTAAACATAATTGTAGGGGTTTAGTTGTAAAGCCTTAAGTTGCTTTTGATGCAACATGAAATTCTCCTTGAGTGTCGTATTTTGTAATACAATCTCATTTGGAAGGAGAATCTAGCAGTTATTCAAAATCACTCAGGGCCTTTTCCATGTACCCTATCAGCTAGTCATTAAATTAACTCTTACTTCATAGGTGCAGCTATATTTAATACAAATTCTTATGTGGTTTAGAAATTAATTTTGATGGGAAATTTGAAATCCCTTTAGAACTGAAACAAGCAAACAAACAAACAAACAGATCATAACAAGACAGATCCGTCCAGATGTACAAATTAATGTTATGTGTTAAGCAAAATTGTTGAGTATATTTTTCTAAGTTTTGACTCAGTCTGTTTTTGCTTTGTTATTTTATTTTATCTAAAATTGTCTCATTCCTTTTTTAATTTATATTTTTTGAAAAGTTGATCATCAAAGTATCTAGCAGGAGGAAAAGTTTCCACCCAAAGTTACAAGTAATAAGATTAATACAAAGAATTCTTATTTGGTTAGTGTGAGTTACTAGACATCAAAGTGTGCCTATCAATCAAGACTAAAATAAAGAAGAAAACAAATAAATCAACCTGTAAAATTTGAAAAATCTAGTGAATAATGATTACAATTTGAGGTTTTCCAGCATTATTGATTTTTGGGAAGTTGACAGTAGTAAATCTCTTTCATATTCTTCCCCACCCACCCACCCCCCTTCTTTTTTACCATCTAGCATCAATTTTGTGTGGGAGTTGTTTATTTTTGGATGTGTGTTTTATTGGGAACAGAATTTTGCAGTTCCAGCTACTGGTAGATACCTGGTTGCTAAAACTAAAGCTGAATATTTAATTTTGTGATTTTATCTTCAAGTAACAGAATACTAGCATGGAAAGAGACTTAATGTTTTCAAATTTTGGAATAGCTGTAATACTATTTTAAATGATAAGGGAGTTGATTTTACTAAAAGCTAATTGATATTTTCTGGTAAAAAGAGTTATGTAGTATATTTTACAATGAAGTATTGTGGTGTTATGCTGTAAACTATCAGCTAAGTATTTAATGGTTTTAGGAAATACATACTGAACATAAATTTCAGTAGAATTTAATGTGGATTACTGAAAATAGTCTGTTTTTTTGCCTAAAGCGTGGGTGATTGATAGAGAAAACAGATTTTATCATGCGTTTCTCAGGATTTTCCTTGAAATGCTATTTACTCTGCCAGTTTTAAAGTGTTTGAAGTGACGAGATATCAAGGCCAAGAAAGACAAGGAGGAAATAGTGTGCTGATTGCGTGTTCGTGGCAGGTGTCTCGTAAGTTATAGGTATTTAATAGAGTGTGATAATCACAATCATAACAATCATCATGGCGGGAAGAAGCAAAATTTTTAGTTCGCCTATACTTTGGTTTCTTTTTGGCTTTTCTCTGTACATATTGGCATGTTTAAGTGGCAAAGATGCACACATCGGACTAGATATGCGCCTCGTCAAAGTAAACAAGCAAAGCTGGGATAATCATTGGTTTTTGAAACCGATATCTTCCATTTTGTTTCGACTCAATATCCGCCATATTGGATTCGTGTGGAAAGCTCGAGTCAGATTCAGGAATTCGAGAGTCAACTACTACAGCAACTCCGATGCAAGCTTCAACTTTGAATATTTACAACTATGTGGCGACATATGTCCTAACCCGGGGCCTGCTTCCCCTCTGTTTGATGCACTTCACGTGGTGAGAGACAATGGAAAACAAGGAGTATCCATCGGTCACTCGAACGTGCGAGGCCTCCGTAAGAACCTCCCCGAAGTGAAAATACTTTTACAGCATACCAACCTGGATATCCTAACCATTTCTGAAACGCATCTGACACAAGATATAAGCGATAACGAAGTAAACATCGATGGATACCGAATTCTGAGAAGAGATAGGTCACACAAAGTAGGAGGCGGAGTCGCTATTTACTTTAACATTAGCCTAGATTGTGTACGTATATCCAAATATGACAACAACGACGGCATTGAAGCTCTCTGGATTGAATTGAAAGCTCACTCGCAAAGATTACTTGTGGGTTGTGTATATAGACCTCCTGACGTTACATCTTTCTTTGATGAATTCAACCAAGTATTGAGTACAATTTGGATGTCTCGCAGGAATGTTGTGATCGCTGGTGACTTCAATTCAGATCAGCTTGCTACTAATGGAAATGGTGCGAAATTCAAACGCATCTTACAATCTTATAACTTTTGTAACATCATAAAAGCACCCACAAGAACCTCAGCACATTCTAACACTTTGATCGATCTGATTTTGACTATCAATACCTCAAAGGTCTCAAAGTCTGATGTGATTGAGTATTGCATAGCTGATCACAAATTCATCTACGTTATCTACAAGCTGAAGATCAGGAATCCAAAGCCTTTTTTTATTAAATATGTCCACAACTTCAAGAACGTGTTGGAAAACCCGAAAGACTTCAAACATGACCTGGAAAGTGCTCCCTGGTGGGTCTGTTCCACCTTTGAGGACTTGGATGACATCACTTGGGCTTGGAATTGCATGTATAATATTATTGCAAGCAGTCACATTCCCTTACGTAAAGCCAAGGTTAGAAAAAATTCACTACCTTGGATGAACAGTGAGATCCGGAAAGAGATGAATAAGAGATATAAACTTCTGAAAGCCTGTGATGGCACACCCGCTACTAATAAACTCTGGGTTGATTACAAATCCTCTAGGAACAAAGTATCTAAGATGCTACGACGTGCTGAAGCTCAATATTGGAAAAAGAAATTTACAGAGACCAAGGACTCAAAATCTTTCTGGAAAACTGTGAACGAGGCCACTGGAAAACCTAAGAATAAACATATTGGCCCCTCAGAGATGCTGAAAATAAGGAAATCACAAATGACTACGAGAAAGCTGAACTGATTAACTCTTACTTCATAAATATTGGCAAGGAACTAGCTGAAAAATTCCCCGAAGTTGATGATCCCCATCAATTCATGTACAGAGTTACCCCACTGTGCAGGTCTTGGAGGTCAACATCAACAAACTCAAAACTGATATCAAGACAATTAAAATTAACAAAGCATCTGGTCCTGATGGCATCTCTTCTCGTAGCTTAGCTATTGCAGGAACATCCGCCCTAGAGGGCATTGTAACTGTTTTCAAGAGCAGCATGGCTCAGTCCAGCTTCCCTAACACATGGAAGATTGCAAAAGTTAATGCAATCTTTAAAAAGGAAACCCAGCAGATGTTTCAAATTATAGGCCAATATCACTTTTAAATATCCCCAGCAAGCTGCTCGAAAGCCAGATCTGCAACATAATTGATACCCATCTGAACAGCTGTGGCATAAAAAGCTGTAAACAGTGGGGGTTTAGCAAGGGACTATCGACTGAAGGAATGCTTACCTCTATGACTGAAGGATGGAAGACAGCAATTGACAATGGTCTGACAGTTGGAGCAGTCTTTATTGACTTCCAGAAAGCTTTTGACACTGTCCCACCATTATATTTTATCGCATAAACTACACGCCATTGGAATATCAGGATCTCTTCATGAATGGCTAATGAGCTATCTTACTGATAGATGTCAATTTGCTGAAGTTAATAATTGCAGGTCGGTCACTGACTATGTGCGATATGGAGTCCCTCAAGGCTCGCTTCTTGGCCCCCGGCTCTACACCATATATGTTAATGATCTCCCTGACCACATCGACTCGGGAGATCTATACATGTATGCAGATGACACTACAGTTTACTGTATTGGACCAAATGTTGACCAGGTTATGTTGTCACTAAATAAATCATTGGAGCAAGTTCTCCTGTGGAGCATTAAGAATCAGCTAACCATCCACCCAATTAAAACTGAAGCAATGATACTAAGTAAAACCTCTTTTGTTGGGCCTATACCCCCTCCACTTTAACACTGGCCATATCGACCTGGTTAATTACACCACTTGTCTTGGAGTTAAAATTGACAATAAGCTGACATGGTCTGTGCACATTGACTCAGTGAAGAAATCTTTTACGCAGAAGGTTGGAGCGTTGAAGAGAATGAGAATCCTTCCGAAGAAGGTTCTCGAGGAAATATACTTTAAAACAATTATCCCCAGTGTAACGTATGGAATTTCGGTATGGGGAAATTGTTCTCCTTCCGCACTGAACTCTCTAAACCATATTCATGCAAGAGCAGCTCGTATTGTGAATAACCTCGACTCAACGATGGCAGATGACACATGTCTCATGAAATCCGACTGGCTGCCCATCTCTTACTTCTATAAAAAATCTGTACTGTTCCTCTTGCACAAAGTATATTTTGGAACAACGACCCAGTCGATATGTGAACTGTTTTAAAAAAAGAGTTTCTTCTAGATCTTCTCGTGTTCCTAACCAATTTAATGTCATTAGATTTAGATCAGAGACCGGCAGGAACTCCCTACGATACAGAGGTCCTGTTATTTGGAATTTTGTAAATAGATTAGTTAAAGTACCTGAAAGTTTTTATTCTTTTAAACAAATCTTACGTAAACATGTTAAGACTATTGACAATTTTTCATTTGAGAAAGAGGCAACAGTAGTTGCCAACAGAAAGGACCATTTCATTTACTTTTAGATTTATATGTTAGTCTTAGTGAACACCATTTTATTTGTATATAGTAGTTCTAAGTTATTATTGCAATTTTTATATATATGTAATTCCTAATATTTAGTATAGTAGGTCCACATCAGCCCTTTGGCTGCCTTTCACACAACCTACTTATCAAATAAAGAATGTATGTATGTATGTATGTATAAAAATAAATTTGATATTTAAAGAAATGCTAAGAGGAAATAGTTTGCTGATTGTGTGTTAGTGGCAGGCGTCTCTTAAGCCATAGATATCGCCGTTTCCCATGTTCACTCGTTCATTCCCTATGGATCAACGACCTTACAACGATTTTTTTTAGAAGAAATTAGTCCCCTTTGCATCATATCAAGTCGCAACTAAATGCGAATTACTTCAGAAACATCGAAAAATTCATCGTTAGAACATTTTTCTAAATCAAAGACGAAAACAACGGTGTAGCAGTTTAGGTCGAGAGCAATCTGACCATGTACAAAATTTATTTTTCTGCATTCACATAAAGTGACTAACTATAACTCTAAGTCAGCAAGGTCAAGAAGAGTATAAGGTTAGAGTATATTGGTTAGGCCCAGTCATTAGCTGACGACCTCTATTACATAACTGAACAATCCGACTAAAAAAATGCAAGCAAACGCGATCCGATAGTGTAAAGCACAAAAATACGAAACCTAACACCCTCAAAAAAGAAAGTTGCAATGAGTAACATATTTCATCAACTTTATCAAGTCGTTTCAGGCATTTCTAATGTTAACTAGGTTCAACACGCTGGTATATCTCGTAAGCTAGATAAAGGGTTTTTTTCCTTGTTCAAATGTGACCTTTGGGTTACATGGCAGAAGACTGAATACCAGGCCCCCGAGCCGTCTGTGCAGTGTCCTCAGTTTCTTCCTCTCCTCTTTGCGTAACGATCATTTTGTAGAACAATCGAACGCTTTCGAAGAAAGAAAAGCAGACCAGAAAACCAAAAATCTGTCGAAAAAGGTAGAAAATCGTTATTACAAGTTGAGGAAAAACGTTTTAGAGTACCAAAATCATTAAGTTTCACTCCTCAAAGGAAAACCCACCGTCCCCTTATAAGGCGGCTGGTTATGTTTTGTATGTAATAATTTGGCTTCAAACACTGAAAATGGATTCTACTCGGCGAACTACCTACGAATCTGAGTTCTCTTCATACGCCTATTTTCCTTGTAATAATAATAAAAGTTCCCATAGTATAGTCGTAAACTTTTTATTCTGTGGCACATATTAAGGCTTAAAGGATAGACTGTCGTTCTAGATTACCAGTGCCAAGTAGAGTTCATCAAGGTTAATCCTTATAGCCGGGGGCAGTGAGTCGTAAGCCTTGGACATCTCATGCGCATGAAACACGAGGTTCACTGTACAAGCCACCAGTAAGATGGTCAGGAGGATATGCACAATGAAGCACTGTGGAGAAAAAGAGAAAAGCTGAATCTGATAGGTTCAGAATTAACTATATCGCCGGACGAACGATAAAACTTTCATTATCGTCATCATCGTCATGGTAATGGTCATCGTTATCGTTATTTTCATCCTCATAGTCATCGTCGTTATCACTATCATTATCATTATCATCGTCATCGTTATCGTTATTTTCATTGTCATCGTCATCATCATCATCATTGTCATAGTCATTGTCGTTATCACTATCATTGTCATTATCGTTGTCATTATCATTTTCATTGTCATTACTATTATCATCCTCTAATTACTGTCATATTTTAGAAGAGTTTGGGGGGAAAGACAGAGAGGGGAGGAGAGGGGAGGGGAAAGGAGGTCTTAACAGCTTTTTTTTTCAAATCGTTTAATAATAGCTCGTCAAGCAAAAGCCGACAATAAACCAGTAAGGAACAAGATTTTTTAAGGGTTGAGAACATTAAAGTGAATTGCAAATGATAATTAATGACGAACACACAAAGATTTAGGATAAATCTTTCAAGATGCACGCAAACTGTGATTTGGCTCCTTTTAGTGACGTGGCTCCTTAAATTCATGCCCATGCACAGAGAGGCCTGAAGTGGTAAATGACGAACGAGGATTTGCTTTGGTTTTTTAATGAAAATAAATTTGACTTGAGTCCCAGGAAAGTATGCACAAAAAATGCAATTGGAGAAAGATTTTGACAAGAATTAGGCTGTGAAATTTGATTTGGGCAAAACCTAGGCTGGAAAATGGGATTTCTACTTCACCCTGCATTCCTATTCGTGGCTTTGCATACAAATACTTAAGGAAAATCTGATGAACCATTAGTAGGGTGTCATTTTATTCTAGAAAAGTATCAATACTCCCGAGCTGTCGATTATCGCGACACTCTTCCACAGCCATGGAAGTCTGTTAACTGGTCTCAAATGTAAAATATACATTTTCACCAACGATAAACTTACCACAATTGTCAAGTGTGACGGTCGTGAAAAGAGACGCTTGATATGGTTGAAGCCAAAAACAAACCCAATTTGAAACACAATGGACACGATCCAGCAGAACACTGTAATTCCCTTAAAAAAATTCACTCTCCCGACTGCATGTATATCACTGGAATATACGTAATATGAACCAAGCGATGTCAGTGCATCGCTTCCGCTCAGGCTGGAATATCTAACAATCGATATCCAGGCAGCTGACAGGAAAAGCTACAAACAAAAAATAAACTGTATTAGAGGTGTCATAACAGTGAATCAAAACGCGGGTTTTTCCCATTGCCAGGTGGCTTACTGGGCTTTTGGTGTTCAATTTAAAGATTGTTCGCAAATATGTATCGTTATGCTTCAGAGCACTAAGCTTGCATTTTCTTCAAAATCAAAAAAAGCTGTCGCAGCCTAGCTCAATAAGCAATCTTTCTTCTAAAAATGTGGCAGCTTATTCTGACAACAATTTGTGGAAAAAGGAACAACAACTCACAAACTCAACCACTCTTTCTGCAGTCAAAGCACTATTCCAATAATCGGTAGTCTTTGGCACTGTCGCGTCCTGTGCTGCTGCGGGCTGAACCAGTTGGACCTGTTGAACCTGTCCAACTGGTTGTTGAGCATACTGTCTAGGAGGGGCCTGGGCCGCGACAAACATGGGCTGCAATTGACCTGCAGGGACTTGGCCAGCAGGTTGCTGATGAGCGAAACGCTGGTTCCTAGAACTTTGATTCATTTTTCCACGAGTTCTCGTTTCTCTGTTTAATAAAGGAAACAAGCTTTTTAAATCAAATCACCCACTGTGAACTAAGCCTAACAAAAATGGTTGTATTTTGAAATTAAATTGTTATAAATCAGTAAATACAGGAGCTCATTACCCGGAGCCTCCATACCAATTGTATCCTTGAGTCAACCCTGTCCAGTATCTTTTTATTTTAGAACTGAATATGGGTACGTAATGGTTCTTCGGCAACCTTTGACTTCAAGATGAGACTGATATGTCACTTCTCCTTATAATATATCATTCTGTAGATCACTATATCATTGTACATGGATAAATTAATTTATCATCAAGCATGAATAAATTTCTGGGAGTAGATCAGTGAGTTAGCTATTAAAAGATTCTACCGTTCAGTATTAGCAGCTTGAAGGGAAAATTTGAATCAGATCTTAGGCCGATTTAGAAGGTTTGATAACTGCTGTAGAGAAGGCTGTGAATGCCCCACTCCAGGTCTTATGCAACGATGTAAGAAGTTCAGTGTTTTCTGGTTACCGCAAAAACCAAGACGAACGCATAAATTACAAACAGCAAGAGAATATATACTAAAATTCTCTTGCCAACAAGAGAATATTAGTTTCCTTCCAAGCTAAATTGGAAGCAACATTTTGCTCCTTTTCTTCCAAGCTGAATTGTTTACTCACGCTCTTAAGTTATTTTTTATGAAACGATGTCTTACTTATGTACCTTAATATAAGCCATCTACTCGAGAATCATACTTTAGAATCATAAAATGCCTATTTTATGACGGAAAGGATTAAGAAAATGACATTTTCTGGTCGTGTTTACCTTTTTTTTAGCAGTTAAACGGAAATTGGAATGGCTTTCTTGGAAAGCCTGAAAGCGACGAAATATCATCTTACATTCGCAATGTAATCAGGTCTCTCAAGATACACCAAGATGCAAAATGTACGATCAATCTCATTTTATCTCATTTTTTCTCATGAAACACTTTCGTACGATGGCTGGTAAGTCACAAAGCCTACAACACAAACACAAACTTAAAACAGAATCACAAAATCCGCAACACTAATACAAAACTCTACAACACAAACGCAAACTTAAAACAGAATCACAAAATCCGCAACACTAACACAAAACTCTACCACACAAACACAAACTTAAAACAGAATCACAAAATCCGCAACTCTAACACAAAACTCTACCACACAAACACAAACTTAAAACAGAATCACAAAATCCGCAACACTAACACAAAACTCTACCACACAAACACAAACTTAAAACAGAATCACAAAATCCACAACACTAACACAAAACTCTACACAAACACAGACTTAAGTTTGTGTTTGTGTAGAGTTTTGTGCTAGTGTTGCGGATTGTGTGTTTGTGTTGTTGAGCATCTTTATCGCAGTGTATTAAGATATTTTCTAGTGGTGTGTTCGTGACAAATGCTTGCCATCTATCACTGGAAATTTGGCCTCTAAATGTTCTATTTATCAGACATTTTGATGCAACTAGTTTTGCTTTTTCCCCAGGTATTTCCCAACTGCATTTTTCAGCAATTATACGCTTTGCAAATAAGAGGCGAATGAAAGGGCTGTTAAACCATAAGACCTAAATTATGGAAAAAAAAATTAACTTACTTATGTAGCCTAAACGTTTATTGACTTTCCGAAAACGTGTTAACTATGATAACATTTAGCAAAGTATGGGCATGAAAATTGTGCATTACTCATATCACGGATCAGTAGAAATTACTAGGAAATGATATGGCTCATTTAGAGATGTGGTCAATAATTACAGCAACCAAAATATAACAGTATCTTTGAAGAGTGCAGTGACATCGTCCCCGTGTATAAACGTCTACGAAAGCAAGGGGAACTTAATTTCTTGACGGCTGAATGGCTTTTAGAGTTTCGCTCCAATCAAGAAATTGGATTAGCTTTCTTGGAAAGCCTGAACGTGCAAACATCGATCAACTCAAGTTCGCAATATAAGAAGGGTGCAAAATGTACAATCCTCCTCGTTTTATCCACACGAGACACTAGCTTTAGATGAGACAGATCCTAGCAGTATATCAGACATATCCTACACAGTGTCTCGTTTGTACTTAGCATGTGACTTAGCTGCCGATACGTAGGTTGTCTGTCGCTTTTACGAAGCTTTTATCCTCGTAATGTTAGCTTTAGAAACTGTCTTTACATCAGTCGCCCTAACGAAGAGCTAACGCTCGAAAAGTTAGCTTTAGAACCTCTTTGCGGTGGCCAATTTACATTTTAATCTAAGTTGATAAAACTAAATTGTCTACTATAGCTTAATTGGTCTATGATCCGACAGCGAAATCGGTCCAAAAGTCTGAGGTTCGAATCGTCATAGTGGGGAATTAAAATATTTCCTTCTCGCATGTTCGTGACAAATGCTTGCCACCCATCGCTGAAAGTTTGGTTTCTAAATGACGGATTTAAAGAACTTTTGATGCAACAAGTTTGGCTCTTTCCCCAGGTATTTTCCGACATTTTTTAAATTTTCAGTAATCGTTACAAAATGCAAATAAAAGGCGCCTGAAAAGGCTGTTGAACCATGAGACCTAGATTATGGAAAAAACAATGAACTTATAAGTGTGTAACCCATAGGTTGATTGACTTTCCGAAAACGTTTCAATGATGTTGACATACATGAAAATTGTACATTATTATAATCACTGGTCGATAGAAATTACTAGGAAGTAGGATGGGCTCATCTACAAATACGACCTATCACTCGCTAACAGCAACCGAAAAATGACTACCCTGAGTGCAGTGAAATCGTCCGCGTATATAAACCTCTATGAAAGCAAGGGGAACTTATGTTTTTCTTTCTTTAAGATATTTCCTGACGGCTGAATGGCTATTAGAATTTCACTCCTATTAAGAAATTGTATTAGCTTTCTCGGAAAGCCTGAATGCGAGGAAACATCGATCAACTTAATTTCTCGATGTAAACAGGTCTCTCGCGTTTCACCAGAGTGCAAAATGTAAGATCCTCATCATTTTTTTCTACATGACACACTAGTTTTTGATGCAAGAGATCCTAGCAGTATATGTAAGATATAAATCACGTTTGTAGCTTAGTTGGTCCATGATTCGACTGCGATGATTCGAAAAGTCTGAGGTTCGAATCCTCATCGTGGTGAATTGAAATATTTCCTTCTCGCATGTTCGTGACAGATGTTAACGTCTGTCACTGAAAATTTGGTTTCTTGATGATCGATTTACAGGACTTTTAATGCAACAAGTTTGGCTCTTTCCCCGGGTATTTTTCAGTTATTGTTACAAAATGCACATAAAAGGCGCCTGAAAAGGCTGTTAAACCACGAGAACTAAATTATGGAAGACACGATTAGTATTAAGTGTGCAACCCAAAGGTCGATCGACTTTCCGAAACCGTTTCAAAAATGATGACACTTGGCAATACATGAAAATCGTATAATTCTTATATCACTGGTCGATGGAAATTACTAGGAAATTGTATGGCTCGTTCAAAGATGTTGCCAAAATAATTACAGCAACCGAAATTAAAAATAACATTACCTTTGAATGCAGTGAAATCGTCCGCGTCTATAAACCTCTATAGAAGTAACGGGAATTTTTTTCTTTCTTGAAATAAATTATGAATTTTCCTTCTTACCGCTCTTTTCCCTCGCACTGATAGCACAGACTGTCAGTGTTAGGACAAAGGTGCAGCTACTTATGTGGTGACTGCTTTCGTGGAAAAGCAGATTCACATCTGCTTTGTATAAGGTTTCATTTGTGACCAAAATGACATTGCAAATGTAGGTACGCAATACGTACATGCGCAAATGTGCGACCGTTCGCGGTATTGGAGCTATTACGTTTGACGCCACTTGCTTTTACTCTAGACTGCATTTGATGATTCATGAGAACAATCATTGAATTTAAAGCTACCTGACCATTCCAAAGAGACACTGCTAACCCTTTTTTAAGCCGTGAAGAGTGGTTCTAAAGTCTTCGACGCACAATGCGGAGATTATTACATTAGTAAATTAAGCTGATATATTTTATCAAACTAATTGAACTTTGGAGGACGTTTGGGAGATTTTGATGAAAACTTGTCTGGTTTCTCAGCCGTTTTGTCAAAAATTCCGATTATATGATAATTTCATGCTGATATGTGTAGCATTTGACTGGTGACTTGCATTCTAACTTTGCAATGGTTTTCCTAATTCCAACATCTGTCTAATATGGAAGCAGGGGACGTGAATTCTCAGTCAAATTTCAAAACATAGCATACAGATGTAACAAACAAAATATGTAAGTGTTTCTAAAATGGTGGCTGAAATCCATTTTTAAGGTTTTGAAGTGTTGATTTTTATAGAAATATTTGGAATATCCATACCTATTCAGAGACTTCAAAAAAAATATTTGGTGAAAAGATAGCTTTCCCAAGAACAGTGAGAAGGATTTATGAGAATTGTTTGTGTCTGAGCATAACTGGAAAGCTACGTGAGTTGTGGAGCTTTGTGTTCTTGTGCAAGGCCGCTAAACTAACTCTCACAGTTTCTCTCTCCACCCCCCAGGAGTATAGATGGGTCAGTGACGAATTGTCAGGGAAGATTGATGAAATGCTTGGAGGTAACATCGCGATGGACCAGTATCTAATCCCAGGGAGGGGGGGGAAGGGGGGAGGGGTACTCCTAGTCGCTTCATGCTACATAAAAACCATAATAGTTTTTTTCTTCCATTTCTAAGCCATCAAAGAATGATAAAAGGGAGAAAACTAAAATAAAACGAAATCGCAAAATCGATAACATTCTGTTGCGATTGTTGTAACCTCGTTATTTACCATAATGAGGTTTTGCTGATCAAAGCTAAGAAAGGTAACCATTGACAGTTCAAAGTTTATACTCTAAGATTTATTTCAACCAGAGTTCAACAAACGATACATAGACAGAGTATTCTATGTGACACCACGTACGACCGTATGTCTCTTACGATCATCGTTTCTTTAGGGTGATAGGTGCCACAGTTTACTCAAAAAGACTGAAGTACATGCTTGTCATACTTAAGTTTAAAAAACCAGTAAGGGAAAAAGAGTAACCATGATAAATGTGGAATGTAATTAAAGGGCAGTTCAAAACTAACTAAGTTTCAACACAGCAGCTCTCTATAACGTTTTTTATGCAGCTAACTAACAAAAATCAATCAAAGCTAAGGAAGCACTTTCAAACAAAGCTGTCTTCTACAAATTTAGTAAACTGGTAGCGTTGTCGCTGATCCAGGCTGCCGCGGTTGAAGGTCAGTTAAGAGGCTACTGGGAATCATCAGCCGCAGCAATTTCCTTTGCTCTTTGCAACCTGTACATCCTTGTCAGTGGCGGGATGTCATCCAAGAACATGAAACAGGTCGCCCCACCAGTCAACTGCAAAATGGAGAGAGAAATCTTCACGAAAGATACCTTTTTGTTAGTTAAGCTAGCTGTGATTTTACCGCTTGCTACACGTTTGTAAGTTTATTGTATATTTAATCTTTCAAAATTATCGGCCAATCTATGTTGCGGTTTTCATAGCATGGTCGGAAGAGTTTGGAGAAGATCACGTGGTTTTAAGAGGGGGCTGGGTAGGGATCATTCGTCGCTAGGAGAGCATAAAGGATGGCAGGAGGGTAGGAGCACCACTGAGCCTTAGGGGGTGAATAAGGTAAATGGTATTGTGACACTACCAAAATCCTCGCCCCTCCCTCCCCTTTCCCGGCGATAGATAACAAACAGTCTCTAATGCTTAACACACTCCTGCCTGGAGAGAGGAACTGTGAGAGTCAAGTGTCTTGCCCAAGTAGGCAACACGATGGCACTGACCAAAATCGAACTGAGATCTAGCGATCCAGTGTCCGGAGCGCTGATTATTAGGCTATCCCTGGGGGAATATCTAGGAATTTTTGGTAGGAAAGGGGCAGAGAAGGAGGGGCAAGGGGTACCAAACTCATTAAACACAGAAATTTTCAATGCTTCCTATTTAGTGATTTTTTTACCATCCTATTGTTACTAGTGTCTGTAAGGTAGTTAAAAAAATCAATAGGGAATTGGGTGGGGCGAGGGGAGTAGTTCAGATCCCGAGACCCACCCCTTGGATTCACTAGTGCCTTCATTCGTCAGAAAACAGGACACTATGCCTGATTGTTTCTTCTGCTCACCAAGGCGGTAGGAACAGCAAATTTAGGGAAAAAGTAAAATAACGTACCAAGGCGAAACCAAGGAATACATTGTTTTCGTCGTAAGGTTTGCCTTCACCGTATTTATCACGGTGAGCTTGGTCAGCTTTAAACAATTCGACACCGACCATGATCAGGCTTGTAGTACTAGCGATGAGAAGTATGGTCATAAGGACATGTACAGCTATAACCTGCAAGAAAAGAACAGGTGTTTTTGACTGGTTAGAACAGAAAAAGATTAGTTTTAAACATTCCATTGCCAGTAACAACAATAGAAGAGCAACAACATGTCGTCTGTCGCCCACACGTCAAAATTACAGCCTCACAACCTCGTTCCTGAGAGGGAAAAGCCTGAGAAAGAGACAGACATCTTGAGTACAAGGCAATATATCTGGCGGTATTTTGTGCAACTGAGATAGTCAAGAATTCAGCCTTAAACAGTTCTTTAATTCGTGTTGATAGTCTGTAGTTAAATATACGAGAGCCTTTTTAGGTAATAACTTAGTTGGCCAAATATTCCTTCAAAGTTATAAGCTGCTATGTTTTTGTCCCCCCCCCCCCTTTGATGGCCATTTCCCAGTAAAGATGGTGCTAAATGTCCCTTTACCCGATCAGTGATATAAAATACCACTCTGAGTTCCAAAAGTCAAGAGTACAAAACCCTTCTTGTGAAAATGATTTGTATCGGAAGCACAAAAATGAGGCTGCTTTTTGTCCCAGCACCTTTCAGAAGCCTCACACGAACACCGACCCGATTTCAGAGAGTCTTTGGGCATCTTGAAAACGGCCTTGTATTCGTATTACATTCATGAATTTTCGGAATGAATTAGTTGCAATACTCACTATCAATGTGGAATTTGATGGTGTCCTGAAGTATCGCCGGTCTTTGTGGATGCCAAACATTAACACAATTTGGAGGACTATCACCATTACCCAACAAAATGTGGAGACTCCTGCGAAGAACGTTGCTCGACCATCCACACCGAAAGTACGGTTTGAGTAAACAACACCACATGGCCAGGCGATTAACAAGGCGATCTGTGTAAGGGGACAAGGTAAGCTTGTGATCAATGAATATGACCATCACTCTTTGATTGTTGGTACAAAGCTGGAGAAGGGCAAGAGAGCATCACAAGTGGTGTTCCAACGAGGCTTCCTAATGAATTCGAACTTAGAAAGAGGGTATCCCGATGCGCGACATGAACCTATAAAGACCCATGCGATACTCATCAACATTACATTTGTAGGTCAAATTCATTTCATTGCATACATCATTAAGGAAAAAACTATCGAAACATTTAATTTCTAAAAATGTTAGGAAGTGATGAATTTAAAAGTTTGGAAATAAAAGAATAATTTGTTGGCTAAGAATACTAAGAAGGCACAGCATCTACTCATAGAAATCCAAATATGATATTACTTGGATCGAGCAAAGTTTTAAATCGAAAAAACCCCTGCTGATCCGATATCATTCGTTAAAACCCCTCCATATCCTTTAACTGCTTACAAACTCAACAAGTCTCGAGGCGCTCAGCAAAGTTTTCATGTAGGTTCTGTCGAGCCGCCCTTCCCTAGGTTGATTCACTGGAGGCTGCATAGGGACACCAGGGCCTGGAACGGATTGGACAGGTTGTTTAGTGGGGTCATGGACAGGTTGTCCTGTGAGAACATGGACAGGGTGTTCAGTGGGGACATGGACAGGTTGTCCAGGGATATGGCCTTGTCCCATTGGAAACTGTGCTTCAGACACTGTCCGTGGCTGATCAGGATATATCTTCTGCATGACTGTCTAACTGGTCCGTCCTTGAGTCTAACGTTTGACTTCTCACCTGTAGATGTTGAAATAACGAATTATTGCCTGAACTAAGCTAACGTTTGCCGTGGTCACGTGACTCTGTTTTGTCTATGAACTCTATTAACACTCTCAAAAGATATTTAAATATCAATATTACATTAGTTGATTCAATGGTAGAAAAAAGATGTTTAAGCTTTTCGAATCAAATAGCCAGAAAAGCAATTTACATTTTATTATCAATTGTTTCCTTGAAGATTCTATCAAACAGGAGTCAAATTTCTAATTATCTTTATGATACTCAGGTTACCAAGGCGACACTTCAGACCCTCGGTATCACCCTTTGCTGCTGAGGTTTTGTTTATTAAATCATATTAACTTGCGTTCTATGTTGGAAAAATGACTAGGTTGGATGGAAACTGCGACTTTATATGATACCATTATTGAGGAAAAACATTTAAAAGGATATGTTTTCTATGAGCCACAAAACTTAAGGTCCTAAAATGTTTATTTGATGATAAAGCCGCATTTGTGCATGTTAAGAATTCAATTTTCGCGCTGTTATTAAAATTTGCGGAAAGATTTCAGTTTCTTGCTGAATAACGTATATTTCAGTTAAATGTCGCCCTTTTGAGATTATGTTTTGTTGATTACTCCCTTAATAACAGTAGTAATTATATCAAAGTAACCTTCGGGTGAAATCTAAATGGAACGAAGGAAATGTATTCAAGTTCCAAGAAATACTTAATGCTGTCACAAATGTAATACCTTTTGTTGTTTTACATTTGTTGTTCGAATTAAATTGCTCATTTTGATATTGGTGGGCTCATTTACTGCGAAGATCGCCTCTTGAGGGTGAGACAGAAGCCTGATCTCTAGCTCTAGACCGACTAACTTGCCAACTATGACGAAGCGATGTTCTGAAAAGGAATCAACTGTACTAGACCCGAAATAGTATAATTTTCATTGCACCCGTTTATCCTTGTATCGTATTAACTGCGGAATCTCGCAGCTATGGACATCAAATTGAATGAGGCCACTAAAGGACTCCTTTTTGTACTCCCTAGTTAGATTTTTACAACAACGAGTTGACTTTCTTTTATATGGAGGACGTGGCATGTCTCCCAAGCGCGTGATCTTTGAAGCGTGCAAGTATCCGAATTGGAGTAGATTTCGTTTTGGCGGAAAAAATCAGTCAGCATTTCCATCTTCTGTACAAGAAATTCTGCTTCATTGATTTAAGTAACACACCATTCGCGTCCATCCATAAAATGCAAAACATGTGATTCAGTGTTGAGGAGCATTGTCTCTTTAGCGAGAATCTAAAATTCGAAATTGTAAAGTCGTTTTACAATTTTAATGTTACCAGCACTTGGTTTAAAAACATACCTTCGTTTTCTGAGCGTTTTAAGACCTTTTAAAAATCCTCTTGCTTCAGACACAAACTGTACATTGGCAATAGTCGTTATTTCATCGACTCTTTGCGAAGAAACTCGCCACTTGAATCACAGGTGGCCCAAGCTCCAGCTGTAAGATGGTCATCTCGACAATAACAGTCATGGCGGAATTAAAAGAGTTTGTATGGGAATATTTACGACCGCTCGGAGGAATGAAAAAAAAAGTCAAATTCTTAATAAAAATATCTGACCTTACTTCCACAGCATATCACTTGTTATCTGACCGCTTACTTTGATAATAAGAATCCATTTTAGCGAGTTGTACATTTCGAGGTTTCCAACGCACATAAGAAAAGTTGGAAACCACGAAATGGACAACTCGCTAAATTGGATTCATTTCGTCAAAGTAAGCGGTCAGATAACAAGCGATGCGCTATGGAAGTAAGGTGGGGTATGTTTATTGAGAATTTGACGTATTTCTCTATTCCTTAGAGCGGTCGTAAATATTCCCATACAAACTCTTATAATTCCGCCATGACTGTTATTGTCCCTAGATGATCATCTCACGGCTGGAGCTTGGGCGGCCTGTGCTGGAATAAGACGCTTGAACGGTTTCCTAGAAAGACAGAAGGAGCCATAAGTTTGTTTATGAAGCAACCCAAACATTTAAAAAGAGTTACGCTCAGCTCACCACAAAGACGACTCCAGTTACAATCTTCATATAAGCAATGATTATTTCGCCGATTTTCTGCGTAGGAACTCGATACCCGAAGAATTTGCATAGGCGATAGGTTTCCTAGAAAGATGAAGACAAGCTTTTAGGCTGTTTGCGCAGCTACCAAAATATTCGTTGATGAATGACATTCGAGCGGTTCGGTTACTTTTTCCGAGAATGTAAATTCTAATTGTGGACGTATACTTAGAATAAAACAGACACGAACTTGTTCAGAGGAATTGTTTTCGTTTTGTCCTGATTCGGAGAAATAAAGAAGAAGTGTTTATTACAGAATCTCCCAATAGAAGTGGTTAATCGCGCGCCCTACTTATGAATATAATCGCGTCCAATTTCAAATTCAAACACGCTTTCACAATTTTAATAACTTAGATTGCAAACGCCACTCAATTGAAAGCAGCCGCAAACGCGAAATCAAGATTCTAAACAAACCCAGAGCTTCGATCATTTATTGACGGTGATTTCGCGGAATGCAGAGAGATGGAACTAACTTAAATTACCATCGATATTTAATACTCTGTTTAGTATAGGTAATCACATGATTTCGAGTACAACTTGGAGTAAATAAGCGATGAACTGAAAAAGCATATCATCTCGAGTTGTGATATTACATCAGCAAACCAAACAGCGATCTAAGACTTAACCGTTTAACCCCTAAGAGTGACTGGCATCTAATTTCTCCTTACAATATCAGCCCTGAATCAAACATTAAGGTCATGCGAATGAGGGAAATGATCAATAACTAAAGAACTCTTGACTGTTAAACGAATTCTCCTTTTCAGACCCGTAAGAAATGTCTGGAGAACAGTATACGGAGAATATGCATACCGATATTAGGATGTAAAGGGTTCATTAAAAGCGACACTTGCCTCATCGCTACGCGAAAATAATCTGCCAGAAACATCGAAAACCCATAATTAGAACATTTTTCTAAATCAAAGATGAGAACAACGGTGTTGCAGTTTAGGTCAGGAGCAATCTGACCATGAACAAACTTTATTTTTTTGCGTTCACATAAAGTGACTAACTACATCTCTAAGTCAGTAAGTTAAAAAAGAGCATAAGAGGATATTGTTTAGGCCCAGCCAAGTAAAAAAAAGGCCTAACAAAAACCCATTACAGTGAAGTTTGTCGGTTTTTTTTCGACTGATTGCCTTTTATTACATAACTATGAACAATCCGACTGAAAAAAGTACAAACAAACGTGATCCCATGGTGTAAAGCACTAAAACACGAAACCTAACATCGCAAAAAAAGATAGCTAAAATGGGTAACATATATCATCAATTTTACCAAACCGTATTCAGGCATCTCTAACTTAACGTTAACCCTTTTACTCCCAGAAGTGATCAACATAAAACTTCTCCCTATAATATCCCTACATTATCCAGCAAACAGGTAATGAAAATATTCATATGTATCAGGTGGAAGTTGTTATTTGATCTAACACCAAATTCTCATAACTAATTTTCAAGGAAATGTGTTTCAGCTAGAGGAGAGAATTAACAATCAGATCTTGGGAGTTAAAGGGTTGACTACATTCAGTACGCTAGCATATCTCGTAATCTAGTTAAAAGTTTTCTTTCCTTGCTAAAATATCAGCTTTGGGTTATATAGCAGAAGACTGAATACCAGGCCCCTGAGCCGTCTGTGCAGTGTTGTCAGTTTCTTCCTCTCCTCTTTGCGTAACGATCATTTTGTAGAACAATCGAACGCTTTCGAAGAAAGAAAAGCAGACCAGGAAACCAAAAATCTGTCGGAAAAGGAAGAAAATCGTTATTATACGTTGAGGTTTTGTGAGTAAAAATAATTTTTGAGTACCACTCCTCGAAGGAAAACCCTCCGTCCCCTTATAGGCCGGCTGATTATGTTTTGTATGTAGATAATTTGGCTTCAAACAATAAAAACGGATTCTACTCGGCGAACCACCTATACGAATAATTTGCTCGGCTCTGATCTCTCTTCATACGTTTATTTTCCTTATAATGATAAAAGGTCCCATAGTATAATCGTAAACTTTTTTTCTGTGTGACACATATTAAGGCCTAAAGGAGAGACTGCCGTTGTAGATTACCAGTGCCAAGTAGAGTTCATCAAGGTTAATCCTTATAGCCAAGGGTAGTGAGTCGTAAGCCTTGGACATCTCATGCGCATAAAACACGAGGCTCAGTGTACAAGCCACCAGTAAGATGGTCAGGATGATATGCACAATGACGCACTGTGGAGAAAAAAAGAAAAGCTGAATCTGATAGGTTCAGAAGTGACTATATCGCCGGACAAACGATAAAACTTTGTTATTTTTATCATTTTCATTATCGTCATCGTTATCTTCATCGTTATTTTCATCGACATCGTCATCATCATTGTTGTCGTCATCGTCGTTATCACTATCATTGTCATTATCGTTATCATTTTCATTATCATTACTATTATCATCCTATAATTACAGTCATATTTAAGAATATATCTTTTTGGGGGGGAGGGGAGGAGAGAGAGGGGAGGGGGGAAGTCTTTAGAGCATTTATTTTCAAACTGTTGAATGATAGCTCGTCAGGGTAGGCAAAAAGATTTTTCAAGAGTGGAGAAAATTAAAATGAATTGCAAATGATAATTATTGACGAACACACAAAGATATGAGATAAGTCTTTCGAGATGCACACAAACTGTGATGTGGCTTCTTTTAGTGATATGGTTCCCTAAGTTCATGCCCACGTGCAAAGAGGCTTGAAGTGATGAATGACGAGCGAGGATTTGCTTTGTTTTTTTAAAGGAAATAAATTTGACTTGAGGCCCAGGAAAACAAGCGCAAAAAAGGCAATTGGAGAAAGATTTCGATAAAAATTAGGCTGCGAAATTTGATTTGGGCAAAACCTAGGCTGGAAAAAGGGATTTCTACTTCACCTTGCATTCCTATTCGTGGTTTTGCATATAAATACTTGAGGAAAATGTGATGAACCACTAGTAAGATGACATTTTATTCTAGAGGAGTATCTATACACTTGAGCTGTCGATTATCGCGACAATCTTCCACAGCCATGGGATTCTATTAACTGGTCTCAAATGTAAAATGTATTTTCACCAACGATAAACTTACCACAATTGTCAAGTGTGACGGTCGTGACAAGAAACGCTTGATATAGTTAAAGCCAAAAACAAACCCAACTTGAAATACAATGGACACGATCCAGCAGAACACTGTGATTCCCTTAAAAAAATTCACTCTCCCGACTTCATATACGGGACTATCTCCGGAATATTTGAAATATGCCGAATATCCAATCGTATTCCAAGAATCGCTTCCACTCAGGCTGGAATATCTAACAATCGATATCCAAGCAGCTGACAGGAAAAGCTACAAACAAGAAATAAACTGTATAAGAAATGTTATAAGAGTGAATTACAGCGTGGGTTTTTCAGTGCCAGGTGGCTTTTTAGGCTGTAGTGGTCAATTTAAAGATTGTTCCCAAAACTGTATCGTTATGCTTCAGAGCACCAAGCTTTCATTTTCTTCAAAAATCTGAAAAAGCTGTATCAGCCTAGCTCAATAAACAATCTTTCATATAAAAAGGTGGCAGCTTATTCTGGCATCAATTTGTGGAAAAAAGGAACAACAACTCACAAACTCAACCACTCTTTCTGCAATCAAGGCACTGTTCCAATAATCGGTAGTCTTTGGCAACGTCGGTTCCTGAGCTGCTGCTGCAGGCTGAACCAGTTGGACCTGTTGTACAACCTGTCCAACTGGTTGTTGAGCATACTGTCCAGGAGGGGCCTGGGCCTGGAAATACACGGGCTGCGATTGACCTGGAGGGACTTGGCGAACTGGTTGCTGATAAGCGAAACGCTGGTTCCCAGAACTTTGATTCATTTTTCCACAAGTTCTCGTTTCTCTATCTAATAAAGGAAACAAGTCTTTTACATCAAATCACCCATTGTCAACTAAGCCTGACAAAAAATGTTGTGTTTCAAGATTAAGTTTTTGTAAATCTGTAAATATAGCCATCTTGTTTCGACTTCAAGACGAGACTGACATGTCACTTCTCCTTACAATATAACATTACTATATATCATTACACATGGAAAGATTAATATATCATCATGTAAAAATAAGTTTCCGAGAGTAGATCAGTGTTGACTATTACAAAATTCTACCACTCAGTATTAGCAGCTTTAAGGGTGAATTTGAATTAGATCTTAGGCTGATTTAGGTTTGATTAACTCCTGCAAAGAAGGCTGTAAATGCCTTACTGCTGGTCTTTGGCAACCATGTAAGAAGTTCAGTGTTTTGTGGTTACCGCAAAAACCAAGACGAACACATAAATTACAAACAGCAGGAGAATATTAACTAATATATTCTTGCCAACTAGAGAATATTAGTTTGCTTCCAAGATGAATTGGCTTTCAAGCCTAAGTTGTTTACTCACGCTACTAAGTTATTTGCTGTAAACGCTATCTCACTTAATACGTAAAAATATACCTTAATCTAAACCATCTACTCGAGAATCATACGTTAGAATCATAAAATGCCCACTTCATGACGGAAAGGATGAAGAAAATGACATTTTCTGGTCGTTTTTACCTTTTTCTCGACAGTTGAACGGTTGTAAGAACTTCTTTCCTATCAAGAAATTGGATCGGTCCTCTTGGAAAGCCTGAAGTCGATTACACCACATCACCTCACATTCCTTATGTAATCAAGTCTCTCACGATACACCAGGATGCAAAATGTACGATCAATCTCATTTTCTCTCATGAAACACTTTCGACACAACAAATCATAGCTGTAGCAGTATATAGGACTCGTGTCACATTTGTACATAGCCTACGACTTAATTAGCTTCCAGTAGGTAAGTTGTCGGTCACGCTCGAAACGTCAGCTTTAGATGCTCTTTACGGTGACCAATTTACATAAGTTAATAAAATTTACATCAGTTGATAAAACCAAATTGTCTTAGCTTGGTCGGTTATTAGACAACAAAATCGGTCGAAAAGTGTGAGGTTCGCACCTTTATCGCGCTGCCGATTAAGATATTTCCTAGTAGCGTGTTCGTGACAAATGCTTGCCATCTATCACTGAAAATTTGGCTTCTTAATGACCGTGTTATGGGACTTTTCGATGCACCTAGTATTGCTCCTTCCTCAGGTCTCTCCCAATTGCATTTATCAGCAAGTACACTCTGTAAATTAGAGGCGCCTGAACCGAAGGGCTGTTCAGCCACAAGACCTAAATTATGGAGAAACACAGAATTAACTTACTTGTGAGTGTAGCCTGAAGGTTTATTGCCTTTCCGGAAATCAAGTGAATGTAAACTCCGAAAACGTATCAGCTATGAAAACATTAAGTAATTAATGAAAGTTTTACACTACTTATATCCCTGATCGATGGAAATTAAAGGGAAATGGCGTGGCTTATCTTGAGATGCGGCCTTTCATGAGATGCGGTGTCAGCTTAAAGACATTCTTTACACTCGCTCTGACGAAGAGCTATCTAAACGTTAGCTTTAGAAACTCTTTACGGTGGCCAACGTACATTATCATCTCAGTTGACTGAACCAAATTGTCTATAGCCCAGTTTGCCAATGATCCGAGAGCGAAATCGGTTGGATGGTTTGAGGTTCGAAGCCTCATCGCGGCGAAATGAAATATCTTCTGGGCGTATGTTCGTGACAAATGCTCGCCATGTAGCCGGCTAAAAATTTGGCTTCTTAATGATCGATTTATTGGACTTTTTAGATGCAACTAATTTTACTTTTTTCCCCAGGTATTTTTCAACTGCATTTAACAGCAATTATACACTTTGAAAATAAAAAGTGCCTAAAACCATAAACCTAAATTATGGAGAAAAAACTAACTTACTTGTGTGTAGCCTAATTAAAGGTTTGTTGACTTTCTGAAAACGTATGAACCATGATAACATTTAGCAAAGCATTCATGAAATTGTACATTACAAATATCACGGATCAATAAAATTTACTAGGAAATGGTGTGACTCATTAAGAGATGTGGCCGATCATTACAGCAACCGAAAAATAACAGAACCTTTGAAGAGTGCAGTGAAATCGTCCACTTGTATAAACCTCTACGAAGGCAAGGAGAACTTATATTTTTCTTTCTTTAAGATATTTCTTGTCGGCTGAATGGCTATCAGAGTTTCGCTCCTATCAAGAAACTGGATTAGCTTTCTGGGAAAGCCTGAATGCGAGGAAACATCGATCAACTCAAGGTCGCAATAGAAACCATATAGGTCTGTCGCAATTCACCAGGATGGAAAACGTACTTGATGATTAATTTATTCTCCTTCTTGATGCAACTAGTTTTGTTTTTTCCTCAGGTATTTCCCAATTGCATTTATCAGCAATCACACTTTGCAAATAAAAGGCGCCTGAAAAGGCTGTTAAACCATAAACCTAAATTATGGAGAAACAATTGACTTACTTGTGTGTAGCCTAAAGGTTTATTGACTTTCCGGAAGCGTATTGAATATGATAACATTTAAAAAAAGCATGCATAAAAATTGTATATTACTTTTATCACGGATCAGGAGAAATTACTAGGAAACGGTATCGCTTATTTAGAGATATGGCCTATGTCATCAGTTACAGCAACTGAAAAATAACAGTACCTTTGCGGAGTGCGGTGAAATCGTACGCGTTTATAAACCTCTACGAAAGCAAGGGAAAACATAGATTAAATCAAATTTGCAATATAAACAGGTCTCTCCCGATACACTAGAATGCAAAATGTACAATCCTTCTCGGTTTATCCACATGAGACACTAGCTTCCGATGCAACAGATCCTAGCAGTATATGTAGGATGTTTGTACATAGCATATCAGTCAGCTGCCAATACGTAGGTTGTCTGTCGATTTGACGAAGGGTTTACGTTCGTAACGTTAGCTGTAGTGAATGTCTCTACATTCGCCCTGAAGAAGAGCTAACGCTCGAAAATTTAGCTTCAGAAACTCTTTGCGGTGGCCAATTTACATTTTAATCTCAGTTGATAAAACCAAATTGTGTGTAGCTTGGTTGGTTGATGATCCGCCAGCGAAATCGGTCGAAAAGTCTAAGGTTCGAATTCTTATCATGGGGAATTAAAATATTATCTAGTCGCATGTTCGTGACAAATGCTTGCCATCCATCCCTGAAAATTTACTTTCTTAATGATCGATTTACAGGACTTTTGATGCAACAAGTTTTGCTTTTTCCCCACGTATTTTCCGACATTCTTTTACAGTTATCGTTACAAAATGCAAATAAAAGGCGCCTGAAAAGGCTGTTAAACCATGATACCTAAATTATGGAAAAAACAGCGAACTTATTAAGTGTCTAGCCTAAAGGTCGATCGACTTTCCCCAAACGTTTCAATAATGTTGACATTCAGCAATACATGAAAGTTATACATATCTTAGATCACTGGTCGATGGAAATTACTAGGAAATGGGATGGGCACATCTACAAATACGACCTATCACGAACAGCAACCGAAAAATGGCAGTACCTTTGAGCGCAGTGAAATCGTCCGCGTCTATAAACCTCTATGAAAGCAGGATGAACTTATATTTTTCTTTTTTTAAGATATTTCATGACGGCTCAATGGCTATCAGAATTTCACTCCTATTAAGAAATTGGATTAGCTTTCTCGGAAAGCCTGAATGCGAGGAAACATCGATCAACTCAAATTCCCAATACAAACAGGTCTCTAGCGATACACCAGAACACAAAATGTACAATCCTCCTCATTTTTCCACATAAGACACTAGCTTTCGATGCAACAGATCCTAGCAGTATATGCAGGATGTTTGCATATGACTTAGCTGCCAGTACGTAGGTTGTCTGTCGACTTGACGAAGGGTTTACGTTCGTAACGTTAGCTGTAGTACATTCGCCCCGAAGAAGAGCTGACGCTCGAAAATTTAGCTTCAGAAACTCTTTGCGGTGGCCAATTTACATTTTAATCTTAGATGATAAAACCAAATTGTGTGTAGCTTGGTTGGTTGATGATCCGACAGCGAAATCGGTCGAAAAGTCTGAGGTTCGAATCCTCATCATGGGGGAATTAAAATATTTTCTAGTCGCATGTTCGTGACAAATACTTGCCATCCATCGCTGAAAATTTGCTTTCTTAATGATCGATTTACAGGACTTTTGATGCAACAAGTTTTCCTTTTTCCCCACGTATTTTCCGACATTCTTTTTCAGTTATCGTTACAAAATGCAAATAAAAGGCGCCTGAAAAGGCTGTTAAACCATGATACCTAAATTATGGAACAAACAATGAACTTATTAAGTGTGGAGCCTAAAGGTCGTTCGACTTTCTGAAAACGTTTTAATAATGTTGACATTCAGCGATACATGAAAATTGTACGTATCTTAGATCACTGGTCGATGGAAATTACTAGGAAATGGGATGGGCACATCTACAAATACGACCTATCACGAACAGCAACCGAAAAATGGCAGTACCTTTGAGTGCAGTGAAATCGTCCGCGTCTATAAACCTCTATGAAAGCATGGGGAACATATATTTTACTCTCTTTAAGATATTTCATGACGGCTGAATAGCTATTACAATTTCGCTCCTATTAAGAAATTGGATTAGCTTTCTCGGAAAGCCTGAGTGCGAGGAAACATCGATCAACTCAAATTCCCAGTACAAACAGGTCTCTCGCGATACACCAGAACACAAAATGTACAATCCTCCTCATTTTATCCACATGAGACACTAGTTTTCGATTCAACAGATCCTAGCTGTATATGTAGGATATGTGTCACCTTTGTACTTAGCATATGACTTAGCTGCCAATACGCGGGTTGTTTGTCACTTTGACGGAGGATTTACCCTCGTAAAGTTAGCTTTAGAAACCGTGT